AGTTTTTTTAAGCTTAAATGTGTGATGTAGTGTTTTCATTAGGTCGTAAGATAAAATATATTGTACGGCGCACATCACGATTTTACACTATACAAAGGTAATTTTTTTTTGTCCGACAATAATTATTGTTTCTTTTTTATAAAAGCTTTTGGTGCACGTTTTTGTTTAATAATAAGAAAATGGATTATATAGTCGTTGTTTATAATGTATTTCTTATTACTAGCGGTAGTGTTATGCGATAACATCTGGAGTCATTAGCTATACATTTTTCTAACTCGTTAAAAACAAAATAATCGCCGGAAAATATCGACTGGTCGATAACCGGATTTAAATAATATAGTTACCGGTTTTGTTAAGCTCAAAAGTTTCGACAGTAGCGCTAAGGTCTGGCGATAAAAATACTTTATAACACTACCCGACTTATCTTGTCCTGGTCTGTACTCACAAATAACTATAACTTGTGTACTAAAACCCATCGACCGACGTTTATTTTAAGTAGATATTATATCAGTTTTAATGAATAGTATAATTAATAGGTCCTCGTTTTACTTTCAAAATTACTCAATAAAATAACCATTTAAAACTAAATTATATTATACAATTTAAAGTACTCTAAAAATGTTAATATTGTTATGTGTTTTGATATAAAAAAAACACTATAAGAAGAAATGAAAATATATATATAAAATCAGTACATAAAAGTATTGTTTATAACGCATAATATGATATTAATAACTAGATAATTAGCTATCTAAGTATAAAAAGGGTCATTTTAAACGAATGTGCAAATGTAAATTTGTTTTTCTTAAAGAAAAAACCAACGATTATTGTATTTTATTATTTACTTACATTTAAATCAACCCCATTTTTTATAACCACCCTTCTATGACTCTACCGTCTTCTGTTTAATATTTGTCAACATTTACCATAAAAAAATAGCATTTAGTTTTAATATCTCGATAAATTTAACAACTTAATAATTATAACAACTATAAATGTGAAATCATTAAATAATCAACGGGTTTTAAAATTATTCTTAAACGTCTTAGTCCAAACGTCAACACAAAACATAAAACATGGATTCATTTTTGTACATTTTAAATAATAATAACTGACTAATTTCATATCAAATTACCCTTCCGAATTTTGTATGATTTAGTATCCTTTCGCATTATTAAACATTTACCAACAGGCAACAGATGTGCTCCTGTTTTAATAGTTAATCATAAAATATTAAATGGGACGGCTGCCATGTAATATATCATTACTTATGGATTTTTGTTAATAATTCATGTTATGGGACATATTATTATGGTAAAAAATACTATTTCGAAAGATAATAATATATTTTTTACTCTACAATAAGTTTACAATAATCATATTTTTATTTTAACCCAAATTTTTATGTAACTACGATTATTTAAATGAAAATATGCGCATAGTTAGTCATTTTTTTTTTATATGGTGTAATATAATAGTTTTAAGCGTTATTCGATTTAGAGATAATCGAATGTATACGACTTGTAAAATATAATACATCTCATGGTTGTTATTGTCGAGTTATTCGATATTTTATCCCTCTAGTTTTGTAATCGAGTGTAAAGTGAGAACACCGATCAATTTTCGAAACGATTTATCCATAGTTTTTATTGCGCACGTACAATAACTTTAGAACAGCCTAAACGTGCATAGGATACAAATAAAACAATAGAGGAAATATCATGCATAACAATACTGAAGTAAAAAACTTTTTTTCGAACAATTTATTGATCCAATATCACCACCGTACACGTGGAATATAAAAATAATTGGTGTTACTATAATTTTATTTTGTTCTTAAGGGCGAATTTATACTTTATACACATACCGCAAAAAACTGCTGGCGAAAAATATACTGTGGGTGGTTTTTTAGAGCTTCGTTGGAAGCTTTTACTGTAAAGGAATAGTTAGTTTTTCACCGGCCTTTGAAAAACCATAACAATATATTTATGCTCATATATTACGGTCAAAGGTTGTAAATTGTCTTGGCCAAAATGTATCGTTTCCTACACTCAACCGGCCCTGTTAAAAAATACTGTATAGTTTCTTGATACTCTTGGCCGTTTGATGTCAATGTAAAACCGACCAAGTGTGCAATATTCCCTTTCGTAGCGGGTATCACTTTCTGTAGTGTAATGTTTTTACTTTACCAAAATTAATTAAGCTATAAAAAACGTATAGCCTAAATTGTTGTGGTAAATTGCCGAGTCGACACAGAACTTTTTATGGTCAACAATATATCTATATTATTATTATTATTACTTGGCGTGCAGCGAGCACGTAGATAAAAATGAAATACCGAAGTCGACAGTCGGTATTTTTTACCGAGTGACATTATTTTATATTAAATTGTGAATTTAAAATGAAAACAAAAACCTTTCTCCGGTTGATAAATTTTGACGATAAACATATATTATTATAAGGGAAATAACATATGAGCTACTTATATAAACATATATATATATATATATATATATATAGACTGGTGTGCGCAGAGACGGATATAAAGATTTCCAGCCTCTGTTCCCCAGGCAAATAACAATATTTGCCACCCCGGTCGACTTCCTATGCTGTCTGCTTGAATAATTCAAATGGAAAAGCCGTTCGGCCCAAGAAATCGCATTACATTTGTGTACAAGCTGTACCTGTGCGCGTCTAGTGTTTTTTTTTTCTTTTTTTTTTTTTTGGTGGGTGAGGGGAAATAATAATAATAATAATAATACAAACGGATGCAGTCAGAAAAATTGGATTTACAAGTAGCGAAGCGCCGCCGATTGTGTGTGAAGAAAATTCGTTTTGTCATCAGCAATGCCCGGCGAGCACTTAAAAAAAAAAAAAAAAACATATGGGTCGTTTCCCACATCGGTCGAGACTACAATACAACAACAAACCGACGGGGTTTTACGACTATAGGCGGGTCAGACTCCGCCATGAATCCGCACAATCGATAAACGACAACAGGTACGACAATGGAACCGTGTAAAAATCAATTCTCTCGCCCCCAAAGTTCTGGCAGACACCGGGAAATATTTAAATGATGACCGAGCGAGACAAAATCCACTACAGCTTTTTTTCTCCACCCCGAGGGGTCTGCGCATAAATCACAACCTTTATACCGCGCCCACTGTAAAATTAATTCGCCGTTCTCTACAAGAGACGTGTTCCCCGGTATGATTTCGCTTTTTTTTTTTTATTTTGACAAACAAAAAATACAAATTTCCCGACATTTATCAAATCGAAACGAAACGTCGTGATTATTATTGTTTCCCCTTCGGTATTTCGGTTCATAAATCGTCCGAATCGAACACGACATTCATTTATGAAATCCGATAATCAGTATAGCACGCAGTGCCCGAGTCTTGGGTCAGATGTCGTTCGCACTACACTAGTCACTTGTCACAGCTAGGGGACACAATATTATTTACGGACAAAAGGGTGTTTCGATCAAACTTGTACGCTATACCCACGGTTTAAGCCAATGCCAATCGATAACCTCGTGGTTTTAAACGACAAAACGACAGTTGTAATAATAATAACGGTCTGTGTCGCGGCCTTTGGCAAAAAGAAACCAATTATATATATGACTACTTGTGTACGATGATAATACTATGAATTTAGAGTGTACGGGCCAATTACTAGTGTACAATTAGTATGTATAAGGCAGCCTTGGAAATTTGTACAGAGATAATTTTGCTGCCCCGAATCGTTAAATAATCAACTCCTAAACCGCCAACGGCGCGGGAGATCGGTGGATGCTACAAGTGTGAATAGAATACACAATCAATATTAGGCTTAATTATATTAAGTTTATATAGTCGGATAGGCCGTCGGTGAAAAACTTTTGGGTAGCGGTATAAACTCCCTCGTCGAAATTGGCTAGAGCCTTGACGCCATTGGGTACGTACAATTAATAGAGAGGTCATTTCCAACTTACACTGCCGAGTCCACGTATTAGTACTATTGAAATTTACACTTAAATCTAAATTGTGTAAAAAAAATATATATAATTACAATAAGAAAGTAGGGAAAAAGGTCTCTCTTTTTCCCAAGAAAATCTTTTGAAGACTACGATACAGAATTTTTATGAATACCAACCTATTTTAATATCTTTGAACCGTGTTTTTAGCTGACATAATAGTATACACCGTTGTATTATGTAAAATACAAGTACGTTTTCATTAAAAGAAACTTAAGATTCAGTGTTGCAGACGAGAGGTAAAGATAAAATTCATGTAATGGACAACAAGATCATAGTATTCACAATATAGAAGTTGATAGTGTTTACAAGATAGGGTCGTTAATACAATTAACGAGGAATATGTTAAAGCTTTCATCGATTGAAATATTATGTGGATAATTTTCGGGTATATCCGTGTGTTCGTTCAGTTTTAAAGTTCAAATAAATAAGCAGAAAACAAATAACGACCAATAGAATTATAATAATTAGGTATTTAATGTTTGTAAATCTAAATGACTTCACAAAATGTTTCAAGCATAAATGTTATATAAAGGTTATATATTTGTATGATAAATTATTAAATATAAATGTCAATTCTTGAAAATAATTTTGAACTTTGTAGTTTCGGATTACTTGTTCCGTTAGGTCCCATTAGTGAGTTCTGTGAATTGACTACGTGTAGTTTCTTTTCAACGCGAAACACAAAAGGCGTTTGATAATATTATGTGCGTTTCATAAGCATAATAAAAGTGGTTTAAATTTGAAAAGAAGTTATGAAACGTGGCCTAAAAAAATATTTGTTTTCAATACAATACACTCGATGAGTACAGCTGTACAAGAAGTCAATTAGTGTTAACAATATAGAAAAATCTATTGTTTAAAAATTTGAAAAAAAAATTCTGTTGTAATCTCATAAACCCAATAATATATTCTTTAAAAATATAATAACATTGAAAATTGAAACCTATATCTCATCACAAAACGTGTTTATGCTATGTTTCAGGTATGGTGACCACCGGCTAGCAATGGTGCCCAGGTTAATATTGGTGTGCGGCCTATTGTCGGCCATCGCTGTGGACTTGGCGTGGTCGGCCAGCGGTCCGGTCGTCCAACAATGTCCCACGCACGGCGAAATAGCGCCGTGCGTGTGTACGGTGAAAAAGAACGGCGGCCTAGACATACTGTGCGAGTTCACAGACTTGCAGCACATATCCAAAACGATGGCGGTACTCAAGGGAAAACCGTCATTGGTGATTTTCTACCTGAAGCTCCGACACAACAACCTGCCCAAGCTCCAAGGTTTCGTTTTCCTCGGTATGGACATCAGACACTTGACCATACACAACAGCACACTGGCCGTTGTCGAGGAATCGTCGTTAAGCTCTATAGGTGAGAAACAGTCTTTGGATGTTTTACACGTTAAAGCAGACAATATGTATACATTAAAATATGTAGGTATCCTAAATAGTTGGAAATCGGACTTAATACAACTTATTCGATGGAGTTAAGAAGAAATTCAGTCCAAGAACCCCCCCCCCCTCCTCCTCCCCCAAAAAAGTGTACGGTAGAATAGAAATCCCGAAAAATGTGTTTATAACAAATTGTCGTTGTTAATTAAAAAACAATATGAATCATTCACATCTTACATACATTATATTAATTGTTTTATTATTGTTATAATTACTGTAATAAGCTTAAAATTAATTAAAATTACTGCAAAAATTGGACTTGTTTTCCTTTCTGTACATTTTAAATTTGTATAATTAATACGACAATTTTATATCTACGGGTTTCGTTTGGATACACTGTGATCTCTCTTTAATTGGATCACTCTGCTATGGATACTATGCTATCCAGTATCCTGTTAAAATTTAAGTAATAATTTAATATTGTATATCATGTTGTATACTATATCGTATCTGAGTATCTCAGTTTACCCATAACAAACTAATTATAATTTCAGATACATATTATAAGGTATTGTGGTAAAATAATAATAGTAATATCACATTATTTCGATTTTCCAAAGGTAAAGCCCTTACTCAACTGGATTTATCTCAAAATTCGCTCAGCAGTGTACCGACACCAGCACTTAAGAGTTTAGACCGTTTACTTATATTCAATTTGAATCACAACAAAATCAGTGCCATCCACACAAACGCATTCGAGGGTATGAGTACGCTGGAGATTCTGACGTTGTATGAAAACCGGCTTACAAATATCGAACCTAATGCATTTGCCGGCACGGAAAAGTAAGTTATTCATGGAAATATATATTAAAAGCACATGATATTTTATCGATGAAATATGACTACAGGAAACTGAAACGATTGAATATTGGAGGCAACGAATTAAGTAGAGTACCGACGGACGCTCTGCAGACAATGGACAACCTAAAGAAACTAGAAATGCAAGAAAACAAAATAACATCAATTAACGAAGGCGATTTTGTAGGTAAGATCCGTTTTTTATTCCATATGAGAAAAAAAAAGTTAAATATGTTATGACTTAACACTATATAACACGAAAAAAAAATGTTAACTACATAATATGTTGGGTTATATTGTTGCTTTGATAAAAAATACAATCCAACGGTATATACATGATTTTTGTTTAAGGTTTAAAAACGTTGGATATGCTAATATTGGCGCATAACTATATCAAACACATCCCGGCTAAAGTGTTCCGCCATTTGCCTCTATTGAACTCGTTGGAGTTGGATGGAAATCAAATATCGCACATCGACGAAGAAGCTTTTTACGGTTTAGAAGGTGAGAATTGTTTTGCAAGCCTTTATTAGTATGCTATATTTTAATAATTATTATTGTAGTTACGTACAAGCTAACGCATTAGCTGTTACACGTGTGAAACATTTCTTGATCAATTTTCGGTTAGGTTATACGTACGTTTTGACAAATTTCCTTTAATATTTTTTTGCTTGACAAAAATGATAAGAATTCATTTTTCGACCTCGCAATAACGTAACGGACATTTTAACTGGTCAAATCGACTGATTTATATCATAATGTTTTGTGGACAGCAAAATTTCCAAATCCGAAAGGGATGTCTGTCCGAATTTCCAAATAGTATATATGAATGCGTCCAGTAAGAACGAATTCAATTTCCGTACACGGCTTCAGAAATGTCAATATTTTGTATTTATTTGTTCTGAAATCGACTTGGATTGTACACACACACACACACACATAGTACCTTTTATACTTAAAGGGCGTGAGCACGAATGATTGTTTGTGACTTGCGGTCGATCATCGTTTATGTTTTTTAACGGCGTAAAGAGAAATGAGAGGGAGTGATATATTTTTGGTACGACAAAACCCAGGAGGTTCCGACGGGTTAAAAGGTTTCGAATTGGTTGTCCATTTGCCGGGCGTTATAAATTGCAAAATGTCTAAGCTAATGCCGGATTTGACGCCGAAGGTTTAACCGTACAACTGTGTACATACCGATTCTGATAAAATAACTACCTATACCTACACTCACCCCGGGTCTAAATCCATATTACTGGTACTGGTATTTGCTTATTTTCACGCGGCTACTCCGGACGATTTGTCGCCCCGCTATGCTACAACGGATACTTCTGTACACGTACATTGTTATCGTTATAAATTGCAAGGCGTTTACCATTCTCTATTACGGTAAATGACGAATTTCCAAACAATTTGTACACACCTACCCCTCCGCGAGTTCTCCTTGTCGGACCGATCGTGACACGCAAACAGCCAAATCCATTTAGCTTTGCCGGTGTGATCAATATACCGCGACGACTTCACGTCTACCGTGTCTGCTCTTGATGTACCGCAGTTTATATTATAGTGGGTATATCACTCGGTGTGTCTCTGTCTCCATTCCAGACGGTTTATCGTCACGAAACGTCCCGGTGTATGACATCAATAATTTACTACCGGCCATTACCCAGTGTCGTCTACCGCAATAGGGCATATGCTTAACCCGGGTCGCATTGGACGAGTAATAGTAATTTGATAGTCGTGTGTGTATGTTATTCCTTGGGCCCAAACACTATTTAATAGACGTGCAAACCGTAAAGGTACTTTTTGCCCGTGGGATGAAAAATGTAACTAAGAAAATAAAACTTGTTTAGATATCGCTCAAAAATACTTTTATTTCCCGAGAAAGGTTTGAATTTTTTTTTGTCCATTACATTTTATAGCATATCTAATCAAACGGTATCCAATAAGACTTTTAGGGAAGTAAAACGTTTGCCTTTTTTATTTTGTCCTCAAGGATACAACAGTCGGTTCCACCTTGTTTAAGCGAATGATTGGGTACGGCGTACCCAACTCATGACCATTTGCTGACAACAGCCAAAAGGCAATCTGAAATTACTTTTTTGTTATTGAAAATCCTCCTTGAAGTGTCAAATAACGTCTAAATATAATCGTAGGTATTATGCTAGCCGCTAGCGTAGAACCATAGGAGGTTGCCACTCGCTGTCCATTATTCGTTTTGTCATTGTATAAAACAAGACAAACAAAGTTGAATCCAACATAAAAATTGTTATTTTTTAGGTAAAAAAATATTGTTTTTAATCAATGTGCAAAAATTGTTCTAATATTATTTTAATAAAAAAAATAGACACTATTAAGTATTAAAAAAAATAGCAACTATAAAGTAATACAAATGAAAATAATCGTTGTTTAACTGTCAATTTGTAGTACACCTACATAACTGTACATTGTGGAAGAATAAATGCAAATTCCCCAAGGGTTTTTGTTTGTTAGATTTGTTAGTTTTTAAGAAAGCCTTCGCTATTCGGTTTGATATTTTATAGCATACAGAAATACTTATGACGGTAGTATTTGTTTGAAATATTTTACGGATTCGATTCGGCTATGTGAGCTAACTGTAATACAAATAAAGCACTCGGAACTTGTTTAAAAATGATTTTCATGTTTAGTTTAACATCTTTGAATAACTATCACGTTACGCTTATTTTATTTGTTATTTTTAAGTATTAATTTTAATATTTTAAATACTATTATTTGAAACATTTCTTGATTAGCTCCTAATACATTTTTTTATACGACCTACAAGAAATGTATAAAAGTTCGAATCTACCGAATTATAGGTTATTAGTTATTCCCTTCGTTAAATGTTGGGTAAAAGAGAGTTAGCGGCAAAATCTATTTCAGTGACTATTGGATATTGTTAAAAATATTGTTTCGTGTTTTATTCAAATTTTTTTTTTTTTTTTAATGCATTTTATTCGTTTTAACTTTTAACGTTCGCTCGCCGTCGTTTAAAATCGTTTTTATGGAAAGAGATAAAAGTCTACGTTTTATAACTTAAAGCTTATGTCCTTATATATATTCCCCGGTAATCAGAAAATGTAATTTATTTCATACTGAATAACTTTATTCGTATAAATAAATATAGATTATAAATTATAGTACATATTTTAGAAACTATACTAAATTATATTTTAATATTTGTATATTAAAATATATAACAATTTAGTACATTACTGGGTTAAGCATTGTATTGAAATCCAAAATTAAATTAGTAAAATAGTAAAATTAACATAGTAAGGAAAATAAAATTAAAAAAACCATGTCAACTCGACCGGTAACTACATAAATAATAATTTAATAATTAACTACTACACAAAGAACAAAATGAAATACATACATTAATTAGATTGGACCCTGCAATTAACTTGAACGGCAAAAGCAAGCGTTAATGCGTTTTAGTTCAATTAAACTAATGATTCACAATGACTGTGCAAATAAGACATGCCTCGTGATATTGTACTTGTAGTTTAATCGAATTAAATGACACGCATGCGAAATATACACTGTGAACAAAAGCAACAAGTCTTTGAACCTCGTGTTTCAGACCTTTTTTTTAATCTCTATTTACATTCTACACAGAATCATTATCCAAATCAACACTCTCCATCACCGAAACACAGAGAAACTTGCTTCAATCATACTTAATCCAACCTTTTTAAAATAATATACATAAATAAAGAGATAGAGGAAGGAAACGCGAATTTCGGAGAAGATTTTAAAAGAAGAGTACCCTAAGGGATTAACTTTACAGAAACTGAAGGAGCTCGAACTCTAAAAATACTCAAAAATCTATCTATGTAACCACTGTTTTTACATAGAGATGTACTGATGTAACACCCCTTTAAGTATTAAAAAAAACTGGATTTGAACATTTTGGTAAAGAACAGAAAACTCGTTTAATGTATTTGTTGAGCAATATTAAGTTTAAAGCCAATACCGAGTCGACCCATCGAGGTCAATTATTGAAGAAATTACCTAATTAGGATGGTTAGGAATTGGTTAATTGAAGGGTCCGTGAGTTAAACCACTTTGTAACGCAAAACTTAAATTTGCGAGAAAACTTATTTGAAAGTGAAGTAAGGTGGTTTTCTCCAGAATAAGAAATGTTATCACCTTTTTTCAATATCGTTCTACATATTCATATTCTATATGCATTAATGCACGTTATAAAAATTGCCGTAAAGTGGTTTTGACCCTTAATTTGCTAATATTGTTAAAATTGTTAAATATACGACTATGCAAATTAGTCATAGTATATGACAGTGAAGTTCGTGTCAACGTTTTTTTTTTTTTTTTTTTTGATAACATGAATTTGTATCGTTTGTTTGTAGAGAACCTTCAGTATTTGAGATTGGGCGACAACAATTTGCACGTGATACCGAGTGACTCGCTTCGTCGATTGCACAGACTCAGACACTTGGATCTCAGAGCCAACAACATATCATCCATTGCCGACGACGCGTTCACCGGTTTCGGGGATTCAATTACTTTTTTGAACTTGCAGAAAAACGAGTAAGTGCAATAACATCGAATAGGACTTGACGGTTAACTATTGCAACTGCGTTTTATTACAGCATCAAAACATTACCGACCATGTCTTTTGAGAACTTGAATTCGTTGGAAATCCTTAATCTCCAGAATAATAAACTGGCGCGCGTACCGGAAGAAACGCTAGAGGCCATAGTCGACACGGCTACTGTTATTGATCTAATGGGTAAGTAAGAAAAAAAAAAATGCTGAATTTTCTTCGAGAAATCGTCCTTTCGTTTGGACGAATTGTATGCCGACTGTCAATCAACTTATACCATGTATTTTGTTAATAAGTTTTTAAAAATACATTATTGATCTATATTTTAAAACTTTTCACCGTCAAAATCGTTTTTACATAATGTCAATTTCCCTAATGCAAAGCTAGTGTAATGAAAATACGTTTTTAACATAAATTGTATAAACATTAATATTTAATTTTATGTTAAGCCCCTTCGAAATATAACTCGATATGAATATTTTGTATTCTTATTTCAATAGATAACCCTTTGGTATGCGATTGCGATCTGCGGTGGTACAAAGACTGGCTTTTAAGCCTCAAGTTAAGAGATGACGACGATATTATCCAAAAGAAGCATATACTTTGTTACATGGAATCCGAACACAGGTATAACTGTATTTATTGAATAATTATTTTTTTACTAATTAGCGACAGTGATGCTATATTAGCTAAAATAATAATAAAATTATTTTTTTTAAATATATTTTGCTTTCACTAATTGGAATCGTTCATTTATTAATCATTTATTATTACAAACTTGTATGATAACATGTATTTTTTTCATTAAAATAATTTACATCCTACAACTATATAAATCTTAGAAACAAAGAAAAACTTAAATTATAAAAATCAAATAATTCTTCGTTTCAATTTTAGTAATAAGGACTGTTTTTCCTTAGTATTACTCGTTTTAAAAAATATTTAAATAATAAAATTTTTAAAGGGAAGAGGTTGAACTCTTATTTTTTACATTTGCCCTTACAAACTACCTTTCGGTGAACGATTTCCGCACTTCGTAGACCGACTGCGTTTTATAAAATATGTTAAGCATTTCGCTGACCTAACCTAACTGGCTTTTGAATGTGTTCGCAGAGAATACAGCATCACCAACATGCCATTAAAAAACTGCGTGGGCAAAGAGAATTCGTCATCTTCGAAGGGCTCTGGCGTCAAGGCCGAATTGTCCTGCGTTTTGATCTTCATCGTCCTGGCGAATCTTCGGTTCAAATAAACGTCCACCACAGACAACCAGCCATCTTCGGTGTAAAGCGATTTACACTGGCAACACAAACAGCTTACAATTAGGTAGGTGCGTTTTTGCGTTGTAGAATTTTGTAAGCCCAGCAAGCGTCTGTCAAGTGACCAAAACAGTTGCCAACGACTTGCGAGCAAACAAAATAAACGGATCGTGAAGGCCGTTTGGAAATGTTTCAAAATGTTCGCTTAATTCGGTATTGACCTTTGCCAAAATCTACAAAATTATACAACGCGAAAACGCACCTATACTAATTTATATAATATATTAAAAAAAACAATACATATCACCTCTCTGGTTTTGCATCGGAGACAAAGAGCAAACAATGGCATATCACAAAATTCTAACGATTTTTTTCACACCCACATGGAAAGCAGAGCTGGTAAACTTTTCCCAGACAAAACCCCGTCGACTAAACACAAACACATTGTGTTTAACCGACGGGTTGCCGTACGGTTAGGGTTTAATTTTTAATAACACCGTTAATACAGTGTTAGTATTTTAACACTATACATATTACTACTATTCAATATTATTGTCTTGTAGCGTTCGCTTATAGCCAGTCGGTGTAAAGCACGCCACTGATATAGCCGACCCTCATCGAATACATATCGTTAATGCATATCCAAAGGTCCAGAGCGACCATTTACATATTAACATATCTATTATTATTATTAATACATAACTGTTAGAGCATAGCGTAGTTAATGATATTAGCATTAGGGACAATACCCTTGTAGAGTATCTATACATAAGCCATCATCATTAGGACTCCCAGCCATTATTATTTATTAGCACACTACTTTATATGTAACTTGAAATTCCAAAATGAATATGAACAGTAGATTAGATTTTTTTTTTTGATTATTCTAACTACCATGGGCGTTTCATCGAGTAACGTTTTGTTCACACAAAATGTTGGTCGTGTTCGGTCACACATTCGTTTCAATGCCATCCAGTAGCACTTTATATTCGGACTTAAGACTGACACTAGAATAAAACAAATACAATTATTGTGGGTTCTTCTGTCACGGTTCTTTTTGTTGTCTTAAATTGTTTAGAAATAATTTTTTAAAAAATCTGCCGGAATCATTGGTTGTGTGCCAATATAGATAAATAATATTAATAAAACCAAGTTCAGCCAACAAACAATGACCACCCTCGTTTAAACGTTCCGGAATAATTATTAACCTAAGCAGGCGAAGTCAAGGGCCTAAAACGATTCCAATCGTCTTGACCCAAGCGCAATTATGTCGGTCCTAAGTCCGAATATTCATTTAAATTAGCACAGAACAGTCGTACTCGCACCGGACGGACAAAATCCCAATTACAGTTAAAAACTTAAAGCGTCGCAGTAACCTACTTTGCTAAGCTTTCACTGGTATGTTAATCTATGGAAATTACGATGGTTAAACGCTTAGCAACAGCTTGGGAGTACGTTCAACAAACATGCATCTTAAAAGCGTCCATTCCCAACAGGGACGGACCCCACCACTGACCTACTGTCTTACAAAGCTTACGGGGCCTTTTTCGACGAAGGTTATAGATTGCTACTAATTCAATAGTTCAACTTGAAATTGACGTCAAATATGTCCACCGGAAAAAGATATGTTTAACCCTTGATTGGTCGCACTTTTAAATGGGCCTATTAGAAACCCCTCCGAAAGGCATTTTTTTTTTTTTTACTATTACCTTATCACCTCCCCGCGCCACAACGCTGCACCGTGAATTGGCTAGAATTTGCATGATGTTATATTATTACTTATAGATATATATATATATAACGTTTTTGGCGCACGCTAGACGTTTGTCGTCGTTTTCAATAATATTAATTATTTTATAATATAAAATTATTTTAAGCTTAAAATAAAACCATTCGCAATACATATCTTAACGGAATCACGTGCGACCTTTCGGCTCTTCGCCGGATCCGAGATTCGGACCGTGAAGTTTTTCAAAAAAAACTTATCCTAAAACGAGTCCATCCCGTTTTTTTTTTTATGATTCTATACAATCATCAATATAGAACAAAACAATATCAAGTGTGTGTGTGTCGTGTCCAAAGGTCGTTATCGAAAATTTCCGGTCGTGGGTCGGTAGTCTGGCGAAGAACAACCGAAATGCACGTGATTTCAACTAATTTTATATAAATAAAAAAAAAAACATATTTAAATTTATTAATATTTATTATAATATTTGTGTGTGTGATTTACTAGTTATTATTGTTATCAATACTATTATACAAGTATATATCATTATTCGTAAGCCTCCAAGAGAATGTTATTGATACGTGTAATATTATAACGGGCACCTAATACGCAAACATTGCTTTTATTGTCCGTACACTATTATTACCTATCTAATATAATATTTTATCGAATACATATCCGGAAAACGCATATCTCGATTTTTGTCGACTATAAGTGTAATTCGTTTTTTTTTTTTTTTTTAATGCAATTTAACTAGGATGAAGTGAGGTAATCGCACCCAAACAGGGCAAGTGCAAACGTTACGTTATTCCAAAATGCTAAATAAAATTATAAAAAAAATGGTTTTGACTACCCGGTATTATAACTTGATACAAATATTTTTCATGATTTATAAGTGAAATTGTTTAATTCTATTAAATTGCGATCGCCCCCACTTCATCCAATAAGATATTATTGATATTTACATAATATGTATTTATATTATAAACCATATCATTAAGCTATATTATACCACCTACATAGTAATATATTATATTAACATTACGGTAATATTATTTTAAAGTATCTAATCATAACTATTGTATTTTCTTATTATAATATTACTAATATTAATATTATCATACTACATATCGTCGTGTCGTTTTAACTATTAGATGTGTTTTTAGCATAGTGTCAATTTTTAATATTATATCATTATATAAAAAAATAATAATAATTAATTAAGTTAGTATTATTTACATCACGTACATATCCGTAACGATAATCATCATCGTCGTTTATTTTATTATATTTAGTATATAAATCTACTAATGTAATAATATATTATAACTATATAAGTATATTAATTATAATTATGATTATATATATATACAGAAGTAAGGCCGTTTTTATGTGAGTTTTTCTCTTTTGAAATAAATTTATTGAAGAAAAATCCGTGTGGTTCGATTATTAATATTCTACCTGTTCTAATCTTTATTTCTTCGGTACCCATAAAGCAGGTTAAATTCATATTTGTTTTAAAAGCACATTATACCCTCCTAAGTCTTAATAAATAGACACAGTAGTTATAACTGTAATCTTAGATTAGAATATTATCAGAAAAAATCATTAAGTACCAAAGGCATAATTCATTTTTATTTAATTACTATTGTTAAATTTCAATTTATATAGTCGTTTGCCAGTTGAAAAAAAAAACTTTTAATATTTTATACTTAAACATTTTTTGGCAGGAAGTTCAATGTCTTACAAATACTGTTACAACTTACAGTTTTAAGTATATTTCACGCCACGTCTTGGTGCATCAAAGGGCTTAAATTGCCTATACAAGACGCCGTCTAACATATACGATAATAATCTATAATATTGTCTTTACAAGTCTACCCGTACCTGACACACAAGTCCTGCAACATTAATATTAACCTATAAAACTTAAAATTAAAATGTTATTAAATTATCGATTATTGCTATTGTAAAAATAACATTTTTCATGTCAAATTCATTTCAAGGGTCATTCAAATTATATATAACAATAACTTATTCTAAAGGAGTAATTGTTTCAGTTAAAAACATTATTTTAAAGGGTAATTTAAGCCGGTAATTTTTTTAAATCAAACATACAACATACATCTTAGATTTGCCAATTCAAATCAGAATAATGACACAGTTTTACTGTATATTTTAGCTTAGATTTTTACTATAAAAAAACATCTCTCATTAACACATCTCTCTAATTATTAGTTTAAAATTAAGATAGTTCCAGCTTTTTTTTTAGAGGAAACAAGACAAGGATCGATTAGTTAAATGTGTTGAGTTCTATATGAACATGAAAGATATGGCATCTCACAACTAACAATTGATCGAATGAATTGCTTCTAATCCATCAGATCGCTACTAATCAATTACAACATACTTTTACTACGATAAAATGGGATTTTATAAAAACGTGACATGTGGACAAGTGTAGACGTGTGAAATAAATGAAAAAATTGGGATAAATAGAAACTAGTAGAGATGTACAACTTGACTATAAAATTAAATAAATAAATTTAGCTAAATAGCCGACATAATTTATTTATTTCTATGGCGTAAAAAAAAAATATTTATATGAATAAATAAACAACGAAACAAACTATTAATTTAAAAATATATTGTTGTACTCGATTATTTTTTTCGAAATTTTGCTATAAAAAATCCAATAGAATCGTTTTCAACATTATCAGGTCCAAATCGTTGCACAAGTTCACAGTTCATGTCGCTCAATCCAAACTAAAATATAATTTTCATCACCGTAAGATATATAAATTAATATGTACGTAGTAAATAATTATTCGACCTACATTAGGTAATCCAGGAGCACCGGCTACGGGATTGATTGCAACTAGTTCTAATTGTGCAAATTTTTCCAAAGCCCAAGCTACATTCTGTTCATTTTCTTCCGGCGTAATAGTGCAAGTACTATAAACGAGGATTCCACCTGGCTTCAATAATTCAACGGCCTAAACAATTGTTCAAAGTTAGATCAAATTACTATACTAAAAAGTTACAACAGTAATTGTGTAGAAAATTATACTACTTGCATTTCCAAACAGTTTTCTTTGCAAAACGTGAAAACTTTTCACTAAATTTTCATTAGTTTCAATTTTTAACAATGGACGTTGCCCGAGATTGCTACAAGGCGCGTCCAAAAGGACACGATCAAAAGACTCACTTTGAAATGGCGGTTTATTGGTAGAACTATTTCTTTTATTTACATCAACAAGAATTAACGAATCAAAGTGATGAACTCTCACATTTTCTAAACCGAACTCTTCACATTTTTTATGAATTTTTTTTAACTTGGTTTTTGATTTATCAACAGCATCTATACAACCCTGTAGTAAAAAAATATAATTTAAGGCCAGCACAATTATTAAAAGACATAACAATAAAAATTGAGTTTTTATAATTATTAGGTTTTTATATATTTTTGTGTGTAACGCAAACAGACAGACAAATCTAAGCAAATTTTTATTTAAATAATAAGTTATTATTTGGAACTTCAAATGATATTTTGTTTAAATAATATATAAATATGTTTAACAATATTTTTTAACATCATAACCAATAGGTAATGCACTCACTTGGTTTTTCATTAACGTAGCAATATGTGATGTTTTATTACCAGGTGCCGCACACATATCTAAAACTTTAAGATTATCATTGCCATTTAAATCTAATGCATAACTAGCCACGATCGATGGAAAATTCTGCAACAATCCGTCAGTAGCTGGCAGTGTAAATCCAGGTATGCCTGATATAGAGTCAGTAACTTCTACGGCAATACCTCTAAAAACCAATTCATATGTTTATTGATACTTAAAGAATTGAAATAATATGACTTCAGTTTTACTTTGGGTTCATGTCGCCGCCAAATAGCTGCTTACGATCCATCTTCATTATGCCGTTACCGACATACATTTTCAATGGATTGTCATAATGTTTTTGATAACCTCGTTTACACTTCTTAGCTAAGTCTGCATATACTGATATAGTTGAATCTATTTTGATATCTAACAATAAATATAAGAACATTGTATACACATATATACACACATATATATATATATATATATATATATATATATATATATATATTTAAAAAAAAAAAAAAAGTTTGATTCTCATAGAAAAAACTTGTCACACCTCATCACAATTATAAGTGGCCCACTGACCTTATGTTTGTTAAAAATAACAGAATTTGTTTTTATTAGATTAAAAAAGTAATTATAAATAATTTTAACCATTTTAAGTGGTTTACCAGGGGTCATTCCCATAACGCCAGGTGCGAATACATGAGAACCGCGTAAAACAGATTGACCCGTCACAATGTCAACAATAATTTCTTCATTTTTCGGATTACAATCAAGCAGAGATTGCTTTAATGGTGAAATTACTATACAATCATCTAAATCTTTATGTATTTTGATCAGCGGCTTGTCTTCATCGCATTTAACACGTTTGAGCTAAAATAAACAGTAGGCCATATAATATTAAAATGAATAATCAATTTAATTATTGAAAATTAATTCTACAAGTTTTTTTAATTGGGAATTAATAATAACAAAGTTAAGTCATAATGGATAGAACAAAAATATACTGTAATTTTATTACTTTTAATAACTGTTCATTAATGGAAGACACAACATCAGACGGCGTCGTTACAAGGGTGTTGACACGGAAATAAGTATTCGTTGGAGGAGAACTTATCCATCGTGTGGCTTCCTTAAAAGAAAAGAAAAATAATCAGAATGTATTCTATAAAACTTTTTGTTATTTAAAAGTAATGGCAAAGTTAAGATTAATAAAATTTACAAAATATGTAACAATATTTACAATTAACAATTTAATAAGTAATTTGTGTTTTTTCCATAAAATGTTATTTCGAATAACTTGAATAATATTCGTTGCAAAATCAAATCGACTAATTAGAATTTGATTTGACAAGAATTAATATTACATACTTCGACAGATATGTTTCGATTTATGTAGATATTTTTTAGCAAATTCAAAAAATAATCATCAAAACAATGTGGTCGCACGACATGTGCTTGACGAATCATTTTATTTATGAAAACAGTTAATTGACAAAATGTAATTCATATAGTACACTTAAAAAGATTGAAGTACTGTGACAAAAAATAAAGTATTAATTTTTCCCTAAAAGCAACAATATGTTAAACAATATTTTTCAAATCGAATTTATAATAATACAGTTTTCTTATCATTTATCACGTTTGCCGATTACCGCTTATCATGGTATTGCTTATCGCGTTTCTTATCATACTTATCAACCCGTGTCTGGCGGCTAACAAAATACAATTATTTGAATTCGCAATTCACTAAACGTGGTGGTTTCGATTCAATTTTCGACTTGTATCTATAATTCTAACAACGATATAAATAAACATATTAACCGTTTTGAATTTGTATTATTATTAATTTTTACAATAATGGTGTGCAGCATAGGATTTGAAGGCAGTGCTAATAAATTGGGTATAGGAATTGTAAAAGACGGTGAAGTCTTGTCTAACTGCAGAAGGACTTATATCACACCACCCGGAGAAGGTAAGTGAATACCTTTATTAAATATCTAAAAAAGTATTTCATGTATGTATCTTAAACGTAGGTTTTTTGCCTCGAGAAACAGCCCAACACCATCAAAATAATATAGTAGCGTTGTTAAAAGAAGCAATTGATGAAGCTGGCATTCGGCCGGAACAAATCGATATTGTGTCTTTTACTAAAGGACCGGGAATTGGAGCGCCGCTGGTTGGCGTTGCAGCTGTCGCACGTACCATCGCTCAGCTGTGGAACAAACCTTTAATCCCTGTTAACCATTGTATTGCTCGTATCCTTTTCAACTTAAAGAAATATTGTTTTTTTTATTAAATAGTTCCTTAAGGAATATTGCCTTAATGGTAAAAAAAAATTACTAGACATCGAAATGGGACGTTTAATAACTGGTAGCGACAATCCTACTGTATTGTATGTTAGTGGCGGCAACACTCAAGTAATTGCGTATTCCGGTAATCGCTACAGGATTTTTGGCGAAACCATAGACATTGCAGTAGGAAATTGTTTAGATAGATTTGCCAGGGTACTTAAATTATCCAACGACCCTAGTCCCGGTTACAATATCGAGCAGATGGCTAAAAAGTAATAACAAACATTAAGAAATAATAAATTTCATTCTATATTATAATGTTTTTGTACATTTTTTATATTTTTTTAGAGGATCGAAGTATCTTAGTTTACCGTATGTGGTTAAAGGAATGGATGTATCGTTTTCTGGTATACTATCTTATATAGAAGAAAGAGCACAACATCTTTTGTCTTCAGGCGAATACACTCCTGAAGATTTATGTTATTCACTTCAAGAAACTTTATTTGCCATGCTAATAGAAACAACAGGTTATCACATCATTCATAAACAATAATATTAGTTTTACCAATAATGAGAGAAGTTGTATAAAAAAAAATTGTTTTTGATTTTTAATCAATAGACAATAAACAAAAAATAATCAAGCAATTAAATAAGAAGTATGTATTTTTGAGCAAGTTAGTATTGCATTGCCAGCCGAAACTTTATATCGCTTACTTTAACACGACTGCTGTACAAAGATGCAGAAAATAAATAACAGAATAAAAAAGGCGACAATACAACAGTTTCAAACTAAAAATATATTTTTCAACTGTTTGAGAAAAACTTTTATTTACCTAATATTAATAAATACATTATTACTGGTAAAAATGATTTTAAAAAAACGAATTACATTTAATTTCTCTATTATGTATAGAAAGAGCAATGTCCCATTGTAAATCGAACGAAGTCTTAATCGTCGGGGGTGTCGGATGCAATGAAAGACTACAAGAAATGATGAAAATAATGTGCGAAGAGAGAAGAGCTACCTTATATGCAACAGACGAGAGGTAAATTTGTTATTATTATTAACATAATACTGCTAAATGTTTTGTTTAGTTTTTCTTACCTAGGTCTTTTTTCTCCGTTTTCTCAATCATGTTATAATGCCTGTTACAAAAATAGTGTTGTATTTCAATAGCCGTACAAATAAAACACATACGTTTCCACACAAAAAGTAGTTTATATCAGTTTTTCCTCTAACCCAATCCCTTCATGGAGCTCAATGAACTACTTTTTTTTAAAAAAAGAATGAAGTGTATTACATTTTGTTAATACAAATCAAACACACTATTTTTCATAATGTAAAAGAAAATTATTGCTTAAAGAATGTTTATACATGTTTCCACAGAGCAATTATTCCTTCAACTTAATCTGCAAAATTAACTATTATTTATTATACGATAGCCCAATCATTTTATAGATATTAACTGTAAATAATAAAATAACTTATTTTATATTAATTTCATGTTTATTGCTTGTACAGGTTCTGTATAGACAATGGTGTTATGATTGCCCATACCGGAGCTTTAATGTATACAAGTGGATATAAAACGACTTGGGAAGATACATTTTGCACTCAAAGGTACCGTAATAGCATTAAACTAAATTACAATTATATAATAATATGAAAACTAACTAAAGTTTTAAAAGTAAATTAAATGTTATTTTGTCAGGTTTAGAACAGACGAAGTCGAAGTTACGTGGAGGTCATGAAGTTAATACTATTATGTTAATACTTCAATAGAATTTTTCAAACTGATGTACATCAAAGTAACATCCAAAACAATCTTGCTAAAATGCAAAATATCAGTGCAAAAACCGGCCAAATAAAGTGCAGTTTAGCATTTAAATCGTTTTTCTTTTTTAATACAGTTTGGTCTTGTACAGTATCGGCTATCAAACAATGTTTCTTTGCTGATCTCACAATAACTGTAACAAATTTTCCCATTAATTCAGGCCTGTTTGCAATCAGTACCTAAAATTTAAAAAAATTAACAATTAAAATCAAACAACAATGTAAAATTATATATATTATAAAAAAAAGGTAAATAAATGTGTTTTTTTAAGAAATAAACTGTACATGAAATTAAAGACAAATGAACCACTGAAGTAAATTTTTAATAATGAACGTATGAACTATTAAGTCTAAAATTTGTTTAAACAAAATTTCAATAAATTTTAACTTAATAGCTGTTGTATAATAAAAAATTAAAAGACATTACACTTTTTTTAAAATATACTTTTATATTTATTGTTAATTTTTCTTTTTTAAATTAACTAATTTTATTTAAATTTAAAACTTACAAAATTTTCAATTTTTTTATGAATACAATTAAACATTAGGTTTTATGCATATTTTAGAGAAATAAAAGATTATAGCTTCATACAAGCTTTAGTATATCTATTTTCAAATTGGTGGTGTGTTAGCTGTGCCAGAGGACAAAACATTTTCTTGTGTACATTCTAAAGTATACGTAATCGGGAGTAGTACAAAAGCGTACTAAATATAGTACCCAACCTGGGTAGCTGCCCTCACCGTATCTATGCCATTGTTTACACTTTACAATCAAATCACAGATTTACCTGTTCATAATATTTATTATGTCCGATCAACTCAGTACCACTTTTTGCCTCTTCGGTAATTAATATATTTTGTAATTCGCCAACTCTATGGTCGTACGTGGTGTATGAATGAAACAAGTCAGTAAGTCGTTTGGTTCTATGTTTTACCTAGAATAAAATATTTATCTGCTGAATATGTGCTTTTGACGGTGCATTGCAACTTGCTCGACATTGTTTTTCTATACATACCAAATCTGGTGGTATTTTAGGCATCCGAGCTGCTGGAGTTCCTTTTCGAGGGTAAAATTGATTAATAAATAGACTAGGAAACTTATATTTTTCACAAACTCTCATAGTTTCTGCAAAATCCTCCTCGGTTTCAGTCGGGAACCCACATATAATGTCCGTTGCAATAGAGACACCAGGCACTCTGTCACAATAAAATTAATTATATTTAAGTAATTTGACGCAATCCGATACTAATGAAAAAATACGAAGCACAGACATTCAATAACTGTGATTGTACACAATTATCTTTCTTTTCTTTATTTAGATAACAAAATTGTCTTTCATGATTAAAACAATATTGTAAAATAGTTAATGTTATGATTACTGCTAAAGATATCAACAATAATTTTAATTTACTTTTGTCGTAGAAAATTAACAACAGTTTCAAATTCTTCGATCGAATATTCTCGTTTCATATCTGCTAAAACTTGGTTACTGCCCGCTTGCACGGGGACGTGCAGGAAAGCATACACTCTTGGATGTGACAGAATTTTTGCAATTTCCTACGCAAAAAATATAAATAATAATACAAAATTAAAAACCAATAAATGTACAAGTGTTTTGACAAACCTCCAAATGATTTAGGATGTATGGCGGATTTGTCATGCCGATTCTCATCATACACCCTTCGGGTATAATAGCGACTAAACGCCATAAAAGCTCTGGTAGATTGGTTCCGATATCAAGTCCGTATGCACCTGTATCTTCACTAGTCAACCATAATTCTACAGCTCCTTCTTCAAAAGACTCGATAGCCCTTTGCACTATTTCATCTAAAAGCAAAATTGTTTTTGTTTCGTTCATATAATTATTATAAGACAAGGTTTACCAGGAGGATAACTGCCAAGATTTCCTCTAGCGTGTTTTGTTTTGCAATAAGTACATTGGTTCAAACAACCTGTGCTTATAGCTATAATTTCTATTAACTTATTTTTACGAATTTTAGGCAACTGCAATCTAGCGCCACCGTCTTTTTTGCCATTGATTTTCTTTTGTCCCAAAAACCGTACGGTGTGGCCTGTTGAAGGCAAATTTATCAGAACATTTTATATTATTTTCAACTAAATACCTATCACTAGTATAAAATAAACAAACCCTTCAATGTTTCTTCCACGACTTCTATTACTCTGTCGATTTGTTGTACACCGATCACGCTCAGATTTTGAATAAATGAAGATTTAGGATCACCTTGAGGAACACAACCAGCGACTACAATAAACTTTCCTGATTTTTTACCATCAGTAATCTCGTTCCTAAAATGATCTTCTGCTGGGTTTTTCACCGTACAGCTATTCAGTATCCATAAATCTGCCTTTTCTTTATCGTCTAGGGAAATTTTTTACAATTATACTTAATATAATATTATACAACTACTAACATTAACACTACTATTGCATTTGGCTTTATTGACCAGGAGTAGGTCTTCAAGCCTAGTTCAGTTGCCTTTGAGAAAAATAGCGGTCTCTCTCTCTAGACAGTTGCCTGCTCAAAGAGAGACCACCCTTACAATTAAAACTTTTACTACCTGTGATAGTATATCCGTAACTCGCCAGTAGTCCTGCCATATATTCGCCGTCTGAACTATTGTGTGAACAACCCCAAGTTCTTATGAATATACTTTGAGTGCCTGGTACCTGAGGAGACGGAAGAATGATTTCATTTGCTTTCTTGTTTTTGTTTTTAATCCGCGTAGTAACGCTAATCCGAGGTTTCTCTCTTCCCGTTTCGGCGACATCAGCTACAGCCGATATTAAATCTTCAATATCGTCCACATCTTCCATGGTTTAAATATAAATAATACTATCTACGTCGCACATGTAAATACGCTAAAGACACAGGCCAATATAGTATTCAACCAATTATTTTGGATCTATTTATTCAAACTCATTTTCTCATTTGCCGACTTATCACAGAGATAACAGACAAGTGATAAGAAAACGGCGAAAATTCGCCAGATAAAGACCGTGCTAAATATAAATAGGAATGCCGGCAGCTTGTGATAGCTGATAACCGTAAAATGGCTGCTGTTGTTGACGGTCGTGCGGCAGCGGATTTTCTTAAATAAGATTAAAAGTATAGACTAACATGAATAAATCCACTTTAACATACTATTATACAATTTATGAATGTATTTTGTTCCATTATATATTGTCTAAGATTTCTTACGCGAATTAAGAAACCATGTTGACAATAAAAGTCGCTGTCTACCTGCTTGCTTTGAATTATTTTCACTTATCGACCAGATTATAAAATTAATAGTTTACAATATTGAACATCGCACGGTCGGAATAAGTAAAATAATAAGATGTGTTGGAAGAGATGAATATATAAAAAAAAAAATAGTAATGGATACAAATACAGGGGTTAAAAATAATTATGATAACTAACAACTTTTAATTTGACTCCTTGAGGGATAAAACGACAAACAAAACAAATTGTTTATAATATTATTTAAACATTTAGGACATTGCAAGTGTGACGTATGATAATTTTATTTATATTATTAAATGTCACACACATTTTTAAAATTTTATTCGCGGTTCAACTGATAAATATGTTTTTACTCTTTATGAGGTTAGGATTTTATCAAACTTATTATATTATCCGGGATCGTGTTTTTTTGTTTACAAATCAGAATAGTAGCAAGTAGCAACTGATAAACGTAGCTCCGATTATAATTTACTCGTTAAATGTTAATAGTTTTACAGTTCTCAAAAAATAAATTTAAAATCTGATTATAGAATTGAAGTGTTGAATTAAATCTTGGTTTTGTATTTAATGTACCGGTTCATTTTTTTTTCTGTTTATTGAATTTTTTTTAAAATGGATTCGAAATCAAAAAAATATGAAATTATTGAATTTTTGGGCGAAGGACAGGTATGAATACACCATATTCAAAATTCTTTAATACATTTTCAATAAAAAGTAATTGTTTAAGTGTAAACCAATTTCATATGAAATGTTAAATTGTTATAAGTGATACACAAAAATTGTAATGTTTCAGTCAAAAACATTTTTTTTAAAGGGTAGTTAAGGTAAATAGTCATTATATATATTATATTGTTCATAAAACGTTTAAAAATTATTATATTGTTTTAAACAATTTTTAACATTCAATTATAAATGGCTAATGGGAAAACGAGCAGAGATTGCAACTTAACGAAAGAGAAAATTGGAGACGACGAAAGGAAAGTAGTTAGTAAAGACAATGAAGACCTAAACTTGCCAGTAAAGAACCAGAAGCAAACCAATGACCAATGACAAGTTGAAAAGAAGGCTACAAAAAGAGAGAGACAAGCATATAGCCTTAAGTAAGATTGAATTGTTAGTGACAACATACAGGACAAGCTAGAACTTCTCAAATAGCAGATCCTGTTACCCTCGAAAACTTCCCTTTAAAAAATATATTTGAACAATTAAAAGATTAATTTAGCTACACAATTATTTCACATATAATACATGTCGATTCAGGATTGGCCCAAGGCTTATAGCAATACAGTATATTGCCTACGGCAGTATTGTTTTATTAACCACTCAACTATTAAAAAGGCGCCAAAATTGGAGTTTGTCTAGGTTGTATTATTGTCTAGTGATAGTGTGCCTTCTGTCGATTTAATCTTTTTTTCTTACATATTAATAAGTACATTTTTATATATCATAAGATAATATAAATTAGAATAATGTTTAGTAAATTACTAAGTTCTGTGTTTATTGTTTTTTTAGTTTGCTACAGTATATAAAGCAAAAGATACAGTTTCGGGAAATATAGTCGCAGTCAAAAAGGTAAGTTTTTTTCAAGCTATTGTAAATTACTATTTATAAATAATTTTGTTTGTTTATATAGATTAAAATTGGTACAGTCGAAGACGCAAAAGACGGTGTTAATCGCACTGCCCTCAGAGAAGTTAAGCTACTTATCGAATTGGACCATGAAAACATAATTGCTTTATTCGGTAAATTATTGTAAAAATTGTTCAATAAAGATTTGAATATAACGTAAAATAGATAATCTATCACATAATAAAAAGTATTGAATTTCTCCGAAAATAATTTAAACAAAGCAATTTATTTTATTTTTTCTTGGGGAAATAACACAATTTTAGAATTATTTGTAAATCGAGATTTACATGAAATGTTTATTAAAATAGGAAAAAATAATAAAAGTATTGTCTTGAGCTAAATTTTTTTTTCTACTAATATTTAAAATATAATATTAATTTAATATTTTCTCATCAACTTATTTGAAAACAAGTATAATATATTTTTAATTTATCTTAATTCATATTTTTTTTTATATATGCAAATAAATTAAATATTTTAACATGCATTATTTAATTTTGTATTTTTTATAGTTTTCCTACGCACTGATTTTTATTTTACTTAGAGAATTAACAAAAACAGAAAAAATATTAATATTGCAGTGTTTTATTTTAAGAATATCTTGTTTTATATACTATTAATAATTATTAATTATTTTAGATGTATTTGGCCATCTATCCAACATATCTTTGGTGTACGACTTCATGGATACGGATCTGGAAGTCATTATAAAAGATTCATCGATTGTATTTACTCAGTCGCATATCAAAGCTTATACCATAATGACACTCAAAGGGTTGGAATACCTACACATGAATTGGATATTACACAGAGTAAATATAAATTTGATTGTATTCAATTTTATAGATAGTACAAATAAATATTTTTTTTTCAGGATTTAAAACCAAATAATTTACTTGTAAGTAAAAAAGGCATTTTGAAGATAGCTGATTTTGGCTTAGCAAAAAGATATGGATCGCCAGATCGTGTTCATACGCACAGAGTAGTTACCCGATTCTATCGATCGCCAGAACTGTTGTTCGGAGCTCGATCTTACGGACCAGCAGTCGACGTTTGGGCCGTTGGTTGCATATTAGCTGAACTTTTACTCAGAGTTCCTTTTCTTCCTGGTGAATCGGATTTAGACCAATTAACCAAAATATTTAATATACTTGGATCTCCGAGTGAAGAAACATGGCCGGTAATATATGGAAACATAAGTATTTAATATAATTTTAGAAGTATAGTTAAATTTTTAGAGTTTTTCTATTATTACAATGCATATACAATTAGCCAGTTACGAAGCGTTATAGAAGACAACGAAACAATGTGCCACTTTTATTTAATTTAAATAACAAATATTTATGTACAAGTTTAAAATAAAATACTTTTTTAATCATCCCTCCCCCACTTTTAGATTCATGCCTCGCTAGTCGCTACTGCTATTACTTATATTGTATTATTTATACATCAATTATTAACATATTTATATTAATTGAAAATTGTACATTTTAGGGTGTCACTAAGTTATCAGATTATGTTGTTTTCAAAAAGTTCCCAGCAATACCTTTAAGGGAAATATTTACAGCCGCTTCAAACGAGTTATTAGATGTTATCGGCAGTATGCTCAGTGTAAATCCATTGGGCCGGCCTTCTTGTTCTGAAGCATTAAAAATGCCGTATTTTAGGTATGTTTGACATAGCTGTTAATACCAAAAGAGTAAATTATTATAGTATTTTTTTTTTTTTAGCAATCGACCACCACCTTCAGTAGGCAGCCAACTTCCGATACCATCGTGCCTTAGAGAAACAAACCCAGAAGATCAAGACGCAAAAGGACAAAAACGAAAATTTACAGATTATTTAGAAGGAGGCAATTATAATTTGAATTGATTTATATTATATATACATACAATTAACATAATTAATATTTGACACTATAATATAACATATTAAAGACGATTATTACTTAAATATTACTAAATAATACATAATAATAAGTATTATGAACAATAGATTGTATATTTTTTACAACTAATATTGATGAAACATTATACTTTGTTTCAGGCACACAACCAAAACGTTTAGTCTTTGATAGCCTCGCATGTTAAGTATACGAATCACCTTTTATAATTATTAATGATTGTATTATAATTTTTTACAAATTAAAATTTATTTAGTTGTCATTTATAATAGAAGGTGTACATGACTTATCTGAGAGAACGCCATGTTCTATTAGGAAATTTTCCACGTCTCCAGCAAAAAATTCATCGCCTAACTCGTTAGTTATTCGTACAAAGGAACCAACCAGTTGACCTGCTTTGTATGCTAAAATCGCAGGAACACCATACATTTTAAACTTCAAACTCATCCCAGCGTTTGAACCAATTATTTTGCAAAACTTTGTCTTTTTATATTCACTACAGAGAGTTTCAAAACACATATTCATAGTAGAGCAGGCGGGAACGTTAAGCTCATAAATGTGCACGAGCACAGTAACGTTAGGATTTTCTTTTTCGATGGCATTTAAATAGTCTTCACCGGTCAATAAGTCATGAACTTCACTGAATTCAGGCACTTCGCGTGACCTGGCCATCATTTCCCTCATGCGTTTTTCACGATATTCCGCGAGGAATTTGTCATCTAATTCGTCCAGTTCAGATTTACATGTCAACGCCATATCCTGAATCTGTTTTAGTACGTCCTTTTTCTTTTGTATTCTCTGAGCCTTTTTTTCTTGTTGGAATTGTTCCCAATCGTTAAGCACTCCTTTCGGCCCGGTGTTCGTCGATGTGCCATCCCAATCCGACTTTGATTGTTTAGGTGGATCACGATCGAGCATTGGTTCTTCTTCATCGCTGCTACTACAATAGTAATGCTGTTTTTCGCCGAGTATTTTACTCTCTAAATCGGCCATTGTTAAATTAGTACCGGCGTTTACTGGAAAAACGATTATTCGAAATTTAAATGTTAATAATGTATCCCTACTACAAAATAACTCAACGTTATATTATATTACTATTTACTTTAATTTACTGAACAAAGGTAAACTCGCTAAACAGTAAAGTGTAAACACAATCGATACTGATAATATGATAATAATGCAAAGAGTTAGCAACACTTGATAACAGAAAGAGTTATGACAACGTCCTTGGATCACAATATGTATTGCTACTACTGTTACCAGTTTCCAGTTTTTCCCATTGAACAATATACCGTTAACCATAGAGTACTCAATGCAACATGGTCTTTAATTTTCAAAAGAACTTCTGAGGCCGTGATCCCGAGTGAACAATCTGTAATATGATTTTATTGATTTAGGTTTCGGTATTCTAAAAAATTATTAGGTGACACATTTTATTTTGTAGGAAAACAATCGTGGTGATAAGTGATAACGGTGGTGGCCAATTTTGGCGGAAAACCCAAGAAAAGAGACCCCCTGAATGGGAATAAATACTTCTAATATTCCGTTGTAGAAACTAAAACATTAAAATAAAGGAGAATGATAAGGAATATTAGTGTGTGTCGTCATTGGTAAAATCTATTGAGACAACATGAACCATTGAAGATTCAATGGAACCGAGCGTGGCAGGAGTGGAGAGCTAGTTTAGCTCACGGCGGAGGGAGTGTGTGGAGTTGATGCACGAAAGCTGCTATATTATTTATTTATTTATTATTATCATTTAATATCTAATATAATTTTTATTATCATCGTGAGAGGAATTCATAGAAGATTCTATAACTATGTCAATTACCATTAGGAGAAATAAGAGAATCGAGCCCTCGTTGATGGGCTGAAAAGTAAGAAATGGAGGCGGAAGTTTGTTGAGTTAATTTTATATATTTTATCTTTTTGAGAATCCCATTCGCTTCAGGTACGATTGGTTGACGGGTGACTAAAATGACAGAAGATACGGGTGAGCCGGACATGACAGGCTGGTGTGTCATAGTTAGGTTGGCTGCAATGAACACAACGTTCTTTGCATAGCCGTATTCATGAGGGGGGTTTCCGGGTTCAACCCCCCCCCCCGAAATTTCATCCAAACAAATTTGTATTACCTTTCCTTTATGTCTTTTGTTCCATTTTTTTTAAAGTATTCCTAAAAATGATGTAAAAAAAGAAAAATATTTTGATGTAAGTTTTCTTTTAACTTTAAAGCCTAAAATAGAATTAAATAATAAATACGTGATATTATCGTTATCGCCTGCTTAGGTTTATAGACACGCCAATGAATTTTAGTTGTTTTCGAATTTCGTTGGTGTACCTTATTGGAAGACGTCAATAAGGAGGAATACATTACTTAAACCAAATGAAGCGCAATAGAAAAATGTCTAGAATTAACAAACCAGACATATAAAAAAATGTTTTTTCAATTATTTTATTTTGAATTTAAATAGTAAGAATTTTACTGAGCAAAGAAACTTAGTACAATTATTTCGTCTGTAGTTAATTCCAGACCCTTACCGTAAATCATTAAATTATTATTAATATTTAAAATAAATTACTACATGTTTTGCCTACCGGTTACTTCGTATTAGGGATTGTATACTCGTTTCCAAACCACCTATGAGGTAGAGTACTTGGCTCGTTTTTTTTAATGTGGTATCTCCATCTACGATGATGCTCAAATTGTATTTACTGTACAACCACCAGAAATGTGTGGTAGGGGCGTTTCAAGCAATTGTGGACTTACGCATAGATGTCGATCCGGGCATAACTTAAGACTAACTTATGACTAAAATATCCCGGTATCGACAGACTGAGCGGCCACGCAACAGACAGCGGTGGACTTACGCATCGAAGTCGATCCGGGCATAACTTAAAACTAACTTATGACTAAAATATCCCGGTATCGACAGACTGAGCGGCCACGCACAGACAATGGTGGACTTACGCATCGAAGCCGATCCGGGCATAACTTAAGACTAACTTAATGACTAAAATATCCCGGTATCGACAGACTGAGCGGCCACGCACAGACAATGGTGGACTTACGCATCGAAGCCGATCCGGGCATAACTTAAGACTAACTTAATGACTAAAATATCCCGGTATCGACAGACTGGGCGGCCACGCAACAGACAGCGGTGGACTTACGCATCGAAGTCGATCCGGGCATAACTTAAAACTAACTTAATGACTAAAATATCCCGGTATCGACAGACTGAGCGGCCACGCAACAGACAATGGTGGACTTACGCATCGAAGCCGATCCGGGCATAACTTAAGACTAACTTAATAACTACTTAGACTTAATGACTAAAATATCCCGGTATCGACAGACTTTGCGTATAAGAGAGTAGTGAGTACGAAGGAGGTTTTCCAGTAGGATCATGGGATAGATATTGGTAATTTGATTTACAAAAAAATCTTGTTGGTGTACAAAATGTTGTGACTTGATTAACTGGACGCAAATTTTAAAGTAAGTAATTCATTTTTACTGAGCAGAAAATGTGAGTGGTTTATGAATTATAACGAGAACGACCATAACGCGAAAGTGAGAAGTTACTAACGAAAAAATTTGTTAAAGTAGTTTAGTTCAATTTTCTGAAATGACAATAGTGCTAAAATGAGTAAATTTACTTAAATAAATAAATTAAAAATTGTGCGGTTGTCCAAAGTAATTTATAAAGGGAGAATTGAGAGTAAAATGTCATCATCGTACATAGACCTAATCCACACAGTACTTGACTTAGTAGAGGAGAGGGGAGGTAACTCTATTGTTTAGATATTTTAGCGTAGGTACCTACTACGTATCTTTATTTTACTTCCAAGTGAGACCAGAATATATTACTCAGAAATGTATTGATTTAGTTGAAAAAAATATTTCCAATAATTACACTCCCGTTTTTTTAATTCGTCTGAGGAATACATTACATATACTAAATCAAGCACTAGAAAAATGTCTAGAATTAACAAACCAGACATATTATAAAAAAATGTTTTTTCAATTATTTTATTTTGAATTTAAGATGTAAGAATTTTACTGAGCAGAGAAACTTAAGTACAATTATTTCGTCTGTAGTTAATTCCGGACCCTTACAGCTGTATACAATTTAATTATTATTAATATTTAAAATAAATTACTACATGTTTTGCTTACCGGTTACTTCGTATTATTTATACTTATTAGGAAATTTATGATCGACCGTCACGTGTAAATAATTACACTCGAATCTAAACAAAAAAATTTAACATAATACTAAATACTATTTACTAATAATTGGATTTGGATTTGATTTGGTATCTAAATTATTATATATTAAGAGATTTCTACACAGCATGCTGGGTTTTTGCATTACCTACTCTGAAGCCCAAATGTGAAAACGCCCTGTTAGACTCTCAAATGCTTAAATTAGTTCACCAACTTTTAAAATTACCAGTGTTCTTATAAAAGTTTTCTTTTATTTTAAAGAGTTATTATAAATAACAATGAGAGAGAAGAACATATTGCTGTATTATGTCACATAATATAATAACTGTATGTGTTCGAAATAATTACCATCAAGTCTCCAGGCGAAACCCCTTTGGAGTTTTTGGTCGCCTTCGGATTTTTTTTTTGAAATAGCTTGAAGTTACGTCCAAACTTATGGTAGAACATGACAGTAATATTTAAGTCGTTCGAAAAAGTAATTGTTTTAACGTAAAATATATCTGCAGAATGCTTCGACACAATGCATATTGTTCGCTAAAAATATTAAAATCTAAGTATTGACTTTTAATATACTATCAATATACAATTGCTACGTCTTGTTATTCAAACAACAAGCTTTAGTTAACATAGAAACGAATTGTTTTCAGCAGTTAAAAACTCGCATAGAGTCAGCAAAGGTTTGCAAATTTTGTGTTCAAGGAGATCCTATATTATATTATATTATATATAATAAAGGATCTCTTTGAACACAAAATTTGCTTTACATTAGTAATATTAATTTAGCATAGATTGAATTAATGTCATGTATTATTTTTATCCGCACTAACTAACGAAACAGTTGAAATACAGTTGTGGAATGTAATTAACATCGTTTAATACTATGCTTAAAGCGCTTTTTAAGTAAAATAAATAATAAAACTTAATAACCTACACGTTTCGCTGGTGTGGCTGTTTAAATATGCCAAATAAATACATGCAACGTCTTCGTGTTGTCTTGATTTTCTAATAGAGACGGACTAAGGCGACAAAGGAAAACTATGGTCATGAAAAGCTTAAACATTTCAAGAATAATAATACAACACAGCTGTAAGTCCTCTGTTTGTGTGCGTCGTGGACAAAGTTTTGTGTTGCTGAAAAACTTTTGAAAACAGCGACTAATGCGAGAAAGAACTGAAACTTGCAAATCGTAAGTAAAAGTCGAACAAGTAAAGCGTGTCTTCCGCAACAATGTCAAACTTATCTTTTGTTACAACAGAAATGTCGTACGATAACGACTGAATTATGTTTATATCAATAATAAAATATTATTATTCACAACTAAAAACGCTGAGGAAAAATTTGTACTACTCAATAATTCAAAATTTGTTATAAAATGAATTATACATATTAAAACAGGCAAAGTCTCGCGTCCTAGACCTCTGAAGATGAAGCGTGTCATTTTAAGAAAGTGCTCAAGACATAACAGCGACGTATATTACCTAATTAAAAATGCCCACTCGATAATACTACTATTATTATTATTATATATATATTATTATTATTATCATTATATTTAAAAAATGCGAGTATAATTTATTCTCACAATATTTTATTACACATAATTTGCCAATTTTACAACAATTATATATTCATTTAAAACAAAAATAATATCGTAATATTATCACAATTTTTCGTCACTAGTATATTAAATATGTTTTTATAATTTAGACAATATACAATTACATGAAACATGTAACAATTTGAATTGAAAACATTCGAAGAAAAAATGGAATACATAAATGGAAAATATAATATAAATAAGGTTTTTAAAACACTAAATGTACAGTGTATGATCTTGGCATCACAGTTGCGACTGATCTCTCGTACAGCCAGCACTTGGCTGAAATCAAGAAATAAAACCTGGATCTCTTTACCAGGCTCAGAGCGACATACGGTGACAAATTGGGCACAAGGTGACAGAAGCAATATAGCGCTCTTCTGTAACTGTGTCTTCCTGCCCAGAATCCTATACGGAGTACCATTCTGGTAACTCGCTGCCGAGTCCAGACGTGATAGTAAAATACTCTGCCAACTGCAGAGGAGATCTCTGATCGGCCTAACGGGTGCCTCGCTCCAGATCATTGCCGCTTGATATAATGACAAGATGCCGAGTCGAAATTAAGGTATTACGAAGACATGATCCTCCTGACAAAGACAGGCTCTACGGGAACAACGGCTCGCTCTCAGTGACAGTTTGCAAGCGAGATGGGACATCTGTGCAACTGGTGGACATACAGACTTTTCCCAAACGTTGCCCGAAGATTATCTATTCCTCTCTATCTGAGGCATCATGTCGTGTAATTCTATCACTGATCATGGGGACTTCAAGGCCAAGCTCCGTTCACTGGGTCTTGCAGACGATCCGGAAATCGAAGAACCAACTTCTTGCTATCCGGGGGAGGTACACGACCAGGAATCGGCTCGTCACCTACCTGGTGTTCAGTACCTCCACCCGTTTAGCTACTCAAGATCTATTGAAGTTTTCCTGCCTCGATTTCATTTTTTATCCGAATTCTTATTGTTTGAGCCATGTGTTGATAGTAGCTCAGAGTATGGCCGGCGGCGAGTCGCCTCGCGCTCTCACAAACGAAGACCCCGCAGTCGTACTTATTGAGCTGTTGCGGACTTACTCCAAGCTGAATGGTCCATGGTTCTACTAAAGGGGTGCCCCTTTTGTCCAAGGACTCATTTTGTAAATAATACATCATTACAGCCAGACACTTTTCGTCGTTCTTATTGAAGCTATCATACAATTTCAGGATTTTCTCTTTTGGCTTTACTTCTACTAATCTCCAGTGCTTATTCTCGTTGACTGGTATGAGGATCAAATCTTTACTGAACACGTCAACTTTTTTTGTCCACCTTCGCACTTTCTCATATCCCCCACAGGATAATGCGGGGAAAAAGAAAGTGTCGAAGGTGGCAACGTTGACGTGTTCATTTCGAATAAGCTTGAAATAATCATTGATGGTTTGATCCCCATACCAGTCCTCGTCTATTTTCACTGGGTGAGCTGTTAGGAGCTTAAATTTCTTGCATGGTGGTAAATTATTCGGAGAAGATGATGTCCTCTTAGTTCCGGTGTTGATAGGAAGCGATATTTCTCTTGAATACAATGGAGCTTGTGGAGTTTCTAAATGAAAAATAAGAATTTAGACGTAACTCTTAATAATTATAAGTCATTGTTAAGCATTGTCTTGCTTAACACTTAAGGACATACAATACATTTATATTATTTAAGCAACTAACTGTCCAATTCTATTTGTAATAAAATTTCGAAAATTACTTGAGTCCAAAGTGGTTTTTTGGGCAAGTCCACTCAACTTTGAACCGAGAGCACTTGAAGTAGATGATACACTACTACTGGTAGTCTCTTCCACTGGTGTGACGGTCGACTTAACAATCTTAGAAAGGCCATCACCCATGCGCCTTATTACCATCAGTAAAGTTCTCGTGCTGCGGTTGTCACTCAACTTTGAACCGAGAGCACTTGAAGTAGATGATACACTACTACTGGTAGTCTCTTCCACTGGTGTGACGGTCGACTTAACAATCTTAGAAAGGCCATCGCCCATGCGCCTTATTACCATCAGTAAAGTTCTCGTGCTGCGGTTGTCACTCAACTTTGAACCGAGAGCACTTGAGGTAGATGGTTGACTACCTCTAGTAGTCTCTTCCACTGGTGTGACGGTCGACTTAACAATCTTATAAAGGCCATCGCCCATGCGTCTTATTACCATCAGTAAAGTTCTCGTGCTGCGGTTGTCACTCAAAGACATTGTTCTTTTCAGATGACTACAGCAATGTCAGCGAAAGTTTAGAATTACAAAGTAATTCCACAAACAATAAGAAAAATATTTAGAGATATAAGAAGATATAACAAGATACAAGAAAAATATATAACATAAATACTTTTTTATGAAAATCATAAACGATAGTTGTTTAGAAAACATAAACACGTGTATCGATAACTATACAAATATATATTGTAAATGGTTACTTATTTTTGGCCAGTAAAACTGTCAACTACATTTAATAGTATTCTATTATTTATTTAAAATAGTTTACGCCCAAAATGGCGGCAATAGATTACAGAGTAAATAATCTTTAAAAAAATAATTTCAATACAACCAAAAAAGAAAAACGTTGTATAAATCGTCAAACAACATTATTTAGAACGCTTTTTAATCTGGCTAAAGAAATCCAAATGATTATCATTTATTGCTTTATTTAAAGCCATTAGCACTCGGTTAATAATAACTATACATCTGTTTGTAAGAGGATAATATAATATAAAATAGATTACATTAAAAGAAACAATATGTTTGATATTTCAGCACATATTGATTAGACCATAAATGCAACAGACATCTGCAGACAACAACACACCCAAGGTGCTAGCTAAGCTAACTTGTTTAAAATATTAGATGCAATAACATTTAGATCTGTGCTGACTTTGTTTTAGTAGTTATCTATGCAGTCATTCTTATAAAACACCGTTGAAGGCTACCGGTTTTGTCCGAGATAACCCTGTGTTGATAAATAAACACCAAATACTTATATTGGATTGCATAAATTAGGAAACCCCGTTTTCGAATTCTAATGTAAACATGTAGAAATTATTGTGTACTCTTATTGTAAAAACAACACCAACAGGTGAGATGTGATAAAAAATACATCAAACGGACCAGACGGAGGTGATGAAAAGCGAGAAATTAATTAAACGCTCGTTAGTAGCAACTCTCGGGTATTAAATGAAAAACAGAGGAAAAAAATAAGTTTCACGAAACATTGTTTATTCACTGACAATATAACATTTTCAGTTGGCAGTTTGACTGACTCAGCCGAATTTGTAAATCAAAAAAGAATTCAGTAAAAAAGGCAATTATTTAATAATATGCTTAACAATAAACGGATAAACAAGTGGTAATAATACATTTTAATTTATAATTTAAAAATTATATAACAAAGTTACTACAATTTAACTTTAACTTAAGTCCAAAAAAAAACAGTATGCTTTAATAATTTGGTGTACTTATTTACTGTTCATTATATAAGAAGCAGTATAGTAGATCTCAAGTTTGTAAAAACAATAGTCTTTAAAATCCATACTTAAAAGTTGTTTTATTTGGGTCATGTGTAAAAAAAAAAATATTTAATATACACGGATAAAAGCAATCCGCTAACATTACCTCAGTTAATATTATTTATAAATAGGTATAATGAATAGGTTGTGCATGTAGAATTAATGGTAGATTGTTTGTACTACAATAACACATTTCATTGAAATACATTTAGATGATAATTAAATTTTTTTTAATTATTATTATTATATACAAGACTATTTTGTAATTTTTAAAGTGCTTGGACTTTTTTTTTAAGGTTATTGTTATAACGCAAAATTTTACTGTTTTTCGGAGGCCAATCGTCTGCTAAGAAACAGTATTTTGAGAGATCGCCGTCCTGAGTTTTGTTATCGACATACCCAAACCAATAAACAACAACACCTGGACCATACCTTAAACAAATGAAATAAAACTAAATAAATAAATAGTTTTATATTAAATATAAAATATTATATTGTTATTACCTATTCCAATAGGGAAAAAGTTGTTTTTGAAATGCTCCTCTAGTACGAGAACCTTCACATCCAAACATAGCTTTGGATTCAATCCAATTAACAAAAAAGGTTTTATCCTCATTTTGTACTAAAGCAACCGGTTCATGAAGTACAATATCAGGAGTCATGTCTAGACCCCGAGCACGACACTGACTTTCAGTCCAATAAAGAGCGTGGTTTAAATCTGTATATTTATTAATTTTTTGACGTAAAATATGTTCATATCTTTTTCCATTGAGGCTAAGACAATATTTAAAAAAAAAAAATTCAAGTTTACTATTAATAAATAATTATAACTTTATAATGTACCTATTATGAGGATTTACTAAATAAAAAATAATTTTAATTTAAAAAATATTTTTATTTACTATTTTTAAATCATTGCCTATGAATCAAACTACTCGTACCAATTAATATGACATACAAATGTTGCTTATGTCCTTGTAACGAGCCGTAAGTATTTCTGTTACATAGGCTAGTCTATTTCAGTTATAAGTTATTTAATGGTGAATAATTAAAGGTTCTACCTTTTTAATTGTTCAGCACAACTTCCATAATATGAATCCATGACGGAACACACAAATACTTGATAAGCTAATACTGGATCATCTTTAATTAGATATGTATTTGTTGTAAGACGATGATTTGAATGGTTACAAGACAATGTAGAAGTAGTAGACGAGTTAAGTGATAAGTTCTAAAAAGAAAAATAACTCTAAAAAAATCAGTTTTAACACATTTTAATGGTTCTTACTTCTTCGCCGATAAAACTACTATTTTTGTTTTCCTCTTTTTGTTTGTTTACCTTCGATGTTATAGCATTCGAAAGCCACTGTAACTGTGACAAAAGGTTTTCTTCTGTCGTTAGAGTATCATTAAGCGTAGTATTTATAGTGGCGCTAGACAGTTCGTTAACGCTTGTGTTTGTAGTTATATTAGATATTTCATTCGTAGATTGAGTACTTTCGCTGTGTTGTTTTTCTATTCGCATTTTTTCCTGAACTAAAGCTTTAGCAACTAACATTGCAGGCATTTTTAAATTATCCGATAAGTCTAATAATGGAAATTTTGATTTGTCCTCTATATCTTTATATTTAGTGTAGAGTGATCCGCTGAACACAGATCGATGTCTTTGAACGGTGTACTTTTGTACTCGTTGATCTATAATACTTTGTAGACTTCTAGGATCTATGTGTTCATACTTTGACTTTATAGTTCTTTCGATTGAATGGTATCTATTCAGTTCCTTGCAGTCGATTAATTCATCCACACAGGTACAAATTTCTTCGTATGTCGCCTTGTCTAATATTTTTTGGAACTGTCGTTGCTCCATATTTCATGAATAAAACAATACGCTAATTAATATAAAGTTTAAGTAAAAAAAAATCTTAAGTAGTAACTAGTTGGTTAACAAATGGTTGTTTCATAAAATCATAAATCATAATATCTTAAATTCTAAACTATAATAATATGACTTGACCATGAAAAAAAAAAATAGGTATGCCAGCAACTTATGTTATCAATTATCACAATATAAATGCTGGCCAACGTCCATAAGAAAAACACGGTAACACGAGAACAGCGGTATCTATTTTGCGATTATCACGAATTGCAAACAAACCTGTAACTTTAATGCGATAAACGATAATTTGAAAATGAAATCGTTTTTCTAAATTAATGATAAGCTTATTATTGTTATCACAAAATAGAAATTCAGACACTGATAACCCCTATTCCATAATTCAAAATTAAAATTTTTAATTTAAAACTAAAAGAACATAAACAATAAAACTTAGATCCTAATTCCTTGCTTTAAAATTATAATTTATAATACATTTTGGATGATTACATTTTAAATTAATACAAAACATTTATTAACCCGATAAAATAATTATAATGGTTGTAAATAAAGCTAGATATGATTTCGATGTAAGAGATAAAGGGCCCTTAGCTTTATTACTGTTCCATTTTTTTCACTTTGCTTATTAAAAGTAAAAATTATAATATTATAAATAATTATTATTGTCGTTTTAAAAAAATTATTTAAGTCAAAATAAAATATTTCAAAATGTTTTCTACCATCACGTCAATGTAGCCATTATAGCGTTACAAAATTATCTACGATTCATTTCTTATCAGAACTTACACATATTTTAGAACAAGTATCCCGTTTTTTCATGGTAACAATATTTGTTATTTTGTGATTTTTAAACCTGATTGCTTACACCAATCTCCAGTTATACAGCTTATACTCTTACTCTATCGCACGGAATCACATCACAACTTAAGTTTATACTTTAAGAAGCGTCTGCTGAAGACCAATTTTGAGAATTTGTGTTACTGACTTACATTTACATTCGATTTCATTGTGAAGCTATTATTTATTAATAATATTTTCAGCCTTATACTGGTGAGTGACTTGACTATTATCTTCAAAGTTTCAGATGTTAAAATTAAAATGTGGTTTCAATGATGTTTTTAGTAACAATGGAGAACGTTCTTGCAAAACAATTGTTGCAAGTGGCAGAGACCATCGAGCAGAAAATCGATCAAGAAATACAACGTCTCGATGAATTAGATATGGACAGCATTGAGAATATAAGAGAACATCGTTTACAGCAAATGAAGAAAATGATAAAACAAAAAGAAGAATGGGTGGCCAAAGTATGTTTTGTTAGTGTGTTCATCATGTTTTGTTTAACCAATTTGTTTTCATCAATAGGGACATGGAGATTACGAAGAATTAAGTGATGAAAAAGGATTTTTTGAAAAATCAAAAATCAGTCCAAACATGGTGTTACATTTTTACAAAGATGGATCACAACGATGCAAGATAGTCGATCATCATTTGCAAATATTATGCAAACAACATCTGGAGACACGGTTTTGTAAATTGAATGTTACCAGATTCCCATTCCTCACTGAACGAATGAAAATCAGAGTTATACCCACTATAGTGTCTATTGTAGATAGTATATCCAAAGATTTTATTGTTGGTTTTACTGAGTTGGGAAATTGTGATGATTTCTCTACAGAAATGCTAGAATGGCGTTTAGCTCGTTCAAAAGTTATTGATTACAAAGGTGATTTATTAAACCCACCAGATGTGACAAAGAACAATCGAGCAATGGTATTGGAAAAAAAGAAAACAATTAGAGGAAAACTAGGCGATGAAGACTCAGATGGACTAGATTCAGACTGAATAGTAAAAGAATAGATTTGATTATTAATTAATAATATTAATCTATTATTGTGAGAGCTTTCACTTAATTTCTATTTTTATTAAATCTTTTTAACACGCACTAATGTTTAATGTACATGCAAGCGGTCAAAAAATAACATTTAAACAAATTTGTTGTACTAAATCCTTTTTTATTTTATTTGTTAAAATCAAAGTTAGGAAATAGGTACTTGTGCTATGTTTACATTCCTGACCTTTGTTAATAACTTAACTGGGAACCACCGATATCGCTTTTTGCACAAAATGAGAATTGTTATTAATATTTAGCTATTTATCATTTAATTAGCTCAAATAACTCAATTTTTCTAAAAATGTGCTTTTGTACCAAAAACACATATGTTTTCATTTATAAATTACATTCAGAAGTTAAATATTGTTGTAAACTAAACTATATTTTTGATGCATACGTGATTTATAAACATCTATCTCATTGTTTTTGTTAATTGGCTTGATTAAATTTTTTTTTTTTTTTTTGTACAATAATACATTTACAAAACTATTTTATATAAATGTTAATCCACTAAATTACTATGACATTAAATATAAATATATTTTTATAGTTTTTGTAAAATAAAATGAAATACATTTAATTTTTGTATTTTTATAATATATAGTTGTGCTTTACTAGATCTAGTTTATTATAGCATCATTGGTTTTTGTCAACCTAGCGAAATGAAAAATTAACTATGAATTATCCAATATCCCAGTAGGTATTCGATTTTTTTAAATTATTCTTCTGTGGTTTAATTATCACATAAATTTTAATTTATTTTTTAAAAATATAACCCCCATCCCTTATCTGTTTAAGCCATATGAACTTTAGCTTTTTAAATGGTAACTTATATATTATTATCTACATTTTTTAAATTAAGGATAATTTGCTGAAAATTTTGACTGATCGGTAACCAGTTTTGAATAGTTAAACATTTAAGACAAGAAGAAGGGTGGAGTGTAGCATTATTTTGATCCACGCACATTACTTTAGTGCACTTCATCTCCCTTACTAAATTTTAAACTTATATACCTTTTAAAGTAGTCATATAAAACAGGTTATCGACTAGTCAAATTTTCAGTAAATTATTCTTAATATGTTACCATTTAAAAATCTTAAGTTCATAGGGTATTAACACGAAATGTATAGGGTTAAAACTTAAAAAGTTGAAAAATATATCAAAATCGGGCTAATTAATAACCAATAGATAGTATCTACCCGTGAGCCATCCGGTCTCGGCCGTGATTTTATTTATCAAAATAAATATTATCAATTTTGTTGTTTGATAAGAAGTGGTACATACCAGTTGGTCCAATCGGTATAAGATGATTGACTCAAAAATGCTAACCTTAAAATTAAAATCCTAACGTTTTCGTTCGTACTTCCTATGATTTTCCGGAATCCGATTGTAAATTTTTGTATAAACAAAATAACATATTATTATTTGTTTTCAAAATTCTTAACTGGATTGTATTTAATTTAAGTATTTACTACTTTAAACATTTCCATCATGTCGTACAAAGTTCCTCAAAAAGTCCAAAAGGTTATGGTGCAACCCATCAACCTCATCTTTAGACATTTACAAAATCGTGCCAAAGTACAAGTAAGTTATTTTCAGAAAAATTATAATAATACCTTTAGACATTTTCCTCAGATTTTCTTAAAATATAAATCATTTTGTCTTACGATTACAGATTTTGCCTTATTTAAAAAAAAAAAATTGACAGTCCACTTCTTTGTAATTTTCAAATTTTCAGTTCATTCATATACTACTCTTACCATTACCATTTGAAAGACAAAAAAGGTAGAATAATTCTATAGGCTATAATCCCAAATTTAAAAAAAAAAATGGAAAGGAAATGTCTACCATTGAAAATTATAAGGATTTTCATCTTAAATTGTTATCACAATTTTGCAGGTATGGTTACAAGAAAAGATTCACTTAAGGATTGAGGGCCATATTGTTGGGTTTGATGAATATATGAATTTAGTTTTGGACGAAGCATGTGAAGTCAATACTAAAGTCGATTCACGAAAACCTGTTGGCCGAATATTATTAAAAGGAGAAAATATTACACTAATACAAAATATGACTCCTTCCATTGGTTAGGTATACTCTAATGTTTGTATACTTTGAATTTCCTTATATAAATTTGTAATTAAGTCTATTGATAATATCAGCATTATGGTATTATTATTAAACAATTTTCTAAGTAATTATAAAGTGTGTATATATAGATTTAAAACAATATTGTTACAGAACTAAATTTTTGGTTTTAACTCATTCTTTACTTTATACTTCTGAACATACTGAGTAATTATGTTCTCTAGACACAGTGGTTACAACCCGGAAAATAATTTTGAAAATTATATAATTTCATGTGGTTTTTATTGCAAATAATTAAAATTACAGTTTGATTATAAAATATATGAAATAAAATATTTTATTCATTTAATACTAATTTATTATTTGTCTAGTGTATATATTGTCGGGGTAGCATGGGACACCTATAATTTTTTATCTAAACAACATTAGCAGCAGTCCAACTCTTGTCCTTCCTTCTTTGCCCCTCCATCCGCTTATTAGCTCATATCCCATAAGGTGCTAGTGGAATATACCGATAACAAATCGACCGGATATACATTAGAAATCTGGGCAGTTGGTACTCGGTGTCGTAGATATAGAATTATATATTTTATAAATAATTAGATACTTTTTTTAATAAAGAGTATTCGGTGATTTCTGCATGGTAAGAATAAAATTACTGCTCTTGTTTGAATGAATTAACCACAAACTACTTAAATTATTACTTCAAAAGATATAATACCTTTTGGTTTAGTTTAGTAAAACTATCAATAACGTTTCAAAACTAAACTCGAACGGCATAAAAACTAATTTAGCCAATAACTAATGAGATTCAACTACTGTACAACCGTTCATCATCAACAATCCAAAATTATTTAAAGCATTTTTCAAAAAATTTGCTAAAATTTAGTCACCTTGAGTCTAGGGCAAGTTGTGGTATAATATTACTTAAAAATGTTATTGATAAATGTAATAAATTTATATTGTTATTATTTGTTATTATTTATTTGACATTGACCACTAAAGGATGTTTTATCACTTATATACTAAGGTAAAACTACTATTTGGTCGCTCACCAGTAGTCATCCGTTGAGTTAGACATAAAAAATCAATGAGACTTTTGAGTAATTTGTGTGACAAAATGTGACTGCTTGGTAACAAAATAATTCATATGATCAAATACTGTAAATTATTTATAGTATTTGATATACTCTGTGGTAAGTTCGTACATGTACCTACCTACATTTTGATATTATTTAGACAAAATGAATTAATTTATTATTTTAGTCTACGACCTGTTAAGTCGGTTTGGATAACTCTTGCTCAACTAGAGACAAGAGTTGCCATCCTGGGGAAGTGGTTATGGTGTGGTGGTTTCATGTTGCCTTCCGCACTAGGCGGGTAGCCATTTCTCTCTCCAGACGATTGCTTGCCCCGCTAGAGAAACGGCTAGCGACCGAGATTCGAAACACGGCTAGTGTATTGAAACACTGCCGCGGTAACCCTCTCGGCTACGATAGAATTAATACACAATATGTTTAAGTACAGAATTTTAGTAAAATTCATTTTTCAAAGAATTTCATAAATTTCACGCTTAACAATACATTTTAAAATGATTAAATAGTTATTTCTATATTGCATCTCTATGGGCCATGGAGGCTAAAATCCTTTTTTTTAATTTTTGTGTTATAATTTATCTAGACATAAAAAAATGTAATTATACTTTTTGAGGTATGTATTTCTAATTGTTTAAATTAACTTGCTAGCTTTCTCTTAAAAGAACTGAATAGTAAACTTTCCAAGTTTGTTTAAATTCATTTAATATAATTTATGAATTGTATATCATAAAGTAACTTCTACTTAAAAAAATGTATACTATACAACGCCATAAAACAAATAAATTTAAAAATGATGTAATGCGCAAAAATAATTAAGAAAACTACAATTTTTAGGGGAAAATAATAAAATGTTGACAGTAACGTTATTTGTGAAACTCTTTCGCCTAGTGCAGAATAAATCAAATTGACAGTCACCGCTGATTTTACCGACATGGAAGTAATAATCTTACGAAAATTAATCTGACAAGTTATTGTTGATAATAAATGCACCGAAATTCGGCGGAAGCGGTTTGAACAACATGTACGCTTGGAATATGTTCGACTTCAGCTCTTTGACAATTCCGCGTTGAGTGTACTTGCCTTTGTCGTGCTTGTTTTTATAGTCACCGATGGTCGCGAAACCGACCATGTTGCCGTATTGCCCTGAGAACTCCGCACACGATGCCGCGAACAATTCTCGGCTAACAGTGACTCGCCGTATCCGACTGATCGGTCGGGTCGAAATGTCAAACGAATTCAATTTGTCCATCATCAACTGTAACATCTGGGAAAATTGTTCGAAGACACGTATGGTGTTCGTATCGAACGCCGACAACAGCAAGGACACGTTACAAAATCTGTCTATTGCCGTGATGGCCGCGCTCTCGATCACGTTTACAATCCTGGCGTGTCCCTCCGCGTACTGGCCGTTGTCGATGCACTCCTGTACCACATCATTCAGTGTTCTACCCGACGTGGCAACCGTGTATTTGTCGAGTTTATAGGCCGAGTATCCATACAAGTGGGCAACATCAATCTTGTCCAAGATTACCTGAGTAACCGAAGACAAATCAAATTTTTCCGGCACGGTAAGACACGTCTTGTGGGCTTCGGTGTAGCAAGTACCGTCGTTTAGTAGCACATTCATGAACCTTGCCTCGGTGCTTTGTAAGCGCTTCAAGTATTCGATTCCGACCAACTCGTCATGATCTACCGAAAACTCCACTGGGCAACAGCCGACGAGGACCCAAACGAGTACGCATAATAGCCACGAGTACATTGCCATTATTATAGTCAAAATATGATGGTCTATAAATCGCAGCAAGCAGACTCTTTAGTCTTTTGTAACGGTAAAACTTTGTAAAAACTACCAAGTTCGTCGACAACAGACAAATCGTTGTGATGTTGTTTGTTATTATGTATTGTCGTACATGCAAAATATACCTTAAACACCAATTTTCTGGTGTAAATCTGAACAAACAATATACCCAAATACGATGTCCAATAAACTTAACGTTCAAAATATATATAAATTAGGTGCATTATTTTTGCCACAGATAGGTATGTCTTATATGGCGGGGAATTTGCCAAAAATTCGCGTGGCGCTCCCCGTTCCCCTCACCACCGCCGCCGACCGAACTTCAATATACGTACACATGTTCATCGGAATGTTTATATATATTTATATTTATACTTACTGCAGCACAAGTTCACACGTGTTTGATGCATGGCACCCGTGTAGTGCGCAAATGAAGCAAGGAGTACTGCGGTTGCTTATTATGTTTTGTTATACATTATTAAGAACAGTTTACCCTATTAACACTAAATTGTCTTTTATTACATAAAAGTATTTAAACAATATTTTAGAATAATATATGAAAGCCGAACTTGCCCAAATACCGCTAGAATGTCATTCATTAGATAAAATTCACATCGAAGGAAGAGTTTGACTTACAACTAAACAACAATCCGTCGATTTTAACCACTAAGAATAAGTAATAACAAATGCATCGACGCGGTCCTAGTCGATACGTCGAAAATATTCATACTCAAAATTATATTTTGTATTTCAGCTATCACAAGCCGCTAAACTTAGTATTTTGTATGGTCCGTCTATAAATAACGTTAAAACTTAAAACTAATAATGTTTAAATGTTAATAGCTGTTTAATGTTATTGCCGGAGTTACCGAATTAATCGCTTAAATATACCATTCTTTCAATAGTAATATCAAAAATGGTTGTCATCGCCATTACTAAAAACAAAAATTAATATTTTTTTTACCGTTTATTCAGAAAGTTATACAATCTGTATAGATATATTTATAATTGATTTAAATTTGTATTTTAGAATAATTGGTTTATTAAATTAAATATCCTTCGCCATTTGATCTGCATCTAGGCAGTATAAGACATATTCATGATCCAACTCTTTTTTAGTATAGTATAATTTATTTATTTATTTGCTAGATAATAAACGAGTGTTAAATGTTAAATTGATATTCAACATCCTTGCTCAAAAAAAACATTAACCTCATTAGTTAAAATTTTAATTTAAATACCTGAAAAATGCATTCTCAAATTTTTTCATTGAAATTGCGACTTTTGAAACTAAACAATAGACTTAATGGCCTAAAAAAGTAGCATTTTTTTTTTGTTAAGTTCACCGAATGTGATAATAACGGCGGCTGTCAATGGAAATTTTAAGCGACTTAGATTTCTCGCTATATTAATATTCATACATTATACTGAAGTCATCGGGGGCCAATAACGATCCATCGGTTAACGAATTTTTTTGGAAAAATTCGATTTCTAAATAATTTTTTTTGTTTTTTATAATTTTCCTCACACACAAACCATATATTTTTGTTTTAATGAAAAAATACCGTGCAACAGCCTTTCTAAACGGCAATATGTTGTCACGGCGTTGGTCAGCTTGTTTTTTTTATATTTTGGAGTCGCCTTTTTCGGGTGGAAAATGAGTAAAATCAAGTCCAAGCAGTACAATAACTTGTAGTTTAAAGACGATTTTGTATTTTTATTAAAATAAATATGTATTGAATATTGATGAAATTTTATTTGAATACATTTACAAATTAATTGATATTTTTTAACAAAAAAATATGCTTTAATGCGATTAGACTAATTATATAATATGAACACCGATAGACTGTAAATAAACAACCCAATCATGGTATGATCGTTTTTAATACTGATTATTTATTGTTGACTTCCTAAAAGAATACAACTTGCCCAAACAACACTTGTTCAAAGCGATCAAATCTAACGCCAAAACTTGATAGCTCGCTAAACAACAACATAAACAAAGTTTGTCTTCATCTTTTTCGGACAAAGCTTGAACGCTTTCGCCGTCGTTCGAACCGTTGTTATCTGCAATCATTTTGTTCAAGCCCAATCTATTTTTTTGATCAAACATAATATAGTATATTAGTTTAAAATAGCACACAGTAACATATATACCCTCTAGATGGACGCCAATTATTTCATGGTCCATAATAGTTTTATTCGTCGCCGAAGACTGGTACATTTTTATCGCTTCCTCGTAGTTCGGCGGCGGCTCGTATTCCGGCGGCGACTCGTACGGCGGTGGATCGTCCGACAAACGGTCCGCCGTATAGGTCCTCCCTACTTCGGATGTGGAATCGTACTCTTCGTGCAACTGAACTCCGTCCACTTTAAACAAGGTCAACGCACAAAATATATTATATACTCAGTCTCACGAGAGAACGGTACTGCGCGGAAACCAAAACAGATTAGTCTTGTACGCGCCAGTGCAGACAAAAGTAAACAGGTGTACCGCGTTTTGGTTTCTGCGCAGTACCGTCGTTCTCTCGTTAGACAGAGTATAAAACCGTGGAGTGAGATTATTTCTTTTTCATTTTTTTTTTGTCGAAGCCGAAGATCAGAACTATATTGTAAAATTGTATTATTTACAGAGTAGTTGGCTGATCGATATCAGTCGGTTTTGCAACTCCGTCTGGAAGTGGTAACGCGAAGCTATCCTGTAAACGGTAAACAGTATTATGAAGAACAACAGCACAAGCCCTGTAAAAAAAAAACGACCAGTGAAAGGGCGAATTAAATTTTAAAACCACACCGACTGGACACGGCCGCCACAGTGATCTGAAACGTATATTTAGCTTTTATAATTTAACACCATTTGTGTCTCGTTAGAAAACTGCAGGACAAGTCAATTTAGATGTAAATGTGTTAAAGCTTTCATGAATTGAAATTCGTATACGGGTACTGTCGTATACGATACAATTTTTTTAATTTATCTCTAATTTTCAGAGTTAGGAAGGGTTAAAATAGCGCTTATGAGTGATTTTTAATTTTTTATAATATTACTTAAGTTGTTTATCGATTTAAATAATTTTAAATAAATTTATAAATTTGGTTTTATATCAGCTAAATTTACGTTTCAGACCACTGTGTGACGCAATCATTTACCTAAAAAGCATCCCATAAGAACGTGATACCGTTTCAAGTACAATGTATTGTTGGGAAAATAATAATTTGACTTGTACTTGTAGGGGTACCAACTCTTGTCCGTAAATTCTACCTCGCCATCTACAGCATTTGGATAGTATTAAATGTAAAATATAAATAACTTTTTTTATTTTTTACCTCTATCGTCGAAACACTCTCTAGATTCATCGCTGTTGTCGCCACAATGGTCAAACCCGTCACAATGTAACCTATTCGCAATACAACGGCCATTCTTGCAGGCGAATTCGTTCCCTTCGGTACAGCTTCCTAATTGAGCTGTTAAAAAAAATGTTGGACACAAACAGACGAGTTCATTAAACTAATTAATTAGGCAAAACTGAAATACCCGACCAAAAATAAGGTTTATCTAAAGTTGACATAACTAGTTTACCAAGCCGAAGTTGAAAATCGAATTTTTATAATTAATTGACGAGTAATTTCGGAAACTCCTAAATGTAAAATATTAAATTATGTCTTTATTCGCACAAACTCAATTTGTTTCTTCAACTCATGATAACATGGCCAACAGATATTATATTTACCAAATAATTCCCAGCAAACCGTTTCAGTAGTCGTGACTATATCTCTCCTTAAATCCACTACACTCTCATTTTTTTTATAAATCGCGTTCATTCTTTTTTTATTATTATATCATTATTTTGTATAAAAAAACTGTAAAAAATTTTTTATTTTTACATTTTTATACAATTTTTAATGACATCCTATACTACTGACTATTTTATTATAACATCATCGTTAATTAACCATTTACAGACTCATGTGACAATTCTGTAACAAACCTGGAAATTTCCGTTAGACGGCGGTTTAAATATATTATATTACTACCTACATTTTTTTTAGGTCAAATTATCTTAAATTATGTTTGTTATATTTTGTAAATTTTTATTGGAAAATAAAGATTTGTCTTGTAGTTCCCTACTCAAAAATGTTATTTAATGTTCATAATAATTCATAAATAAGTGGAAAATTAACTGTTCATAAATCATATGATTTATAGTGAATAAAATAATACTATATTTTTATGGCTGTTATGGTCAGAGAAAATAATTGTAGGTATCTCATATTATGTTTCTCTTAAAGAGACGGGAAATTTCATTTTTTTTTTTATAGAACCTTTAGTTTTCAATTCGAAATATTTAAATTTTAGTATAAACATACTTGAACGAGAATATGCTGCATAAGCTATTTCGAACCGTGAACTAGAATTAAATGCTGCCACCAGCCTCACGTAGTATCCCACATTTGTGCCCATTAGCAATTCGGTAAAATGAGAACCGTTATTCCATTGCAAAAGTTGTCCTTCCGACGTGGGACCCTCGCAAATCGTTAAATCACTGTCGACTAAAAATATAAAACTATAGGTATATGATTGTTATTTAAAAAAAAAAAACCTAGGCCATTGTCTTTAAGTATACCATACCGCCCATATACACGACACGTATTTCTGTACTTACTTAAATTGTCCATCGCAATGACTTTCATGTACATAAGCCACTTTGAGGGTGTTTCATATTTCTTAGATAGCCTAAACAACCAAATACAATCGAACATAATATCAGGTTCCGTTTCGCTGACCATATTCATCATGGTTATAGCGCCGCCCTTGTTCTCCACAAATCCTCCACAGTCTAATAAATTACGAACGCGCTTAAATAACAGATTCATTAGTAACGTCAAATATTTAATTTAAAAAAAAAAGCGTTCAAGTTATTTAATAAATAATAATATTTTTATCTCTACACACTAAAACTGTTTTTGTGCACAACAATCAAAATGACAAATTATGCCGTAAGTTTAAAAAAAAATACAAAATATTATTTTCATTAAGCGATTGCTAAAGTAGAAAAAAATGTACAAGATTTAATTATCAATTCGTTGATGAATAGGTACATCGAATAAATGATCATATTATGTGCAATTTATATGGTAAAAATTAATAATTATTATCAAGTCGTATAAGATGCAATAATGTATTTTATAAATATGTACTTATATTATCTACCTATAGGTTTTTCTATTAAACTTAAAAAAATAACCGCATGTTTGACGTGTGTCGTGTTCACTGATCTCACTTACTTGTATTAGGCCTTAAAATTGAGTTTTTAATGTTTCCTGAAAATTGATAATTATATTTTATACTTATTATATTATACTAAACGATTTTAACTTAATTTATAGTCAAATTAAAAAAAAATGCCATGTAGTTGAAAAGAACTAAAATAAAACCGTATGTTTTTATAAAATAATCGTCTACAGAAAATACATAAACATTGTATCTAAAGTTAAAACAAATTTATTGAACAGAAGTCCTTTGCAAATTCTAAATGGGTTAACATATTTTGTAGATTTAGTTTCAGGTTTTTGAATAAATACGAGTCAAGTCGCTTATCGATGACGTAAATAAATTAAAATATATCCCCAATTAATCATATTTTTGTTTATAAAGTGTATTTTTTTTGCTTTATTCGATTTTTGTAAAAAAAAAAAATACTTAAAGTATTCAAATGGTACTTAACTATTTTATCAACTGAAAAGTTAATTCTTAAATAATATTATACCTACTAAAAAAATTATTACAGTCCTGGACGTACCAGAATTGCCTATCCAACCCGCCGTTATACTTCTAGTTACGAATTCAATAATAATGTTATGAGGATTGGGATTTAAAGTTTTAAAATCGGACACAGTGATATGATTATGTATATTACGATACGATAATTTCAAATCTGAAATTTAGGAGTGCTTTATTTTTACTTATGCTTTCCTTGAAAATATGTTCGTCCGCATATTGTGTGTAGGTATAATAATTAAATATGTGGTCACAGGTCAATTATGAAGAGATAACTTCAAAATTTGGTATTTCATGTTACAACAGAGTTTAAGTGAACGTTAATCTATTGTGTAGAGTGAAAACAGGGTTTGCGCGAATGAATACTGTACATAGGCGTAGTAGTACTAAATTCACGAAATGTTAAAAAAAAAAATATATATATATATATAGCATAGATGATAAATACTCTCATTTATCATCTATGCTTAAGTCATCCTGTGTTTACTGTAAACATTTTGTGATTTTACTATCAAGTACCAAGGAATTTCGGGTATGATCCCCGCAAAACTACACTTAAGGTCTAAGTTGAGATTTTACAAAAAATTGCCTAAACTTTACTCCTTAATAAAAGGGAAGCGTAAAAAGGTAGCATTCTCTTAAAATGTTTGTTCGTACAAACAAATAAAACAATGATACTATTGTTAATCGTCGAAAAGTACTTAATTTTAGTTTTTTCTGACCGAGTACCATATACCGACAGAGTATACTGGTCCATACCGACAGAATGTGTATAAAAATATAATAGTTCATTGAAAAGCTTTAAAATTTGTTTACTTAATATACTGACCGTGTATAAACGAATACTGTGCTTTGTATCCAACTGAGGAAACGCCGTTGGCAAAGAATTTAACGTAAAGCGTCGGTCCCGAAGTCAGCAGAGCGGGCGGTCTAGTTAGAGCCCCTTCGGCCGTGTCTAATCGCTTTCTGTCCGAATCGTAAAACTAAACCGTAACGACAAATAAAAAAATAAAATAAGTTGTTCGACTCGATAACAAAAATATTAGGTTTTTGACCTCGACGGTGGATTCGTGGGCAATTAAGAAATCGACAAAAATCAACTGTATTTTACATTCGGCGTCTGATTTGCAGTCGATCACCTGTTCAAAGCTCAAGTCATCCGCATAGGGAGATGGGAAAAACGGCGTACTTATGAAACCGCCTAACGATGTGTTTGTCGAATCCAACTCGGGTTTCATTTCCGCTAGCTGAGTGTTTCCTACACGATTGTATTAAATGTTTTATTAAATCACCAACTCTAATAATACTATATAGTGCCAGGTACGCTCCTGGCACCTTACCCGCCTAAATGTTTAAATATTTCTAACCAGTTTGACCAATCCTACTGCAAATAGATACTATTCCTAAAACTTCATACCCGTTTATGTATTTAGAACAACACCTAGGCGGGATATTCCATGGGGCTAGACGTTTTTCAAAACTTTAAAAATTATATTTTAAAAGCTGTGCTCTTCAAGTAGTAACAAATGAATCATTATGTTTTGTGACATTCGCCCACTGAAATCGTAAATATTTCACACGATTCACTTGATAATTTATAATAAGAATGAGCGATAAGAAAATATAAAGTGTGAAATTTCAGATTGATCCCCCAACCATAAGACATATTCATGTCAGAAATGGAAAGTTTGGCAATTCGGATGTTTTCTAATTGTGAATAAAACTTTGACTTACTAGTTATGAGATATTCCGCCGTGAAAGCGTGTCCGTACGGGTATGTGTGAACAAAGTTAATATTCACTTGGCTGGTGAGAGATTTGTAATGAATTGATGGTTTTTTCGCCGTCGCGTTCACACATCTTAGCGACGTTGCCAAGTACGGGGGTTCGACGATACAAATTGAATTGCACTTGAGCTGCTCAAAAGAGGAGGGGACATCTAAGTCGTAGCCGGCAGCGCACGTTAGGTTTACATCTTTGAATCGAACGTTGACCATGCACGACGGACATGAAACAATGTGCAAAGAGCACTGGCCCGGTAGGCTTCCCTATAGGACACAACATGAAGCTTGTCAGGTTGCAGGATAGCCGTATAAAAATGCTAGTAAAGTTTGGCGGTTCTTATTTTGGGTGATTTTCGAATTTTTCTCATTTATAACGAGATAACCATATTTTGTCTTATTAAATTCTAAAAAAAACTAATCTTAGCACAGTAGAGATGAATCATATTGAAATCGCGGAAATCATAGGTTTTCAGGAAATATAACTGAAAGCAATATCACCTCTTTCGAATAAACGCTTCGATGTAAATCTGCAAATTGTACGAATAAAACATCGATAAATATCATTGTTTAAAATTTTACACTTGTATTATTAGAGTGAATACGGTCAGAGTTGATATCTATCTTTTCTAATAATTCGTAGGCGTTGTTACCGATAGCCAAATCAATAACACAATAAACCTATTTTTCAGATACTTTAAAATAAGACCGCGATATCAGGGACGTAAAAGAAAGAAAGGTCACTTTTTAATAGCGAAATTTTTTTTTTTTTTAAATAACTTTAATTTTTACTATTATATAAATTACACAATAAAATTTTAATTTAAAAAAAAAAAACCAAAATACATAATATAATTTTATTTTTATTTTTTTCGCTGAATCTTAATTTGTGTTTTAAACAGTGTTCAGTATGCTTGAATAATTATTTAAAAACTCATTTCAAATAGCGAGTGATTTTTTTTTTACCAAATTTAAAACTGCGGTCTTGAGTTATTATAAACATTTGAATTTGTAATTTTTTTTTATACACAAAAGAAAACTAGAAAATTCTGAGCTTTTTTAAAAACTTTTGAAGTGAAAATAAAACGCCTATTAAGTAGTTTATATTATTTGTTGAAGAAGTTTTTAACGCCCCCGGCCGTTGGTTTAATTTAAAAAAAACATCGGCCTTCATTACGTTGATTTATAAGATATTTTTGTAAATTAATTAATACCAACATATTAATAACTAAAAGTTCGTTCTATTAAGGCATTTTTGTACTTATTGATCGATTTGTTTATGTAACTATATGCATAGATATACTTAAGTTTTAATATTATCCAGTTAAACTTCAATCCCTCGAGGACCCCTCCTAAAAAAACCTATATGCTGGATACGGCCATGATTGCCCTAGAAAACACTGTCTTTGTTGTATACACATAAAAAATATTAACAAAATGTTTATTTTTAAATACGCGTTTAGAAAGATTTCATTTTTCTAAATTTCGTTATGGTCTCAAAATTAAATTAAAATTTTAGAAAACTCATCACTTTTGACATAAAAATAAATAACGAATACTTTATGTTATGTGAAGCTATTTTTTCCTATATTTTTAGTTTAAGTTTTTTTTGTATTTTTTAGTAAAGTATTAAAAATTAATAGATTAAGTTATCGAAAATTGAAAAACTTTTAAGCACACATAAAGTTCTCCTCTGTTAATTGCAAAAATTTGGTGATTTTACGACAATTTATTCCATAACGATGCGTTTTAAACCACATAAAACTATTTTGATGTAAAAAATTGTAATTATTTTTATAGAAATTACTGCGATAGATTGATCAAAAAAACAATAAACAACTACCAACAAAGAATCCTCATTACTGTGTCATAATTAGTATACACTAAAATATGAGCTCTTAATTAAGATTTTTCAAAAAATTACCTTCACTTTACTCCTCGATAAATTGGTAATAATACTTTTTTTAAATTTAAAAATGTCTCGTGTATTTCGGTTGGTACTTGATCAATTTTTTTCTGGCCACCTCTACCAAGACTCACTTACTACCATAAAATATATGTATTTTGATTGTGTTTAGTTTGTATTGTACCGCCAACATATTATAATACTACTTACCACAGTGCGCATTAGGTATCTATACTTACCCTGAAGTTGGATCGAACAAGTTGATCGCCGTTTTTGGCGTACACTACACCACGAGAACCGATCGCTGTGAACACACTCCTTTGACTGTTGGGCCTGCATATGTCATGCCGTTTGACTGTTAACGAGCACAGTACAAAAGCTGCCTCCAAGAACACCGATGATAACAAACAAGCTGGAATAGAAAACGAGCCGAATGATAGTTATTGTCTGACGATTATCACCACAAATTTTACTATCTAATATTCAAATCGACAAAAAGATCTGGATAATAAATATACATATACCGGCGTGGACAAGTCGCATTCTAACAAAACACATAACATGTAACATGTAACATGTAAATGGTCGGCAACGAAGCCGAGGAAAGCAACTGAAACGCGAATGTTAATAATAAAAAAAAAGTTCTAAGGATTCACCGCAGTGTTTTATAATCGTTTAATGCCTAGTATCTATATATTGTAAAGGGTTTCTAAGAAAGCTGACCTTCGGCCATGCTAAACTCACTGCGAAAAACGATTTTTTAATCAACGTAACAAAAATATTCGTTATTTCCATAATATTATTAGGTATACTTAATTATTAAAAACACTGATCAAATTTAACGAATTATATAATTATCCACGCATACATTATTATTCTTGTTATATTATCATTACATTTACATAGGTAAAACATATTATGCGGATGAGTTTCAATCCATGAAAGTTTCAACTCATTCATAAAACATATCATGTCTTCTTATACGATGTATTCGTAGAATAGAGAATTGCATTAACTTTATTTTGTTGTTAAATATCTAATATTTTATTATTAGATCAATAATGTGTGTGTGTGTGAGAGTGTGTAAGAGAGAGTTTTATTTGTCTTAAATATGTGAATTTTATTTGTTATGTGTATGTTCTTTTATTCGAAACCAACGCTCGAAGATCGTTGACTTTTATGAGGTAAGCTCAAGCTCACTAGCCCACTATAAAAACATAGCTATGTGTACACTGCTTCGCTCGGTTTACAATGAAAATAGTATCCCATTCCCTCCCCATCGTCATTCTTATTCCATCTACCTAGAATCAAGCCAGTAGATTCAGAGATTACCCCAGACATAGAACTGTAGCCTGTAATCGAAACTAATATCGATCGTTTTTTATTATTTTTTACACGACACCACCTTAAGGGTTTAATTATCATCAGGATTCAGGACTGCCATCAATCAGCTTAGCGACCCCGAAAACTATAGACTCGACGGCGCCAATATATGCCATTTTCGATTATTTGTACATGTTATCCCTTCCCTCCCCCCACGGGTCCTAGGAGATTCTTTCTGGGATCCAAATACGTACCAACTTTAATCGAAATAAGTGTTAATATAGTGTAGTAGTAGAATAGTGTATGATGTTTATTTAAATTATCTACTCAGTAAAATTAAATGATAAAATAATTGAGCCGTCGAGAGCAAAAGTGGTGCTAGACAGGTTTTAGCGCTATCTAAAGTAACACTACCTTAGTAATTATAAAACTGGTTCATAATAATATTACTTGTTTGTACATAAGTATTGATATTTTGACTTGGTTTTATAATGTTATATCTATGGGTTTTATTATCAGTCTGATAACCTTATCAAAAAAACACCCTTGAGGCTTGATCGATTTGAATCATTTTTGTTACTATTTCAGTACTTCTTTAATTTTTCGGTTTTGTAATTGTTTGAAGTTTAAATTAACAAAAATAATATGACTTCAGGCAGCTGTTCAATTAATGATGACAATATCGACCGAATATTTGAACCCATAATAACCATAATGGAACCTAGTTGCACAATAATGAGTACATATTTCTTAATAAATCGTTTATTCACCCTTTATGCAGTATTCATATGGTTGAGTTAATATAGGGTAGGTTAGTAGGTAGACAAAACACCATGAACATAACAATGATCTACCAATTTACCTTCATATTTTCTAAGTTAGGAACTTAGTTACCTGTGTTGGGTATACATTGAGCATCTTTCCTGTTGTTTCAGAAGGGCAGGAAGTCAACAGGCAGACTACTGTCGATAAACCCCACCTTCAAAACTCTTCACATTCAAGACCAAATATTCAAGACAAAAATGAGAGTCTTCCATCTATTCATTCATTAGGCGAAGAGAACAATAAAGACCTGGAAATTAAAAGAAAAAGAGATCCATCACAGTGGAAGAGGAATGTCAAAAAATCTAAGAGAAATTCTGGAGATGGTAAAGTGTTTGTGAATACCGATTGTAAGTGTAATAAACACTGTTATAGGATGATAAGTGAAAATCAGAGAAAAGGTATCTTTGAGTTATTTTGGGCAATGAGTGATTATAAACGACAAAATACTTACATCTGTGGACTTATCAAAAGATATGAAGTAAAGGTCAGACGGACACGCGATGGAAGTAGGGGGAATAAAGGCTCCACAAATAAGTATTTTTTAAACATCGAAGGAATGAATCTGAATGTTTGTAAGCTGTTTTTTTTACAAACATTTGCTATTTCTGATGGCAGAATGTCACGGGCTCTGCAGAAGGAAAAATGTGGTCACGTAGGAGCTGATTTTAGAGGGAAGGGCCCTAGTGCAAATAAAACTGAGGAATGGCGAGTAGAAGAAGTTAAGAAACACATCAAAAGCTTCCCAGCATTCACTAGCCAGCATACACAAGCTCACAACCCTAATCGTAGATACTTAAATCCAAATCTCAATGTCAGACTGATGTATACCCTATACAAAGAAAGTTGCTTAATCAAACAAAACAAACCAGTTAGCGAAAATTTGTACAGGAAAATTTTTTCTGAGCTAAACTTACACTTTAATTCTCCTAAAAAGGATACAATGCCAACAATGTGATCAATTTAAGTTGAGCGTAGATGTAGCAGATGAACTTGAGAAAACTTTTTTAAAATCTCAGTATGAACTTAGTTGAACTAAAAAGTTGACCAAGAAGGGCCAGGCAACTGGCTGAAAATTCCATGGATGCAGTTTACAAAAGCATCTCCGGTTATCATGCTGTACAATGAAACATTCGACGATGTTTTGTCCTACTGTACTAAACTACCTCCAGCAAAAGGCTCCTAGCCAAATTCTTATCAACTGATAAAGCAAACCAGTGACGCTAGCTAAGAAGAAAGACATGATAGACCTTACATTCCACATTTACACCAGGCTTTTTTTAACAACTTGAAGACATCAAAGCACCTAGAGGATGTTGATTATGAGCCATTAATCATTGAGGAGAACAGCAGTACTATAAAATTGAACATTCTTGAAATAATGTTAGTTTTACAATTTTACATTTACTTTTCTGTTGAAATTATATTAAAAATTGTACAACAAATTGTTAGTTTTTCAATAATTATTAAAAGTATGAGCCTGTTTTGTGCTTAATAAAGTAAAGAATCTCACGATTTAATTTTTTTTATATTGCTCAATATTTTTTCACTCAAAACTGACATGGGGGCTTTTGCTTTCTTATCAACCTCTATCATCCTACATTTATGGTTCAAGCTAAACTTATAATAAACATTTTGAAATAACTTTTATTGAAAACATAGTTGTGTTCCAAAAGAAGAACTTTAATATAAGAACTTTTTTAGTTCTTTTTATAGTTAAAATGGAATCTAATAAAAAGAGTTCCAGAACTATTTCAACTCAGCAATTTAACTCTAGAATACATTAAGTACACACTTTACCCTATAATAGCCACCTGTTTATTTTGTGTAGACATTTAAAACCTGCTGAAGTTTATTAAAAAATACATATAAAAGATATAAAATTTGCCAAAAATCTCAACAAAACAACTGTTATAAAGTCGTTGATATCTTGATATTTTTTAAAATGTCATTAAAGAAATATGTAAAAATAATTAGCTGTAAAAATTAAATTGAATAATATGATATCAGCACAACTTGAGATGAAAAAATAACTGAATATGTAATTTATAATTTATTTGACAGTTTACATTGTAGACTAGTAATTTTAACGGTTTAAATTAAAAAAAAAAAATTAATATTTTTATTACAACTTATTAAGTATAACTATTACAATAACTTAATTATGTAAAAATCTATATCATTTAAAACTCCATCTTCAAATCTGAAAAAAAAAATGATAGTGTATTAGATTGCAATCGTTTATTATATTTAATATTCTTTTATTTCAATTACCGCTGTTTTTAATTCTGTCGCCTTTCCACGAGTTTTCTAAATTTCTTAAAAATTCTTCAAAAATACTGACGCTTTTTAACATGGACGTCTTCTTATAATCTTTTAACCGATTACTACTAGTGTTGGCATCGCTAACTATTTCTTTTTGTTTTTTGTCGTATTCAGTGATTTCATCAATTAACATACTAAACGGCAAAATATATTCCACATTTTTTTATTGAAACAATATAAAAAATGATTTAAAAAATAAAATTATACCTGATGGTAGGTACTGTATTCGGATTGAATTTGTCAATCACTTTTGGATTAATTGGCACACAAACTTTTCCAGTCTTGGGATGTATACAAAATGGCGATTTCAACAAGTGATTCAGTCCTTTGGTAACATTTACATCCAGCCTTGGATACGCCAAATATAATAAAATATCCTCTACGCACGATTTTGTTTTGAAATTTAACAATCCCTAATGACAATTAATAAGAAACATATATTACACTATATGATAAGTAAAACAAAAATACTTAAAATAAACAATATTGTATATATAAAAAAAATACCACACACTTATTTATAACATTTACAACAATTTTCAAAGGGGTAATTTTGAATTAGAGGAGTCCGCAGATATCCGACTTTAGATTCAGAAAAAAGTGTCTGGTGTTTTTTTAATTTTATTACTATTTTACTTCTAAAAATGGTCAATTTAATTAGTTGCATACTTTATGTAATTTCCTATTAATTACTACTTTAAATTTTCACTAATTTACATAGGGAAATTGTAGAGTAAAATACATACTCTTGTGTAACACAAAGGCACAGTTAAACCTCTTTAGTATATTTCGATTAAACACTTTAAATGTTAAAAAGACACTAATTTCTAAAAATTGTTTACCCTTTTGTGATTGTTTTGAACAACAAGAGATAGTGCTTCCCAACGTTGTAAACTATTTTGGTATTTCGAAAATTGTAAATTTATTTGCTCTTTGAGCTTTTCGTCAGCTATAAACGACAGAATTTTACTACACTGCTCAGGTGTTTCTAAAAATTTTTGTTCAACAATGAGATTCTCAAACTCTTCTTTTATTATTGAAATTGAATTTCTAAAAATAACAAATTGATACTTTAAACAGCTATACAAAATTGTGTGTGATATGAAAGAATTGTATTTAATTCAACATTACTTGATAAAAGGGTGATTAACATTGCATCGTTTATTGTCTCCGGCGGTTAATACAGCCAAATAATCAATAACGGCTCCTCGTTCTGAAGGAGAGAGTTTTCTTGCAGATTCGTCACATATCCAACAATGAATACCACGTCGTCCAGAAAACACCCATAACAAATGACTCCAACCAAAATCATCACGTAAGGACCGTTCCAAAATTTTAACAGCAATAACCATAAACCTTATTCAAAACACAATTAATGTAGTTATATTAAAGTATGATATTTGTAAGAAAATCTTTGAATTAAATACCTCCAACACTTTTGACAAACATCAGCTCCAGAGCAACACGTTCTAATTGAATCGTAATCAGTCATATCAATATCAATCACGAGTTCTTTTTCCATAGCATGAAACTGAGGATAATTTCGGCATACCTTAGGGCTTAAATAAACAAATTCGTGGAATCAGAGAATAAAAAAAAAACATAGATAGATAGTACACGGCAATCAATACGATACGGACTGGACATAAATAATATAAAGCCAAAATCGGGTCGCCAAACAAATTATATGGCGTGGACAACCGTGCAGTTATAATTGCAATTCTAAAAACATACCTCATATTGAACACGGCCCCGATATCTATTTTGAACGGACATCTGTTCTGAATTTCCGTTTCAAATTCTTGCAATGAATTAAAAGATTGAAATCGAATGTAAATGTCTTCGTGTAAAGTAAAAGAAAACTCTCTGTTTGTAAAATTTTCCGGGTTTACTGTAAATCATAATGTGGCGTTAATAATTAATTGAAAACAAGCAGAATTTTAAAAAGGTTCAAATTCAAACAACTCACCGTTTCCGTAGGATAACCATTTGTGAAACTGTGCGTACGGGAATAGCCGTTTGTAGTAAACGTTCAGGTAATCTGGAAATTGATCGTCCACCATAGTGTTTTAAGCAAAAAGTGCAAAATTCCAAAATAGTCAATAATGTATAAAAGCACAAATGTGTTTAAATCGAGGGCAATCCGCCATCTGCCGCTGTTTACAATGACAAAAAAAAACCAAATTCGAATACCAATGATAAAACGTAAATAATAAGAAAAAAGCGGGAAAACGGTTTTTGTCGAAATCGAAAAAGATAACACGGCTCGTTTTACAATCTCTTTGGGCCATCAGCGCGCAAGGTCAAAGTTCAGTGACGTCAGTGGATTTTTATTTACGTGTTGTTCTAGTATATTCGTCACGGCAACAGAGTCGAGTGTATTGGTAATTGGCATTTAGCATTAACATTGAACATTTGTGTGGTCAGTTCGGCATACGCACAGTTAAATAAATCTACAAGTGTAAATAATTCGACATTTGCGGTTATCGTATAAACAACTCGTGTAGTTTCGTTTAAATAATTGGCCCGAAGTTATTCCATCGACTACAAAGGAGAAGAATACTTTCGACCGAAAATGTCGACTACGTCGTCGTTCCGCACTTTCGCCCGTTCGTTTGGGTCGAAAATGTAAGTTGTATGAAATTGCCGTCTACAAATATTGTTATTAGTTTGCATGTAACTAGTATTTTATTCGCCTGTTTGGCTCGTAGCTCTAGAAATGCGAACCGAAAATCCAGAGCTGTTCCTAGACACATTCCTAGTTTGTTGCCTAATTGCCGTTTTAATTGATTTACATTACATAATAATAATAATACTTGAAATATACGTGTAAAGCAGTGACTAATCGCTTTGTATTATTACCAAGATGCAACATTGAAATCATTTCGAGTGTTATATTTTCATTCTGTGTATGTTAATCCTATTGGCTGCGTAATCATATTTTATATGCGCTTATCCCTGTATGGGTGAAAAATTAACTAATGTATACATATATTTTGTAACATTATATGCAGTATTATTGCATTCAATGATGCTGATGAAAATAACAAGTTTATTACCTAACGCTGTAAATTATGACTAATTAAAAAAAATAGATCATAGCGATGTGAACAAATACTAATTGTTTGACCACTTTTGTATCAAAAATTATTTTCAAGGATAAAAATATAATTAATTTAATGTAATTATCTTTATTTGTATTCAGTGTGTGCCCTAGAGTATGCACATAATAAATTATGAATAAATCATTTTGGTGGGAACCAAAAAAATGTTAGCATTGTATCTATTATAACTTGACCATCAAAAATATGCTAATTCCATTCACTACGGTCTCTCCTTATTTTCCTTATGCCATAACCATCTTAGTTTGGTTGGATTGGCGTCCACTAGGTTGGTGCAACAAAGCGCTGCAACGCAGGCCTTAAAAAGAAAAAAATGTATTTGTCTAAATGGATTATCTATTTAGCTGGGAGTCCACTATGTTGGTACAATGAAATGGCATAGAATCGCTCTGACTTAGTATTTGTTGCATCTCTATTAAGTCGAATACATTTTCAAAGTGAAATGGTGGACTAAATATTTTTATTTTTATTCCTATGTATAACTACTACAGTTATGCTGCATAATTTGAGAAAATGGAAAAATTAAAATCGGAATTAACCTAATATTAATATAATACAAACCTTGGTTTTCTAACTGTTGATTATATAAAATTTACTTGATTTAGTGAAAAACCAGTACGTACACATTTGGTTAATGTGTACGCTTGCTTGACCGTGGCAATGATAGCAGCCTCAGTTGGAGCTTATGTGCACGTGTTCACAAACTTTCTAAGCGCTGGAATACTCACAGCTCTTGGTGCAACTGGATTGCTACTGGCACTTATGTACACTCAAGACAACGGAAAAAACCACTCACTCAGATTAGGATACTTGATCGGATTTGCATTTTTCACAGGTTAGTTACAGTCCATAGCAAAAATATATCATACATATTATTGATTTATCTATGTTAACTTGTTCACTGCGGAAGACGCAAATGGTGTCTTTACCTGTCAATTAGCGTCAGGCGTTTTATAAATTATTTATCTATAATTACGTCATCGTTAGGACATACGCTCCATTTTTGGTCAGTGTTATCTAAAGTCACTGTAAAATATGTTACCTTGTGCCGTTTCTAAATATAAACCCCAAAAATTGTGCTAATGGTTTTTTAAGGTCATTTTAAGGCCTGAATAGGTGCAACCAAAAAACTTCCACAGTGAACATATTAAGAGTATAATTGAATTTTTAAAAAAACATTCAACAGGACTTGGAATTGGACCACTTGTGGAATATGTTATCCAGGTTGATCCTAGTATCATACCAACAGCATTTTTGGCATCGACTTTGGTGTTCACATCGTTCAGTCTTTCTGCCATTTTTGCTGAACGTGGAAAGTGGCTTTATTTGGGAGGCACTTTAATGTCATTGTTATCAGTACTTATGTTGATGTCTTTCGCTAACTTATTCTTTGGCTCCGATCTTATTTTCAAAGTAAAATTTTTCATAATATTCTATTGCAGTTAAAAATATCCTTTTCAACGTGACCTATTTTTTTTTCAGTCGTACCTCTACTTGGGACTCGCTTTGATGAGTGGATTTATACTGTACGACACTCAGTTAATCATGGAAAAAAGGAGAGCTGGAGACAAGGATTTCATTGCTCATTCGGTCGACCTGTTTGTGGACTTCATCGGTGTTTTTAGAAGATTGCTCATCATACTTGCTCAGAAGGTAGAACAACCTCAATAATTATTATGCGATATGTAATTTGAAGAGACTAATAAAAAAAATGTATTATTATTTAAGGAACAAGGATCGAAGAAGCGTAAAGACTGAATGAACTGCAAACGCTTGTACCTATTTTATTAATGTTAACAACCAGCAATTTACCAACTAAATATTGTAATATCATCTACTATGAACTATTCACAAAATAAAATTTAAAGTTAAAAAAAAAAAAATAGTGGGTTTATGTTTTATTAGTTTGGTAATTTTCTAAATATAAATATATATATTATACTCTGTAAGTCTTCAAATAGAATACTATAAAAAGTACCTCGAATCTAATGTTGTGTATGATGGTGTAGGCAATTTAGATAATATATTATATGATGTAGATACGTTAAAAATTAAATTTCGTAGATAACGTTTATGTATTTATTATCAAATGTTGTAATAACGGATTCTTAAAAAAATTAAAGACTAATGTGTAATTTGTTATTATTTTGTTGTTTTTTTCAAATTTAAATTATAATAAAAAATAAAATACACTTATTTAATTTAGTTTGTTTTATTTTTAATTCCATTTAGCTCTATATAGTATTGAGTGACTCATAAAAAAAAATACCTCACTATTTACACAACTTGTGGATACACCCACTTGAGTAGCTTGACTTGTCTGCCATGTGTAAATACAATACCCCTCTCCAAATTATTTTTTTTAAAAATACCTTGTTTATAAAAATTACACAATGCTCCTTTGCCGAAGTTAATTTTGGTAATAATTTAATTTGCATTAGATTTTGTTTAAAAATATAAACGGATCGAGAAGTCAATAAACAACATGTAATTCATTTTATTATTGTACAGATAGTATAATGGACTTCAATTCCGATCCTAACAACAATATTTAAGTAAAAATATTAACAAATATTAATTATACTGATTAAATTGTTCAATAAGAACACCTGAATTTTAATCATATTAAATCGCAAGTCATTCGCTTGTTTGTTTTAAAGCACAGAATATCCCTAGTCACAACTTAATAAAGCGAATTGAGGTTGAGGACTGTCAAGTCAACATTACTGAACAAGAAGCATACATAATTTGTAAAACCACAAAATTTTTTTAAAAAAAGGATTCGATACTTGTTAAACCTACTAAAATTTTCTTTTTCTTATCTTAACGGGTACACCATTTGATTAGATTATATAATAGGTTAAGGGAACGCCACACCGCCCATTTTTAAAAAATCTTAAAAGTCAAACTGTGTTGTGTAATTATTAGTTCAATAGTTAGTACTCTTTTTTTGGTAGTTAAATTATTTTTCGGACTATCATAGCATCCTTGTCAGCGATTTAAAAAAAAAAATTCTGTTGAGTTAAGTTTTATGAGGATACATTTTTCTCAAGATTCATATATAGTTAAGGAAAGAAATTCATACATATTATGTATGACAAAATTATCTGTGCTCCAGCAACCGTTTTTTTGATATACCTAATACCAACCAACGCTATATCATTTTCAAGACAAAAAAGTCCTTTCTTAGTTAATTAATTATTCATTAACTGGTTGAAATATTTAAAAAAAGGCCATGTTAGAGCACAGACAATGTAGTTGCCTATATTATGTGAAAATTTGGTTTCTTAATTTTGATTACAGCCTTTGTAAAATTAATCTTGCAAGGTGACTTTTTGAAGAAAAGAACGGGTGTGTGACGTCCTCTTAAATAATATCAGTAAAAAAGATTTTTTTTTTCAACTTGAATTATTTTCATTTATTGATATTGATAATAAGAGAAAAAATTGAGGTCAGGGGTTCACACAGCACTCCAAAATATGAAAAACAAAAATTGCATTTACGTGTAGTAGTAGAAAAAAAATATTACAGTATGGTTACTGAAAAGTTGTTCATGTTTTTTATGAATACGTTATTATTTATTTACAAATATGAAAAATGAATAATTATTGATATAACTTTTACCACTTAATTTGTATTGTATTCTACTTAGTCTAATTTTACGTAAAGCAACAAATACACAAAGCATATATTGTCAAATAGGGAGGTATAAAATAAAAAAAAATTTAACTCTAAAAATAGGTTTTCCATTAGTAAGGACGATTTCGGTCTCCTCTTCTGTCACTGTAAATAAAAAAAAACAATTTTAAAATAACAAAATCATGAAGTCATCCAAGTTCTTAAGGCACTTACTCTCTCATTGGTCCACCACCTCGACCACCGCCACCACCTCCACGACCACCGCCAGGTCCTCCTCTTCCGCCTCCAAAACCTCTACCACCGCCGCCACCAGGGCCACCTCGTCCACCCATTCCTGGACCGCCTCGGCCTCCGCCCATACCGCCGCCTCCACGTCCACCGCGCATTGGGGGCCCTCCACGGCCACCTCCCATGCCTCCACCACGTCTGCCACCGCTGTCACCATAGCCTTCAGGTCTTGGCTCACTACATCTGTTGCAGTTTTGTCTCCATGAAAAGTTGGTATTGGCACAAGAAGGGTTTGTACATTTCCAATCGCCATCACGACCGCCAGAATCATTTCCACCGCCTCGACCACCACCACGGCCACCGCCACCGCCACCTCCCATACGATCATCCCTTCTACGATCTGGGGGAGGTCCACGGTCATCTCTACTTCCACCACGGCCTCTGCCGCCACCTCTACCACCTAAAATAGGAACAAATATTATTAAGATTATTTTACTTTATTAACTGTTTACAGTATTTTCTATTTTAGTATAAATTCACTTGAAATTGCTTTTATTTAATTTCAGAATTTGCAACAATATTAATTTTTTACAAGTTTTAATGGTTAAAAAAAAAAAGAAAATGATTCCGTAACTGAATAACAAACGCTAAACAAAATAAATTTAAGTTCAAATCATGATATGTATGCTGGGTTACTTAAAGAATTAATAAATTGAATGGTTCATTAAAATTTAATGGACCTATCAACGACTACTAAATTATGTTTATGGAACTCTTAAAGATCTATTGGTTAATTACACGTTTATGAAACCCAGCATAAAAATGAAAATTATTATTACGTAGCTCACCATAACCACCATAACCACCATCGCTACCATCATCTCCTTGAGAGTCGTCCATATTATGGAAACCACCTCCATAGCCACCACGGCCTCGGCCACCACCGCCTCCGCGACCACCACCACCACCGCCGCCGCCGCCTCCTCCTCCTCCTCCTCCACGACCTCCTTGCCAATTATCTCTTTTTGTTGCAAGCTGAACACTAATTGTAGATCCATTAAATGATTTTCCTAAAAATATCGATTTAAAAATTTACATTTATGTGATAGGCAATAATAGTAAAATAAAATACTAACCATTAAACCAAGAAATTGCACTATTCGCAGAATGTGCGTCGTCATAGGTTACAGTTGCTTCTCCTTTTGGTCGTCCAGTGGCTTTGTCATTATACATCCAGATTTTGGGTTTTCCTGTTTTTTTGTCAGTCTAAAAATAATAATAAGTTTATAAAGTACATTATTTTCTTTCTATTTAGTTTCAGTTTCAAGTAAAAATAATATATTTAAGTAGAGATTAATATAATAATAGCTTTTTAAATACTTACTTTAATGATACCAATTGAACCAAAATGTTGTTCGATTTCAGCCTCGGATGTATTTGAAGACATGCCAGAAACAAATATGGTGTCTTCTTGTACAATAAAATCTCCACTGCGATCATTAGGTGGTGCTCCGCCTGATTGATTAATAAAAAAAATTAATAATAATAATTTAATATATGAACAACAAACCGGTTATAAATTTAAAAATGATGAAATAAATATTGACCGTCGAGTAAAAACCATAAAACTTTCGAACGAAGATTTAATAATTTACAACTAAGTATATAAATATTCAATTGAAACAGTCGATTTATCATCAAATACAATTTTTAGAAAAAGTGTAAAATGCAAATAGTTATAATACTACAAGCCTACAGAATATTCTGAACCAAATTTATCCAATCAACTATTTTAAATAATTGACTAGAAAATTAGTGTTTAAAAAAAAATTATATTCATAGTACAACAAACAAGGCATAATAAACCGTAATATATTCACTCTTAAAATCCATCTAATACCATTGCAACAAGCAGTTTTAGTGGCGTGCATTATTAGGGTGCAGTAACCTATCCTATTAGTTAATATCCAATATTTATAATATTAAATAAGTACGTATTTTACATAATGTTTATAAAATACAGTTGAACCAACCAACCAAAAATTCCTCACCATTTACAAAAATTATTCATACTATTTGTAAACGTTTAGTTCAAAATAAATTTTAGATTAGAATTTTAAATAGCATTATGTTTTCGGATTTAATTATGCGTAGACTTAAATACTAGCTTAAAAAAAATGTTTACCTATTTTATGTAAAATGTACAGATAACAATTTTTAACACACTTTAACCATTTAATCTTTCTTTTTACAACAGTTATATACCATAATGTGATACCTACACAATTTATTTTATATAAATATTCATAGGAATACACTACACACCAAATAAAGGTAAAATGTTTTTTTTAAAAGATTTCAACAAATTCGTTGATGACCTGAGTTCTAAACGTTTTTAAGCTTATAAGTTATACCATACTACATCACCCTTTTTTCTTTATTAATTATTATTGTTATTTGATAATATGTTTAATAACTTTATTAACACATTTGAATGGGAAATTCCACAAAATTCTAAATTATTGTTGAAACTTCCACATAATGTTCTAATATTTTTTTGATAATTATTTATAATTGGGTTATATATTATTGTGTTACCCATGTCAGATATAACACCGTCAGGTAAACAAAACCATAAAATGATAATTCTTCTTTTTTGTATTTAAAACGACATTTTAGTATAATTTTATTGTGACACACATTAAAAATTACCTACTTCTAAATTAAGTGTGTATTGACAATTGAAATATTAGAACCATTCAGAAAAATGTTTCAAACATGATTCTTTCAAATGAAACATTCATTATTGTCCTACAAACATATGTTTAATATTTACACATAACAAAAAATCGAGTTGTTAGTCCGTACATTTTTTTTTAGTATCTCTTAAGAACGATTTCTTATTCATTTTTAAATGTTACAAAATAAATAACAATATTCCTGTGTCATAATTTTTTTAATTAATAAGTAATCATACGAAATGGCATCAAGAGTTTTACACATTTCAGTATAAACATAATATAATAACTATGGCAAACCATATCACATACCACCCTTTAGAAAACTATTGTATTACTTATATTGTATTGTAAAAATTTGTATTCTACTTTAATAATATGTTTTTCGTTGTAATTTGTTTTTTTTTTTTTATTCACCTTTGATTAATATTATTAAAATTTTATACCTCTAAAACAGTTTGCTAAATTAGCATATTATAATATTATATTAATTACAATACCATTTATTATTTAATTTTTGAGCTGGAGTGATAACAACTCGTACTTTTATTTATTGTAAATTAAAACATTTTTGTTTTTAGAAGAAAACAATGTTTTACACCAAGTTGTATGCAATACTAAGCAGAATACCTAACACTAAATTGTTATACAAAAATACACTAACGAAACTTTTGTAGCAGGTAATATTATTTTTTATTACTACCATGTATTATATACTGAACCACTTCAAATAGTTCCCCGTGCATTAAAGATGTTCTACTTAAATGTAATCTTAAAAATGTTAATTTTTGCCCTATATTGACAGAATTACTAAACTGCTAGAACCTCATTGCACGCCACTGATCGCTTAAGTAAATAAAAAATAAAAAATATAGTACCATCAAATAGACTTTGACATATTTAGGTTTAGAAGTATTACCTTGCAAGATAACTAACTTATCTTGTAAACAGCAAACGAGGAATAATATACTTATTTTAGTTACAGACTCGTTTGTGCCTATGAACCATTTACTTATTGTTATTATGTATATAAAGCACCACTTGGTTCTGTGCTATTTACCTTTGTTAAAACCACCCCTGCCGCCAGAGCTAGAACAGAATAAATTGCATACACAATCAAACACGATTACATTTATAATATTTTGATAGGAAACAAATAAATATTACATTTTGCAATTTAACGACAATATAATAAATCAATTTTATATTTATAAAGCACAGTCTATAAGTGCACCGTAATGAATTCTCAAACCGATATTAATATATTATCAGATACTCGCAGCGAACATAGCAGTTACACACATAACTCAATATTTTTTAAATATTTGGTGCATCACTGTAAAATCTCAACTTCTACTTAAAAATGGGTTTTAGTTAAGCTTATTTCAGTGGAAAATTTACTTATCTTTGTTAATGAAACATTTTACCAAATATTACATAAACAATCAAATATTTCTTTATTTATACTATAAACTGTATTTCAGGAAAAATCAACTCCCATAGATTTTTCATTGGATATAATAAATTTCAAACCTTTTTTAAAATGACCCATTTCTCTTTTGGGAGTATTGATGTAGCTTTTTGTGAAAAATACAGCAAGAAATTCTTAAAAGAAATAAAGTATAATCTTAAAAAAGACTTATTGAAGTTACTGCTTTATTCGTTGCAAGCTCTTATAAATAAAAAATTACAATTAATAAACTAACTATAAATAATATTTATAATGGCGTTTTAAAAATATAACAACAAGTATCAATCAATTTTGTACAGTGATTGTACTAGGGTTATGACAATATCCAATATTAAGATAGTTTTGGACATCCAAATTTATTTTTATAACTCTTCCGATTTATTTTTAACTGAGTTGTCAAAGTGAGACATCAAAAGAGGGCTTAAAGATAAGATGGACCAGTTATATATATATATAAAATTCTTGATGTCTCAAATCATATTAAACTTGAGTTTTGACTTACAAGTTATGGTTAATTTTAAAATTTAAATCTGAGAAAAATTCAATGGCAATTGAAATGATTATGTTTTTTAACATAATTTTTTTGTATACTATCAATAATAGAGACAATTATTTAAATTTTAATACCAGAATAAATAATAACTTTCAAATTATAAATAATCAAAACCTCTCGTTTTCAATCACACAATTACAGAAATCTTTAATTATTATGGTTTTTTTTTAATAAATGGGATTGCCTACATACATCTCTACCATAAAATGAATACATATAACACATTTGGTGTTGTGCTTAAAATAATAAATGATTTAGGCTTTATCATTGGTTTAGTATCACCCGCGCCTGCCGATTATAACTGTGACAAGTCGTGCCACGGTGGTAAAGGAAATATTATATATTTTTTATATATCAATATGAAAATATTTCAATTACTAAATTATAAATTCACAACGTAGTTATAAAACTCCGTTATCTTTAACTCTACTTTATAAACTGGCGGCTTTAATAAACGGTATAATTAGTCCTTCAATATTTTTACATTTTCAGTTTTGAATCAATATTTTGTATAAAAACCTCGAAAAATAAAATTACAACATATAAAAAAAATAACACATCAACCTTAAAAAAGCCGTATTTCTATATTAATATTAGCAAGATAACACTAGAAAGTTATTCACAAAGTTAACATAAACCTGTGTTAACATTATCAACACTAATTTAATCATACTTAAAAAATAAAACCATCAATACTTATCACCTAAATTCAAATTTGGATATAATCCAACCAACCAACCAACCAGCCAGCCAACACAAGTAGGCAAATTATTGTGATTATTCCAAATATTAAACAAATTATTATTTCTGTACCTATAATGCTTTTGTACTTAAAAATAAATAACATTAATAAGAGAAATTTATATGACACAAATTTACCATCCAGCACATTTTTTTTGTCACTCTACTAAAATTGTGACAATATTAACAGATTTTTTTTTACACAATAATGTTTTAAATACATTTTTTATTATTATTAAAAATCCTAACTATTCATAAGTTACGTATTTTGCACGCAATTGAGTTAACGACTATTTTACCCTCTTTACATGGTAAAATCCAAATAGGATATTCGACCGACCAACCCTTTAGTTCATTAAAGCATTAATATGGTTAATGAAACAAAAAACATTGTGAATTATCACATAATCGTAACAAACAGTTTTCTATAGTTGATGCGATTTTTACTTTTCAAATAAAAACTAATTTATAGAAATATAATTGGTGATCCATATAGGAACCACTAACACGGAGTTGTATAAACAACAGATTTTTCTTTACTATGTACTTACATTATGAGATATAAAAATAAAAAAGCATCTATAAAAATACTTTTAGACTATAAATATAACTAAATATTTCTACGTATTTATTTATAGATTCATAATTTGATTAAAATCACTCTAGTAGTTTTTATACCAAATGTCACACGCAATATTATCTTAACAATATGGTTCTTTTAAACATGCACAGTCGAAATATCCTAATTACTTTAAGCTTAAATGATATTTTGATTTCAAATGGAAATTACGACAGTAATATTTAGATATGAGAAAATACACTATATCTATTTTTACAAGTAATGAACTTAAGGGTATAATATTGTCATCTCTTTTCTTATGACCATTTTTAATACAAACATTAAAATTAAAAATTATAATGACAGTTAATTTAATTTTTAATACTGATAATCAAAAAAATGTCCACTATTTACAAGTAGAATTAACACATCAATACAAGTAACAGAAATATTTGTTAACACTCAAAAATCATGTGCTAACTTCTGAAAGCTATACTCAAATAGCTTAAATTTTATCTAAAAATACAAAAATTTTTTTAAATAAATAATAAAGGAGAGAAACATTCAGCATACTAAGGTTTAACTCTTAAATGTCATTATAGTTTATGAACAAATTAGCATTATTTTCTTAATATGATATAATTTATTAATAATTTATCTACTTACTCATAACCGCTACTACCTCCACGATCCTGTCTGCCACCTGAAATGATCAAAATATTTATAATTAACTGAAAATAAAATTCTAGTAACAAGAAGTATAATTTAAATGTCATGTTGAATTTACCTCCAAATCCACCAGGGCCGCCAAAACCGCCTGATGGTGGGCCTGCGTAGCCATTACCACCACTAGAACCATTGAACGATCCTTGTTGTCCTCCAGGCTGTCTGAAATTTGGGGGTGGTTGTTCATAAGCAGCATAATTGCCAGCCCCTTAAAAAAAAAAAAAGTAATAAGTATGTTATATCAATATGAACAGAACATTTTGAAAATATGTTAAGACAATTGGTACCAACCAACTGGTTGCCCAGCTACTGGAGGTCCTACCGAAGGCCTATAATTACCTTGGCCTCCAGTGGGTGGAGGAGGAGGTTGGGGCCATCCACCACCACCGCCACCTCCACCAGAATAACCTTGTGGTTGAGGTGTTTGCTGGGATTGAGGAGCGCCCGGCTGTTGGTAACTAGGTGGACCTGGTGGAGGGGCACCGTAAGCTGGATATCCACCATATCCTCCTGCTACACCACCACCAGCTCCTCCGCCACCATACTGATTAGTAGAGTATTCTAAAAGATTTACAAAAAAAAAAAAAGATTAATAAGTTACTATTATACCTAGCCGTATTATCAATTCAAAAAAATTCATAATAACTAAACTGAGGCAGATATAATAAAATGAATTATTGGCAATAGGTAGGACAGCAAATAATATTTGCGTAGAAGCAGAAAAAATCCTTAAGCCCAGCTCCAATTTTATCTCTAGAAATCTTAGTTGCCACAGCTTAAAACGTTTTAAATGTATGCAAATGGTGTTTAGAGAACCACTCATTCAAAGGAATGAACTTGATGTTTATTAATTTTTCCCTACGTAGTTTATGAAGGCAGACCGCAGAAGGATTCAACGACAAATTCAGACTATCAATACAAAGCCCATTAAACTGTAAACCATTGAAATATTATAGAATTTTATAATAAAGAACTGTTCTTATGCTCTACTTTTACAATAAACTATATAGTATCGATAGCAAAAATTAATTTTGGCTATAGTTTAGTAGTCTAGATATCTTTAGAATTTAAAACGTTGACCGATTCGAGAAAATCATAGAGCTTGATGGATAATTATTATTTAAATAATATGTATTGAATTTGTTCAAAATGTAGCACTTAGTATCGAAAAACTGCATCGCAATAATCGAGTAACGACTAACGACCGACCGGCCGGCCGCCTGCTCGCGCTCAATCCAACGAATAATAATATTGCAACGTTACTTACGTGGATTTGCCATTATTGAAGAGTAACGAACGTTAACTAATTTACTTAAAAAATAACTTTTTAACAGGTTTACTTAAAAAACTGAAACAAATAAAAAGATAATTGTATAAAACACAGAGGAGACAACACGCCGAGGTACCGGACTAATCCAGAGGCTATCGGCGAATTCGGCAGTAAAATTCCTGCCCAAAATGGCGTTTGTTTATGGTTTGGTTCGGTACAACATCATGCACGGCGTGCGTGACATCACGAGAGACGCTAACGGAACAGTGTGGCCATAAAGAACAAATAACAGGACTATTTTTTTTATCAGATAAAGTTTTAAGTCTAGTTATCATTCGTGATAACAATCAACAAAATAATATTTAAAAAATATTCAAAAACCGAAATGACAAAAAAAAAAAACGAATAATTATTATTAAATGTTCGTCAATAATTACAATTGATTAGTTATTACCCACTATATTACTAAGTATATTAATCACCGTATGGAAATATTCCGTTTTAAATACCCGAGCTATCTTATCCTATTTAATAACGATTAGGAAATATGTAAACACTGAATATTAAGACAACAATACGAAACGATTGTAACAAATATGGCAAAAGTGAAACACAAAATTTGGTATGTACTAAGTACAAGTCGGTTGTTATTAACTAGTAAAATATAAAGAATATAGAATATATATATATATATATATATACATCAAGTCTTTAAACTTGACTCTGAATTCGAAAATTTTGCAACCAAGGGCATCACTTCTACGTCATTCCCCATCCCTAAAATAATGTATGACTTATGTTTATATTTACTACCCTCCTCCTTTATTGGTAGAATATTTGTTGCATGGGGTACTTAATTTTCTTTTAAATGCGGTCCAGCTTAAGCTGTTATCATAGCTTTAAATTTAATTTACGTTTCAGCTAATTATTTTGTCATTATTTTATAATTCATCAGTCTTCTGCATACATATCATCGCTGATTTTACCAAATTTACCTCGAAAGATAATTCTAATTTGCAACTTTATTTGATATAATATACCTTATCAAATATTATTGTTTTCCTTCAGTTTATATATAATTTAGTCTAGCTTCATATATTTTATTTTTTTGGGGTATTTAGCATGGCATCCGATTTTTTTTATCCTAATATGGGCGGCGTTGAAGAACATATATTTAATTTATCTCAATGTCTACTGATGAAAGGATATAAAGTGATTGTTTTAACTCATTCATACAAAGATCGGGTTGGAGTACGATATATGACAAATGGATTAAAAGTAATAAATTGTTGGTCTTGATTATTTACTATAATTGTTTAATATGTTATTTATGTTTAGGTGTATTATTTACCTATCAAACCGTTTTACAATCAGTGTGTTTTACCTTTAATGGTTTGCTCGTTGCCGTTAATAAGATATGTATTAGTCAGAGAACAGATAACTATTATACACGGTCATTCAGCGTTTTCTACTCTTGCCCATGAAACCATGATGATTGGTCGTTTGTTAGGAATTCAAGTAAAATTTATTTGTAATTTGAAAAATAAACGTGTATAAATATTTGTTTTTAGACTGTATTTACAGATCATTCGCTATTTGGGTTTGCTGATACATCAGCTATTATTACCAATAAGTTTTTAGAGATGTCTTTAGCCGATTGTAATCATTGTATTTGTGTATCACACATTGGGTAAAATTTCAAAATTATGCTTATAAATATTTCATAACTGATGTTTTTATTTGTGTTTTAAAAATTAACAGTAAAGAAAATACAGTTTTGAGAGCTCGGGTTAATCATCAGAGGGTTTCTGTTATACCAAATGCTGTTGATACTACAGCATTTGTTCCTAAATTAGAATTAAGAAGCAAAGATAAAAGTAATAAACATATTAACCTAACCTAATCTGATGTGTGAGATTTTTTTTCATGAACATTTGTAATTACAGTAACAATTGTTGTTGTTAGTCGTTTGGTTTATCGGAAAGGAATAGACTTACTAGCTCAAATCATGGCTGACATTTGTCAAAAGCATCCAAAGGTTAAAACAGATTAATCCATATCCATTCAATCCACTGAGTATATCGAGTTCAGTGATTTAATCATATGTATATATAGGTGCTGAATTATTTTATTCGTTGCAGATACAATTTATAATTGGTGGTGATGGTCCTAAACGTGAACTTTTAGAAGATGTACGCCAGAATTTAAACATCCAAAATCAAGTAACTCTGCTCGGTAGCTTGGAGCATTCACAAGTATGCGATGTTCTCAACCATGGACACATATTTTTAAACACCTCGTTGACAGAAGCGTATTGTATGTCTATTGTAGAAGCAGCATCTTGTGGGTAAGGTTATTTATAATCAATCACCATATCATCTACAATCAATCAACAATCTTTTATACTTATCTACATTTCAATAATTGGTACTTAAGGGGGCCCGGAGTTAATGCCTATTAACTCCATCTCCAGCAATATCCTGGAGTAACTAAAATGTCTAAAACCAATAGATTTTAATTGCTTCGGAACAAATACATTGCATTAGTTCCACAATAAATTTCGGATCATTGATTTTAGGTTAAAAATTGTTAGCACCAGAGTCGGAGGTATCCCTGAAGTATTGCCGCCAGAGCTTATAATTTTAACCGAACCAAATGTTCAATGTAAGAAATCTGTTATTGTGTTGTTAAAACATTATTAAACACAAAAGTTGATATATTTTTTTATTTTAGCTATATTAAATGGATTACATGTTGCCATAAACCAAGTCAACAATAATATCGGACTGTCACCAGTTAAGTGTCATGAATTGGTACAGTCGCTGTATAACTGGATGAATATCGCCAAACGAACAGAGATTGTATACAACATGGTTTCACTAGAACCGCCTAAGTCATTGGGAAAGCAGTTACGCAGGTTATTTTATTTCCTTCTCAATTCTAACAAATTACCTAACATGTCTATAATTTTAAACGTTATATTCTGTTGTTATTATTATAGTTATATACCAACTGGAGTGTACCCATTTTTGTTAGTTGTTTCATTTATGCATATATTGCTTAAAATATTAGATTGGTGGATTCCCCGATCGGTAAGTTTTACATTAAACATATAAAATAATTATAATAGTAGTTTTTATTATTATTTATTAACAATATTCATTTCAGGATATTGACATAGCCAAAGATTATAATACAAAGAACAGTTTCATTACCAATGACCAACAACCTGATTTCAGTGACAAATAATTTTTTTTTGTACAACATAATAAAAATATGTAATTATTAGTTAAGGTTATTATTATAGTCTAAAATAAAAAGGACGGATATAATTATACATATCACAAAAGTTTTAGGTAAATTAAAATTTAGAAAATCAAGAGAGATCAATTTTCAATGCATTCTACAATTATTTTTATAACAATTGAGTCATCTTTAATAAATCCATTTTGTAAGACTTCGTCAATAGCGACAAACTCACTGTAACCAAATGCTCTTGGGTTTAAAGGAGGTGTCTCATTACCATTGTTGCTAAATGAACATTTTCTAAATGCTTCAGATTCGGCCGATGATTCCATTTTTAAACAAACGGTCAGTGAAGGATCAGTCGGATGAATCAATGATAATGTAATATGACCATTAAATGGCCAATTTAATGTATCATCATAATCTCCGCGCATCATGTGTATAAAAAGAGAAAGATTTTGGTTGTCTGTTGACATGTTCACTCGGCCGCATACTCTAAAATAAAAATTTTAAAAATACAATGTTAACCAATTTCTCATTAGGTAATACAGCAATATTGTCAATTAAAAAAGTTAATTTACTTATAACCGGCAGCTGACGTGTAAAATCCTGGTGTGTAATATCTAGTTTTCAGTGGTTTTTCTTTCATTAATTTAAAAGATTCCATAAAATTTTCAAATCTCCAAACGTAAACGCCATTGCAAGTTGCTAACGATAAGTTGGTTTGGATTTGCATCAACTCCATGCTCAAATTATTGATCATATGACTTAAACGTTCTTGATCTTTATTTTTTTCATCATTGTTTTGGCTGAGACGTTTTATATCCTTGTCCTTTTCAATATTACTCTGTTCTAACACAACTATTCTCTCGTACAGATTGCTGTAAACATATTATAATAGAGTTGAGTTGAAGTATAGCGTGAACGAATTTGTTCTATCAAGTTTGATGTCATATTTCATTTTAGTTTTGACAGACAAGTATTAAGTGTGTACATATAATTAAATGACTATCTTAAATTGCACATGAGGTTTATTTTTCATGATAAAACATATTTTGCTCAATAATTAATAATGTAAACACAGCAAAAAAACTAACCAAAGTAACGCTTTCTCTGAACTTGGATCTTTGTTTGCATCCCAAAACTGTGTTGCTTCTAGCGCTTTATGTTGTACTTGCTCTCTTTTCATTACCTTGTTTAAAAGATTAACGTGAGATTCAGACAACAACTGAAACAATAAAAATAATTTTAAGTACAATTTATTTTAAGAATGTATTTTTATTATGATATCTACTCACAGTTAAATGTTTAGAAGTATTTACTTCTAAATGACATAATATCTCTTCTTTACTTTTTAAAATCACCTTGCAACCAATTATATGGAAAGGACAAACATTTTCGTCGACTCCGTTTATCTATATTCAACAATCCAACACCAATGAGTTATGCATTATTTGTAGTAATATTTTTTTAATTTTTATTTTAAAATAATATTACTTCGTTTTTATTAAATTTACATGTGGCAAAGTGATCATCGGCTTGCAATAACGGGATTACAATTCCACAACCCTCATTTGAACAAGACACTTTCTGCTCGTCTATTTCCCGTTTCGTATAGTTATCCGGAAACAAGCCGTCACTAGATAACGACTCAAAATCGATTGGGCAAATTTGACTTTTGCGTCTAAAACAAATAATAATAATGAATACACATTTATAAACAAATACAATATCTATTCATAACTGTCATATTGGCTAATAACAATGACAACAACAAATATTTTAAAGGTCTTGACCATATAATTAGAAAAAGTGAACAATACACAAATTCCTTCCAAGCTAAGTGTTTTAAATTAAGTAATTATAATAACCGCTGAAACAAATCATTTAATTGTTAGAAGCTATTAATGATTTTTCTTCTTCAGCTTTGTTTAAGACGCACTTATGTAGAGTCATAAAAAATTAATTATAACTTACTTTAACCACGCGTGTATGCATTCTGAACAAAAACGATGTCCACATCTCGTAAGCACAGGATCTTTCAAGCAGTTGAGACATATAGAACATTGAAAACGACTATCTATTGCAGATTGCATTTTTAAATATCTAAAACTAAAAAAAAAAACATGTTTAAGGAACGTTTAAAAAAAAACAAAGTTCAAATTTCATAGCTCAGCCTTATTAAACTGAAAGCTACACTTATCGATTTTTATACCTAATTTTAGAAATAATTAAAAACATTATTAATATTAAGTAGCTCCTACCTACAAATTAAAAATGTAAGTACATTTTTGGCCAAAATGTGTTTACAGGTTAGTTGCATAAATGATTTGCAGATCATAAATAAAATAGTCTATATTTTAACAGTTAGAAAGCATTAAAAAAATTTTAAGTACTATAAACAAATGTTAAGGAAGATCTTTAAATATTCTCGCCAATAAAATAAAAATATATAAAAATTTACATATAAAAAAAATATACATTAATTAGAGATGGATTGGTTTTTGGAAATTAAATAGTTAGATCAAACTAATGTAAAAAAAATTAACAATATATTTTTTTAATTTAAAAATGTTAGGATTTGTCAAAATATGTTAATATTTTGTACAGTTGCCTATAACGAAGGAATTCAATGTTTTAAGGCATTTAAAAATTAATAATACAGTTTTTTTTTTTTTAATTCGACAATAAGTATTAATCGTTTAAAAACACTCACTAATACTTGTTTGTTTTTCTTTTTAAAGTAAAATGTTTTTAAATTTAGTAATATCCGAATCTCGCGACATAAAGTAAACGATCAAGTCGAATAATTTACATGACATCAAAATTAAAGCAATTGTTAATAAACAAATAATTTTAATAGAATTTACAACAATATTATAGTATAATAATTAATAGTATTCAGGAATACAGTCCTTCGTGACACGCACCCGGACCAACACGTCGACATTCTACGAACTGCGGCGGTCAATGTTTTTAAGATTATTGATATTATAATTATAATAATATTTACAATCTTATATAATATCAGTCAAATGTGAGTATATATCTATTCAATGATATAACCACAGAATTCTGTTATTGTTGTTAGCATTCTGTGTTGTTAGGGAATCCGTATCAAATCTAGTTTTGATTGGCTATCGCCTATCTGACACATGTGATAATAAATTCGCTACCAAAATAAAATAACAATAGTTGAAAGGTATTAGGTATATTTCATAATTCACATATACTAGATGCTATCTGTCTGAACTCTTACATACTAGTTGTTGTCATTGTTCACACTTTACAGATGGACTGTGGCTGTTAAAATTATTTCACACCTCAAGACGGACTATAAAATATCTCATTCTAATAACAGGGGTAGTTTTGTCATGTTGCCCTCGCCCTGGTTTTAGAAAGAGGCTGTTGTACAGTTTTTTCCATTAAAAAAAAAATATATCGTTTGTGTTATAGTAAAAAAACAAAATATAGTGTGTTAACAAAATAGATCTTCTTAGGCCGTCTGCCGAATGATAGCTGTCGTTTATTTTAGTTCATTCTGATTGAACTCAAATCGGTGGACTTTGGATATAATTCTTAAGACATTTAACATAGTCTATCGAGCATAGCATTATATACTTTTTGGCAATGGAAAGGAATAATACCATTTTCAAAACATTTGGTATAAAATTATTCAAAATTTCATACTTCAGAAAAAATACATATGCATATCTTGAAAATAAAACCAACCATCTTCTTACATACTAGGTTACTTTACACTATTAATATTTAATACATTGGAAATTTATATTGTTTTTTATGTTGTCATGAATACTTTAAGTTCAATAATTTAGCCCAAATTTCCCAGTCGTCTTTTAGTGAGCTAAAATTATATATGATATAAATATAATGTTAAAATAAAAAATTAATTTATATACATTGAAAAATAAAATTCTACATATTTTCACCTCCATTCTGTTGACAGTGATATAAAATACTGATTACCTTTAAAAATAACTTAATATAAGTATAATAAACTTAGTACAAATAAAGTACTACATAGGCAAGGAAAGCATTTTATAAATTATATTAAACATTAGAAATTTAACACAAACAATTTAAAGACTAGCAACTAAGATAATTTAGTGTATTTATTTCTTTTTAGAATTTATATTATTAGTATTAACTGGAGCGTTAAATTCATATAATTCTACAATGCGTTTTTCTCCATTAGGTGGTCCAATAAGTTTTACCATTTCATCATAATTTAATGATTCTTTACGTAATAATTCTTCGGCAATCTGAAAATAAATTTTAAAACTTCATTAAATAAGCATTTAAAGGTAAGCTTGAATATAACTAAATAAAATGTTTCAAAATATTGATTAATTTTATGACAAACATTATAAATCTGTATGTGTTTGCCACTTTTACATCAATATAAAATGGAAATAACAAATTTAAAAAGTAAAAATGAAATACCAATTTAAGTTTGTCGTAATTTTCTTTAAGTAAACTTTCTGTTTTAAAATAAGCTTTGGCTACTAATTGGGACACTTCAGTTTCCATAAGTGCTGCTAATTTATTGCTATACGGTCGACGACTATCTTTTGTAATTTCCGGGAATGACAACAAGCCAACATTACTATTCATTCCGTACTGCCGTATCTACAAAAAAAAATATAAACTGTAAAAATATACACAATAGCATGATTCTATGTATTTAAATAAACAAGTTTTACTTGAGCATTAGCAATTTTGGTAACTTTATCTAAATCATTTTGTGCTCCTGTTGTTATACTGTTAAATACTATAGACTCAGCCACTCTGCCACCAAGTCCCACGCACATTTTTTCAAATAACTAAATAAGATAACAATACAAATTATGTGTAAATTTCTTCTTCTTTTGGTCAACTTCATTTGTATGGTTAAGAGAAAAAATTAATCATTATCTTCTTTTATTTATACCTATCCAATTATTTTTATTGCTATTAATATGTAACTTTAATAATTAAGAAATCATCACATCACTTATTTATTAGATTATTTTCTGAAAGATTTATTCGGTAAATAAAACGAGACTTACATGAATTAGATAAAATACTAGTTCAGAAATTATAAAAAAATTATTGCATAGCCTATTAAGAGGGGGGCAGCAGTTAGGAAGTTATAACTCTGCTTAAAATTAAGAGATCATTCATTTGTTTTTTTGTCAACATTCTTTTATACTATTTTCCAATTTTAAAAAAGTGTGCTTAAGTTTTTAGAATAACCCTCAAAGAAATCTTTCATCGCACCAAGTTATAGTTAGGACTTCTTATTGGATATTCTTTAAGATGGAAAATTTAAGTATGAACATGCCAATTACTTACAACTTGTTTTGATAGCAAATATCTCTCTGTTGGTGTGTACTGAGCAAATCCTAAGGTGGCGTTTGTTCTTGGAACAATAGTAACTTTAAGTAAAGCATCAGTAGTTGGCAACAGCCACCCGATAAGAGCATGACCTGCTTCATGGTAGGCAACTATTTCTTTTTCATTTGGAGAAATAGCATGAGATCTTTTTTCAGCACCTCCAACTACTCGTTCAACTGCATAGTCTAAATCATTTTCGACTACTACCTTCTGATTATTTCTTGCAGCATGCAATGCTGCTTCATTACAAACATTAGCAATGTCGGCACCTTAAACAAAATTTTCCATATCTAAATTTCACATATTGTTTACAATAAATAATTTTTCCAAATTACCACTAAAACCAGGAGTTAAATGAGCCATTTTCTCTGAGTAACTCTTTGGATCTTTATCTAATTTAATTTTGAGGTGTTGTTCAAATATCTCTTTACGTTCTTCCAATGTAGGAAGATCTATGAGAATATGACGGTCAAAACGTCCAGGTCTCAGGAGGGCCTATATTATGATATCATCAATTTATATATTTATATTTAACTTTCATTTATACCACCATAAGCAAAGTAATAGGTAATTTACCTTATCTAGTATATCTGCTCGGTTTGTTGAAGCTAACATCAAAACACCTTCTTTTGAGCCTATCCCATCCATTTCAACTAACAATTGATTTAATGTTTGTTCACTCTCATCGCCTCCTCCCGATGGACCTCTAGATGACCTTTTACGACCTATAGCATCAATTTCGTCTATATAAATAATGCATGGAGATCTTTTTCTTCCTTCTTTAAACAAGTCTCTGAAATAATTAAATACTTTTTTTAGTTTCAATCAAATTATACAGTTTGAATCATTCTTACCGTACTCGAGCAGCTCCAAGTCCTCCAATCATTTCAATAAATTCAGAACCATTCATAGACAAAAACGGAACGTTAGATTCAGTGGCTACGGCTTTAGCGAGCATTGTTTTACCACAACCTGGTGGTCCTAAAAGTAAAGCTCCTTTAGGAACCTTTGCACCTAAATTCTTATAGTGTTCTGGACGCTTTAAGTAATCAACAAACTCCATTACTTCTTGTTTAGCTTCTTTAAGACCAGCAACATCCTTAAATCGAACTCCTTTACCTTGACCAATTAACGGGTCAACTAATGTATACTTTGCTCTCTTAATTTGAGACTAAATATGAATAAGTAAAAAAAAAAAATTCAATGAAGCGTTAATTTTATATATATTTTTTTCAATCAATAGTACTATTTTGCTGGACAAACTTAGTTTGGATGTTATAGACATTTGAAGATCACCGATATTGACATATGCGGGCGTCCAGCCGTGCATGTCTACCTGCGCTGCCAACGGGTTCACTTTCCGCGGCCCGTCATGGTCCTTTTTTTTGCCGTAATACTTTTGTCTAAGAATGATTAGATAAAATCGAAAAATAATGTTTAGATGTGCGCCGGCGGGCACCCGCGTTTGTCGATATGAGCGAGGTTTAAATGTCTATAACTTCCAAACTAACTTTGTCTGTCAAAAATTTTTTGAAGATTCGTAACCAGCATTAAAAGTACTATCGATTAAAAAAAAAAATTTTTTAAAAAGATGCCTGGTAAAGTATATTTGTTTCATAATTTTAATTATAAATTTGTTTAAAGTAGCTTAGAGTCGCTTACAAAAATATCCAAGTTAATTGGAGACTTTCCACCTTTTGAACGACTAAAATAGGCCATTGCAAGTAAACCAGCCAAAACTACAAATAAAATAAATTCTGGAGCATTCAATGATCGATCATATACAACAGGAACTCCATGCCCAGGTTTTATTCCTAATTTGTTTTCAGCATCTCTTAATTTTTGTTCAAATCTATCTAAATCAGCTATATTCATATGAAAGGTTCTTTGGTCTATCTACATAAACATAATTACTATTAGTTTAACAATCAATTATAAATAATAAATATATGTAATAAGAATAAGAATAAATTTACTTTGCGTCCTTTAATTACAGCTCCTTCGTGTAATCGAATAGTAACAATATCCAAATCAGGATGAGCTATTATTTCCTCTACTTCACCTTTTGCTAACATTAAGTGGACAAATTCATTCCATGATATATACCGCATATCCTGTACATACATCAAGGCAAGAATTAACAAATGAACAAGAAATATTGATAAGTGATAATATATGAAATCTATAATAAGATATAAATAATTACCTCAGGATTCGAAGGATTAGGCAGTAATAAACTAAGGCAATATAGCATAATATAAGTTGAAAGGACTCCCATGATAACTTTCATCATTATAGGATTCATCGGGTCATCAGGTTTTTTTCCATCTTTGTCATTTTTGTTAAAATGGTTATACCTGCTAAAAATTTTATTTGCAGCACCAATTTCTTTTTTTATTATATTTAGCTAAAAATAAAAATACTAGGTATTAATCATTGAAATTATATGCAATATTGTGCAACATTATTCCCTACAAAATTATGTCAGCCTTAAAGGTTTGTAAAATATTAATGTTTTAGTATTAATATCTTATACAACATACTTTTATGAACAACAATTCTTAATTAAATGTATGTCTTACTTTCTTAAATGTATCTATTGGTGATTTTCGCATAAAACTACTCATAGACCTAACGCATTTAATTTCATTTGTTTTTCCATAATAACTGTGAAACCCTTTTGGTCTGACATTCCGTAAACTGTATCTTGATATTACATTTATCAAACTTAATCCCATTATTTCGAAATAAATGTGAAAATTGTATTTAATACCAATTGATCATTTTCACATGCAAATTACAATATTTAAAAATAATAAATATTAAACTAAATAAGGCAAGTGTCAACAGCTGCAGCTATCAACTCAATATCAAGTACTGACTGATTGAAAGTTGAAACATGTATTTTATCATTAGTTAGATTGGGTACATCTTAGACCGTGGTATGCTTTATTGATAAGATTATTGTGATATATTTGGCTACGACTCAATTCGTAACGTTTCACAAACGTGTCCCGTAGGCGAATACGGAGTAACAAGCCTTTCTTCAGTAATCAGTTTTACGATTAACAAAAGAAAATTTTCCATTTTATCGTTTGGTCATAGAACTTGACAATTATTATTACATTTTTCCTATTAGAAATATTATGACCTAGTCTAGTCATAAAATTAGATTTATTTAGGTTTTATAGTTACATTCCTGCCTATAGCAAATTCGTGATTTATAGTTTTAATTGTGCTATGCATTAAACGTACTAAAAACAAAATCTGAGTACATTCATAATTGGATCATTTAAGAAAGAGATATGCCTGTAGCAATGAATCGCAGACGTGTCAACAATTTTACGTATGTCAGCCCTTGCGTAAAATATATGATATTTTTACTTAACTTTTTATTTTGGGTAAGTAACATCTCATATTTGAATAATACTTAAGTTTAGTTATTGTGATAACTAAGATTTCTTTATTGTTGTACGCAGTTATTTGGTGGATTATTAGTAGCTGCTGGGACTTTTGCATTTTATGAAAAATGGAATACTATGGGTTCAATTAAGCTAAATACATTCTCTGATGTCATTCTAAATATATCTTTAGTTTTAATCATTGCTGGTCAGATAATATTCATTGTAAGCTTTGCTGGTTGTATTGGTGCGTTGCGAGAAAATACAACTTTACTCAAATTTGTAAGTATTACAATGCAATAGTATAACTAACAAATCATATTCATCAAAAGTTAGTTATTCATTATCTTCATTTATAAATACCTTTACATATCTTTGAAAAGATATGTAAGAAATCCAAAAGTGTTAAGAAAACATCTATGGAGTAATTGTATATGATTAATTATTGGATCCATAAAGTACATATTTATAATAATAAAAATTAAGACTATTTGTAAGTACCTAGTTTAGAGTTTAGCAGTGATTACAAATTTGAGGAATACTCATATATTTTAAGTATACATACTAGGACCACTTTTGAAATAATACATTTAATTTTAGATTGATGTAAAATTGAGAAGGCAATTTTTAAAAAGTTAAGGTACAATACCTTATTTATTAAAAGCTAATAGACTGATATAATGAAAAAAATAACAGTTATCATAAAAATTAGTCAATAAATTACTTAATTAAAAAAAAATAGATTGCCTTAACATGACTTTAGTGAAAGGTATCAAAAAACATGCCCTTGCTTATACCTAAATTTTAATTACTATAAAAAACAAATAGAATAATAAATTATAATTATAATTTTAAAAACTGAGACTACTTATCAGTTATTAAAAAAATATAAATTACAACCTACTAAAGTTGTATTTTTTCATTTTTATGTTTAATATAAAGAGTAGTTCTAAAATTTGTATCATTAGATGTAGTAGTATAATATTACTATTATTGTAAAATTTGGCTTAGAGAAATTTCCTTATATCCCACTCGTTTTCTTTAGTACAGCTCTCTGGTGCTAGTGTTAAAAATTAGAACATTTAGACACTATAATTCATATATTACATTTTTTTAAAATTAATAATATTATTTAATTTTTAATTTCAAGATTTTAATTCCGATAATTCCTTAAAAATGTTTTTTTTTTAAAGACAATTATGGAAAGTACATTTCTTGATGAGTATCCAATTACATTTATTGTTTATTAATATAAAATAAAATAGGCAAAACAAAATCTACAGAATCTTTTAAATTGATATTTCTATAAAATAAATATTTTTCATAAAAGATATTATTGTCCAACAATAGTAACATAATTTTTTTAAAATAACTATCAGTTTTAAATGAAGTAGCTAAAACGTGTTGCTTTCAAATTAAAAGCAAACTCTAACCCAAATTATATACTCGACCCTCTGCGCTAACTTATTTGGTTCCTCTTCAACAATTTAATTTGAAGGTTAATTACTTAATTACCTTACTATGTTAAGCAATATTATTTTATTATTTATTTGGCATATACTCTAAATTTGTATTAGTTAAATATCTATATTAGATATTTATTATTAATCAAAACATTATCGACTAGTTAAAATCTGTCTCCTTGGTTTTAAAATAGTGAGTATTTGTTTAATTAATATCTGCTAAATTTCTAATTTTACTTTTTATTTGAATTTTAATTTAGATTGTGTATATTTAATTTTTTTAATGTATAAAATGTTTCTTTTTACTTCTTCTTGTAAAAAGGTGAGTTATTATTTTGAAAACTTACAATATAACTTAAAATTACTTATTTTATTGCAGTTTCCTTTCAAGTATTTTACTGCTCATTTTACGAAAAAATGTAATGATAGTCAACTAGACTTCAAGAAAATAAATAATATTGTTAAGAAGAAGAACGCCATTACTTGTAAGGAAAAAAATAAAATCGATGACACAATTTTTAACCAACTCAATGCCTATGACGAATTATTAAATCTCCAAAGATTAAGAACATGCTACACTGATAACTTAAAACCAATAGAGTGTAAACAACTTGAATTTTATAAAAATAATGTTGATGTAAACAGAGATAAAATATTAAATACAATGTACAGTACAGTTGATCAGGCTAATAATAGCATATGGAGAATATGTAGACAAACCAGATTGTCTGCTAGTTCAAAAGCTCATCAAATAAGTACTAGGCGTGGTAAAAATGAGGAGTTGGCAATGCGATTTATCCAAAACAAAAAAATTACTGGAAAAGGACTAAAGTATGTATCGTATGGAATAGGTATGGAAGATTTTGCATCTAAAAAGTATTCGCTCTTACATAATGTGAGTGTTATCAAATGTGGTTTGGTTGTACACCAGAAACAACCTTGGATGTGTGCAAGCCCAGATGGTTTAATTATTCGTGACAACAAAATTGAAAAACTTTTGGAAATAAAATGTCCATACACTTGTAAAGATGGTTTATTATTTGATGAAGAAAACAAAAAAGTTAACATCCCATATTTACAATATGACAAAGAAAACAATTGTATTCTCTTAAAAAGAAATCACAGTTATTTTACTCAATGCCAAATTCAACTATATTGTACTGGATTAGAAGAGTGTGATCTTTTCGTTTGTACAAAACAAGACTGTATTACTGTGCCAATAAAGAGAGACGATATATTTCTTGAAAAATTAGTGAAAAAAATGGAGTTTTTTTATTTTAACTATTTTCTTCCTAAACTAACTGATGATAATATGTGACATTCACCATAAATCAAATGATTGTAACTTAATATTTTTAAGAAATAATTGTTACATAATCAAATTTGTGTTATATTATTTTCATAAAACTGTTTAAACAAAGTTAATGAATGCAAATTGTATAAATTATATGAATTTTTATGTACATAAAAATATTATTAGATACTTATTTGTATATTATTTAATACATGTCTCTTTAAATATGAGCATATTTAATATGTAACTTATTAATCTCTTAATTATTAAAATTAATATATTTTTTCTTAAAAAAACACATCTATTAAATTTTAAAAAGTTGTTTTGAGTTTAGCTTACAATTATGGATGTTATATGCTCTACATAACATCCACAACTCAAAAAACTTTTTAAAATTTGATACATGTGTTTTTTTAAGAAAAAACATATTAATTTTAATAAGTAAGGGATTAATAAGTTTGTTTACAATCTAAGGACAAAAATTAGTGGTTTATAGTATTTTATATTTTTTTTGTTGAAAAAATATGTATAGGGAATACGTTGTTTACTTCATAGTATTATAAGTTGTATGTACACAATCATTGGTGCTGTTCTGAAAACTCATTCATATAATTTTTTGATGAATAGTCATAATATGCTGTGTTTGAATTTTGAAAAGTTTAAGGTAGAAAATGTGTACCTACTTTTTCCCTTCTACAAAAAAAAAAAACATTAAATTAAATCACCAAGAAAAATTTAAAAAAAACTACTAGAAATAATTAATACCTGATGCCGAAGATATTAGTGTTAACACAATTATTTTGTTTGTATTTTAATACAAAAATGAGCTTGGCACGAGTTATTTACTGGACTATGAATGCTTGTGACAAATGAAACTATATAATATTGTGCTGTGTTGGTACAAATTTACTAGGTAGTTTAGTAAATATGATTACTTTAAGTAAAAGTCCGATTTAATAGCAATATAGCTATCTCATAGGCATATTAGTATAATGTGTCATAATTTTTTATTTACTTATAATATTTTGGTAAAATTACCAGTTCTCGATAAAATGATAATCTTAAACAGTGTCTGTTATAATGCCATGTTACAATATAATATAATGCTATATACTTAAAACTTCCATACAGAGCCATTTATTGTTGCTTCATTTAACAGCAATTTTGCAAATTATTATTATTAATTTAGCTACAATATGCAGTGTTGATGTGTTTTGTTGGCGAATGTCTGTTTTTGACAGTGGAATATTTCTTGTACCATGTTTGTAAAATGTAAATAGAGATATATTGTTAGTATTGAAACTATTATTTATTGTGTTTTTGATCATTTAGTTGTAAGTCAGTAAAATTATGAGTTTGCTAATTAATATAATATGTTGTGTTCATTTTGTTTCAGTATTCGCTATGTCTTTTAATATTCTTTTTGCTTGAAATGGGAATAGCAATTTTGGGTTTTGTTTTTCCACATCATATGCAAGCAACTTTAGAAGAGTCGTTTACAGATAAAATTATTCACACATATCGTGATGATCCAGATTTACAAAATTTAATTGATTTTGCTCAAAAAGAAGTAAATAACATAAAATTATTATTTGAAAATAATAACTTAAGTTTGCCAGCTAGGTTATTTAAAAAATAAACAATATTGAAAAAAAAGGGTACTTAGATTTCTGAATGAAATAAAAGAAAAATGGAAAATTACTTATATACCAAGATTTGTTTTGATAGACATTTAAATCACTAAATCATAAACAGTATATTATTATACAAATACGAGCACATACATTGTTTTGACTTAGGAGGTGTAACAAAAACAAAATATAATGGTTACAAATGTCAGATAGTTAAACATGTTAAAATGAGGAAGTAAAGTAAAGTAATAATAAAGGTAAGAGCAGTGAACGTTAAAGAAAGGTAGAGAAATAAAATTTATCTTAAGATGTTAAAAAGTGTGTGTGGATAAGTAATTATAGTTGTTAGAGTCAACAAGTATGTGTTTAACAGTTGTTTTTGTTCCACAAGCGTAGGAAATTGGTGTATTACTTTTTTAGCCAATTTGTAATTTCCACGGAATTTTTTCTAATAGGTTGCTAATAAAAAATTACCAATTTTATTTTAATTGAAGACTAGTTTTGTCATTTTGCTTTAAACAACTAATTACATCTAACTGTTGTTATTTAATATTTATCACCTATTTATATTTTATATTATCTTAGTTTCAATGTTGTGGACTTAGTTCTGAAGGGTACATAGATTGGTCAAAAAATGAATATTTCAATTGTACTTCACCAAGTGTTGAGAAATGTGGTGTTCCATATTCGTGCTGTATTAATGCGTCAGATATTTCGGTACGTATATATATATATATATATATATTTTTTTTTATTAAAATGGTAGATAGTTAATAATATTTTTCAACCACTCATATTTTGTTTTATATTTAGAAAGGACTTGTTAATGTCATGTGTGGATATGGTGCGCAAGACAGCTCTGTAAGTTTGATTTATAAACATTTACATTAGTTATTCATATAAATGTTTATTTTTTACCCTAAGACCATTAATTTTTTTAATTCTATACAAGGTCGCTGAAGCAAGTAAACGAGTATGGACAAGTGGATGTATTGAAGTTATCCGTATATGGGCTGAAAGAAACCTTTACACTATTGCAGGTGTAGCTTTAGGAGTAGCGTTATCTCAAGTAAGTACAAGATACTCAATTCTTTTAGCTTATATTAGTCACTGCTGCCACCACATAGGATTTTTCAACATATGTGCTACCTGGTATCAGTCGTTATTCCTTTGCCTGAGAGAGGAATAGGCTTTTTATACAAAAATATTAAATATTTTCAAAATTGCTAAAGTCTACTGCTAATAGAAAAATATATAAATTTAAAAGCAAGTATTACCTACTAATGATAATCTAGTTACCCAACAAGTTGGTGTAGCTAAAATCTGCGATAGAACAATTACTTTTGTCAAGTATTGCTCATATTGTACTCTCTAAATAAATAGCCGTACGCATGCCTTTTCAAGGGTGAAATAATTTTTTCTTTTAAAATTTTCCTGGCTGGGAGAGAAGATATAGTGAGGATGTCTGCAAATCTTCCTTGGTTAAAATTAATTTTTAAAGCTCTCTAATAGTAGAGTAGAATGTATACATAGATATAAGTATGAAAAGGTAAATTTCAGTTGGTATATAGTACAGCATGATCAATTTAACGTAAGACACACATTTTCTCTTAATCATCATCATGTAATCTAACGGGCATTGGAGGCCTAACGCTGCTTCATAAAATGGTTTCTAGACAAATTTGTTATCCGAGACAGGTTGTCAGGCCATTACCATATAGAGGGGTGGTAGTTCCTTTTTACTGGATGATTTCTTGCCCAGCAAACGGAACCCCCGTAATCGAGTGTCAAACTGGTGACGTTGAGCATAAACACACTTTCACATTACGGATTCGGTCGTACGTCCTCTTATTTTTTTTTCTTTATTTTTTAAAAAAAACTACAAAATTACAACTATTTTCTTTTAAAATAATTGTAATTTTGTAATTTTTTATTTTGGGAATTTTTTTTTTATCCAGAGCTCATATTATTTTTAAAAATAACATAAATACAAATTTGTTCAAAAAGAAAAACTTCAAAATTGCAGTTATTTTAAGATAAAATAGAAGGACGTATGGCCGAGTTGGTAAAACCAGCAAAAAAGTTCCAAAACGCGCTTATGTTAACTGATTTTGAACTTCATAAAATGTCTTATGTTTGTTATGACTGTGACTAATATATATTTTTTGTCATTTATAGCTTCTTATTATTAACTTAGCAAAAACATTAGAAGGTCAAATCGATTTACAAAAATCCAGATGGGCTTCTTGAAAAATAATTAATGTATGGAAAGCTAAGTAAAAGTTTAAGCTTTGCAAGTTTCAAAAATTAATTCATTATTCATCCATAGACCATAATGAAACAATAATTGTCAACAAAAAAAATTGTTTTACAATAATATACATATATATAATTTGTATATAACCTATGTTAAAATGTAAATTTGACTACTTCTGAATTGTTCAATACTACTACTTATTATTTTTTTTTATGTATAAATATTATGGTGTTTACTTCATTTAAGTGCTTATCTTTTATTTCAGAATGATGTTTGATGCTATATATAATGAAATTGCATATCCTGTATACATAATAATTTAGTTATAAGTTTAAATATGTCCACATAAAAAATGTGCATACTGAATTTTCTTGCATTTAGACAACTACCACATTCAGATAGTTAAAAATACTTGTTTTAACTAATGATTTAAGTCTTTTATAATATGTTATAATTTAATCTCTAATATTATGTTCCTTTGCATCATTTTTTTTTATGTTTACTCTACCAAAGTTTTGCATTAATATAAATAATAGTTCATATTTTATTTTATCAAAGTTTTGTCTTGGACTTTATGAAAAAGATAAAAAAAAATTGTTGCTACTGTGGGCTTTAGTAATAACACACATGTATCAAAACTTTTGTACTGATCTACAAGTTTATCAAAGCAATACAATTTATCTTTATCTTTTTCATTTATTATTTTTTTTTTAAATTCAATGCTAATGCATTCAAAAAAAATTAGGTTATATAAGTTCTTAATTAAATATTATATAATGTCTATATTTTGTAAACTAGATTTATCTATTCCATTGATTTTTTTTATATTTATATTGCCTATTGAATTAATAATTTAGTTGTAGTACATATTTTTTACTTAAATTTGTCATCATTTAACGAGCCTTGAAGGCCTAACACTGCCATCTTGAGATGGTTGACGTAAAATTATATTATAATATTATGTATATTATATGATAGTGTTATGTATTATTAATATTTTGTACCTCATTTGTTCAGTTATAGTCCATAAGTTTGGGTTAGACTGGATATTTTTATACATGGCACTTGGCAAATTTATAATTTACCTATATAACATGTCCAAAATATATTGAAATAGACATTTTTTTTTAAAGCTGCTTTTTTTATTTGCAAGACAATTTGAACTAAATATATTATACCGGACAAGACCAATAGTAGTTATTAAAAGCTATAATATTTAGAAACACACATTAACCATTAACAGTGTTGCCGTCCTTTATGAGACTGTCAAAAGAGAATATTAAATATTGAAAATTGAGATGAGTGTTTTTTAATAAATTAAAAATCCAAACAATTTGTAGTGTAGTCATTATTTTGTTATCGAGGACAAAAAATATAAGATACATAATGTGTGCTATGGCAGCTGTATTATGCACTGTGTAGAGAGTTTATCACATAAATGATAACAAATCAAATCTAAATGACTAAATTAGATATGAATTATGACGATACTGAATATTTGTCATGTTTCAATAGTTAATTGTTAATTTTTTATTATTTATTTATAATTAAATAAATTTAGTAACGAATTCATTAAATTATGCAAATTAATTTTTATTTTCATAAAGTTAAGTGCAATTGAAAAAATATGGAATCGTTGATAAAAAACATTGGCAATGAAAATTATTACCCCGAAAAATGTATGCTATAAAAAAACAGATATTTATTTTCAAGAAATGTAAGTATTATGTTTATTTTAGAATTTTGATTATATTCCAGATGTAAAAGAACTATCACAAAGGTGTATGGGTTCTGAAGAGTTATTACAGCAAAAAGTCAATGTTCAATCACTAGGCGAACAAATTAATAATTTACTGAAAAAAAATGTTTTTTATAACTACACCCAGTTTATAGATACTGCTAAAGAAATATCCAGTAATATAGTTTATATATTATAGTTATAATTATATTGAAATTCATATTTAATAATAGCTATTTTGATATTCTAGATTTAGAAGGTGAAATGTATCAACTATCACATTTATTAACTGAACAATCATCTCTATTGACCTCTTTAGCCAGTTCTTCAATAGTAACCGATCAAATATCTAACTCAGAGAAAAAGTTTAATGGTGAACATAGTGCTAAAACAGATAATCTTATTGAAGAAAAAAGACTTCAAAAATTATTAAATATAATGGAAAGGGTAGAAAATTGTGAAGTTAGTATTGTGCTGGAAACCTATCATATTACTAGATGTAAACTTTGTAAAATTAACTTGTAGAATTTGGTTGATGTTCCTGATCGTAAATGCTTACACGAAGGTGATTTATTAGAATTGGATCCAATAGAAAACACACCTGTTCAAAGGATTCATTGCTATCTTTTCACCGATATATGTATTGTTGCTAGTTGGATGTCTAGCAGGTAATATATTATTTATTTTTATTTGTCTTTTTCAAATGTATAATTTAAAAAAATAATTTAATAAATTAAAATTTAGACGTGGTCCAGCGAAGTATAGATTTCAGTCGATGTATGACTTACGCAATTTAGCTGTTGTAAACATTAAAGACATCAAAAACTCGTTTAAATTACTTGCGTTTCCTGATACTAGAGTATTCCAGGCACCTAACACAGGATTGAAGGTTTGTTTTTTTTTTATAATTTTATACTAAGAAGTATTTACCTCTTAAAAACTTCTTAAATATGGATTGGTAAAAAATCTCGTTTTTTTTTTGAGAGGCAAGCTTGCAAAATTAATAGCTTCGGAGCATTAAACTTAAAAAAACATCTCTGATCCATGTGTTTACTGTAAGCAAATACATTTATAATACACCATAATTTTTTAATAGAATGATTGGTTGTCGAAATTCGAAGCTGCTAAAAAGTCGCAAGTATCCTTGGAAAATAAAACAAAGAGCACTGTTGAACAAAAAACACTTCAAAGAATGGACTCAATTCAACATGTTCAAAACTGTAAGTTCACTTTAGTACATATAGTTAATTTGTTAAACTTTTTGATGTTTTTTTATTTTTACTATAGCATATGATTTTGAAACTCCAGAAATAGAAATACCTGAATGGATAGTAGATTTAGCTGATGACTTAGATGTATTAATTGCTCAGAGACATTTTGAAGACGCCAATTCATTGATTAATAAAGCTAAACATTATTTGACAGAAAACACTTGTGAGATATCAACAACTGTTGAACAAGAAACTAAGTATGTTTAAAACATTACAGTATTATGTTTTAAGTAACTATATTATTTGTATGATTTACAAATCAAAAATGATTCACACATTATGCACAATGATGTTGATATAAAAAAATTAAAGACAATAGTAAGAAAGAGAAGGTTAGGTTGAAAAGTTAAACAAGTTTTTTTATTTAGATATTTTTAGATTAAATGAGAAGAGCCTAATAATAATTAGCTGTTAACAATAATAACTATAATTCGTTTTGCATACTTGGTTCTCTTATTCATGAAAACAAGGAATAAATCTTACAAAATCAAAATTAGTTATTAATTTCAATAATTCAATAACTCTGGAAATGCATCGCAAATTGCTGCTTACTGCTTATTAAAATACTGCTTATTTTCTAGTCAAGTAGTAAAGGTTTTGGAGAGGTTAATAATAACAATAATATTGTACTCTTAGAATTAAACTGGAAGAAAGAATTCATGCATTGACTTTGGCATTAACTAAAGAGCTTCAAGTTTCTCCAGATAAATCTCACAAAGGTGGTTTAAGAGCGGCTAGGAGAGCGGTCAGAATTTTAAATCAATTGGATAAATCTTCACAAGTATATAAAAATGGTTATTTTTGTATAACTATTATGATGTACACAATTTATTTTAGGCATGTGATTTGTTTTTGAAAGTCTGTTCAAATCTTTTAAAATCTCAACTTCAATATGTAAAACGTGATGGAGCAATGCTTACATTTGTCAAAAAGTACTCTATGGCTTTTTTTGGGACTACAATAGAAATTACTCATGAATTCTTGATCAAGGCTTTCCCTAACAGTCCAGAATGTTCATCAGGTAATTTTATTGTACATTAGAAATTCTATAATTCCTTTTTTAACATGGACTTCGGTTGAATTATTCTATATCTAGCCTTCATTTTATGGATCATACAAGAAGTTAATGATTTTATGATGATCTTAATTAAACAAATGTTTGTGCCCCAAACATCTTTAACTAATTTAGCTGAATGTATAAAAGTGTTGCATACAAATAGTCAAGAGGTAATTATACTTTAAAATGTGTTTTTGCAAGTAATCATTATTTTGTTAAATTGTATTTCCTTTTGTAGTTATGTGAATATGGAATAGATGTGCAATTTCAAATAAATGGTCAACTTAGAAGTCCATTGACGAAAACTATTAATGACGTAAAAGTTAAAACCATTGAAGTAATTAAGATACGATTTTCAGAAGACAAATGGAAACCATATAATTTAAAAACTAAACAACAAAGAGATAAACTTATTGAAGAGTATAGGCAATATGGATTTTCAAATATAGAGTCGTATAGCAAAGGTGTGTAAGATATGTAACATAAGTTATTACAAACATTTTGAAAAATGAACTAAACTGGACATTTTTTTTTTTAAGGGGACTCATGGATAATGCTGACACACAATACAATAATATTTACACGTTCATATTTGTTATTATTGAATGATTGTCTAGTGTTAAATACTCCAGACTTATCTAATGTAATAGATCAACTCCTTTACGAAGTATTTGCGGCTCATTGTGGTTTTATTCAAAACTCGATAAAAAACAAAAATTTTGTCAATGATGTAAGCTATACAAAATAAAAACAGTAAGAAAGTATTCGTGTATAATTATGATGTATTTGTTTTCACTCTAGATAAATATTATCACGACTAATGCAAGATTTATTCTGGACATATTTTTGGGGCAGTGTTCCAAAGTTTATTCTGAGTCTACTGGTAATACTAAATCAAACATCTATAGCCGCTTGAAATCTGAATTTGGTGTCATTCCCACACAAAATATAACTGGATATATTTAAAATAAATTCAAGGAATATTGCTAGTATACTAGTACCTTAATATTCGTTAAACAAAAGTGGCTATTTATTTACTGTATTTTAAATTTTTTTCCAATTTTTTTTTGTGCTATAAATATGTTTAATAATAATCTTAAAATATAATTTATTAGTTATAAATATTTTTATAATATACTATAATTTATTTTTATAACCGCTATTATCTATTCAATATTTGTATAAATATAAATTAAAAAAATTACAGTGTCTAACAAAATAAACGTCCAACCTCGTTGATTCGCCATTATCCACCATTTGAGAAGTGCCAAAAATATTACAAGTGCCACGTATGATTGTTTAAAGAGAGTCATAATACCATAGGCAAGGTTAGGACAATAATTTGTCATTGTCTTTGCAACCTTTAACATCAGCAGGGATATTTTGAAAATCTAAATCCAACGTTGATTCAAATTCTTTCATTGATTAAAAAATATTATATGAATAATTTTCAATTGTATCCATGTCTTGTAAAGTTCATCTCAGAGCGATAGTCACTGTTCCTTGTCACGAATGACTTTGAAGTCACGACCGCAGAACAGCAATTATCACTCTGACGATTGACTCTAGAACGAGTCCAAAACGTCAGCGAAAAACTGAAGACATGGATACATCTGAAAATGATTCACCTAATTTAAAAAAATGTTATTTTTTATTTATAACACAAAAGGAAAAAAAAGTTTATAAAATTGATCAATTATGACGTTTGATATAGTCTTTGGTAATGTCTGAAGAACTATTACCTAGCACTTTTTCAATATTCGACAGTAAAGCTGATGGCCAGTTATTAAAAAATGATGAGTTCTAAAACAGTAAGAGGATTAATTTTTTATTATATTAAACATTTTAATGTTACAAGTAAAATACTTCCAGGCTAAAGTTAATAATTCTATATTTTGCCTACCTATGAAAAGTTACTGAACTAAGATTTTGATTTATTTAAGTTTTTAGTCTTTATATTTTATTTTCAATTCGAAACTCTTACATACAATTTCATAAAATTTACACTATAATGCATTAACAGATTAGCCATCTTATTGTTAATAATGACAACAGTTAAAAAAACATTCTAAGACAATGTATTATTCGTATGGTTTGTAAATACACTTCCTTCCTACATTTATTTCTCTTAAGTGCATATGAGTCATAACCATTATCAAAAATAAGATTTCATTTTATCCGTATCCTGTAAAAGTAAATTGTGTTATAGAAATCGAAACCATAAAAAATATACACCATAATTCTAGTGAATACATTTTTTTTTTTTAAAAAAGGGGGTGTATTGATACAGGTAACCGGTAGTTATACCATGGTTGAACTAATTTCAACCGACGAAAAATACCGAGGACAACCGAAAGTTAATACTACAGTTCGTCGTTCGACGAAGGACCATGATGTGATTGGATCCATAACAAAATGAACTAGGTATGTCGGCAACTTGTTGTATTGCTTCTTACAATATGGTCGCCGGGTTGGGCTCTATAGAAATACGCATAATGGCCGCCTGGAATTGAGAGCCATTTTGCGGTTATCATATAATGCTGTTACACCTTGTTTTTTTTTGCCGAGATCGGCTCTACTCTTAACTCTACTAGCCTACCATTTTGTTGATCAAACTCCGAAGTCACATGTTCGCACTAAGCGAATTCTCTTTGTGTTTAACTTCAGGTTAAGTCTATAAAAGTAAATTTTAAATCTTAAGTATTTTTTAATTTTTATTGGTAGTTAATATAACTGACCGTCGTTATAATTTGCTTGCTGTTTACTCACAGTAATTCGTAAGACTTTCACAATGAACGCAGAAAAATTGAAAAAACTTGGCGACCAAGTAAGAATAGGCGGCAAAGGTACCCCGAGGAGAAAGAAGAAGGTTGTTCACACGACCGCGGCTACCGACGACAAAAAACTACAGAGCACTTTGAAAAAATTGGCTGTCAACACGATACCCGGTATTGAAGAAGTAAATATGATCAAAGACGATGGCACTGTGATACACTTCAACAATCCAAAAGCACAAGCTTCTCTTGCCGCAAACACATTTGCTATTACAGGGCATGGAGATACAAAGTCAATGTCTGAATTATTGCCTGGCATTTTAAATCAGCTGGGTCACGAAGAAATTGGACAGTTGAAGCGTTATGCTAGTGGGTTTGCTAGTAACAACCTTATTGGAAAATCATTAATTGAAGATGATGATGAAGTACCAGATTTGGTCGGTAATTTTGATGATGCTAGCAAAGAAGAAGCCGTTGTTAAAGGACCATCGGAGGAGAAACCTGCTGTTGCGGAGAAAGCTGTGACAGAAAGTCCAGAGAGCTCAAAAAAAGAATAATTTTTGGTAAATTTCTATTAATTTTATAATGTTATTTAATAATGAATTAGTTATACTTCTTACTAAAGTGTTGCTAATTACAGAACTAAGTTGTATTTCTTTTTAGAATATTTACTGTTTATTACATAAAATATTATTATACCCTATTATAGAGACCTGTGTTTTTGTAAATTGTAAACCCATATTTATCAATAACTAGTTCTTTAACAGAAAGTCTTAGTCTATTTTAAAACTTTATCAAGTTAGTAAATACAATTTAAATGCTGGGATATTAATCATCTATATAATTAAAAAGAATTTAACCTTTTTGAAAATACATTATACCCAAGTGGAAATAAGAACTAATAAGAAATTTATCTATGAGCCTATGCACTAAACATTTTTATTTATTGCTTTTTTTTCTGGATTTGTTAATGGACCTGGGCAACTAGGTTGATATTTTAGATCCTGATACATTAATGCACATGCCCAGAAAAGAATCAAGGACTGGTATCTTTATACTTAAAAATGTAGTTTTTATTTACTAAATAACATTAAATAATTGAACACTATATCAAAAATATATTTGATTTCTATTTGTTTCTTTTTATAATCAACTATGTGGGATTATTTAGTGTTTGATGTGTATAATAAAATTTGTTTACAAGCTCTAACTTAAAAATATTTATATCATTTTTTAATATATTTTCTTGACATTGGCATATATTAATTATCATGATGGCATTATTATATAATAATGGTTATTATGCTTTACAAAATATTCACCTTTTATAAAACTTACAAAGATCCTATAGTTTGATGAAAATCATAAAAAACCATGCAAACAGCAATGATCCAATGTGACATAAAAAAAAATATTGTGGGTTCAGCATACAAGTATGTTATAGGATATAAATTGTCCAATTAAGAATTTTCACACTATGTATTTTACATCATTTTTGATATACTTCTGTTTTTTTTTAATCATCCTACTATAAAATTATATTAACACAAAGACCATAACTTACGTTTTAAAGCAAACCAAATGGTAAAAATGTAAACATAAAATAATACAAAATATAATTAACACTTAATAGGGTGGACTGGCAGTCACCAGTTAAGAAATTGAATGCAAATTTAAGTTATCTATTCTCCAATTAGTATGAACTTAGAATTGTAGTTAAATGCAATAATTTAAATTAAATCATGTCTTACCTATCTGTTTTTATTTATTCTTAACAAGAAAATAACATTTATAATTTTTATTTTCAGATTGGTGACGAAAACAAAAAAAATGAAAATGACTTACAAAAAAATATTTTATTTTTTCTGTAGTAACCATAAACATAATACTTTGATTACAAAATAAAAACAATAGTTGTTTAATTCAGAAATGAATTTAAAACTGTAAATTAAAAAAAACATATACTTCATTAACCTGTATATCAAATATATTTTGTTTATGTTGTACTTTATGCTAAGTATAAATAAAATATATTATTACTTTAATGTTTTATTTTAATGGTATCAACATATAACATTGAGGCGAGTACACAATCTGTATTGTGGCCTTCCTAATTTTTATGCGTAGTTTTTTTCTTAGTAATATTCCTCCCACTCTACTAGCTTTTAAGCAATTGTTTCTGTTCTGGTATAAGTTTATTGTCACTGTACGTACTGTACAGTCAATAAATACCAAATTTAAATAATTAACAAAATTCTTTATTTGAGGTACACATATAAGGTTATTTTCTTTTAAACAACTTTAACCTCTAAAAAATAAATATTGCTGGTTTGAAGCTCTTTTGGCTACATTTTAATAATAAAATAATTATATGATCAATAAATAATAAATTTTATATTCCAAAGGATCTCTTAAGTTGTTTCATTATGTGATTTGGTGTGTTGGATTTTGATGCGTATTTGAGTAAACTATGTAAACCTGAAAAATATTTATATTTATTTTAGAAACATAATTCATATTCTAAAGGCATCACCATAAAATGTTCCTTTTTAGCTAATATAAGTATGCATGTTAATACATAACAAAAAAATATAAAGATAACAATCATCTGAAATAAAAATATTTTTTATGTTATAATAACAAACTAATGTAATGTAAATTATACTCTACTACATAAATTAAATAAAACTAATGACCAAGTTGTACTATTTGATATAAGTACACTCTTATTTTAGTACATAATTGGCGACCACAGAAGTCAAGTAATTTGAATGTGATAAGTACTCGATACTAAAAGTTATTTCAATGCATACTCACATGATAACTGATCTGCTGAACAAAACATTAATAACATTTGCAGTCTTGGTAATTCACTAATACCAATCAAATAATCAAGTACATTACATTGATTACTAACAAATTCTGAATTAAGGACTTGTAATATATCCACAAATAAATCATTATCCATAGAATTTTGTACAATGAAAGGTAAGCGTTTTCCAGGAATTTGCTAAACATAATTTGATTAAAATGAATTTATTATGAATCAAAATTTGACATTAAAGAGTAAAATTATTACTTTTAGGTACTGAAATAATAGCTTTGAATTGGATTGTAAAGATGCCCAATCTTGTTTTAACTGAACATAAGTCTTAGGTGGAGGTGGTATGTTTAAATCAAAAGAAACTTCTTCAGACACAAGAGAACCTCTCTTTCCTATTGGATCAACAGATTTATTTGGAAATATTTTCGATTCCTTTTTGACACCTGATAGAACTTCTTGTAATGTGTTTTGAAGTAACTTCATATTGTCGCCATTGTCTTGCTCCTCCACTTGTGTATCTTTTATTTTAGGTTTTAATAATGGTTTCTATAAAAGAATATTATTAATTTATTTCTCAGCAAAATATTTTTTTAAAATTCTTCATACTTTTGATCTTAAATGAGGAGGCTTTTGAACAGAAAACACTTGTTTGTAATGCATTCTTAAAGGCCACTTGGGAGACACCGTTTTTGTTGAATTTTCTAATTCACTAAATAATTTAGATTCCTTTTTTGTAATAGGAAATTTAGTTTTTATTTCAGATTTTTGTGATTCTGCCTAAACAAATGACGTAAACTTTAAAAAGTAAATCATTTGTCAAAACTTTAAGTAGTGATACTAAAAAATAGTTTTCATGCTAACTTTGTTAAGCTTTTCTATTTCAAGTTTTGCCTCCTTATTATTTGGTTCCAATTTTATTACTTCATACAGGTCACTTTTAGCTTCTGTGTACATATTCAAAGATGTGTATGCTGCACTTCGCCTCTGATATGCTTTAACATATGTGTTGTCTAACTTAAGAGAGAGAAAACAATCACTAATTGCCTTTTTAAATCTAAAAAAAAGAAATAATAATAATTAAGTTTTTGTTAAAAAAATTATATGACAAAGTAATATTTACTCTTTAGTCTTAAGGTAACACAATGCTCGATTTGCATAAAAAACAGGATCTCTATCATAATACTCTATTGCTCTTGTGTATCTCAATATAGCCTCAGACCATTTTTGTTTTTGAACCAAAGCATTGCCCTGAAAAGATTTATGTTATATTATACTAGATTCATTGTTTATTACTACTATTAGTAAAATTATAAACTTTAAATGTGCGACTTAACTAAAGCACATAACACTATACGATTAATCATATAAGACGTACAATATTAGGCAATAACCTACCAAGATATATATTTTTACACAACACTTACATACTACAAGTCTTAACACTAGTTATAATCACACTACTCTCTTGGTCTTTCACACGCACACCAATCCATCATTTGTGTATAATAAAAGTCATAAATGCTTAAATTTGGTCTATTCATCCTAAACAAGCTATAAAAAGTTGGAAGCCCACAATCTGCATATATTTATAAATATATTGTTCTGTCAATCATTTGAGAAATTGTCTCAAACTGCGTTGTACAACTTATAATACAAATTGTATATAATTTTTATAGACTTATTTTGTTTCCTAAATTGCACATCAAAAGATAATTTCTAGGTTACGTTAATGTTAATACCTACCAGATTTTTTTCATAAACTGCGTTTGATTGTTTTGTTTGTAATTCATTGTCAATATAATCTTCAACCAATTTAACATTATTTGTATGTTCTTTCGTTTCACATTTGGTGTCAATTTCTTCACACGCTTTTTCCTACAAATAATGAACGTTATGCATTTAATTGAACGTTTCAAAAGTAATAAATATTTTATATTTTATATGTCTGTAATAACCAACCACATCAAATTTCTCCCAAGCTGAATAGTCATATGAAGATAGTTTTTGTGGTTTTTCAGTATTAGAATTATTTGAATGACTTATTTTGGGTTTTTTTTGTTCAATATTTTTCTGTAAACAAAAGGAATAATTAACAAATTAAGGAATAACTAAATTAGTAGTTTATACTTCAGGTAATGCTGAAGGATCTTTTCTCTTCATTTTATCTTGCCAAATTTTCATGTCACGCAAATATTTAGACAATTCCTCTTCATTTTCTTTAAGTTGCTGTTTTAATAAAAATGGGTTATTCATACCCGTTTATAAATGTACAAGCTCAGTTATTAAAAATATGTTTTTAAATTAAACACACGACAGATTGGTTAATGATTTTCATTACACGGTTGACGGTACACGATATTTCATAGAATTTATAGCTAAAAAGTATAATACTTTATCCGTTTTACAATAATATGAATTATGAACATAAGTTATATCTACTATCTAGATCCAAGTTAACTTGTATGATAAGACATCCGAAATAAACTGTCAATTGATAAGTTAAAACAGTAAAGACAAAGAGTAAAAATTCGTATAGAGACTAGAGAGATTATAAGAGTATAATAATTCGTCCATGAGGAACGAGCACGGTTTAATATTTAATACGTTGTATATTGTTATACGTATAAGTTATAAAAATGACTAGAAATACTATTAAATAGTATTTACTATAGACCTATAAAGACAGGTATATGGTATTTATGTTTGCAACTTGCATGAATATTCAGTGTGATGATTAAATTAAAAAAACACTATTATGTATAGTTGTTGTGATATAATTATATAGTACTTTTTATAGTCTTAAACCACATTACTAAATCCAATCGTGTATGCGGTCTATTGATTAAATAGGGTTTGTTGCTATTAGATACATTCTCTTTACAATACAAGATTTATTCTATAGACATATTATAACATGTATTAAAGTATATTATGTTTAATCTTTAATGTCTATGCCCTATGGGGCATATATGTATATAATACATATATGCCCCATATTATATATATATATATATATATATATATATATATATATATATATATATATATATATATATATTATATATATATATGTCCTAATGATTACCGATTGATGCCTTCAGCTTTCAGCCCAATGGGTATGCCCTAGAATGTTATCAGATAATAACTATTATTTTTTATCTTAAATCACACAATAACGAATAATAGATCCATGACAAAGTAAATACTTTGTCATGATTCGATCCAAGTATTTTATATTCCATGAAAAATTGATGAAAGTAAAACACCGGGTTTCCATGGTTTTGATTATAGTCACGAGGAGTAACGCAAGTCGCACATTACGTTGTTCTATGCACAAGCTGTTAATGTTGTTTATTGCCCAGTGCCCAGAACTACTCTTATTACTGGTCTAATTTTTAAATGTAAATGAGATAAAATTCATTAAAATGAAAATTGAAGAAGTCAAAAGTACTGTCAAAACACAACGTATATCTAGCCATAGTCATGTCAAAGGTCTAGGGCTCGATGAATTTGGTGAAGCGATTAAAATGGCATCAGGCTTGGTCGGTCAAGAAGATGCAAGACAGGTATAATAACTGTTAAAACCCAAAGAATTTTTCGGATTAAGCAGTTTTATTATGCAAAATTAATTTTATATTAGTATAAGGGTTTATTTTCTGGTCAGAAATTACGCACTACAACTACATTTAAAACTCAACGACTATTATTAAAAAATATTAGTACAGTTTAATAGTTTAAGTTTAAATAATACAATTAATGTTTATCAATAGGCAGCTGGAATTGTTGTTGATATGATAAAAACTAGGAAGATGTCTGGACGGGCCGTATTAATAGCTGGACCACCAGGGACTGGCAAGACTGCTATAGCTCTTGCCATTGCTCACGAACTTGGAAACAAAGTAAGTTTTTTGTTAAATATTTATTTAACAGTTCTTTTTTATTAATATATTACTTGACAACTATAATTTATAGCATCAAGTCACAATTATAATGAATTTTCGAAAAACAAAGTAACAGTGTGGTTAAATTAGAAAAAAATTGTATTAAGAAATTTAAATTAATGGTATTGTTTTTAACAATAAAAATAATAAACTTAAGTGGATAAATAATGTTTCAACCTTTTTTATTTTACTACGATACTTGTACATCAAATATGGACCTCCACATTAATATTAATATATTGTACAATTATATTATATTATATATATTATATATTATAAAGAATAAGTTACCAATCCCTTTGTCTTTCCAAAAAGTTGAAATTTTCTGCCTTCCAATGTATAAACACTAAAAAATAATTTTCCGTATACATTCCCTTAGTATTTAATGAATTATTTTGGAAAGCTTAATATAGCAATTTTGTTACTAGGTTCCATTTTGTCCAATGGTTGGATCTGAAGTATATAGTTCAGAAATAAAAAAAACTGAAGTGTTAATGGAAAATTTCCGTCGAGCAATCGGGCTTCGTATTAAAGAGACTAAAGAAGTTTATGAAGGCGAGGTTACTGAAATGACGCCAGTTGAAACAGATTCGACTGCTGGAGGTACTAATTTTTTTTTTTTTAGGATAAATTTATACTGACTCAATTTTTTGGTTTTATACAAAAAAAAAAGGAATGTGAAATGTTAGTAATGTTGTTTGTTTTTAGTTTAGTTGTCAATTGTAAAAACTTGCCTGTCCCTTGGAATTTCGCATTATCATATATTCCTAATAGTGTATTAGAAACTAAATTTATTTATTATAACATCCAAGAGAATGCAACAATACAATTTAACAAAAAAAATAGTTCACCATGCAATCCTTTATTTAGGAGTTGGAAATTTGACATCTGTCATGCCTCATCGCTGCAAATTGTAAAATAATTTATTAACAATTGACAATAACAGTATATACATTTTATAAATATAAAATGATATATTTAAGTACTTTAAACTGAGGGCACAATATTCATTACTTTCATCATTATCATTTTTTGTACTTACACTATTAGGGTTAGTATTGCATTCAACATATTGTCTAAATTTTTGTCAATAGTACTGTTTAAGTAAAATTCAAAGCATACATATATTATCAATATGCTTAAAAGGCTGCTATTTGCTGTAATTAAATGACACTTTAGTAGTGAATGTTAATGAACTGTTGGTTATAGGTTATTCTAAAACAGTTTCACATGTAATTGTTGGACTTAAGACAGCCAAAGGAACCAAACAATTAAAGCTTGATCCAACAATTTATGAATCTTTGCAAAAGGAAAAAGTTGAAACTGGCGATGTTATTTACATTGAAGCTAATAGTGGAGCTGTTAAACGTCAAGGCAGAAGCGATAGTTATGCTACAGAATACGATTTAGAGGTAATTTTAAAGCGCTTAAAAAACTTAAATTTATATATTTTTTTCTTAAATAATTAAATGTTTCCTGATATCAGGCTGAAGAGTATGTGCCACTCCCTAAAGGTGAAGTTCACAAAAAAAAAGAAGTTATCCAAGATGTTACGTTGCATGACTTGGATGTTGCTAATGCACAGCCAAAAGGTGGACAAGATATACTCTCTATGATGGGTCAACTTATGAAGTCTAAAAAAACTGAGATTACAGGTAAAATTATAAAAACAATTTATTTTTATTTTTTATTTTTTTTATAATATGTATAAATATAATTTATATGTTTGGTGTTTTAGATAAATTAAGAAAAGAAATTAATAAAGTAGTTAATAAATACATTGATCAGGGTATTGCCGAGTTGGTTCCTGGTGTATTATTTATTGATGAAGTACACATGTTAGATTTGGAAACATTCACATATTTACACAAAGCTTTGGAGAGTACAATAGCGCCAATTGTCATTTTTGCCACAAATAGAGGTCATTGTACAGTTAGGTTAGATTAGATTACATATAATTTTCTTTTTTAAATAACTGTATTTTTAATTAATTAATAATTCCAAATTGTATGAAATAGAGGAACTGAAGATATAATAGCTCCTCATGGTATTCCAATGGACTTACTAGATAGGTTATTAATAATAAGGACACTTCCTTATAATAGAGAAGAAATGGAAAGTATACTTAAGCTAAGAGCTCAAACTGAAAGCCATTCCATTGAAAGTGATGCATTGCACTACCTCGCTGAAGTTGGCACAACTACAACTCTAAGGTAAGCGCTTATTAACTAATACTTGTAACAATTTTAATGTTATTATTATCATTTTTTTAGATATGCCATACAGCTGTTAACCCCTTCATCACAAAATGCTAAATTGAATGGGCATAGTTCAATATTGCGTTCTGATATAGAAGAAACTACTTCGTTATTTATGCACGCAAAAGAATCATCAAAAATACTTAAAAAACGTGCTGATAAATTTATGAAATAATTGTCAATCTAATTTTTATTAATTTTTTTTTATAGTACATCTTGCATATTATTTCTTTTATATTTTAACTAATTATTTGTGAATACTCCACTTCAAATAATAAACAAAAAACCTGTATGATATTGAATTTATAAACTGTAATCTTCTAGTTATAAATATTCACTAGTGGTCCTAATTTTGAGTTTGGTAAAATTTTGATGGGCCTTTTTTCTATTTTGAATAAATTTATTCAAAATAGAAAAAAGGCTACCAACAATATTAGATAACAATTTTGATGTTAAACTGAGCGCTCCTCGGGACATATTTCTACCAAACTATGGAGGCATCAAAATAAGGGTATAATTAAATTATAAATTTCAGAGTATATTGCGTCATAATCTATAGGAGTTTGAAAAACATAGTTTTAATATTTTTTTTTTATAAAAAAAAACTTATTTCAGCAATTGAAGGGTTTTATATTGAAATTCTTTGATAACCAAAATAACTCTGCTCAAAGAATTAAATACTTTAAAAAAACAAAATATTATAACATGCATATTAATACTTAAAATGTTGAATAATTGTGACAGTTGGTTTAATTTTGATTGTAAATACAATTGAAACAGACAACAGAAATGTGTACAAAATGTATTCTAATATTCACTACAAATAATGCACAAAATATTTGTTTACATAATAGTATTGTACAAATTAATTTGCTTCAAATCATCAGAAACGCCCGTCTATAAAGATAAAGTTGCTTAATAAAAGAAAAAGTTTTAAATTATATTTACATAGAACTTCAACCACTAAGTGATCCTACTAAAATATTTTCACTAGATATCCAATGGAGTTGCTTCAAATAATAAAATACTAAGAATAAGTTCTAATTATTATTATGTACACGAATTAGACATTGGTAGAATGTAAGATGGATTATTTAACAAGCTAATTTGGTAGAAAGACGAGCAAATTCAAATACTAGATGACGAAAAACAAAGCTTTTGATTTTATTAATAAAGATATTGCTAACGAGTATTGAAAAGTAACTATTTTATTATTTTATTCATGATTATTAGCAAACAATTATCTACTTAAAAATTAATACTAAATAATGATATTAGTCTTTAATAATTAATTGCACTAATGCACTCAAAATACTATGGTAAAGTATCAAGTAAGAACATATTATATTTTTTTAATTTTAACGAAAATAGTAAATAATAAATATTAATAACGTTTGGCGTATGTTTCTTATCAGTTGTTTATGATGCCGATAGCAGATTACGGCATTATAGAAAGTCCAATATACATTATTGTAATATTATAAAATGTATATTATGTAGTTCATAAATGGATACGTGTCGTTTGATAAGAATTTAAGAAATGCTTATGCGGTAAGCTGTATAGGTGCATTTTTTCACCTCATTTTTATCGTGTTAAGATTCTATAGATATTCATTTTAAGAAGATTCTTATGAATTGCACTCGGACTCATACGTCCATCTAAACCTTTGAAGTAAGTTTTGTTACATTTTACAAAATTTTAAATGGCTGACGTTGAAGCGTCAAAGTTTCCAGACACTGTAGCCATTCTTAAAGCATCCAATGGTTCAACAGTTTACCTAGTCGGTACTGCCCATTTTAGCAAAGAAAGTCAAGAAGATGTAGCTCAAGTATGTTGTGAAAATAAAATAAAAAAAATATATAATTAATTTTTAATTATTGTTTATTCAATCATATAGGTGATCAATGTTGTAAAACCAGATGTTGTTGTGATAGAACTGTGCCCTAGTAGAAATAGCATTTTAGAAATTGATGAATCACTTATAGCTAATGTTACAGGGATTACGTTGGGTAATATATATTAAATAATTACAATGTTATAAAACATTTTCTTAAAATATTAGAATACAGTCAGGTATTTAAGATGTATATATTCGTGTTAAAACAGACAAACCATAAAATATAATTTAAGTAATGTGAGAACAGGATACAAGTAATTTTTGTACAATTTTACACAGGAGCAAAATAAAAATTGTGTTCTTATGGTTTCTGTTCACTATTTTTTATTTTAGTTTGTGATCTTATTAATGAGACATTTGTGTTAAGTATTATTATTATTAAAATTTAAATATATATATATATATTTTTTTAGAAGGTCTTCGTAGTTCTATAAATAAATTAGGTGTTACTCAAGGGATATTTTATCAACTTATGATCAATATATCAGCAAGTATATCTCGTGATCTTGGTATGGTACCTGGCGGAGAGTTTCGAAGAGCTGTAGAAGAAGTAATTCATTTTATATAATTGTTTAAAGCATTATTAATAGCTAAGTTCTCTATAAGGAAGATAATCCATGCTGAATGCTCCTTTAGTACCGACCTTTGAAATATACAATTATTACAAAAATAATACTTTATAGCATACAGCTGCTACTATCATCAGCGCATACAACTGACTAAGTTGTTAATACGTTTTCGCTATAGAGTATTTGTTTTGTGATTAGGGTTTATTTAAATTTTTTATTTCTTTAATAAATCTATTAATTGGTAATTTTTCTGTTTTTTGTTGAAGTTTAAATACTTTAAGTCTTAAAACTTAAAACAATTTTGTCACTTAATTACAGAATTTCCATTTTGCTTAGATGATATTATTAAACTAAAAATATCTTTATCCAGTTAATCATGGATGCAGATTTTGATCTTTAAATGTTTTTAATTGACACAGCTACGCTATTTCTAACTCTACTATAGTCTTTATAAATTCTGGTGTTTGCGAGAAGTGTTTTGTAATAAATAAAACTCTGTAACTTATAGAACAACTTATGTATCTATTCAGTTTTACATAATATCTATTTGTGTTTTACATTATTTTTTAGTCAAAGAAATACAACAGTTATATTTACCTTGGAGACAGACCTGTTGATATAACTATAAAACGAATAATATCTATGCTGAGCTGGCCGAAAAGCATCAGACTTTTGTCACATTTGCTATTCACATCAGATTTTAAAATAACGTAAGTAGTCTGCAAAACAAATGCACAATGTAGAAATTTAGTGTGGTTGTTTAGATTACCTTGATAAATAACACGGATTTGGGACTTAGGCATGTAAAAATGATCAAAATAAGCACCCATCTAAGTTTCCGACCTTAAAAACACTCATAAAGAGGAAAAACATTTTTTTTAAATTTTAAGTTTCTGATTTGTTATTATTTTTCCTTAATATGATTACACACTAACAGCTTAAGCAATACATCTAGCCAGTGTTTTTTCCCCTTTAATAATGATGTTAATTTTATGTAATATAAAATATAATTATCAGAGGTAGAATAAAAATGTTTGTCCCCAGTCACCATAGATACATTTTTTTATATTCAATCATATTTAAGATTATATATATATACAACACAAAAACTGTTTATCCATCTTTATTCAAATGAGAGGTTTGTATAAGAATGGTAATAATTAAATTTTTTTTTATAATTGTTAAATAGTAAAGAAGATGTAGAGAAGTTTAAAAATAAAGACTTGATGGAAGCATTAATGCTGCAAATGGCTGCTGATTATCCTGAATTAGAAAAAGTAATAGTTGATGAACGAGACAAATTTTTGACTTACAGTTTACAAAGTTGTGCTGGCATTATAATTGATAAAACTGGCCTAAAGCCAAATTTTATCGTTTCGAGTAAGTATTAAGTGTAATAGTAATCAACAAAATAATTTTTATTTTCATTACATTTTTTTTAATAATTCTACTAGGGCCTCAGATAGTTGTCGGTGTAGTCGGTCTAGGTCACGTCGCTGGAATTAAAAACTATTGGGAAACTATAACTAAAGAGGAAGTAACAGAATTAACTGTGTAAGACTTCAAATGGATGTTAAAATATTGCTTATATTTATTATATATGTATTATATATTTTTAGAATTCCACCTCAATCGAGAAGCAGTAAAATTATTAAAATTGTGATCAAAGTCAGTGCTTATGGAGTACTTATATGGGGAATTTCCAAAATTCCAGGAGTAAGAACTGCATCGAAAATGGCATACTCTGCAATCACTTCGTCTTTTAACACGGGACGTTTCATAAAAATTAAATAACAGATAGGAATTAGTAGCTGTTAAGTAACCATAAATATAACAGTACGAAGTTTCCATTTTATATTTATAAAAAAAAAACCAAAAAACGAATTATGTCAGGTAATTATCAACAAGAAGATGATTATGACCATATCAACAATACTTTAATTTATTCTTCCACTAATATACCAGGACCCGGTTGTAATAAAATTGATTTTGACAGCTGTCCTAATCATAAATGTACGTGCACTGATTTATGTAAAATATCGACCTGTAATTGTATTGGTGATACTTATAATTATGACACCTTGCATAGAATTATATCACCTAACAGATTCATAAATGAATGCAATGAGTATTGTGCTTGTATAACATGTCAAAATCGTGTTGTTCAACTAGGACCACGAATTGGATTACGTATAACCGCTTGTAAAAAAGGTTATGGTTTATACACAGACATTTCTATACAAAAAGGCCAGTTTATTTGTGAATATGCCGGTGAAATAATTGATTTATCAGAAGCCCAGAAACGAACACAATTAGACAGCGATAATTATATTTTCGTGTTGAATGAACACTTTTTCAACCATATGAAAACTACTGTAATCGACAATACGTATATTGGAAATATTGGTCGTTACATAAACCATAGTTGTCAGCCTAATTGTGTGGTTGTTCCAGTTCGTGTAAACTCGTTTATTCCAAGACTAGCGATTTTCGCTATAATAGATATTGGAGTTGGCGAAGAAATAACATATCATTACGGTGTAGGAAATAATTCTTCTACCGAAAGTAGCCTTTCTAAAACCAAATGTTTATGTTCATCAACCAATTGTAAAGGTTATTTACCTAGTAAAACAGGGTTATTTTGATATCTGTTTATTTTTTATTTTATAAGTTATGTTGTATATATTATAGAGTATAAAATTTGTATGCAAAAATAATAAGATATATTGTTATTTATTATTAAAAATGTAAATATATTTTATTGATATTCGTTGTAAATGCTGTTGAGAAATAAATAAATAAATAATATTCATTTTTATTTATCTTTAAAAGCAAGAATCGGTGTAATTTAACATTGTAGTTATTAAGTGTTTCTTCATTATTACTTTTTTTTTAATCATTTAAAAAAACATATTGTACAGTTTGATATTTATTATATAGCAAGTTATCTTAAATCCATGTACAAACTAATCAATATTTTATAATAAAAAAAAATGTATGATATTGACTAATTAAGATACTTTTATCTGCTTGGCTTGTAATTTAATAATTGTTAATTGAAGCCTAATATAATGTTTTAAGAACTACTAATTTAAAAGGAAAAAAAAAGAAGTACTTAGAAGTGTATTAGGTTTTGTACAAGATTTGTGTCTACAACTATTAATATATGAGCTATATTTTGTTTTCTCAATAATTAGCACTAAGCTGTACAAGTGACTCGGTTATCTAATCTATGCTTTAAAAAAGAATAACACATTAAATGAATAAATATCTAGTTTTATTTTGTCGTTTTAGGAATTTTACGATCCCTATTGCGGTTTTTAACATTAGTCACTTCATAGAAATCACTACCAACTTTCTTTCTTTTATTTCTTAACATGAGGCTTCTTTTTTGTTTACTCGTCAAGCTACTCATATATGCCTCATGAGCTTCTTGTAATTTTGCTTGTTTTTCTTTCTTTCTTTCTTCTTCTTCATCACTATCAGTAGAAGTTGCATTTTCATCTTCTACAACAGGCAACTCTGCACTTTCTGATTCAGCGTCGGAATCGCTTTCTTCGACAGCATCTAAATCTGCTCTTTTAGTAATGGGTTCACATTCTTTTTCTATGGCGGATAAAGGTTCTTCGAAACCAGGAGGCGCTTTGTAGTAAGGAATTTTTCCTCTTTGCCAGTCATTTAAAACCATCCTAGCACAAAGAGTAATGTCTGCTTCACCACCTTTTAACAATTTACCTGTTTTTATACCCAGCTGTGATAAAAAATCTTCACCGTCCGTCCAAGTTTCAATACCATACGTTTTAGACAAGTGTTCTTCTTTAACCCTATCCATTAATGAAGGTATGTACTGTTCTGGATCAGGAACAAGTTCTACTCTTACTACGCCCTTTAATACTTTTTCAGTATCAGTTTCTGTATTGGTTGCATCATAAACCACCCCTGGACAATCGATAAGAAAAATTCTTTTCATTAGTGTAATATACTGCCATACTTTGGTTTCACCAGCAATGGGAGCAACTTTACAAACTTTTTTAGATCGCAATGCATTAATAACTGAACTTTTACCAACATTAGGGTATCCAATGAAACCAACGCTTATTTGTTTTCGTTCAGAATGAAGTTTGGTGAACTGTCGCAATAAATTGATCACTGCACCTTTTCCAAAAGGATGAGTTAAAGATGCATGGAATGCAACTGTAGGGTATTCAGAACTAAGAACAGCTACCCATCTTTGAGTGACCCATACAGGCACCAGATCAACTTTATTTAAAATGAAAATTAAATGTTTATGTGGCTTCTCCTTTTTTAAAAAGTTTTCAATATGAGCACAACGTGTACCAGGAGGATCTCTAACATCAAGAACCATTATTACAACATCAGAGGAATCAATTACTTTGTACAACTCATTCCATATACGCCTACTTTGTCCAGCAGCCATAATCCAATCACGGGGTGCTTTTCTCTCTCCTGTATCTTCTCTAACTAGATCCAAATCTTTATCATCAGAATATGATTCATTTATTGCATTTATTGTTTCAGACAACTGTTGTTCATCTCTGACATATAAATTTGGACGTTTACGAGTTCTCTTGGAACCAAATACACTTTCAAAACTTTCAGTTTCAAGAATATGAACTCGTTCATGTTTCTTTTTTTCATTCAAGAGAGTTATCGGTAAGCCAGTAGGTTTCATAACAATATCATATGGATTTCTAACAGCTTTACCAAGTTCTTCTTGAAATTTTTGTAAAGCATTTTGCCCAATTACTCTAGTGTTATCGAACCATTTACGATGAGGTTCAACTCTAGCTTGAGTTCCACAAGCCAACCAACCTTGAAATGGAGCAGCTTGAATGATTTTACCTTTTCTATCACGCTTTGCTTTAAAATTTCTATACATTTGAAGTCTTTTAATTGTTGCTTTAGTTCTAACTTTTGCAACACCTTTAAGGTTATCCGTTTTTCGTTCAGGATTCATACTGTGTGCTGAGCGGTTAAATCCTTGGGTACGAGGAGCTTTAGTTGCTGAGCTTGTTTTAGCCATTTTTAACTAAAAAAAAGTCAATAAATAACATATTATTCAACACTTAATAATATAAACATATTATACATCATAGCATTACAATTAATAATCCATAAAACACTTATCGGCCACTTGGTACTTATACATATAAATGAGCAGTAGCATTTATCACATTCATATTAAATATGGCAAAAGAGGTACAGGGAGTCAGAAGTTTCATAAGGCATAATTTAATAAGTACACAATATTTTAGTGTATATGCTTTTAATTATTAAACATAGCAATATAAATATTTAGCAATAAGAAAATGATAATATAAAAATTAATTATTCTAATTTAATTTTGTACAATATTGTGTATAGATACTGGGCTATAAATTGAGGTCCGGATAAGGGCTCTGACCATACGATAAAATATTTGCACGATGCTTCTGCTCTGTGCATTCGCCAATTTTTTTTAACTACAGTCATCTTTAGTCTCGGATTGAAGATATTAAGAAAATATTCGCTCACAGAGAAATAACAGTGATAACTTGGTTAGCCCTTTGGGGTAGGTAAGTTATTTTCTCAGTTGGAGATTGGGCTACATGAACCTCCGTTCTAAGGATATTAAAATTAGGATTTAATTACTAAAGCCAGCAAGGATAAGTGATTTTTGTAGTTATTATAAGCTACACAGTTATTATAGAACTACATCATTTGTAGTCTACATAATTAGAACTCAGATGGTCGGGTATCTATACAGAGTAGAATAATACCTAAAAGGCTAAATTAAAGGTAAAATAACTTAAATTTTTACTTACTTTTTATTTATTGTATATCCTTTCTTAAATAAAATCTACTAAAAAGTATGCAACAAAAAATTAAACAAAAAAAGTAAAATAAATTTTTAATTTCAAAATAAGTTTATGAAAATTAAATACACGTGTTTACTAAAGTTAATAGTTTTCAGAATGTTAACTGTTAACGTATAGGATCAAAATATAAATGATAAGAACTATCAGTGGTGCTTATAAGCGTTCCAAAGAGATAGTATACTTTTGAAAAATTTTACAAGTTATTACAGTGTTATACATATGTCAATAATATGTCCGGCGGGGTTTTAAATTGTAACCATACTATTATACAAATTTTGAAAAAAGGGCAGCCGAGTAAAAACAGCAACAATAGAGCTATTTAAACAGTAAAACAATATATAATGGGTATCTGGTCGATTACTTTATCATTTAAATTTTTTAATTGAGTTTGATAAAGTAGGAGAAAGGAACTGGGAAATTGTAATTTAAAATGGTTTATAAAATATGTGGATTTATAAATCTACCTTGATAATAACTATGACTAAATAAATAATGTTTTTTAGTCATGATAATTACCATATTTTTAAATAACAAACTTGCAAGACAGTGATAAAAAAAATGTATTTTATGCTTAGACTTCAACACCAAAACTAGTTAGCTTATAAATATATGAAACATAACTGTTAACTATTATGGTTACAATTTTTCAATTATAAATAAAATATAGTTATTATATCTAATTGTTTTTTACTTGAATTAAACATAATGTTGTAAAATTCAGCTTTTAAGTGATAATAATGTACAAACAATTTCAATCAAAAGGTAGTAAATATAGACACATTAAAAAATGTATGTTAAGACTTGTGCATTAAGTTGCTTCTGGCAAAACTATGTAGTACAATTGGTTGTTCGCTTTCATTTAAATGTATTAAAGATATCAGAGAACATTTATTGAGTGAGCACAAAATACAATTTCATGTTGAAGACAAAAAATCCAATATAATATATTGCTAAAAAAACATAGATCTTTTAAATACTATTATTGTATAAATTATAATTTAATAAATGATGAATATTGTTGCAATTGTTCAGCTATTTATCAGAGTATGCTGGCATATTGTAAACACAAGCTAAAATCTCAAGGTAGGTTAGGTTAGGTAATTAATAATGATTGCACCTCTTAAATTACATTAACTATAAATAAAAGTATTGTTAATGCTATATAGTATAGCATAACTATTATGCACATGAAGTGGAATTAACTTCACTTACAAATAACAAACAAACAAGAAATAGCAACAAAATTATTACAAGGTGTTAAACTGATGATGTAGTCTCAGCATAATAAAAAATAGTTCCTCAGTACAGATCAAAGGAAAACACTCATTTATTGCGAAGTAAAAAGAAAACCAGAGATTATAAAATATATCCCAATTAAGTATAGAATTTACTATACTTTAATAACTTATTTTTGTATTTTACATTGTAATCATTTATATTTCAAAACATAATTACATGAAATGAAAATATTTTATTTTATGCTAAAGCGATATTAAATAACAAATCATTATATTGTTTGAAAACAAACCTAAAATTATGCTTCAATAACTGTATTATTCACCTTCAGATCTTCAGGAGGATATATTTTATCAACCAAATGGTGATCTGCTTTTACTTTTTCTTTCTTTTATGAGTTTCAGTAAAATAACAATTTAATGTAAGTGCAATACAATTAATATATTAAGAAGGAATTAATAGCTAGGAAACAGATATAGTTTTATTTAAGAACCATTATGTTTTAATACAAGTTATACAGTTGATAATTTTATTAGTTGTCATTTTGAAAATATTATTAGAAAAAAATGTACAAAGACTTTAAATATTTAATGTTGATCAATTCTGTCTAGTGCTTCTATTGTAAGCACACTATCGCCTCTAATGACCTGTTGAAATTTAAAAATATTAATGTTTATCTAAAAATGTTAATATGAAACATACCACCATGCCTATGTTATTGACAACACCATCTTTCAGTTTTTCAACCGTCTCGTCTAGGACTAAATTCATAAAAGGATCAAAGCCACGTAACACTCCAGCTACTTGTCGATTGGCATTCAGTTTTACTATATAAAAAATAATGTACATAGCTGATACAAAAAAAAAGAACATTTAAAATTTAACTATACTTACATTGCAGTTTTTTGTCCAAGTACCTAAAAATAAAAATTATGTTTAATTAGAAATTTGTAAGTTTAAATATTAGGTGCCTAAAACAAAAACAATGTAATGGCCAGTAAAAATATAAATAATAATAATAAAAATAATGAGGGAAAGAATGGAAGGATGTTTAATATTTGTTACACAACCATACAATGTTGTGTTAATGAAGTAAATTAGGAAGTATACCAAAAATGGAATTTTTTTTAATCTTCGTGTTTTGAAAATATGCTAAACAATTAACAAATTATGTAAAGACAGACCAACATATTGAACTAAATAACTTTAAGTGCTTAGACACCTCAAGCCACTTTAGTAATGATTAATGTTTAGTATTATAATTTATAAAGTAAAAACTAAAAAAAATTACACTCTACCTTTTCAACTCGGGAGGATGTGCTTTACTCATCTTTACTATCGAAGATGAACTATGATGATTATTTTTAAAAGTTAAACAATCTTACCCAAATTTGGAAAAAATGTAAAGATAAATAATCAAACGCCGAAATAAATATTAAATAACTAACTGTAATATCTAAGCGCCGAAATCAGTCTTCAATCTCAATACAAACAGCATATCGCGTCGTACGTAATTAAACGAATTTTCCCGGTTAGTTTTTTAGGGTTATGAGCTATCGTGTAGGAATATCGATATTTCAGTTCGATACATTGTTAAAATATCTAAAAATTGTAATACAAATTTAAAACATATCTGCTAATTATTTTTTTTTGTAAATTTAAAGGAAATAACATTGAATTTAAAAGAACGTAGAAGGAGTATGAAGTATTTTAAACAAAATAACAAGAGTATTTTCATAAATTCGGTAATTATATCGATTTTTTTGTTAACCCCATGGAATACAAAAATTCAACCAAATTAAGGTATATGAGTGGTCATAATATTATTAAAATGTGATAACAAACCACGATAGCCATCAGACGAAAACGTGTAGTCTTTTTTTTGGTTAGAATTAAAGAATATCTTGCTACAATTTACGTAGTACGTTGTATGTTTATTATTAAATTGTAATTTATATTTAAAGTAGATTGTATTTTATGTATCTTGAACATTCTTTCTTTCCTCATAAAATTCATATTAATTTCTAGTATTAGAAGTAAATTTAATATTAACTACGTGTTTCAACTTTTTAATTTAATATAAGGAAACGTTAGACGTGAAAATGCCACTGTATAATTTCAAAAAGATCACGGTCGTACCGACCGCCAAGGTACGTAATAAACTACTACAATTAAGATAAATGAGATATATTATACATTACAAATGTATTTTATGTATATAAGGTGCAATATTTTCAACTATATCCTGGGTATATCTATACCAAAGGATGAACGTAAATCAATAATGGAATATATTCAAATAGTTATCTCTGTTTAGTAGATTTTTCAAACTTTGAATTATCGAATATTTACTGTAAACTCAAATACAATTATTTGATTTTGTTTTTTTTAGGATTTTGTAAACATTATGCTGTCAAAAACGCAGCGAAAAACTCCAACAGTTGTTCACAAGCATTACAAAATATCAAGGATCAGATCTTTTTATATGCGAAAAGTGCGCTATACTCAACAAAATTTCAATGAACGGCTGTCGATGATAATACAAGAATTCCCCAAATTAGATGTAAAATTTTAACTAAGACTAAAAAAACTATTTTCATATTTGATTTTTGTTCATTTTTTGCAGAATATTCATCCATTTTATGCTGATTTAATGAATATTCTTTATGACAAAGACCATTATAAATTAGCTCTTGGACAACTCAATCAAGCAAGACATCTGATAGATAAGTAAGAGAATAATTTCTTGTTAATTTGCTTAGTGATCTTTTTTCCCCATTTCATATTATTGGTCCTGATAAAATTCAGATGAATTAAAGTTAAATTATAATAAAGTTTAAAAACCTGGTGTGACAAGACAGGCACATTCTGCTCCTATAATTAACCTGTTACAAACATACTTTAACTATAGACTAAATTGTCTATATTATATTGGTTTATTGTGGTTCTTGTCTTAGAGGGGTTAATCTGCTATTGTTTTCTCTATTTTTATTATTTTTTGAATTGGTATAAAAACCAATTCAAGTATTTTTGCATTTAATTTTTATAAATTAACGCAATTATGAATTATAGTTTGATAAATGTATTATTTCTTGTTTATAAATATAGTGTTGGAAAAGACTATGTACGCCTCATGAAATTTGGTGATTCATTATATCGGTGTAAGATGCTTAAACGAGCTGCTCTTGGAAGGTATGTAAATTAATAAATAAATTTTTTAAATATTAAAATTTTTTTAGTTTTAGTTCAATATATTGTTTTTAATATTAATTTATTAAAATTTGAAAAAAATCAATTAAAATGTAATATATTATATTTATAAGTATACTAAATTCATCATTGAGAAGCGTGGGACTAAAAATTATTTAAAAGAAGTTATGACAATAAGTTGAGATTACAATTCTAAAAAAGCTTAATTCAACATTTCATAAAAAAAATGTTTATCTTTTCAGTTTATACTATGTTTACTCAGTTGTAAAATTTATTATTAATTGATTTATTTTTTATTTAATTGTTTAACTTAAATTATTATGGGATATGGTTCATAAATAATGTTTTTGTATTATATCAGGATGGCCACTATCATGAAAAGACAAGCTCCCAATTTAGTATATTTAGAACAAGTACGTCAACATTTATCACGTTTACCATCAATTGATCCATATACAAGAACACTAATTTTATGTGGGTTTCCTAATGTTGGAAAATCCAGTTTCTTAAATAAGGTAATACTTATTTTTAAAAATCATTAAAATAACTTGTTCATGTTTGATTATTGGATTTAGATTACAAGAGCTGATGTAGAAGTACATTCATATGCGTTTACAACAAAAAGTTTGTATGTGGGACATACAGATTATAAGTATTTGCGCTGGCAAGTCGTTGATACTCCGGGAGTATTAGACCATCCTTTGGAGGAACGTAATGTTATTGAAATGCAGGCAGTTACTGCTTTGGCTCATTTACGTGCAGCAATTCTTTATTTTATTGATATTTCTGAACAATGTGGTCACTCTATTTCTGAACAAGTTAAACTTTATGAATCCATCAAACCACTATTTACAAACAAGGTATTAAACATTGAATAAAAAAAATAAAAAAGTGTATTCGGTAAGTCAGCCACTGGTGTGCATTGTGTACAAATGATAAGGGGATATTATTTTAACATAAAAAAAACTTTTAATGAAATTTGTGAGTAATGTTACAAAGTATTTATTTTTTCATATTTTATATCTTCAATGCTGAGCTGAGAAGGTATTGTTTCAACATTGATGTTTTTATTATTATCATATTTTTTTTTCTTTGTTACAATATTATCGAAACCGCTGAATTAATTCTTAAATGTACCAAGTCTATAGATCAGAAATTGGGCCTGTAAGGTACCTTATTAGTCCAATAATTTGAAATGTTCACCATTCCCTTTAAAAATTGAAGAAAAAAAATGTACAGGTTTTCATGATGTAAGACTAAGGACCTGACTGTTTTTTGAAAAACCTGTAGCTAACTATTTTTTATAAAGAAAACTTCCAAAAAAAAATTCCATTTTGACTGTAGTTAATTTCAAGGTTGCAAATGTGTCGGTAAATCAATAGTCAACAGGTATCCGAAAAATATTTTCACTACATTATTGTTTGCCTATCGGCAACAGCAACGAAAAATAATTTAGGAAGACAGACAATCAACTCTAATTGCTTCCATCCTAATACTAAAAACTCAATTTAAAGACATTTTTCCTTAAAAATTATTTTTATCAATATTTAATACTTATACCATCTGCTGTTTGGCATCGAAGAGTTTATTTGGAATGATTTTATCACTTTCAGTTTTAATAATTTCTGAAACCTGTGATCTCCATCCCCTATGCCTCAAATCTACTGTGCTGACTTTTATCATTTATAGTAATAATGTAATGTGTTTCAATGTTTTTGTTTGGAGTTGATCATTCCTGGTTGTTTTAAAAACCATAAAAACAATAATGAAGTTTTTTTCTTAGAATTTACAGAAATTGTAATTTATAAAAGAGATTTTTTTTTTGCTATTGAGGGGCAAGGATAGATTTTATTATTTTCTCTGCAAACCAGTAGTTAGTTCTGACTTAAATTATCTATTAATTATATTTTCCATTATAGTTTTATAGTTATATTTATCAGTCATTGTTGTAAAGCAACTTTTTTGTTATCTTTACATGAGTTCATTTTATTATGAAATTGTTAATAACTGTGTTGTAATATAATTCTACAATTTTTAGCCATTATTAGTGGTGTGTAATAAAGTTGATGTCACGCCTATGGATCAACTAAGCGATGCCAGTCGTGAAGCACTGAGCATTTTTGAAAAAAACAATGTTCCACTTCTGCCTATGTCTGCAGTAACTGATGAAGGTGTTATGGAAGTAAAACAACAGGTATAAAACATCTTTATTATTTAAAAATTTTTTTTTTTTTGTTATAGCTTATTTGTCATTTAAATTTAATAGGTACATATTTAAATTTGAAAAAGTAAATATATTTTATAAGAACCAAATAAAATTATAAACACATTTATTGTTTAGGCTTGTGATACTTTGTTGGCTTATCGTATAGAAAATAAAATTCAGGCTAAAAAAGTAGATTCTATTTTAAATCGTCTACATGTTGCGCTACCTAAAACTCGGGATGAAAAAACTAGACCAGCTCATATACCTGGTAATATTATTTTTATTAAATCTAATTTATATTTTTATAAATTACAATAATTTTGTCTTACATTTTTACAGAAGCGGTATTACAAAAAAAACGGTTAGCTGAACTACAAGATTTTAAGAAACAACTTGAGAAAAACTTGGAAGATGAACTTGGAGACGACTATATTTTAGATCTTAAAAAGAATTATGATTTACCCGAGGATTTTAAGTATGATGTTATACCAGAGTTTTGGAATGGAAGAAATATTGCTGATTTCATTCATGCAGAATTATTACAAGTAATTTATAACAATAGTTTCACAATAAGTATTGTACACCATCTTGAAAAATTAAAATTATGGTTTATACATTTTTTAGCTGCTTTAAGTTTATTATTGTTTAAATAAAATTGAAATCATTAATATAAATACAATTTTTGTATACTATTTACAGAAAGTTGAAGAACTTGAAAAAGAAGAAGCTCTCAGGGAAGAGGCAGGGTATTATGCTGTACCTAAAATTGAAATTGATGAAACTTTAAGAGAAATTAAAGAGTTGGCTCAAAAGATCAGGGATAGAAAAATGATTAACCGTAATGAAAGTCGCATATCTCGCCAATCTAACAAACCAACAACACCTAGAACTGCGCCTGCCCGTGCTCGTGGTAGAAGTGCATCAGATTTCAGAAGTCGTATGGAAGATCTTGGTGTTGATATGGAAGGCACTGAAGAAGTATGTATAAAATGAAAATTATGAAAAATGTTAAGAACAAAACAATAATTATAATACATCTTTTAGGCTCATTTCACAAAAACTCGAGGCCGTGCCCGTTCATTGACTAGATCTCAATCACGGACAAATGCTAAAAAGCCTCGTTTAGGATCTATGCACCGGTCTACATCTACATCTAGAAGTCAAAGTAGAGTCCCTAGAAACCAATCTGGTGTTCGCGATTCATCTGTAAGTTTAACTTCATATTAACTTATTAGCACTTCATTTTTAAACTTGCAATATTTATGTTTTCTTTCAGATGCAATTGAAACTGAAACAAGTTGCACACAAAGCTATTGCGAAAAAAGTTAAGAAACAAGGTCTCAAAGGTGAAGCAGATAGATTTATCGGAACTAAGAGACCAAGACATTTGTATGCAGGAAAGAGAGGCATTGGAAAAACTGACAGACGTTAAGATATTTTGGTTTTACTTTATTGTTAAAATTCATTCAAGTTTACATTGGATTTATAGTATATCAAATGCATTTGATATATTCTTTTCAATATTTTAATAAATGACTTAAGATATTAAAAAAATAGTTGAATTATATAAATTAATCAAAGTTTATACATTACCCTAGTAATCATAAGTATAGATTTAATATGTATAGACATTTGATAAACCACAGCATATAACATTTTTGAAAACCAATATTTGGACTTAAATCTATATTAACCATGTATTCGTTGAGTCCATGTTATTATTATGACAATTGCTGTCTTTCATAGGCCATGAGCTTTTTCTGGAGTTGAAGGGTTTATCAACTAGCAGTAAGGATTAATCTCCACTGTCAAGCCTTAAAGAACAGACGACAGCGAGTGCTAACAGACTGCCGCCTTACCCATTTGGCGCTCAGCCAAAAAAAGTCATTTTTTTGTCATAAGCTGAGCTAAAAAAAATGTGTATTTAAAAAAATTAGTGTACTTTATTATGAACTGTACATCTAAGTACTATTAAAACCAAAACACTGAAAATAAATTATATCTAACATCTATAAATTCTTTAAACATTCTAGTTTACCTAAAAATATATAAATTGGTTGGGTTTCTTAACAGAGCATGGGTGTCCAAGTATGTGAGACGGCAGTGTTTTAGTACTCACTGTCATCTGTTTGATACTCAGTCAGGCAGTTCTGTTTCGTGAGCTGGAAAAAGAGCCGCCATCTCTACGGCACTAAACTGGATGTCCTATCCTTGAAGTGAATTATCAAAATACTATATAATATTATGATAACAGTGTTGAGCTTTCATGGCCTGTTAAGTTACAAGATGTCGGGAGGGGGGAGTAATGCCCTCATGGGCTGTTCCCCTACCCGGTCATTTAATAATGCACATGCACGAAAAAAGAAGTTACAAGATGTATTTTATTAGCAATAAAATACACTATTATTATACAGATAATTTCCGATTGTAAGAAACAATTAAACAAGCAACTCTTAAATTCATTAAAATAGTTTTAAAAAACTGAACCTAGACTGCAATCTTCTGAAAATAAAATAGACAAGTTTGTTATTTAATAACAATTAAAATATAATGTTTTTAATTACGGTATTTAAATAAGAGCACAAAAACTTTTATAAAAACAAGTTGGTACAACTAGATATGTCACAATTAAATTTAAATTAGGTTGTCTGGCAGCACTGGTACTATCTCATCTCTTGTCTTTTTTTATTTTATGATAAAGACTAAAGTTATTCTTTAAAAATTCAGGGCACTGTTTTTGTTCTATTTTTTTTTATTCGACATTTAACAAAAATCTAATATAATGTTTTATAAATTGAATATACGCAAATATTTGATAGTTGGTTGAAAATGGTGAAGAAAATATTATGCGAATACTGCAATATAACTTTTGCTGACAACTTATCAAGTAGAAATTTACATTTAAACAGTAACGCTCATAAAAAGAATAGGAAAAACTATTATTCGCTGCATAAAGGTATTAGCAAAAATGTGTACTAAGAAATTTCAAAAAATTTAAAGGTTTTTAGTGTTTTTTCAGACGCCGTAACATTATTTTTTGAAGAACGCCAAAAGCAAACGTGTCGAAGATTCCAGAATTCTGGACAATGTCAATTTGGTATTAATTGCAATCATTCTCATTATACATACAACCAATTAATATACTTAATCCAGCAAGGTAAGCATCATAATCATTATTGTAATGGTATACTTTAGATTTAAGAAAGCATGGTACCTATTGTTCAGCTTACATTATGTCAAATATTATGTTGAGTAAAATATGTTAATCATAATATTTTATTTACCTTGGTATATTATACTGTATATTAAAAGTATGCAGATAGTAATAAATACATTTATAAGATTAAATTAACTCTTAAGTTAATTAATAGAACTAGTTTAGGTCCTAACCTAAATGACAAAGCAGATATATATTATGTATTGTTTCAATTATAAATGGTTTCAAATGATGGTTATAAATGGTTTCTACATCTAACATCGTATGAGATAATGTGGTTAAAAAATGAAATAGTGTAATTTCGCCTTGAATATTGGATTAGTATAAATATGAATCGAGTCTTATCTATAAATATATACATAGGACAATTTTCAGTACCAATAAAAACAAATTTCTAATTTATGTGTGAATAAGTTTTTAAGGCGATTGAGTATGATATTTTTGAAAGAATTAGAGATTTCAATTAAATAATCAACATAGTACTAAAATAATTTTTAAATAAGAGACAGTAAGCAAATTATTAATTGACTAATAAATAATTGTTTAATTTAAGTATGCTTTGTTATACATTTAAGATCTAAAGCAAAAATAACTAAACAAAAATAATTGAATTGCTTTGAATAAAAAATTATTCAGAAAAAGACTGATTTAAGGCATTAAAATGTAATAATTTTATTATTATTTAGTTTATTAAATTTTAACCAAAGAAAATGTATGCAGGATTTTTTATTGGATTAAGTAGTATTTTATTATTAGATATTGTATAATAGCATATTATTTAAAGTATGAAGCTACAATATATTATGAGTTATGTTTTAAAAAGGATATTCTATTTATATATACGTAGGAAAAAAAGTTGAATATTTTAAGGTGCATACAAATACTGACTTTAATAATTAACAACTGGTGGGAAAATTGTCTAATGACATTGGACATTGTATTCAAATGTATGTTTAAAATATTATGTAATAATTGCTTTAATAAATGTGTTGAATAATTAAAAAGCTTTTTAATAATGTTACTAATGTCTAATATATTATTAAAAAATAATTATGTATTGTAATAAATTCAGAATTTTTTCATATATTTAAGTTTCTTTTCTCAGACATTATTTATAAAATTATATAAGTATTATTTAAACTACAGTTTCAGTAATGACTATTGTTGAACTATTAATTTTAAGTTAAGTTGGTACAAACAGCCATAAGTAATATAAAAATGAATTATAGTTATGTATTCGTCATTATTTGTGAGTCCAGACTAGCCAGGTCTCAGTCTTATGTTTATACATTTAAAAAAATGTCTATTTTAGTTGTCATAAAACTTGCTAATTGAAATTGAGTATAATATAAAAAACTGTTCCCATTATCTAAAATTAAAGCAATCCAGTTGACATTTGCCTACCTACAACACATCCTCAATGAAAACTATGCTAAGTTTTAGATTAATAGTAAAAAATTGAACTTGAATCATTCCAAGTATTTTTTTTTTTTTTGCTAAGTAGATACTGCATGTATTTAAAATGTTAGCACAAAAAACTTTTTTATTACTTGTATTTTTTAATATTTTATTACTTATTTATGTATAATCCACCACAAATTTGCTTAGATACAAAATAATTCTGGTTGCTATGATTTTTCATATTATTTATATTTTTTCTTATTCAATGTTCTGTTATTATTTCTTATACTAAACTTTCTTTTTTACTAATTTAATGTTTTAGAATACGCAGAAAAAAAATATAAGCAACAGCAAAAAATAAACTCGATTCCTTCAATTACTTCGTGGCAAATTAAATATCAAAAAGATTTCTACAACAACAACATAGAGCGTGAAACAAGTGCCCAAAACATAGAACTAAATCTTCAAGGTGAAAAACTACCATCCTTGATGCCAGTGAATGTTGAACAATTAAAGAATTTGCAGCTAAATACTTGGATGTGAGTAAATACTGATTAATAATATCTTTTATAATATTGAAATTTGGAAATTAATGTTGCTTATTTTAATTATTTAGCAACTTCCAAGGATGACCTCCATAGTTCATCAGAAAAACGGAACAGATATAAATAATTCAATATCTTCATCAACATTAAGTTCTAACTCTAACATGATATTTTTCAAGTCTGAATTTTGTGAGCAGTCGGACAACACCGCTCTACCCAACAATCCAGTACAAGACTGTTTGACTGATAAACCTTCACTAACTATTTCTATTAGTAATGTAGTCACCAACTTCAGTGTAAAATCGCACTTAAACCTACGATACTTAGCACTAAACGGTTGCAATATAGAATATAGACGTGAAAATGGTATGCTTACAATGAAACTACGTAAGCCAAATGCAACAGCTACAATTTGGTCAAGTGGAAAAATTGCTTGTACAGGATCCACGACTGAAACTCAAGCTAAAATTGCCTCAAGGCGTATTGCTAGAATTATTCAAAGGCTTGGATACCATGGTGCAAAGTTCAGCAGTTACAGAATTGTTAATGTTCTTGGATCTTGTACACTGCCGTTTCCGATCAAGGTTATACAGTTTTCGGAAAAATATAAAACAATCGCTCAATATGAACCTGAGTTACATCCAGGTGTCACCTTTAAGATCAAAGACTTAAAAGCTACATTAAAAATTTTTTCTACGGGTAGTATTACAGTAACTGCTCCAAGTGTACAAAACGTTCATAAAGCAATCGAGCAAATTTATCCAATGGTGCTACCCTTTCGTCGAGATAAAACAGCTGAGGATGAAAGAGTTATTCGTAAGTTAATTGCAAAAAAACGAAATTACTCGCAAATTGATAATTTATCCATGTTTCAATTGGACAACAGTGTAATGAAACGAACTTGCGATGGTATATCTATTAAGAAAGAAGAAGTTCATAAAAGCTTAGAAAACAATATCATTATTAAAGAGGAATTTGAAAATGATCTCTGAAAATTATTTCATTTACCCAACTAAAGGACTACATTTATAACAGATAAACTGCAGTTTTATTACATTTATATATTCAGATACTAATAAATTATAAAGGAACCGAAATTGTTTTAAATAATTATTACAAAGAATGTACAAAATTAATTTTATAGTATGCATTTTACTTTAGCTATAAGTTAATATGTTCTAGTTAACTAGTCCTTGTGTTTTACAATATATATACATGTCATGTGTATATTATTATAATTTTTTTTTCGTGTGTTAATGTTCCTCGTTAGTTACAAAAAAAAAATAGTTGTTTTTAAGCTGTTTCCTCATAATTTAATTTTTTTTTCTCGTTCTCCTAGTAACTAAAATGTTTTAATGAGACTCCCCTATAATTTTCTCATGGATTTTAGTTTATTCAGTAATAAAGCAATAATAATAATTTTAATATAATATTAAATAATTTTGTATATGATTAAATAAGAAAAATGTGTTTTTTTTTTTTTGTGGTTCATTGGTTATAATTTTGAATAAAAAAAACATCTTTGGGAATTACTCACATGATTTCATCATATATGAAAATGTTATCGTACATATTATTATTTACATTAATTTAATTTTTGTTTTTCTGATGGTAAATAAAATTATCATAGGTTTTATTTTGTATTATTTATTTTGTTTGATAGTAGTTTACACTTTTTAAATCTAAAAATGCCCATAGTCATTAAAATATGAAAGAAAACTGTTTTATTAAATAAAAGAATTAACATTCAATAATCGAAAAAATGTTTTTTTGTAAGATGACTAGCTTAGACATTGAAACTTTTCAGTTAATATTCTAATCCGAAAAATATTGATACTTATGTTAAACAACGAATAATTTAGGAAGACATTCTACAATGTGATTTGAAGGTAAAATGCCTAGACTTTTATTATTAATAAAATGTCTATAGTAGTAATGCTGCAGTATTATATACCTACTTAAAAAATATATATTTACTTGGTTAAATAGTCGTACTATATTTAAATATTCAATTTAGCTATGATTAGCTGCAGCTGTTGGCATTATATAAAACCTTTTGTGATAACGTGTTATCTAAAATTTTGATAACAATAATGATGACGGTGATTTGATCAAAATAATAATAACACGACAGGAATGTTACTTTTAAATTTTTCATTTAAATATAGTTTTTCAATATTCAGTACTTCACTGTAGTTACAGTGAAATGTAACATTGATACAATTAATTGGAATAATTTGCATTAAAAAATTTACTCATAATGTTAAGAGAACTAAGTACTATTAGAGAATGCATTGTAAATACGAATGTTACTCTAAAATCCGTCATTCAGGTAATTAACTATTATGATCATTTTTTGAACAAAAAAATAATTACTTAAAATTATGCTTCAGGAAATATATTCGTGTGATGGACCAACGGAAGCATTATCACGTTTGAACGATAGTGGTCGAAAGCAGATAAATATATTTAGGAATTTAATAGAAAATTTAGAACTGTATGCTCGTGAAGCAGAAAGTACACAAGAAAGATCAGAACTTTTTGAAGAAGCCCGTAATCAAAGAGAATATTTAACCAGGTAAAATTTGTTATATATGTACATACTAAAAAGTGTAGTTCCTTACCCAATTATTTCTTAATTGGTTTGGTCTAATTGGATAGTTTTTTCTTATGAAATTTTAAAGTGTAAATGTACACAAACATACAATAGTTTACCCATTGTTTATAATTTAAAAGAGGTAATTTCTTTATACAAAATTATATTGTTTATTATTCAAATTTTGAATCTCCGCGGACTTGTTCAAAAGTTTTTGGCTACCTTAAGTTTGGCAATTCCTTTTGTACAAGTGAGTATTTAAAATTAGCAAAAACTAACCTATATAATATTTTAAAAAATTAATAAAACTGCCATAGTTAAAGGCCCAAACAAATTTGACATAAGGGTAATTAGAGCTTTAAACCCTAAAAGGACCAAAACACTTGTATTTTAGCGAAAACCTTACCCCCTAAGTTTTTCTTTAATACTTTGAAATTTATCAAATAACTAAAGAAATAATAGTTTATTAGTTGTTGTTATGGCGTTTAAACTATAGACAAACAACCCCCATATTAAGCAATAATGTTGACAATTTTTAAAATCTGTATTTGTCAACGCCCATAAAACAAAAATAACATAAAACCCTCCAAGAAAAATTTGGATTTAATGTTTTTTTTTGTAAAATTCTTCTTAAATATATTCTTAAAATATTATTAGTTAATTTAAATGTAACGCGAATATTTCAGAATTATAAAGTCTTGTCCACCTTAGCAGTATTTTCAGAGATATGTCGCTTAAGTAAAGACAGGGTTTAAATACACATTATACCTGATTGTCTAATATTTTGTTCTTTTAGTAATATTGCATCATTTCGAAAGGCTAATGTAGAATGTATGACAAGAATTCACAAGAAAGCGAGTGAACAACTTTTAGGTAAAAGTAAAGATGAAGAAGTGAGATATAGGTAAGATAATCTTTTGATTTTATAATTTATTTATAACAGTGTAACTAATGAGAATTTGAGGAGGATTAGCCCCCACAACTTCATTATTATTTCATCATAGTTTTGTAATAATATGATGCGTCAAACTCAGCCCTCGATATGGGATTCCTTTTATCACTACTTGTCAAAGTAGTTAATTTTGAAAATAAATTACTATATATCCTTCTCTAGCTTATCAAAAGCCATTAAGAAGGTATATTGCTGAAGTACACCTCTTCCACTTATCCCCAATTTCTAAATTATTTTATACCAAAAAAGTATTTTTAACCATAAAATTATTAATAACTTTGATAATAGAATAATAAAATAATAATAGTAATTACTAACTAGTGTAAGACTTTTTAGATCTAAATTTATAAAAACTACTTTATGTACTTAAGGCTTAAAATGGATAAAGAAAATCTATTGAAACAATCATCTACGGTGACAAATCAATTGTTATCTGTAAGCAGACAATTAGCTAACACGTCACAACAAAGTTTAGACACCCTCGACGTATTATGTAAAGTAAAATTTACTAGTGTTATCTAAAAACAATTTATTGGAACTGATTAAAAATATTATATTTTGCAGTAAAATCATCTTCAACTGTATCAAATATAAGCAGTGAAATAAAAAATTCAAAAGGTGCTTTGACTCAATCTGAAAAACTTTTAAATAAATATGGCCAGCGGGAAACAACAGACAAAATATTAATAATTTTTGCCTTTGCTTTTTTTTTATGTGTTGTAGCTTACATTGTACAAAAACGACTTTTTTAAAAAAAAGAATTCTAGTTTTTATTTTTATTTATATAAATAAAAGAATATTTTTAAAGATCTCTATTATTTTAATCTTACCTTTGTTATTGTTTTAATTTTATTGAGACATTTGGCACAAAATATAATTAGGGTGTAAGGTTAAGGAGTAATATTTGATAAATACATTTTTGAAAGATAAATAATAAATTATGTGTTAATTTTAAAATGTATTGTATTAAAATATTTTTTATATTCTAGTATTTTTTAAATTTATTATGTAAAAATTCACTCATTCTTTATTTTTATTTTTTTCAGTTTTAAAATGTTTTTATTTTGAATAACTTATTTTAGCCAAATTTTTAATCTATATATAGAATAATAAAAAGTACAATTATAAATAAAATCTTAGTATATAGTTTGCATCTAATTGAACTTGAAACATTAAAAGGGTTTTTTAAAATCCTACATAGATAGATCGTTGATCTGTAATTTATTAGCTAATATTCTCACGTAATACGTATCATTAACAGTATATTAACTAATTACATAATGTTTTTTCCTAGTACACAGCTGACAACCATTTTATATCCAAGTTTTTATCTTATCATCATTTTTACACAGGATATCCTGTCAATCGTCCAAGTCAAATATTTTCTGTTTTATCCTTGGTATTTTTTTAGGTCAATATTTAAAGCAGTGTATTATTAAAAATATAATAATAGTCATGTATATATTTTTTTTTTTTAATAAGTGCGACGTTAATTAAGTAACAGTCAAAGTAGATATTTTAGTTTATCAGATGTACTACGATAGAACAATGTAAACTTGCCTAGGTTATCTAATGGTTATCTATAATCATGAACCTAGTACCATTTACAGTAATGTTATTGAAATAGGCATCTAAGTAAATTCACAACTATATCTCATCCTTGATTTCTAAACCAATGTTCTTATTATTGTTATTATTTTAACACAAAAAAATAATGATTTACGGATCTGAAATTTGGATGTTCAGGATTTTTACTGTTTGAATAAAAAATAAATTAAAAAAAACTTTTTTAAAGACAACTATTTGGTAAAAAATAATTTTATGGACAATTTACCAATCAACTGTAGCACTTTTTTTTTAAATGTCAATTACTTTTAAAACAACCGAAAATTAACTACAATTTTAAATAATGTTAAACATCTTAAATTTTTAACTAAAAAGAGAAGTGTGGGCCCTATTCAACAAAGTCCAAATTCATTGAGTTAAGTATTATGAAATGTATGTGTCTCACACCAATATTGAACAAAATTTAAATTACAAAAAAACTTACGAGGGACTGTTGAATAGGGCCCAAGATTTAGAAAAACTTTGACCCCCTGGCATTTGCGACCTGGATGTCCGGGTCCCAATATTATGACGGGACATTGTATTGTCGTCCAAAATGAGTGTCTGGGTTAAATTTCAGCCTTTTATGATAAATGGAAGTGGATTAATTTCTGGAAGATTTGAAAAAACATGAAATTTTAGTGAAATGACCCTGTGTACGGAGACCAGGATGTTCAAGTTCTAATATTATTACAGGATATTGTATTGTCATCCGAGATGAGTGTGCCAAGTTTTAGACCTCTACGACATCGGGAAGTGGGTTAAACCAATTTTGCACGATTTGAAAAATGCCCGTACATTAGTACGTACTACGTACGTGTTAGCGAGTGAAAAGCATATAAAAACATAATTTATGTACAGCCCTTGATACATTTTAAGCTACATTTTTTTTATCCATACTACTTAATCATAATGTCTACTTAATTTGTCATTAGAAATACATTTATAAGTATACATGAGTTTTTTTTGTGGTTATTTGTTGTAAAAATATTTTAGTGAAAATAAATTTGATTGTCTATGCGGTTATCTTTTCGATGACATATTGCGTACCTATCATTTGTTTGTCTCTAAAATTTATAATTTTTGGAAACTTTCTGAAATCTGAACTATTGTTCTTTTTAATGACTTAAAATATTATTAAAACAAATATCACTCCGTCGTCCCCTTTTAATCATGCCTTCGGGCCTTGAAAATGTAAGTGTCCTTGCCATTTATGAATTCCTCAGTCATCCGGTTACAAAAAATATATATATAGTTACTGATGTTACCCAGTCACGTGCAAAATAATTCAAGATTATCAAAGTTTTTGCAATAATTTAACTGTTGTCACCATACATTATTGTTTTATTTCCTGTTGTTGTTTTTTTTATTAATATTATGATAGCTAGTTTTTTGTGCGTCTATAAAAAAATATTTAATAATATTAACTGCAAAAAAAGGGCAATTTTAGTTTATTAATTTTGCATTAAGCGCAATAAAACTTACATTAGTTGCTCTAGTTCCGAGATGGAGATAAATTGTACAATGAAAATTTGTTTCAACACTATTATAAATTATAATCCTTAATTGTGGCTCTAATATAGCAGATAGTTCTATAGAATATTAATCTAACACGCTTGTAAGTTGCGTGAATCACAGAAAAATAAAGAGAGAAAGCTGAGAGAGTGTAGGTTGAGATGGTCTGACAGGAAAGAGGAAAATAAAGTAGTAAGCTCTAATATTAGACTACCCTGAATTCATGCAAGTGAAAAAAGTGCACAATGAACATGCACTTGGATCAAAATACATACATGTGGCCATGTGGGTCCATCTATTATAAAATAATATAGGCACACCTGTTATTCAATTAGCGTAGATCAATATATTTTTAATAGTGATGGGAATCCGAAAATCCGGATTTTCACAAAAAAACGTTTTTAAGCTACTTAAAAATCATATAAGTGTTCAATAATTTCACAATATAAAGCTGTGTACCTAAGTAAAATTTTTTTGATAAATATGTAAAAATAAAACAAAACATCAAAAAGATAAACTGCTTTTGGATTTGTTGAAATCCCAAAATCCGGAATCCGAAAGCATTTTATAGACAAAGTTAAGAATTTTTTTTTAATTTTACTTAGGTACACATCTTTATATTGTAATAGTATTTAATATTTATAAGATTTCCAAGTGGCTTAAATAGCGTTTTATTTTGTTGAAAAATACAGATTTTCGGTTTCCCAACACTAATGTATTTTTAATAAATTGGCTCTATAAATTATTGTTTTATTTTGAGAGACGTGTTTTCCTATACGTCTGAAATTTTATGAAAGTTTCATAAGAAGATAGTTTGTGTTAAGTTCTAAATGTTACAATTGAAGTAATTTTTTACGAATTAACTTGTTTTGTGTATAATGTCACCGACCTTCGTATTATATACTTTATACAATATCTAATTGATTCTCTGAGAATCATTCTCGTATATTAATATTATAAAATATTTCATTTTTTTTTAAGTGCCAAACACTACTTTATACTATTCACCTATTCAACGTATTGTAAACTATGATTTGTAGGTTGTAAAAATGCAACAATTGAATACAATATAGAATTGCGTTTTAATATTTAGTTTTGTTGTTTTCATAGGCTAATTTAATATTCAGTAATGAAACAAGTGCGACATTGGTTCTTGAACTTGTCGCGATGTACGTGATGTCCATTTCCTCCATGAAATGTCTGTATAATGGTTTAACATAAATCTTATTTTAGTCTTCTTTGTTCTTTTATTTGTATAAGTGTGCGTAACTATTATACAAATAACATAAAAAAATAAGCATAAACAAAGAAAAGTAATGATGAGTTTTAAACTATATACACATAATTGTATGATTATTTAATATAAGATAGGTAGTTGTAGACGCTACCTACGTGTTCGGTGTTTCTATTCATTTGTTTTTTCTTTCATATACTTTTGAGTTCAAATTCAAACTATTTTTCGGTCAATGCCTTTAATCTTGGGCAATGCAAACATAAAGCCGGGTATAATATGTATCTCTCCAGTCTTCTTCAGTCCTACCTACTTACTACTTGGCACACAACTGCTACTAGATATGAATTAAATAATTTAGTTTTCTAAATAAATAAAATAATTGTACAGTAGTTTTTACATTTTACAATATTTTATATAGAACGAATCATAATATTGAGTTTAATAAGGTATAATATCGTATATTGTCTACAATATGTTATTTGTATTTAGGTTCTATACATTTTAATTGGTGGAATGTTGTACTCATAATACATTTCTTTAGACTCGTTTCAAAATACAAATGATTTTTTTCTGATGTCACAAAGCACGCAGCTGTTTACCCAGCAATTTGCGTGCCCTGTGCGCAAGTCTGAGAAAAAGTTGATACTCCAAGAGTGTTAGGCTGTTCAAATAAAAATCCGAGCTCTAAGAAAAAAATCCATCCAGCTCCATTTAAAAAGTGCTAGCCAATTTACAGCTGCTATGCTTAATTCAGACACACTAACTGGGGTTGGGAGAGGGGTCGTTGGGACAACAACCCCGTGAGCCAATGTAAGACTAATACCAGATTAGCCATCTTACTCCATTAATAATTTCAAGATATACGCCTGATTGGTTATGATAATTGCGTTGATGATAAAATACAATACATAATGCGATAAAAATTTTACTGGGCAGTAATTTATTGGTCATCGGTGTTTATTCCAGCCAAACGTCAGTGTTTTGTCGATAAGGTCGTAATGCTGATGTTGCGGACATTATCTATACCTACTAGCCGGAAGGACCAGCAGCAGCGGGGATGCAGTTTTGCGGCTGTGGCCCAAGGCCTATACTACCTCCGCGGCATACGTGTAGGATATAAAATGCGACCGTAAACCTGCCGAGCGGCCACAGTTTTTAGCCGAGTGAAATTTTCGGAGTTGCATCCGCCGCGGCAACGCACAGTTTTCTTGTGGCCGTTAAATCGCGCGCAATGAACCGAGTTTAGTGCGCGTCGAATTCGTCCACCGTGCGCGGCAACCGGCAAGTGTAACTCAATTACCGGTATAATATCCGCGTGGTCCACAAATTATAATGTTAGTTATTGCATACCTAAAGTAGGTAGGCAGTGTGCGTAACTTGTGAAAACCAATTGACTTTTCGGTTTTATATTTCCTATATATATTACATTTTTTTTAACGTGCCGCGACCGTTTCCTACCCCCCCGAGGATAATACTAACCGAGTTACACTTACAAAAACGAACACAGATCAGCAAGTACCATGCGCATCGCTTATGGGTCCACGCTGTTGGTGTTCATCGCCGCCTTGCTGGTTGCCGTTACGGGGGCGCCGATCTGGGAAGAACTTTTCGGCCTGCCACGACCGTACCGACAGTCCGATCGTCGGCCCGACCGATCTGGCGGCAAAGAGAAGTACAAGAAAACGTGTTGGGTGGTAAATCCAGACCCTTACGCGTTCCCGGGACAAGTGCCTTATCCAGCCGCACCGTTGTGCCCTTATTGACAACTGTGACCAGACGCCGGCCCTACATCGATTCCAGTAATTACTGCAGTCGACCGTTATACTGTTATAACTTTGTACTATGAATGATAATATTTTATACTAGTCGTTAATTTAAGAAAGCATACTTTATTCAAAGTTCGTCAAAAAATGATATCGTATTTATTGTTTTAATTTATATTTATAGGCGTAAAAAGTATACTATACAACAGTAAAATAAATACTATAATAATGAACTTGATATTATGTTTTTTTTTATTATCGAAAGCTTTATTATTTTTCTAAAAATTCGTTTTCACGATTTTAATAATGTATAATTTTTTTTCTACGAATTGTTTATACTATTTATAACATTTGACGTATTAAAAGACTATAATGTATATTCCGATCGTGAACAAACAAATTTGAGTTTTTATTCATAATTTTTAGATAAAAAAGTGGTTTATTTTATTAGAAGCTTTGAAAATATATAATTAATTCAAATTTTAAAATTTGTTAAATTAAAAATGCTTGTTAAGAAAATTCTGAAGTCTACAAAATTTATAAAGTCTTAAGTAAGTAAATACAAAGGTGTAAAAAGGTGTGTGTGTAGACTGTAGATACACATTTTTAACTAATATTTTTTATACCTATACGTTTAGTACAGTTATAATTATTTATCAATAAAGAAATAAATCTTTATTATCAAATTATTACAATAATTGAATAATATTATCCGATGGTGTTAGAAAAATTATACTAATAATCATTACTTAAGGGTCATATTTGAATCCTAAATTCACGGACCTTATAATTAAGTAAAATTGTTTTATATGAGGGTATTTTTCTTGACATTTCTTTTGAATCATTTTTTATAGCATCTTCGGCCATTAAAACAATTTATTGAAAATCTGTTTCTAAAATAATCTGTTTTCTGAAAAAAATTTTGAATCATTTTTATAGAGTAACAGAAAGCCATTAAAATGCAGTTATAATCTAAAAAGTTAGTTTTTTCATTTTGCCCAAATTTTTTTAGAATTTTTCTAATATTTTTTCCAAAAGCTGAGAAAATGTTAAACAAAATGTGTAATTTTCAAATTTGGTTCTCCATAAAACGCTTATTAAAACAAAAAAAAAGCTAAAATTTCATAGAAAAGTCGAAAAAACGGGGAATTATCTTATACATATTTACAAATAATTTTTAAAATATTTTGATTACTGTGGTCTTTTTTTTTTATTTGTCTATGAAATTTCACCAGCTAGCGTCAGAAAGCTGAGATTATTTTACATAATAAACTGATTTTTAATCAATTTTTTTGATGGCCGAAGATACTCTAAAAAAATTATAAAAAGAAGTGTCAAGAAAAAAACTCAAAATATTTTTACGACCATAGCAAAAAAAAAAAAAATTCAGAATATTTTTTTAATCGTAACAGACATGCAGTGTAATTTTCAAAAATATGTTAGGGGGGGGGGAATCGCTCCAAACGTTCATATATGGCGTTTTGACCCATATACTTATTTTAAACCACCTCTTTCCCTTTAACATAACATAGATTCTAATTATAATTGCAATTAGTTTTAAAGTCTTAATGCGTAACTCATGTGTTTTTTTATCCGAGGAACAAAATAAATGGCGAGGTGGTATTCAAGAGACATGTGAATATTTTATAAATAATACTTTAAGTACCTGCAGCTAATTATAATTTATTTAAAAAGAATAAATAGATAATGTACGAATAGCACAACAGATAAGATAAAAATGATTAAATTTAACAAATAATTATATCGTTTTGCAATAACGCAATAAGATGTAGCCAGTCCCCCAAGTAGCTATTAGTATAACTGTTAAATTAAGTTTATAAAAAATTATAGTATTAATAAAGTGAAACAAATTATTCGATTTAAATATTTTTACAATTTGTTTAACATATTATCTGCAAATGTACACTAAAGCTTTGTTACAAAACTCATTGATTTAATGCCCATAGTATCATATGTGTATACTATAAGGACTAGATATGGAATGTTGATACAGCCACTTGCTTAATTTGGAGGCTTGATAATTGTTTTAAACAGAGAGGACATTAACTTTGAAAACGACGATTGTTATATTTTTACAATAAGAATATTTTTCTTAAAATGTAAAACTGTTTGAATAAAAAATTGTATTAACATTTAATAAATATTGTCTACAATTATTGTAGACGATATTTATCACTTGAAGGTAACATTGTCATAATTGATTTCCTTTATGTAAATTTTATATTAAGGTGGTACTCATGAAAAAACATTTGAATCATAAAATGTCTATTACACAATAATTATTGTATTATACAATTTTAATTGAAACTAAATATTTGTGCTACTAGCTATTAAGATTAATAGCAAATAAACTTTGTCGCTTCTTCATGTTTTTGTAATGGTAAATTTTATGAAAACAAATAATAATTTTCACACTTGAAAAAAAAAAATACAATTAAAATGATTTATACTTATAAATTTGTTCATAATATAAATTGTTCTTAAATATTGAGATCAATTTTGTACAGTTTTAGTATAATTTGTAATTAATCATTTTAAAGAATACTAATGGGAATCCGAGTCCTTACTCAGGTCGAAAAATGATATTATATATAATATAATACAAAAAAGTAAATTGCAATAATATAATAGCTAGCAGTGGTTTCGTGCTAAATAAAATAAAAAAAGTATTAAAAAGTGAAAAATATTCCTAACTTGCATCTTAAAATTATACACACAATGTTAATGCTTATTCTTTCGTGGTCTCCCACGTTTACTTCTTGTAGGCTGTTGTGCACGTTTAACTAGGCATTTTGGACAATACCAAATGGCACAATCTGGTGGACACTGGATTCCGACACATACCCAATGATACCAAACATCACATCCGTCACAACCAATCATTGGGCTTCCGTCGTCTCTCTTTGTGCACATTGGACAAATCCATACTTGGTTTCCAGCTTCGTCATAATAGAATGCCGGCAAGGATTTATCGGGAGTTGAAGTTTGAGGTTGAATTGTTTTGGTTTCAACTTCAATTTTATTTTTATAATTAGGAACTTTCGATGTAATTACATTTTCTACGTCAACAAAATTGTCTGATTCTTCTTCCATGTCTTCTACTGGTTCAGGTTCTGACACTATTGATATATTTTTATCCAGAGAACTTGAGTTAACTGTTTCTACTGGCTTGGTAATTTTAAGTTTTATTTTGGGAACTTTGTGAGTAGACTTGTCTTTTTTTTTCTTCTTTTCTTTTTTTTTCTTTTTTCTTTTCTTTCTTTTTTTTCTTTAACTCTCTTTTACTTGTTGCTGTGACTTCAGGTTCCATTTTTTCTTGCGGGTTGGTAACTATTGTTTCAGGTACTTCAACATTCAAAGGTAATGTGGATGGAATTAAACCAGGACCTTGAGGAAGTGTACCAAAAAAAGAAAATTTAGGTAAAGTTTCATTCATTTTAATTTTTTTCATTGGTGGCTCATCAACTTCTTTTTCTGGACTTTTTGAGAAAACGGGACTGCAAACAATTTCTTCTCTAACCCCTAAAGTATTAGTGTGGCCCAACGGAGACGTTACTGGCTCTTCTAAAAAAGGAACAATTGTTTTTTCAGTTTTATCTTCTTTAGACTTTTTTATTGTACTTAATTTTTTACTGACTTTTTTAATTTTAGGACTTGATTGTTTCTTTTGTGTTGTAGACAACTTTTTGGATTTATTTGATTTTTTCATAGTCGGCAAAGTCTTTTGAGAAGGTTCGGTTTCAGATGGAGAAGAAACTAATGGAACATCCAATTTTTCAATTTTAATATCATTTAGTGGTAATAATTTTGATTCTGCTAATCTGCCTTCTCTAGATGGAGACAAAAAGCCTCCAGATGTCATAACGACGCTAGAGATTTCTCTTAATCGTTTATGTATTATTTCTTCATCAGATGGTTCTTGTTTTACAACTTGTACAATTTTTTCTTCTGACTCATTTTGAACAGGCTGTTCTTCATCAATTTGTTCTGGATATAATGTGGGTAAATGTTCATGAAAATGAATCGGTCTAGTAACAATTTCTCGGCTACCGGCTTTCATTGTATTGAGTGTGCTTTTCCCAGGAATATTTAATGGAGGTATTGAATGTGGAAATTTAACGGAACCAGTTTGTTTAATGAACCTACGAAGATCTGGTAGAGATATACACTTTTGGCGAAATGCTTGTTCTACATCGTTGATAACTGGCACCAATCTATCGGCGTGTTCTGAATATTTTTTACTCAAAGTACACAGGTCACAAATGTATTTATGAAGTATGTCTCTCAATATTCTCATCGAAGAATCCGATATAGAATGCCATCCCAAGTTGTCGCATATTTGAGCGACTGAAATGATTAATGTTTTCTTAATGAATTCATCGGCCATGGTCGCTAGATTAGAACTTCACTGTATTCAAGATATATGAAAATAACGAGTCTACTTACTGTTTAAATGTAAATTCAATTTGGCTTTCCTGAATTCAAGAACCAATCGCACATTTCAGTCTTCACTATTTCAGTTGATCAATCAATCTGGATTTTAATTTTTAAATTAGTGTAAACAAACTGCACGCTTCTAATCGTAATTATTATCACTAATTCTTATTGTGACCATAGTGAACTTCAATGTTTCCAAACGGTTCTCCTTGCGTGTCATTTTTGTCATGGAAAAAACAAATAGATAAATATATATGATCATCACTATCATGTTATCATTTTTCTATCAGCGGCATAGATTAATGAATAATGAGACATTAGTGATATCAAAATGGCACTACTCACTACGATGCACAATTAAACACATTGATATTTGATTGACAAAAGCATAAAAATTAGCTGAGGTCCACAAGAAATAAACCTAAGTTCTCACTGAAGTATCCAAGTAGTAAGTATATTTAAGTAGTTAATCACATTATAAAGGAAATACTATTATATGACAATATTTATATAAGGATCAAACAACCTATTAGCTTAATAAGTCACATAGTAAAATGTTGTTTAACAATGATAGTTCATTAGAATTATTTAAAATAAAAGTTATGATTAATAATTATTTTGCTAAAACATAATTTTAGATGTTAGGGCAATTTTTCTGGACACTAGGAAATTGATGCCTACCGAACACTGTATGAGCATGAGGGGATATTTCTAAAAATTTGTTTTTATACAATTGTTTGCCTTGCTGTCTTTAGTGACCAAAAATATGGACTTTTTTTATAAGGAAGGAGGCTCATTTATTTTATAGTCCTTTGGATAACAAAAAATCTTATGTATATAACCCGAGAGTAGAGGTGCAAGTTCTAAAATGAATGATATGTATGTACATTGTATCTAGGAAGGCAAAACTTTCCTGACGTCTGGCTAAATAGACATTGTCTAAATTTAGTAAAAAATAATTATTTTATTTATGCTTATTTTAGTTGCTTATAATGACTTCAAGACTAGCCTTGTCATACCAGCTTCGTATGGTTATTACATGTTGTAGTAAAGGCCCAAGTGTGGCCAATTATTCAAGTATACCTTCTCAATCACATGATCGTAAGTTCAAATATTTTATAATTGAAAAAATTCATCTTTTATTATCTGCAAAGAGTATGTTATGTTAAATATAAATCATTTTAAGAATAATCTGTTATTATATAATAGCAATACATTATAGTTAATTTGTTTATTAATGTCTTTTAAATATCTAATAAACTTTAATGAACGAAACCCTAAATAACTTGTTTCTCCTTTAATAACATTAATAGTAAATTGTTGTTTTAGGTATTGTTACTAAAGAATTGAGTAATAAGTTTTTTGCTGAGCCTATACAAGATTTATTATTAGATCTTACTCATATTAATGTACAAAAAGCCTTCAGAAAACGACTTACTGGACGTAATCCTTCTATACCAATTTATAAATTTATGACAACAGCTGAAATTGAAAAAGTAGTTTTTTTTTTTTGAAAAATATATAAATGATTTATTGTTATTTGGTTTATTATTTAGTTGCAAGTTGAAATAAGAGAAAAGGCTAAGGAAAAATTAAAAATGCCTCCAATTGTTCCACTAAGAACTGATTTAGGAGAAGTTTTGAATGTGGACAAAGATATTGTAGGGTATGATAACTCAAAATACTTATTTACTGATATTACTTTTGGAGTTTCTGATAAAGTAAGTAAATACATTAAAAATAAGAATTATTGTATATTATTCTATTATTAAAATTTTCATAGGGCCGTATAATAGTAGTAAGAGAACCTGATGGTACTTTACGAAAAGCTACTGCAGAAGAACGTCATAATGCCAATCAAATTTATTTCCCCCAGTCTGGCAGAGAACTGAAACATCCAAATATGTTTAAAGATGAAAATTTGAAGGTATATATTTTAAAAAAATATTAAATTATACCCATGTATGTACATTTTGGTACATTTACAGCCTTTGCTTGAAAATGGAGATTATGAATTCATATTAGATCGGGCTTGCTGTCAATTTGAACCAGATGATGAAAATTATCACCGAGTAGTCTTCAGTACATACAAACATGTCGACGAAAAACAGAAATATCAAGTTTTAGAGTCAACTAGACATTTAGGGCCATTATTGTTTTATTTGGCTCTTAATAAAATGCCGGATAATTATGTTACGTACTGTTTGGAAACTGACAGGTAAACTTAACTACTCTATTTTTGCAAATAATAATCAATAACTATAAAATATCAATAGTTAATATGATTTATGTTATGTTTTTAGATTAAAAGATGTTTTATTATTTATACAATTATATACAAAGATTAGCAATTCTATAGAAAGTGAAGTAAATATTTCCCAAGAGAATCAATTTGAAATTGTTAAGGTAATGTTTAGTTGTTGTGTTTTAATTATGCTTTAGTGAAAACAACAAAATTAACCATCAATTTTCTATTATAGGACTTTATAAAATCCGAATGCCAAGAAAAAGCTAAATTAGAAGCAGCGTTGAACAATTTTATAAGTATTTATAATAATATTGAGTCTAAAATAAATATAGAATAGTATTTTATAAACCATACGTACAAAAATGTATAAATATATAATATATGAAAATCATTTAGTAAAAAGTGTATTTCTATAAATATTGTTACATTACATAACATTATTTATACAATTAATTCATTAATATCACAAAATAAATAAAATTGTAGTTTTATTTAATATTTTTTGCACACCTAAAACCCAAATTGGATGCTGAACTATCTGCTGTATTTTGACTTCGTGCAGCACATCTATAACGGTAACAGTAATCTTTATGGCATAAGTATGAGCCTCCTTTTTTAACTTTTTCTTTACTACTTGAAGGTCCTTTCTAAAAAATAAATTTCCAATGCTGTAAATGTAAATTCCTCTTTTCATATTTGAGAGTATGAATGAATCTTTAAAAAAAAAACTAAATCCAAAAGTATTGTCACACACTTCATAGGACTCTGGTTAACAATCAAGTTTCAAGAAAGTTAAGAATTCAAATGTAATTCCTTAATAATTGTATAAATTATATAATTCTAAATATTACTGGATTTATTGTAAAATTTGGATCATGGTGTACATTCCAAAAATCAGATGTCCATTCCCATACATTTCCAACCATATTGTATAGTCCGTAACCGTTCTCTTTAAATTGGTTTACAGGCGCTGTAGCTGCCCAACCATCTTCGGCTGTATTCTTAAAGGGGAAATTCCCCTGCCATATATTTATTCTACAATACACAAATATATTGTTAATAGATGTTTTTTAACTAAAATTTAAAACTTGACAAGGAATAAGCTACCTATGTTTGTTATTAGGAAGCAATTTGTTGCCCCATGGATAGAGCCTATCTTTAAGATTACCTCTGCAAGCTACCTCCCATTCTGCTTCAGTAGGTAATCTTTTTCCAGCCCATTTACAAAATTCTGTAGCATCATTCCAACTAACATGTACTACTGGATGCAATTTTCTGTCTATGTATGTAAATGTACATAGAATATTTAATGTTTATTGATTACAAGAAACATTGTAATAAATTACCATCAATGTCAGAATCCAATCCTTCAGGATGCTTCCACATGGCTTCTTTAACAGGCACCCACCATGGAGCATCCTTAACAGATTGCGTGACTTCTTTCAAAGCGTTTTCACTGAGAAATAGTTGAAAAACAAAAGAATCACCAAATTTTTCTGCTTCAGTTTTATATCCAGTTTTGTCAACAAATTGTTTAAAATCGAAATTACTAACTTCAAATTTGTCAATAAAAAAGTCATCAATGTACACTAAACGCGCAGGCGATTCACCATCAGCTATGATCACAGGTTTATCTGTACCTATTGTAAAATTTCCTCCTCTAATAAGGACCATTGAATCAAGAGATAAAGTATATGAAGTATCTACATTTATAGTTGAACATGTTTCTTCTTCTACAGTAACTGATGCATCTCGATTTGTACTACAACCGCAGTCAGCTTTAACTGAATTTATACTCAACAATAGCACAATTAAAAACAGTTTAACGTACATTATTTAAAATTAAATTTATGCGTGAAACCGTAATAATAGTTTGAATATTATTTTTATTATTATTGTTATTGTTTTTAATAACACTTGAGAAAACTTTGATAAGAAATGTGTATTATTTTCTCCATGATCGTAAAAATGTTCGTGGTATAATATAACCTATTACAATCATAAATGTTTGATTTTATAACATTTTGGCGCCAAATCGCGGTTGCTTTTATTCAGTTCTGACTTCAGTCTTTATTGTTATTTGTTTGTGTCAAATATTTCTGTTATTCGTATATTATAATTTTTTTGCTGTGTTGTGAATTTGAATCGTGTATTGTTGTGTTCAGTTTAAAATCCTTTGTTTTTCAATTATTTGAGAAACTACATTATAATAGTAAGTATGCTTGCAAATTATTTTAATTGTTATGTATATTTCTGGTATCGGTAAATTGCAGAATAATTAATATTGCATAGTCTGCGTCTGAAGCTTTGACAACCTTAACTTGGCCTTACTCTTAATATATTAGGTATGCTAAATTTAAACTGATATGAAAGAAGCCGCAAGGTTATGAAACACTTAATCTTATTTCTAATAGAAAATATTAAAGTGTTAATCAATTTGTACAACACAAACTTCAAGTAAAGATAAACATCAATGTATGTTTTGCGATTTTAATTTTGAAAAAGCAACCTAATTGTAAACGGTTATCTATTGGAAATTTTTTTAAAAATTTCTCTTGATTAAATTTTAATTGCAACTAAACAAATATGATTATTATTTTGATATAAATACTAGTGTCTTAAGCTAAATTTATAATTCTCTATGTATGCTGTACATACCTATGTATATTACTATACAAAATATGTTTAAAAAACATTATACCTAAAATCAATAAACTTCTCTTAAGGAAACGCTGATGTGAATCTGCAAATAGTAAATACTAAAACTATATAATAATATTATTAAAATCTTAAATTATTTTAGATGAACTTCACCAATTCTTTATCTTCGTTAAACTCAATAAGTGCTTCTAAGATTATTTAAGTTTCAATTGTTTTTTTTTTTGTCCAAATTTGTACGCATTTTGATGAATATTTCATAAATAAAACCAAAATGTGTACTGCCGAACAGAGGAGTTTTAAACATAAAAACTTGAGTGGACTTAATGTAACTAAAGTTAAAAATAATCATAGAGATCCTAAGCATATCCAAGACCCCTTTTAAATTGTGCCTATGCTGCTGAATATTATTTGCTGCATATAAATCTTAGATTAGATAAATAAAATATCTAAACATTTTAATTAAAACCATTTTTTTTCAAGATTCAAAATGATGGACGAAGATGTTGAACAACGGATCAGGGATATTCAAAAAGATTACCTCAGTTTTTTAGACGATGAAGAAGATCAAAATGTTTACCATAAAAAAGTAAAAACCATGATAGATGAGAAATGCCAAAGATTATTAATCGACATTAATGACTTGCGTAAAAAAAATCCAACCAGAACTCAAGCTTTGTTAACAAATACATTTGAAGAGCAATTTGCTCTGGAACGTGCACTTAAGGAATATGTTGCCAATATTGATTCTACTTTTGCAAATCAATTTGATGAATTCTTTGTTGCGTTTGAAGGTAGTTTTGGAAGTCGGCATGTTACACCTAGAACAATGAGTAGCAAGTTTTTAGGCAACTTGGTATGTTTAGAAGGCATTGTTACTAAGTGTTCTTTAGTACGACCAAAAATTGTAAGGAGTGTTCATTTTTGCCCAGTTACAAAAAAAACGATTGAACGTCGATATACAGATATGACATCTACTTCAGCGTTTCCTTCAAGTGCAGTATACCCTACAAAAGATGAGGATGGCAATCCTTTGGAAACTGAATATGGACTTTCAGTATACAAAGATCATCAAACTGTAACTATTCAAGAGATGCCAGAAAAAGCGCCTGCTGGGCAGCTGCCTCGTTACGTTGATATTATTTGTGACAATGATTTAGTTGATTGTTGTAAACCAGGTGATCGTGTACAAGTTGTCGGAAGCTACCGTTGTTTACCTGCCAAGCAAGGAAGTTACACATCTGGTAATTTTAGAACTATTCTTATTGCTAATAATGTATCACAATTGAGCAAAGACTCGACGTATTCAATTAGCAGAGAAGATGTGTTTAACTGCAGAAAATTATCAAGAAAAAAGGGTGATATATTCAACTTATTGGCTCGATCATTAGCTCCGTCGATCCATGGCAATAACTTTATAAAAAAAGCTATTTTATGTCTTCTCTTAGGAGGAATAGAAAAAGTTTTGCCTAATGGTACACGGTTACGTGGTGACATCAATCTTTTACTTATCGGTGACCCGAGTGTTGCTAAATCGCAATTACTTAGGTATGTTTTATGTGCTGCTCCCAGAGCTGTAGCTACTACAGGAAGAGGAAGCTCAGGTGTAGGATTGACAGCTGCTGTGACTACAGATCAAGAGACTGGAGATAGAAGATTGGAGGCAGGAGCTATGGTTCTAGCTGATCGTGGAGTAGTGTGCATTGATGAATTTGATAAAATGTCCGACATGGATCGTACAGCTATACATGAAGTGATGGAACAAGGTAGAGTTTCTATTTCAAAGGCCGGTATACATGCTAGGTTAAATGCTAGATGTTCGGTTTTAGCTGCTGCTAATCCTGTTTATGGGCGTTACGATCAATATAAAACACCAATGGAAAATATCGGTCTTCAGGATTCTTTGTTATCTCGATTTGATTTGTTGTTTGTTATGTTGGATTCACCAGACAGTGAAAATGACCGTTTGATTTCTGAGCACGTTGTACGTATACATAGGTACAGGGATCCGAAAGAGCAAGACGGCGAGGCCTTGCCAATGGGTTCAGGTGTTGATATTTTGAGTACTAGAAATTTAGAAATTGATGAAAATGACCCATCGAAAACACGTATGTTTGAAAAGTATGAACCATTGCTTCATGGTCCTCGTAGTAAGTCTGAACAAACATTAAGCAGTCAGTTTATGCGAAAGTACATACATATAGCAAAATGTGTAAGACCTGTACTAACAGAAGAAGCTTCCGATGTAATATCTGAAGAATACTCGAGACTTCGATCACAAGAAGCGGTTGAATCCGATGCAGCTAGAACTCAACCTGTTACAGTCAGAACACTAGAGACATTAATCCGTTTGGCTACAGCTCATGCTAAAGCTCGACTTTCCAAGAATGTTGAACAACAAGATGCTCAAGCAGCCATTGAACTAGTTCAATTTGCGTATTTCAAAAAAGTCCTGGAAAAACCTAAAAGGAAACGGCAACATAGTGATGATGAGTCTGATGCAGAACAAGAAGGATCGCCTGATAAACCTCCCAAGAGGAAACCTAGACAAAATGGTGAAGATCCTTATGCATTTGAAGAAGAGGTGGAAAATGACCAAGATGAAATGGAAGTGGAAGCAACAGACACACAGGATACCCCAAGTACTAGTGGTCCTCCACCTGTAGCACAAACGTCTATTACTCCAGACAGATATAAAGTATTTAAAACTACTTTGAGTAATGTATTCCAGAAACTTAGAGTTCAATCTTTAAGTTTTACTCGAATGCTGACTTGGATAAATGAAGAACATGCAACAAGTACCTTTACTGAAAATGAAGCCTATGCTGCAATTTATAAAATGATGGATGCTAATTTTATTATGTTCTCTGATGGAATTATATTTTTGATTTAGTAAAACATTTTAACTGAAAACTATGTTCTTAAAATTAATAATAGCAATAGTTTTTGTTTGTTTGTTTATTTCTTACAATAATTAAACCATCTTGTATAGGTACAAAAAATACATTTTTAAAATATTTTACCTTTTTCTGTAATTTTAGTTATTTTTTTTTTTACATAAAATTATAAAGTTAGAATATAAACTTAATAATAATATTCGGTGATTTTGTTATTTTATTATGAATCACACAATCTATATTATGCACATAATTAAATACCTCGCATAAATAATCATGAGTAGAACACATGATAAACCAAGTAAAAATTGTATAATTATTACATTACATTTAGTAGGTATAGATATTTACAACATGTTAACAGAATGTGTTCACGAGTATTTTAAGTTTGTTAAACATACAAATTTTTTATTCTACCTTATTATTTATGGTTATTGGTTAAATAAATGCGCAAGCTGTCTTAGTACTATTTAATATTTTACACTACTCGATTATTACCAAGCGATAAGTTATTGCAATTATTTTCATGCTAGATAATATATTAATCATCATTCATCATCATGCAATGCTGCCATCATGAGATGATGGTTTCTAGTCTAATTCGAATATATTAATATTTAAACAATACTAAAGTATATAAACCTAATGTTATGTTGGTTGAAAGCCTGTCTTAAATGTTACACCTTATGTGTGAGCTAAAATACTATTGCTAATTAGTAATTTGTCACAACACTATAATTTTTGATAGTTTTAAGTGGGCAATATGGTATTGGGTTCTTTTGTAACATTGATGTTCTCATTATATTTTATGTGAGTATAAACTATTGTTAATAAAGTATTCTTAGTATTCTTGATTTTTGGTACTGCCATGAACTGTAGGACTAAGAAAAATATGTAGTAGAACAAAATATCTAAAATATGTAATAGATATTCTTCTATTCATGAACTTTTATCATAATTTGTGTTTAATGTTATATGTTATGCGATAAAATTTTTGGATTTTTTTTCTGCTGTTGGCAAGTTAAACAGATATTCTTTTTAACTCTTTCCGGCACGAATTTTGTCCCGCTGTGCGGCGTGCCGAAAAGAGTTAAACATTTATCCGTAGGTACAACAATTCGTTGTTTTTTTAACTGAAAAATGGATTTTTGACAATGGTTATGGTAGTATTAACCAGGTAATCGATGTACCGTGTTTTTATCTTCTGCTACCACATTACGAGATAACTGTAGATTCTGGAATGCCGGGTTCCAAATTCCAATCCAGGTGTTAAGTCGTGACAAGCATGGTAGATTTAGATTTTTCATTTAAGTGACGAGACAACTGACAAGCGTGAAGCGCGTTATGGACTGGTGACATCAGCTGGCATTAATTATTAACAACAATGAAAATTGAAAATTAATTATTAAGCAATAAGTTGCTACTCAAGGTAAAGCAAATTAAGGGCTCGAACTAGTAACGCGGAATAATAAACAATTACCTTTGGTAAACTAAAATAAAACTGAAACCTGTGTAGGTAACATAATACGGAAATAGAAGAAATATTTTTATATTGGGTGTTAGACTCTAAATGTTTATTCTAGTTACAAGTTCTTGATGATTACTAACTAGGGATCACTAATTTGTTAATAGAAAACTTAATATGTCTGTTTAGCACAACTATTTTTGAATAATATTCACTAAAAACAAGTTTATCGTTGTGTGACATCTGTTTAAAATAACAATATACAAAACTGAACATATTATAGGTTAAACATAAATTTCATTTGGTTTATATGATTGATATCTATGTTTATTGCTTTATGTTAGGAAGTATTGGTTCCCAAATAATGTATTTTTTTTTTTGCATTTAGGTCAAAAAAAATGGTTGAAGCTTTATCTACTGGATTTCAAAATTTATATGATACATTTACTAGGTCGATAAATACCGAAGGTATACGACAAAATGGACTTCGTGAAACCTACATAGTTCCCAAAAGTACTATTAACACTGGTGAAACAATACCCCAGCGATACCGACAAAAGGTTCGGAGGATTTTTGTATTTGACACTAAACAAGTTTGTCACGCTAAAGAGTCAAAATGGCCGATTTTGAAAGAAAGAAAACTACGTCCTTTTGTAGGACAGTGTTGTCCGGTTTGCATACCTGTATGTATTCAAGAAAAAAGAGCTTGCATGTTTCTGCATAATTAGAACAATCTATTGTTTTGTGTATTTACAGTTCACAGCAAATGGTCATATAAAAGTGGAATCCAATTTAAAAAACTTGTTGGACATTTACAGTATCGGTCTCTTTAAGAAATCGTTGTTTGGGTCTCACATTGATGCAATTAAGTTTTTCTACATGTTGAAAAAACAGAAGTACAAATATGTTTCAAATGATGTTGGTTCAATTATTGTTTTTGTATAAAATGTATGGATTGAAATAATAAATATATTTCAATTTAGATTCTCAATGACGAAGTTGTGAAGAATGTTATTACAGTAGTCTCACGTGAAAAGTTTGCTGATACTTCGGAAGGAGATGTCAGTGATTTAAGCAAAGAGTTACAAATTCAAGAAATAAAAGCAAAAAATATTTTAAAAGTAATGGCTTCGAGAATTTCAAATGTTATATACAAGTAAGGCTTTCTCTTATATTGCTGCAGATAAGTTAATATTGATGTTTTGTACACATTTTCAGGGTCGTTTCGTGTGTTGCATTTTATTTATTTTCTTGGACGACTTCTAGCCTTGTTGTACAGCCTAGTCAAATTGAAAAAGTCAAAGAAGCTGAACAAAGCGGATTACCAATCATTTATTTACCATTACATAAAAGTCACTTGGATTATATTCTTTTGGGATTAGTTTTAACCATGTACAATATAAAGCCACCTTTAGTGGCCGCAGGGGATAACCTTAGATTTTTTTTTTTCAGGTAAATATTTATTTATTTTTAACGTGTATGTAATATTATACATAAATAAAAGGGTAAAATACATGAACTTTGATTCAGCAATTTATTAAGTCGTCTCGGTGCTTTCTACATCAAAAGGCAAATGCAATCAAACAACAATGAGAAAGACAAACTTTATTGGTCAATATTGAGTAGTTATATAAAAAATAACTTGAAATCAGGACATCACATTGAATTCTTTTTGGAAGGTGGTCGAACACGAAGTGGAAAATGCTGTGTACCCAAGGGTAAACAATTAATTATTATACAACATGTTGATCAAATTGTTCAGTTGAAAATAATAATTTTTAGTTTTAATGAAAGCTTTTAAATACATTTGTGTTGGATTGTTTAGTAAAAAAATACTAGCTTTTTTTTTTATAAAAATATTAATTGTTTACAGCTCTAATTTGCCTTAATACGATCAAGTTTAATAAATAATTATTGCATTCATTATTTTAGGCGGATTATTGAGTATAATAGTAGATGCCTATCGCGAAGGAGTTATTGAAGACGCATGGATTGTACCTATATCAATGAATTATGATCGTTTATTTGAAGGTGATTTTGTTAGAGAACAACTTGGTCAACCGAAAAAAAGTGAAACGTTTTTTGCAACTCTATTGACATTCATTCGATCTATTTGTTCACCACACGGCATAATGAGAGTGGACTTCAATGCTCCATATAAACTAAGGGTCAGTGTAAAAGTTCAAAATGCTTTTTGTGTTAACAAATCGGTCAACGTTATTATTATTTCAGGATTTATACGAGTCTATAGATAAAAAGCTAAAATTAGAAAACATTGAAGGGGCTGGTTCTTTAGATCTAGTTGAAAATAATAAATATAAACAAATAGTTGATGCGATGGCCAGACATATTATTTATGGTAATTATTAAAAAATGATTTTATTACTTAAATTATTAGACTAAATTAAGTTTGGTAATACTATATTTTTAATGTTTATAGATTGTTGGAAATCTACAGCGACTATGTCGACAAATGCCATTAGTTTTTTACTGTTAAAAAAGTATAGAAATGGTACTACGGTCGAACAGCTGGCCAAAGATTTGTCAAAATTACGCGATAAACTTAAATCATCAAACAGAGACATTGGTTTTAGTGGTAGTTCTAAGGATGTAGTTCAACACGCAGTAAGTGTGGTCCTGTTAAATATACTGTACAAGTTAATAAAGCATTTTTTAAATTTTTATTTGAATTTTAGGTTAGTATTTTGGGACCAAAACTAGTTATTTGTGAGAAAAAAAATTCGGAACTTGTCATTAAGCCTGTGCTTGAAGTAAATAGTTTAATAGAACTGTCATATTATGGAAATAGTTTATTATCTTATTATTGTCATCAGTCACTAGTTGGTTAGTAAATTATAAAAAAAAATCTTTAATACAATTAATTACTATCTTAAACATTAATGACTTAAAATATCTAAAAAATAAAATGTATTTAAATTCTCTTCAAACTATCATAGTTGACAATAAACGTATCAGAACTAATGATTTAATAGTTGTATTACATTGCTTACATGCGCAGATCACTAATTTATAACTATTTATATAAAAAAAAAAATTAGCAGTTATTCCTTTTAAGTTACTGGAATATGTAATTTAACAAAATAAAATAAATTAAACTATAAAACCAAATTAATTTATTTGCATGTAAACCATGACAAGTAATTTTTTACTTAATTTCAAAACTAAAATTTATCAATTCATTACTGTTCATCAATTTCTTAAAAAGAATTGTTTTTATTAATGTGATAGTTGTGGAGAATGTTGTCTAAAAATTGGTATAGCTAGTTATTTGTAAAAATATTTAAAAAAAAATTTAAATATTGTGTTGTTTTCATATTATTTAATTATCAATAGTTTACAAAGTATAATTTTATTATTTTTAGCAATTGTATTAAGTTATATGGTGGGTTCAGAATTTTGGAGTTTAAATGTCTCTGAAGTACTGGTATCACGTCAGATTTTGTTGGAGTGGATTGTTTGGATAACTGAACTGTTGAAGTACGATTTTGTCTTTTTAAAACCTTGTCAAAACATCGAAGACGTACTTGATTCGATCATTCAAATTTTTGAAGTTGAAGAAATAATCACAAAAGAACAGGTATTTCTCAAAGTATATTGTACTTTTTAAATCTATGTAAAATTCAATAAAAATAAGCATTTATATGATTATTGTGATTATTTGTATTTTTAATTGTAGCTCCTTGATGAAGAAAGACAAGGACAAAAAATGGCAAAATATTTTGATAGTGATTCAGAAGATGATTATATAAGGCCTGTAATTGATATTAATTATCATGTAAGTTATGAAATTTTAAATTATACACATGAAAATGAGATTATATATAATGGTGATTAATAAATGGAATGTAAATAATCACCATAATAAAACATTGATAATTTGTAAAATAATATTGAAATATTTTTACAACAATATGTGTGTTTCGTTTGAAACTAATTGTTTTATAAACAAAATAGTATAGTTTGTGTGTATTAATTTGAGGTAATTGTTATTAATGAAATGTGTGTTATTTTACAGGTGAAAGCAGATCAAAATAGCTTAAATAAATTGAAATTTTTTAGATCTATTATGATGCCATTTTTGGAATGTATGGCTGAATGTGCTTATAGTTTTATTGCCTCACCTTATGAGACAGTAAGAGAAAATGATCAAATACAAACCATTTTAACGCAAATGCAAGATAACTTTGCTGGTGGATATCTAATTTATGGTAAGTGCTAAGTGGTAATAAATACAATTGAAAGGTTTGGTTTAACAAACACATCAGTCCATTTTTATCAAACATTTTTTTTTGGAAATATTACTTCTAAAGATATTACAAAACATTTTCCTCCCAGTGTTGTAAACGAGATTAAGAATTTTCTTTTAATCATCCTGAACAATATTAAATAGTATATTTATGAGATTTTTTGCTCCAAGTCCTTCAATTTTACAGAAATAACTTTTATTTTTATCAATTTATATATTAAGTTATTATTTTAATTGTAAAGCTGTAAACGGGTGTAGGTGATTGTTTTTACAAAATAAACTTTTTGGTAATAAAGGGTAGAAACAATTTTTTCCTTATTAATATATTTTACTTATCAATATAACTGTATGAACATTTACACCTTTTTGCAGTATCACCGTTAATATTTTAATATGAGGTATATGCACCCTCTGATTTATTGTAGGTGAGAGTATTTCTGTTGAAACTATTAAACACTCATTTTTATCATTTGAGCAACTCGGCTGCCTCTCAATTCAAAAGATTGATAATATTAAGATGCTAAGTATGATAGACGAATCAAGAACAAATATGGAAAAAGTATTGAGCTATCTCGAATTATTTGTGGAACCCACTGCTTAAATATTTATATACTTGTGTTTATTTTCAAATTATATTATATTGACCAGTATTATATTATTTGTATCAGTAAAATAAGTGAACCAATTATTTTGACTTTGGGTTTACTATTATTTTTTTATTAAGTTAAATTATTAGAAAAACATTTTTAATACCGTACAATTTGGTAAAACTGAAATACATTAGTAATGCGTTAGTATCAAATTTGTATTATTAATTTATTGTTACATTTAATAAAAAAAAATTGTTGTAATGACTTGTTTTAAATACATATTTTTGTTGACAACTATGATACTTATTTTAACTGTATACAATGGTAATATTTCTGTCTTCTAAAATGAAAACGGGCATACAGCTAAATTCACAAATTAGAATAACACAGCAACTAGAATGATGTCATTTGCAAATAATTAAACACTGGTAAAGATGTACAGAACAAAATTAAAAAACAAAAACGTCGATGGTATGTTTGGTAATGATTAATAATTAATTCATATTAAGGCTCGTTAGAATTTTTTTTATCATTATTTTATTTAACACCAAGCGAAATTACTGTGTAATGACATTAAGTTTTATTAAATGTGCAATATATTTATATGCAATATTGCATTTGCTCGCGGGTCACGTCGTCCATTCTAGGGCTGGATAGATCGAGTCTGGAAGAAAATACAGTGCCTATGACTATTGCATAGCGGATAGTCTATGGCTTCAACCAAAACAAACATAATAGACATGTGTTGTAATTTATTAAATTAATGTATTACATTACATTTTTCTTTCAACACGGGTCTTTTAAAATATTATTGTAATATTTTTTATGTAATTTGCATTGTACTTTTTACTCGGGTACGACAGACAACTGTACTACCTATATTCATTGTTTGATTTATAGTCTCGTTTACCTGAAATTTCTTGCATGTGACATGTCGATACATAATTAACTAAATTATAATAAACGTTTATATTTTATACTCGTTTGAAACCGTATAGCCAAAAATATAGTATATATATTTAGGTAATTGATACATTTTCAAGTTGTGGCTATTATAATGTAAGCAATAACAAATATCTCGAATGATTGTTAATTTATTAGACATGGCATTACAAACATTTGCCACAACACAGCTTTTTTTTTCGTACCAAAAAGGTTTGTTTTTTTTTTAATCCCATTGTCTTTTCAATTTTTGTCAAAGTGTTTTTCATAATTCCCGGCAACCATTTACAGCGCTCGTCGTCGTTTTCTCTGAACAATATCGGACTAAAAAAACCATTGATAGTTTAAAACCAATTTTGAAAATTCGAGTAAAAAAAAAAAATGAAATTCGATTATTTAGGTACCTGTTATAATTATCATATATTTGTAAGAAATAATACATCCATATATAATTAAATTTAAACATCATATTAGGTATTTTTATTTTTTATTATTGGAAATATATACAATCGCCTATGTACAATAAGTAAAATGGCTAATTTTTTTTTTATAAGGCTGGACGACTTGAGTGAAGACTTGACACGACTTGACACTACTTCAAGGTATTACGCATAAATTCCAAAGTTAATTTATAAAAAAAAAATTGAAGAATTTTGTTCAGATTTTCTACAATAGATGTCTACAATATTAGTTTTCGATTAAATTTCATATTTAAACGCTGAACAAGTCATATAGACTACGTAAAACATATTTATTTAACTGAGCTTTATATTATCCTACAGGCCTGTAGGCCTTTAAATAATAATAATATTAAGATATACTAGGCAATGATAAAAAATAATTGTTGTACTTACAATTTATCTTCCGTCGTGTTTGTTTGTTCATTCAAGCAACAATAACTAGAAAAAAAACACTTGTTGGTTGGCTCTGTGATACTTGGAATTATATTTTATGATCTAAGGATTAGGATTGATATGATATTAATTTACTAAGTTGTATAACATGATCATTGATCGTAAAAGAAAGTAGAAACAAGCCCAAATAAATGTATTTACACAAGGACCACTATCAACACCATTAACAGATATATATTATTCCGGAAATATTGGATGTTCCAAAATACAAACCCGCAATTTATGTTTTCAAATTGGTTCAAAGTCAACGAAACCAAGTCCTATCATTTTAACAATGCACTCGCTCTATGTGACCACCAGCCGGCAGCTTTACTAAACAGATCCAACCTCTCAATTGATTTAAGTCAATTACTTAGGGCTAATACTCGTTAGAAAATTAACGTGGACAATTTTTTGTAAACAAATATGGAAAACCATTCCGTCTTCTCGGGCCTATCTTCCTATATTTAGTTTTCTAAATTATATTCCGCCTCCTTTTAGACAAAAAATAGCTACTAAATATTATTGTTACAAGTTTTATTGTTCTCACTCGTCAATGACCACTTTAGACTTCATTTTAATATCTTGACGATAGTGCTTGCTGTTTTGACGGTTCTATAACATGAGAATTGCAATCAGTTCAGTACAGATATTATCAGTAATATGATTAATAATTAATACCATATTTGAAGTAATCTATTCGATTCGTGTATTCGGATTATGTACATTGATTTCTGTGTCTACAAAAATTTTATTACATTTTTATTTACATTGTCATGGTTACTTTGTAATAATATTATGATATCGACTTCAACACACAATAAACCATTATTGAAGACAGATTTCAAAAAAACTTAAGGTTAAAGACCTTGGACGTTTTACGTGACGAAAAAATTCTGGGTCAGTACCTACCTCGCTTATGAATCTGTTGCCAAAGAATTTATCCGAATCAGCATATTAACTTTAGCGCATTGCTTTTTAATCATTTCGACCTTTAATACAATTTTGATTAGTACCACGCACAAGTCCACATAATTATGCACGGTAACAACTATTATTTTTTTTATAAAAAAAACAATTAATTTCCAGAACTATCCACATTCAACATAATATCAGGCGAGCATCATGCGAGTATCATTTTTAGTATTCGCGGTCCTATACAGTAATGTACCTAAATTACCTATCGTTTGCGCCATGGTATTATATAATATTACAATATGCACTAACAGAAAATAATGGAAATATCATTTTTTTTACATTAGTTGAGAGAGGGAAGTGTGTCAGCAAATAACTTCAGAAAAATATCCTAGTCTTCTGGTGATAAATCGAAGATATTCTTTTAAAATGTTTTAATTTTTTTAGGTGCAGTCTTAAGACAGGAAGGTCTGAAAATTCTTCTACATGTAAATCGATGTGAACTTTTAACAAATATATTTAGAAGGAAGGTCTCTTCACCTGTTCACAGAATCTGTGACCACCCCAAAAATAATATGCACTCTCCCCACTCCGTAAGGCGAAGCCGTAGTACTGTATATAATAAAAATGCTTTTTGTAATAATTTATCAATATGTAAACTATTAAATATAATTCTATTGTTGTCTTAATAGGTACGTATTCAAATTGTATGTAAAAAATATAGATAATGAACGAATCCTGTGCTAATTGATTAATAACTGTCATAGCTGTAATAATTGATTAAGTCCAGAAATCAGATATAGTATTTTAACAAGCAGTAACAAGCTAATATCTAAGGTGGCTTGTATATTAAAACATCAAGTTTCTGGCTAATATTTTAGTGTTTAATATCTGGCTTAAAACAATTCATAAGAATATGACCTCTTAAATTATTGAATTCAATTTAGTTCAGTTCTAGTTTGAACGTTGAGAATACAGCATAATCGGTGAAACTCTCCAAATTTTTTTCTTTTTTGATTTAGTTCATGTACCCATTTTCTTTTTTTTCGTCTTGCTTGACTCAAGGCAAGCAGAAGAAGCAATTCTTCTTTTTCAAAACAACTGCTAGACATTTTGTAAAATAAAATAAAAACAGAAAACGTGAGATAAAAAAATGAAAAATAAAAAACAACACTCTTGGTCGTGGCAATTTTCACACTAGTACGCTCAAACTTGTCCGCATTCTGTTTGACTATCCTAGTCCGCAGCAGACCAGCGGACTAGTTGGACGGACATGTCCACGCGGACAGTCCGCTTTCTGTTTGACCGATCCTTAATCGTATGCTCCGAGCCGAAAAAACAGTATAACAGTCGTCCTTTTTTAGGCTACCCATGTAATCTTTTTTAAAGTTTCCCTTCTGGTTATTCTGTGGCTTTATCAACAGCAAGCAAAATATTATGATAACAGATCATGTAAACAAATATTATTGAGTAATTAATCATCGTAGTTAGTGAATAATAATACCGTTTTTGTCGTTACATCTCGTTTGTAGCTATTTTTACTTTTTGCAATATAAAATACATTTTTATTTACTTAAAAATTATGGTTTTGTAAGTAACATATAATATTAAAATATATATGATTGACAAATAACAAACGGCGTTTAATTCCAAAAAAATGCCTCACATGCAACACATTGACGAATTGATCCGAGAATATTTTTTATTTCGAGGATTCACAAATTCATTGAAATGGTTTGATTATGATGTAAAAGCTGACAAAGATAAAGGATTTAGAGTAAGTTTAAGTGTAACTTCAACTCTTGTTACACTACAATACACTTACCTTTTTTTTTTTTTTTTGTAATGTATCATTATTATTATTATGTAGTTCAAAATATGGAATACTGTGAAATATAAACAGTGAACTGTTTGTGGTTTTTTCCAACAGGTTGACAAACTAGTTGAACAAATAACACAATTGGTATATTCTTATGACTTAGCCACAATTAGAGACCTCTGGTCACATTTTGAAAATAAACTTTTTTCAAAGCTCGATCAAGACGTATCATCAGGTAAATTTTTAGCAGTAATACAATTGCTCTATTTTGTCTAATTATAATTTCAATTTATTTTTTTAGCTGTTAAAAAATTAGAAAACAGTTTGCTCAAATTTTACGTTGTGCACGCATTGACTAACAACCGTTCAGACAAAGTCTACGAATTTTTAACAAAAATGACTAATGATATTCATGTGCAAGCTGAATGGAAAGATTGGTTTAGTAAGATTACTAACATAACTAAACACTAAGTTTTTGTGTTTTGTTGTTATATTATTAACAATAATTATACATTTTTCTTGTTTAGTGTTGCCATACTTAAAAAATATCGAAGAAAATCCATTATTTGCTGTTTATTTTACTAAACAGTGGCAAGATTCATTTCTAATATCTCTGCATAATTTTTTAGCCATTGTTTATCAAGTAATTTGCTTTGAATTATTATTAATCAGTCAATTAATAACTATTTACTCTTTTTTTAATTTCTAGATCATTCCACGTCCCAGTTTGTGTCACTATGAAGACGATGCAAACAAAATACGAAGACTTCAAGATGAAATTGACGTACTCAAACAAAAACTCACCGATGGAGTTTCTCAACCAAAATATAACACAGTCAGCGGTTCGTTTTCTACTAAACCACCACTCGACATAATTGATGATTTCTACACAGTTTCTCAGTATGGAATTACATTCAATTATTATGTATATTTTTAAATTATAAATTACTTTATTGATTTTAGGGAAAATAGCAATAACACTAATACTGATACGTCTATGAAATCTTTAAGAACTTTGATCAGAACCATCGGAGGATTACCCACTAGTCCAATATTGGGTAAACAGATAAATACAAAAAGAATATCACAACCAATTCCTACGACTGCTGGTAAAAAAATTAGTTATACATTACTGTTGTTAGTAAATTTTTGTTAACTATAATAAACATTTTTTTTTTAGAAATTGGATTCAAAAAACACGTTGCGACTACCAATTCAAAACTCTCAACTAGTCTGTCGACTTCTCCTTCTTCATGTATTATGATGAGGCCTGGAAGCACTAGGTACTTAACTTCTATTCAATAATAAAAATATGTGAATTATCAATGTACTTAATTTATATATAATCATTTACTAGTGACAGTAGCCGCAGAACCGTATCAAAACGATCAATATCATTAGAACGTGACTCTTCACGAAGTAGAGGTCCTCGTGATACAAGTTTAGACAATTTAGATAAAAGACTACAAAAAGTTCCTCCATTTCTATTGCTGAGTCAAGTGTGTATTAATTGGAGTTATAACTAGTATAAAATACAATACATTATTAATTATGATAACAAATTTTTTTTCTTTTTGCCAGGAATCCTTTAATGAACATAAAACTAGAATCACTCAGTGCTGGTTCAACTTATCGGGCTCATTAATAGCTAGCTCAGATAATGACGGTTGTTTAAAAATTTGGACAGCTGCGCCATCACCTAAGTAATAAAATTTAAAACTGTTTTGGTTCTAGAACTTATAGAAATAATTTACACTGATCTAGGGTAATTGGTTCGACAAATCTGAAGAAAATAGTTTACAGCCTTGACTGGTTTAAGACTAATGATCGATATTTATTACTTGGATGCGATGATTGTACAATTATATTGTACGATGCTAAAGAAATGAAAATCTCATGGGAACTGAATCCATTCAAACAATCAACTAATTTAAGAATACAGTGTGTTAAATGTGGCCCTACAGACTCTACATTCATTTGTTCGCTGGTTTCCAAAGATAACAATAAATTACTCTTGTATGACCTCAAAACCAAAAAAATTGAAGTAAGACAATTTGTCCGGTTTATTTTATTTTATCAGCCTGAACAAACATTCTCGAATGTAATTTAACATTTTATACTTTTACATAATAAATTATTGTTAGTGTTAATGGATGACACATGACTTTTTAAATGGATTGAATTAATAAAAGTGTTTCAATGTCAAAAGGGCACTTAATAAACTACCGTATTTAGAGATTGATTTGAAACGAGTTGTTCAAAATGATTTAATGCATGTTTTAACATAATCATTCATTGCTTGAGTATTTTGTTGAAATTATACATTTTAATGTTATATTTAGAGACAACTCATACTGGGTAATGATGATGTGGCCGTCACATGTTGTGCCTACAACCATAACGGCCAATTATTGTACGCGGGATGCGCTGATGGTTCAGTACGAACTGTAGACCTTAGACATAGTGAAATTGTTGATCGCTGGACTCCACACGCAGACCGATTAATGTGTTTACAGTTGTCTCCAGATCATAATGATTGCTATACCTTAGGAGCGGATAAAAAAGTAATGCCTTTTACCTTTCAATCAACTGCAAATTATGTCACTAATACTGAGTATATTCCAGATATGCCGTACTAGCATGAACGGGAATAAACAATCGTGTGTATGGGAAGTGAATGTCAAAAACGACAGTCTGCTTCAGCCTAATAAATGTATGAGCCAAGCATTTACTTTAGATCAATCTGGTAGCTATATGCTATTATGTCATAGTCAACATAACGGAGGAAACATTTATAAGGTAATACCATATTTGTCCTATCAAATTGCACGACAATTATCTTTTATATATGTAATTTTTCCTTTTTTTTTCCAGATAACTAGTACTGGTTTAAGCATCGTTTTATCTCTTAAAGAACATCAAAGTGTTCCTATTGTTTGTGACTGGTCGTCATTGAATCAGTGTGGTACATGCGTAACCGGTTCAGACGATGGTACCATATGTATATCTACGCTTTTAACACCATAAAAACTAATATTTTACAATAATTATTATTTATATTTATTTAATTATTATTACTATTGTTACAAGATTTGTCATAACATAAACAATTTTTTTTTAAATAGCTAATATATACATTATTTATATTATGTATCAAAAGTGATTGACATTTACATTTTATATACATTTTTACTACATTTACCAATCAATAACCGTATTTATCATTTAAACTTGTACGACCATCGCCTTTTTGATCAGATGGAGGTCTCCAAACCATTGTTCCAAAATCTTCTGTCATATCTTTTTCAGCAGTCTTGGCAATAATCTATAATTTCATAAAAAAAATAATATAACAATGCATAATATATGTACAAAATAAATAAATAAAGTATGTATTTTAATCGGTACAAGACAACAAATTTTCATATATACCTTTTTTTCTATTTTTTCTAATTGTTTCTGCCTTTTCTCAGTGTCTTTCAAATATTTTAGAGCTTTTTCTGTTAAATAAAGATTATTGATAAAACTTGAATTAGTTCACCTCAATAATTGAATATAAGTCTTATTAAAGGAATTGCATACCTTCTTCTTTTTTTAAGGTTTCTTTTTCCGAAGACTCTTTTTCCTCAACGATATTTTTTTTTGGTAATTTTGGAATATTTTGTTTAATTGGACATTCGGCTGGATTAATTTCTTCTTTACTTTTATGTTTTATCGAAGGTTGATCATCATTGGTTGATTGACTAAGTTTTGGTTTTAACTCTATTTTTTCCTCTATAGGGTTGTCTATTTTAACTTCTTCAACTTGGGGTTTTGTAAGTTCAGGTAATGCTGTAGGCTTTACAATATTTATTATTTTTCTAAGTTTCTCTTCCTCTTCTTGTAGTTCATTCATTTTATTCTGAAAATTGATAAACACATAATTGAGTACACAATTTTCTTTATGTTTACTATAAATCATACTTTAAGTCGCGTAATCTCCATTTTATCTACAGTCTTATAATTTCTTAAATCAGCCATATACGATTCCAGAGAATCTTCATCATTATTCTCACCATAATCTTTATTGACATTTCTATTTAATCTCTTTAATTTATTTGACGTATGCTTTAAATCATCTATTAACAATTTATGTTTTTGCATCTAAACCAACATAATTAAACAAATATATTTTTGTACTATTTCAATGTTATTTGTTGACATACCAATGTATCATATGTATCAACTGTTTCCGCTGCTTTGCCAAATTTTTTCATTCTCTTTTTTCGTTTGGTGTCAATATCTCCTGTACGATCAAAGAAATTGTCATCATCGCTGTCATAAAAATCATCTGCTTCCCAATTTTTCTCTTTACGCTTTCTACTTTCTAAACAAATATTTGAAAAAAACATAACATTAATTATTATTTTAAAAAAAACCTAAATAACAACTAGGATTTAATTTTAAATACCATGTGTAGCTTGTCTTAGAAGACCGTACATATCTAAAATTTTACATGCTTCTAAAGCACAATGTACGATAGCTTCCTTTTTTTTCCCACTCACTGTAGCTTCAGCAATCTGAGGTTTACCAGTAATATTCGCTATCGGTAACCTAAAAGTAATTTTTTTTTAATTATATGCATAATAATATACAAATGAATTTTAAAAATATTATTGCTCTCACTCGATACGACATGTAAAAGTACCAAATCCTTTTTCTGATACATCATACTCAAATTCTTGTCCTTCTCTGTCAAACCAGCCTTTAAGGGTCTTTTTAGGATCATCTAAGTAAAGTTGTTCGTTTTCTTTGGGAGCAAAAGGATTTTCTTTTGTATCTTCCTCTTCATCCGCATCTTCTCCTACTCACAAAATAAACCATTAAGATATATAAAATTACCAACTTATAATCATTTATTAAAATACCCATTCCCCAATCCACCCCTTGTTCCATTTTCTTTCTTTCTTCTTCTTCCAACTGTAGTCTTTTTAATTCTTTATCTCTTTCCCTTTGTTCAAGTTCTGCTTGTCGTTTAGCTTTTAGTTCAGTAACAGACAATTCGGATTCATCTTCTTCATCATCAGGTGGGCCTTGTAGTAGATACATTCGTGTACTGCCGCCAAAACTTATCAAATGACCCACCTAAAATCAAAATAGTATACACAATCAACAACTAATTTCACTATTGTACTAAACATTTTTTTTCATGAATATACTGACATGAACTTTGACGTATGTTTTAGGTTTTATTCTTAATCGATTAAGGAATGTTCCATGAGTGCTTTCCAAGTCGTACAAATAAAATCCACGTTTTTCGTCATTTGTGGAAAATGTTGATCTATATTGGAGAACCGCATGAAAGCGAGAAATTGTTGGATGTGCCATGGTAACATGACAATTATCTAAGCGGCCAAAACAATGAAATGATCTTCCTTCTAGTGCTATTGTACTTAAAATGACTCCAGATTTCATTTCCTGATAAATTAACAAAAAAACACTTGCATAAAAAAAAAAACAATCAACAAGTAAGTTCTAACGGTATAGGTCTACCTCTAAAAAATATTTGTCTCCAGGTTTACCACCCCATGACGGTTCTTCGTACGGAATAGGAACTTGTGATACTCGTTTGGGTTTTTCTTTTTGTTCAATTGTTTTCTCTTTATCGACATTGTCTTTTGGATCTAATTTAACAAGCTCTTCGTCAACAGTAGGAACAGTTTCTTTAACGTTGCTTACAGTTTTCTTTGTGCCAGGCCTCGGCCCAATCATTAGATGAGGTACTTTGAATACAGCAGCTGCATCTTTTTCATTTTCCATGGCTAAAATTCACGGAAGAACCTATGAAACTAAAGTTAAATACTTTATAAAACAAAATATGTGTTTTAAAATTTAAACTACTAATTGGGAAACGGTAAAATGTTTATAAAAATGTAAATCTAAAATCAACAATTCCTTATCACATTTCGGCACTTGGACGCACTTATCAGTTGATAATTAACTTATCAGTTATACCGAAAGGTCAACACTACACTTCCGAATAGTTTTAGTAAATAAAATTGCCGCCTACGCCCTACATTGCAGATTTTTAGTCTTGACTCTTGTCTCCCATTGGCCGACGTTCGTTAACATTAAAATCATGTGTACTGTTCCTAAACATAATGGTTTTTCATTGTCTTTCCACTTCTGTGTTTTGTTTTGATTAAACAGCACGGCAACTGCGACTTCAATTTAATATTTGCGAGTTGCGACGTTCAGAGACCAGAGTTCATGTTTTCTGTGGAACTCGCATAATATTATATTGTACCTTTGTATCGGTAGTTACTTTTTTGATACTTTTTCCCATAATAATTTGTTTTATTCTTTTGTGATGTCTCTCGTTGTTTTTAAGGGATGAAAAATCAAGAACAAACAACACCCGGAGATGGTATCAGATCTCTAAAAACTTCTAGAGTATTCCGGATCATTAACTTTGAACTTTACTCAAAACCGGTAAGTTACCTTCTCGCCATCTTGTTTGTTGGATTCGTATTTAATAATTTGTTCAGGTTGGATTTAATCATTAGGTACTCTAATATTGTAATTTGTAAATAATAATAACATACAATTATGGAATATCAGATATTTACCACGTATTGTACTCGGACATTTGACATCAGCTGTAGGACAGTTTATGGCAACCCGAACTATTAATTAGCTGATTAATGATAATAAATTTTGTTAACTATTTCATAAAGTAAATGATCGAAGTCCGAAGATTGTTAGGTCCTACAATGTAATATAATTTGAATGACAAAAAATCTTAACATGATTATTGCATCCCAAAAAAAGGTCTTTGTTCATCACTAAATACCAATCAACTAGCGGTAAAAATGGATAGGACTTTTGGAATTTGTCCCACTTAATTTTAATCATGTTTATGTTTAAAGAATGTATACATTCTTTTCTTAATATAAAAATATACACATTTTTTATAAACCAAAATGTTTTCCATTCCATATTTTCTCCATATTTTTTGTTTACTTTTATACATTGTATACAGTGAGGTTTTCATGAGTCCCGAGTTTATAGTAAAGTCATGAGTCAAATCATGTTTAATACCAAATAAACAAAAAATATGTATACATACGACACCTACGAAAAATATATATTTTTTTAAAACTGATATTCAGTTATCATTCAATTTTTAATATCAATTTAGTGTTCTCCTGACAAGTGTCAATTGTCTTGTAGGTAGTTGTAAAAATGGTTGAGTGTCAATTGTCCTAATTTCCAATTATGTGATTAGTATTAAGCATATTTTGTGTTCAACTATTTCTTACAAAAAAAAAATTATATCCAGGGTTAGTTACTGATAAGTTAATTTTTTGCTAAATTATGACCCTAGGGAAGAGGTTATAACTCTTGATCACTCCTAATTAAATAGCAAACAAAAGTTCACTTTACTTGTAATACGTAGCTAAGAAATTTTACTTAAAACTCTTAGTTCTTACCAAAATAAAATTCTAGTTAAATGAAAATTGTGCCCAGAGACCATGACATCTAGATTGATGAAGTGAACCGAAATGCTTTTGACCTACTTAACACTCCTTTTCAACTTTTTGTCTTGCTGTGCTTGAATTGGTTGAGACTCACTTAGTCTAAATGCTTTTATAACCAGTTTAAGTTAATATGTACTAGTAGAACCCTTGGTATCGTGCCTATGGAACAGTTTTAAATCCGAGATTAAAGTAAACATTCAACTTTGAAGTGAGCCAGGGAAATTAGTTAAAACTATTATGTATTAATACTGAGAATTTTTGGGATATTTAGGTGAATAAATCAAGTCATAATTAAAGAAAAATACTTTTCTATACTATAACAATGGAAAGGGACTTCCCAGAATAGTGACACGGGTAAACTGGAGGAAAACCACACATATATTCTGCTGGAGTCGGCCTTTAAAATCATCTAAAAACCTGCTATGTGGCAGTTTAACAGTGTTCGGTACTCTTGTATTTAACCCTGAACGATTCTGATAATAAATTGATCTTTTTAATTTTTTAATTTATTTTAAATCTCAATTCTGGCCGGACAACAATCATGTTTTATGTATTATCTTATCCTATATCTTTGTCTTTATCTTGTTATCCTTAAAATTTGTAATCAATCCGCGTTATATAACATATGTAACAGTGTTGGTGGCATGAAGTACAAAAGTCACATGAAGTAACTGTGGTTAGATACTCAGGTATATACATATTAAGTATGTACATTGCGTGTCTTTTGGCTTAGTGATCTCATGGCACTCTGCTATCTAAAACAAAGCTTTGCGAGGGTGGTTTGGATATTTTTTTTTTTTTAATATTAAAATACCTTTTTTTAATTTAATAAAAAAATTATGGTTATTGTACTGAAAGTATACAACCGTGGTCATGTAGTGTTTTGGTATTAATCATTAATAGTTTAATTAGTATTTTGGTAGTCATTATGTGTTCCCTTAAACGATGTTTGTGAACTATACATGCAATTTTTCATACTTATTAAAAAGCTATTCAAGTTCTGTTGATTCTATTGAAAATTAAAAAAACAATTAATTAGTTACTTATACATAATATTTTGTTGTTGAATAAAAAGTAATGACCCTTAATTAGATAATTGTAATTATAAGTAATTGTAATAAAAAGAAGGGGAAAGTTCCATTAACTAGTTAATTATTCTTTATTCCCTTATTTATGGAATTAAGGTCTGAAAATTAGACTAAAGTAGAGCTGGAGTGTATACTATATGGCTTGTGTTAAAATTAAAAAAAAATTTATTCTAGACCCCTAATGAATTGTATGAATCTATATCACATAATATTAATAATACGATTGATATTATTTTTCAGAATAAAGTTATTATGGCATTTGGGCTTGTGTCAATGACATTTACAGTTGGTTATTTAGTTTATATGAGACACCAATATGAACAAATGGGATATTATCCAGCAGTTGCTGAAGACGGTCGTCATGAAATATACAAACCAAAACAATCAAAATGGGAATAATATTGAATTAGTATTCATTCCTTGTTTGATAGTTTAAAGCCAATATATAAAAAAAAAAATCTAAAAATAGAATTCTAGTATAAAAGTTATCATGGATGCTTGCCAAACTGTTGATGCTGATGTTGAAAAAATCTTAGCCAAGTACAAAAAATATGGGCCAAAATGGCAGTTTCAGTTGAACAGATACATTTCTACTTTAGAAAGACTTAAAAAAGAAATTGAAAGTCAAAGTTCTAAACCTGATGTTTTTGAACTGTCTTCGACGATATTACAAATGAAACTTGCAATAAAAGATATGTCTAACGAACACAGACGTTGGCACAGTGATGTTTCAAGAATTGGCAAAAGTATCGACAAGAATTTTGTTATTGATTACACCGAAGCTAGTAATAGAAAAGCATTTAAAACAGATTATGAAAAGAAATTACTCAATAAAATAATTTGTGTACATTTATACAGAGACTCTAAATGGGACGTTGCTGAAGAATTTTTAAAAGAAGCTGGCATTATTGTCGATTACAGACATAAACAACGTTACTTACATTTAAATCATATTGTTGATAGCTTAAGACGGAATGATCCTAAACCAGCTTTTGAGTGGGTACAACAAAATAAAACTCATTTAGATGCAAAAAAGTCTGATTTAGAGTTCAAACTTCATCAAATTGTGTTTTTAAATATTTTGAATCGAGGTGATCAGTACGAGGCAGTGTTGTACGCTCGTACAAATTTTAGTAAATTTGTTGACAAACAAAAAGAAATACAATCTACAATGGGTATGCTGTTGTATCCGCCAAACATAGGACAAATGCGCACTGAGGTTATAGATCTCTTCATAAAGGACTCTTGCTTAAGTGACGATGACTTATTAAATGTAAGTGTTAATGTTGGCTGCTCAGCCTTGCCTTCTCTTTTGGATATTAAACAGGCCATGTGCAGAGATGTGGGCGGCGTTTGGAATGAAAATGATGAACTGCCAATCAAAATCGACACTGGTTTTGCATACCACTCTGTTTTTGCGTGTCCTATACTAAGGACAAGAAGTGGCGAGTCTAATCCTCCGATGATGTTAGTTTGCGGTCATGTAATATCTAAAGACGCACTTAACAAATTGGAGAGATCCGGTCGATTAAAATGTCCATACTGCCCTAAGGAACAACTTCCGTCTGAAGCTAGAATCTTACATTTTTAAAAAATAAATAATAATAAATGGCTGCTGTATAAAAAATAATTAATATTGTCTAATTACAAGTACTGTAAATAATTAAAAATATATTTGTATGTAAACTAGTTATGATTAAGTAGAACATAGAAATTGTTAAAAACTTAATATTATTTACACAACTTATGAGGTTATAATTTATTGTTGTTATTATCAGTTATTTAAATAAATTTTAAAAAAAATATTGTATATAATTGAGCTATTTGAAAAATAATGTAAAACTAAATTATAATTTGAACACCCCGACAGATTCTTAAATATTAGTTTTTTTTTTTATGTATTAAATGTTTGTTCTTTAATGTTTTGTCAAAGAAGTATACAGGAAGTTTTAAAATTAAGATTTAGGTTAATAAAAACTGTTTAAGTATATACATTTTATTATAACCATAGTTAAATATTATTACTATTATTGTCATAAGTGTTGGAAAAACATTTTTAAATAGTATAAAATACAGGTTAATGTTTTCAATAACTAACTACTATTAACTATATTAATCCTATACACTAGTGACTTAAGTATTTTATTTAAGAGAATTATATTATTCTATGTCTACATACACAATTATAGTACTTAAAGGTACAAATATTGGTATAAGCTGTTAATGATTAATGGTAGGTTAGGTACAATAAAGTGGATGTATAAAACCACATTGTGTACTGAAAAAATGTTAACAATAATTAATACTTAAGGTATTTAAAACATGTTCTTAAATTGTTATTGTTTTCTTTTTTTTATATATTTAAATTTTGTTCAATAACGAACCTAGTTTTTTTTATGTTGGGCTTATCTTTTTTACTATGTTAAAGTTCTAATTAATTATGTTGTAAACAAAACAACTTATCCAATCTAAAACTATTTGGTTATTGATGACGCGATGTTTTATGAAAAAAATTAAACTATACCTAGTAACTTTTTTCGGAATAAAATATTTTTGCTATAATTTTAATCTTTTAGCTTCACAACAAAACCACAAACCATTAGGTTATTATAAATTATAATATAATTAAAAAGTATACAAGGTATCTATTTAATCACATGAGAATAAATTATCACTTTCAAATTGTGTAGAAAACAATAACAAAACTAATATAAGTAATAACAAAACAAAAATGTCAGCTGCATATTGATAAAGTCGCAAACAGTTTTTATTTATTTGACTAATTTTTTAAAGCATCATTTATCGCTTCAGCGACATAATTTATGTTATTTAGGTTCAACCCACAGACGTTGATTCGTCCTGACCGCAAGCAATAAATGTGGTATTTACTGCGTAAATAATCTGCTTGACTAGCTATAATTAAATACATGAAATGAAAAATTAATAACTAATAAGTGAAAATTATACAAAAATGTCAATATACAATACCTGTCAATCCTGTATAAGAAAACATTCCAATTTGATCAGTAATATGATTCCATTTTCCGGGTGCGTTAAGTTTCTCCAAGTTTTCTCTCAATGCAGCTCTCATCTCTTTTATTCTACTTGTCATTGTTTTTAAAGTAGTTAACCTAAAATAAGAAAGTTTGTTGTTTAACAATGTTATCATAATATATTCCACGGTATCAACTTACCATTCATTTTTCAGCTCACTGTCGTTTAATATAATACTGACAACACGTGCACCGTGATTTGGTGGGTTTGAATACATCCCTCTTACAATCATGGTCACTTGTGATTTTACCGTTTTGGCATATTCTCCAGAATTCATAACAAAAGTCAAGTTACCTACTCGTTCATCTGGAAAATTTGTTTTGGCATATAATCACAGACAAAATATATTCTTAATGTTTTAATACTAACTGTATAAACCAAAATTTTTAGCAAAAGACTGGGAGCACACAAATTCGAATCCTTGACTGAGAAAATAACGAACTGACCACGCATCTTCTTCAACATTGCCTGATGCGAATCCTTGATAGGCATTATCAAAGAATGGTATTAATTTTCGTTCCTAAAATTAATTTGAAAATTAGTTATTACTTATTATACATTGTAAACTAACATAATAAATATAAAAACCTTCATTATCTCTGCAATTTTTTTCCACTGGTCTTTAGTTGGATCAAGGCCTGTGGGATTATGTGCACAACCGTGCAGTATGATAACCGAGTGTTCTGGTGCATTCCTTAAGTCATCATAGAGTGCTTCAGTGTTTATAGATTTTGTAATTTCATCCCAGTAACGATATTTTCTCGCTTCTTTAAATCCACTGGACATAAATATCAAATGATGATTTTCTAAAAAATGATATGTATCTTATTATACATAACTAACTTCAATAAGACATTAGTAGATTTATATCTACTAATGACTGTTTTATATAATTGTGTACTTTCATTTTCTAACCAATTAACACTATAACAAGTATCAGTTAATATCACTATAATAAGCGCTATAAGAGACAATATAATTATGTGCGGCCCTTTTATTTTATTTAAATAACAAATATTTGTATACAAATTTTAAGTGCAATACTTTTTTAATCATCTTACTTCGATTTTAAGATTTACTAGTGCAAATAATTGATATGCCTCATAACGTTACACATATTAAAAATTTAACTATTATTATAATAAGAACTAGATCAAGGTTAAGCGAACTCCTAGAGACATTCTCTATGTTTAATATTGATAAAAGAATTAGTTAAGCGACTCAGAGATAGATACGCTCACAATTGAAGAAAAACTCAAAATATATAATATACAATCATGCATTTCGATCTCTTTAAATTTTAACAACCCCAAATAATAGTATTTTTAGATTTTCTAAGCTTCTTTAGAACTTTGAAGTGAATGGTCTAGCCGTTTAAGAACTGCGAAAAATATGCCTTTCAATACTGAGAAAGACGTGTTACACATTATTAATTTCCAACTTTATTCTATATAAATATTTAAAATTATTGATGTTTACTTATTTATTTATTTTTAAATTATTATACTTTAATGTTCATTATAGATATTTCCATGTTTAGTGACCACACTTGGCCACCAAAAATGATTATTATTTTTTTTTCCCCCACTTATTTATCAATATTCTTATTATTAATATAAAAAAATCTTCTGTGGCAACCTATAGATATTAGACAGCCGCCTTGTTTTTTTTATTTAAAATAATGGTTATGTTAATTTGTAAAAATTAGTTAAGCATTGTATTTTTTACACTTAAGAATATGACTATATTATGTTCATTGCTCATTACAACATATTGTATACAATCGTGTATTATTTTATGTATTTATCTAATCTCCTGAGCGTTTACGTGAGCAAAGCCTTATAATTTAGATATTATATATAACTATATAAGTACATTTTTTTTTTTTTTTAATGAATAAATAGCAATTAGAGCATGACTTTAAATATTTAGTTTATAGGTAATTTATAGTATAGTAAGTATAGTATAGTAACCAATAAAATAGCTGTAATATAATAAATAAATGATTCTCTTTGAATGTTAAAATTGTATTTATTTATTTATTTAACCAACAAAGCTTAATTTGTTTAATGTAACATGGGTAGACAATGATTTAGAGTATGCCACTTTCCAAAAAAAAACTAGGTACTGATGCAAAATCAAATATAATGATCATAAAGAAAAATGAGTATTAATATCAAAGATTGTATTTAACTCTCGTTTCACTTGTCAGAAGCAGTTCATTTGAATACTTAGAAAAGTAAGATATAAAAATATTAAAGAATTATTGATTAGTAATTAAGTTTTTCTTAATAAAATATATTACCCCAAGTTGGCGTTGAATAATAGAATGTGGTACAATTCATATGTTTTACTAAAAATTCTGCACCAACTCTTAGAGCTCCAGATCCGCTTAAAGCTTGAACACCAAAAACCTGAAACGAACAAAAATAATTAAAAAATAAAAATAAATAGAGTGAGTCTAATGTTAACTAATGTGCAATTTCACTAAAATACGTTTAGTACTACTTTTTTTAATAGTTATAATAATTTTAAATTGTAAATGGTTTCATGTGAGGCGTTTAATAGCAAGTTCTTTGTAGGCTTTATCATAAAATAAACAATAAAATTACATAGATTGATGACCCCAATTATTGTTTTTTTTTTTGCAAGATTGATTAATAAGAAATGTATAAATCTGCTTTGATAATAAATGCCCCACCAAAGATTTATCGATTAATTATAGACATTGACATTGACAATTATACTCAATGTTATAGATTAGGTTGCAAAAAAAAAAACTATGGTATGGTTAATTTATGTATTTTTATATATGGCTAAAGTAAATTTATACCATGCTCAACATCAAGAAGTCCAAGCTATACTTAGCCTACAGGAAACTATTATGTTAGTTGTAAAATAAAAAAATAAGCTTCAGGAACTAATTACTAAAAAAACATTCCACATGGTACAAGTTGTAATTATTTTCATGGTGTTTTCTAAATATCGTGGCCAACCAAAATGAAAATTGGTGTAAGGGAATAAAAAATGTACTTGTACAATTTAAAAGGTATTTGTAACACCCTTTCAGCAGTATTTCTACTTTCTAAATGAAGCTATATCTATGTTATTCAACCATGCTTCAGGTATAATTGTCTTTACTCTTGACATCAAGTACAATTTTTTATTAATCAGTATGAGATGCTTAGTCTAAGATAATAGAACAGAAAATTCTTAGTGAATAATTAGTTTAAAATTTAATTTCCATAAAAAGCCCAATGGTGCTATTTTGAAAAAGAAAAAACTTGTGGTCCTAAAACCTATATTATTTAAAATATTGGCAACATACATTATCTCATGAGATTTTCTATATTTTACTTATTAATATGATACAGCTACCGATAAATAAATTATTATTAGTAACACTAATTTAACATACAATTTTATGAACACTAGAGTAAATACTCAATTTAAGTGTAATTTAAAGGGTTTTTTGGATTACTCTGACGTATATTTTAGGTAATGTTTAATTATCATAACATTACACTAAAATATTAATCTATTCAATTATCACTTTTAAAACTGTAAAATTATTATAAAATATGGAAATGATAAATTACGGTGCCTTCCTCCAACTGTTTACTGATGTCACCTAACAACAATGTAGACGCAGCTTTAGTAAACGATTCCAAACCCAATATGGGTAAATATTCATGGTTCACTGTGCTCTGCAACAATATGGCTTCAGCTTTTTTCACGACTGGAAAATAATACGGCTTGCCTTCTTCGGTCCTGTATGCTAAACATTTTTAATTTACAATTAGTTTATTTGATAATGTAAAAAAAAAAATGCGTTAAAAACATTTTAAAACACAACACAATATTTTACTCACCCCCAACTGTTAGGTTTACTTTTTGCGGATAGCAGTCTTCAGTGAATAATTTTGTCAAGTGAAAAACTTCAATGGGCTGCGCCTCTTGGACACCGCTGAAAATGCTCATTTTGAGAACTTGCACTTGGTCGTACACTTTAAAACGACTACGCAGGGGCGTAAGATTAAAAAAAAAGAAAAATAGTGACTAGCGACTGTCTACGGTTCTAGACATTTCAGTATTATACAATACTAAAGACATTCGCCTGCAAGTTGTAACTGTAGTTGTAACACACTGTACAGTGTACACTCACTACTCCACATTTACCTATGTAGACCAACGCATACGTATAACTATTATCAGCACACGGCAGTTGGTTCAAAACGTTATCAACTCTCCGGCTGTGACCTTGTGGTCTCTATTAGCATTTAGCACTTATTAAATGATCTGTGCTATTATATTATTACAGACTATAGTTATAAGCCCTAATTAACAATAATTAATTACCACCATTATATAATAACACTTAACAGGGCCTATTTTTGTGTGTTGTAGTACACCAATATTACAATGGTATTGATGATACAACCATTAAATATAATTGTCTCCTTTTTTTTGTTTATTCTTAATAAAAAAAAGTTTTACTAGAGATTTTTAAGAAAATTGTATATGCCTCACACCAGATCTACCTCCAAACAAGTTTTCAAACCTTAAGTTCTAAAACTTTACTCAAAAAAGAGAAATAAAAAAAAGTTTTCACCCCTTCTAGGGAAGAATAATCTATACAATTTGAAACTAAATCTACTATAGTTAAAAAAAACTTCTCCTATCCAAAACTAAGTATATCTAATAATTAATGAAATCTAGGATAAATGTTGACCTTTTTCTTGTATCTATTACCTATTAATTTATTAGTGATAGATTTGTAATCAGCGATTTATGTTTGTTATACGCACCTCCTGGCCTCTGTACATTTTAGTGTTATTAATTGATCAATATATTGTGGAAACAACACAGTCCACAGAACACTGCCTATTAATAATTACATTGTACATGAGAAAATATACCTGTACCTGTATAATAACAAATAACAATTTGGTATGAACAAAAATTTATTTATGACGTAAATAATGATAAAAACAAAATATAATTAGTTTAAAACATAATAATTAATTATTCCTGTCCAATAGTAATAAACTATTTAAATAATTTAAATATTTTTAGAATTATCTTGAAAACTAATAAACACAGCAGAATTGTCGCTTATTCGAATATTTATTATTATATAATTATCTATTAAAGTTTTAAATAAGCCCGTTTCAATTTTCATAAGTGTAAAATTACTATTGAATATTTTATAAGCTGAATACTAAATTAAACTGCAAACTGTAAATATTGTAATTACTTATGAATAAAGAAATAGATATATTTTTTGCATCATCATCATATTATTATTATTATTAAAAATAAATATATACAGTAAAACGAGTACCTAAAAGATAGGCTAAATATTGTACCTAATAATAAATTGTATGTCTTTATGTATTCATATAATATTAAACAGTGGAGCAAAATATTTTAAAAAACTTGAACTTAATGTAATTAACTTTAGATATCTCAAATCTGAAATCAGAAGTATTTTAGAAATATATAAATTATGGTATATATATTAATTAACTAATTAATATTTTAAAATAAAAATGATTTTGGGAAATATAAAATGTATACTATTTATAAAATTATTGTATTACCACTAGTAAGTATATGATACTACAAAGTCATAGAATTGTGATTAAATCTAGTCCCCGTATCTACACGTGTACTATTATAATAATTATACAATAATATTCAGTGGACATGAGATAGTCTTTTTGGAGTTAATTACTACACGACGAATTTTTCTATTGTATAAATAAACAATTTAACAAAAAAATGCGAAATCATTCTGCTCTCTAACTTTAATCAGGTTTAACGAGATCATAAAATATAATAACTCAAGTTAGGTGTAAATTATCCGATAATATCTGGTTTTGCTATGAGTTATGACAATAATATGACTTATGACGTTAAAATAAATACTATTCAGCAATTCCCTGTGATAGATTTGTTTGTCAATTGATTAAAATAATCATAAAAAAAATGTTAAATTAACCTAAAAACGTTCAAAACTTAACAATTATTGTTTTTTAATTATCATTATCACTTAACTTTGAAAAAGAAAAATTGACAGTAACCAGTAATGAATACTAACCACAGAAATATAAATGTACCTGTAATATAATCTCTTTATTTATAATCAAAACAACAGCTCACAACAATTTATATAATACGAATACCTGCTATAATACAACTGTTATACGACCCAAGGTAGATAAATCCACCTATCTGTACAGTACTAATATTCTGCGAGCAAAATATATCTTGGTTTTGATTGGGACTCTGTGTAACAATGTATCATACTAAAGTTAACCAAAATAAAATTTAAAAAACAAATTAATTGACTATAATTATATGTTACGTCCAAAATTATTTTTATCATAGAACAATTTTTTATTTAAATACCCCATATAAGGTCAAGTTATTGAGAAAAATATCATAAAATAATAATTATTTGTAATTAAATAATTTATCAAAACTATCATATAATATGAGTAGCTACTATACAAGTGTTGTACAATCTAAGGTAGATCAATCCACCTATCTGTACAGTTACTAATATTCTGTGAGCAAAATATACTTTGGTTTTGATTGGGACTTTGTGTATCAATGTATCATACTAAAGTTAACCAAATTAAAATTTCAAACAAATTAATTGATTATAATTATATGTTATGTCAAAAATTATTTTTATCATAGAACAATTTTTTATTTAAATACCCCACATAAGGTCAAGTTATTGAGAAAAATATCATAAAAAAATAATTAGTTCTAATAATTTATCAAAATTATCGGAGACTAAAACATCAGAAAACTAAAATGTATAGTAGTATTAGAGAAAAAGTCCCTTAGCACACTTAATTAGGATATATCTTATATATACAATTATTATATGCATATGGCTTATACTCAGTACTTGTATAATATTGAGCAAATGCGTCATACATACGTATCAATTAATCAATGTCAAGTGTTATCAGTTCAGTTAGTCAAATTAATAATAATATATCGTTTTAGAAGTAATACTTTTTTTTTTATGCTATAGAGTAATAATGATTAAGCTTCACCAGCTTCACCAAGCTCCTTCGTTCCTAATCTCTGCTTATGTTTACAGAGTAGACATAGGCGCAATTTCAATTTTTAATTTGGGGGGGCTGGACATTTTTTTAAAATATATATTTTAAAGTAAACATATTTTTGTATTTCAAAGTTGTATGCATAACCTAATTTTTTGGGGGGGCTAAGCCCACCCTAGCCCCCCCCCCGTATTTGCGCCTATGAGGGTAGGTTAATCCATTTATAACGTAAGACACTCATTTTATCGGAAAATAATTACAACTTTATAGTTTTTGTTTTTGAATACATTTTAACTTATTTTATTGTACAATATTATAAAATGATCAAATATTTATATTTTTTTATTTTAGGACGGATGTGGAATGTGGTTGAGTAATGGAAACATAAAACAATACTTTACTTCACCCTTCCTACCGTCCTAAACTTTAGACTTTAATAACATTGAAATTTGAAAGTAATTATTAAAATCTAGTATCGACTATTTAAATTTATTAACAAATTGTGCTTCTTTTAAAAGTCCTTTAAATATATACGTTCTCGTTTAAGTTTCAAAAGTTGATAGCGCTCTGGAAAATACTAAAATAAGGGAAATATTTGGTAGGTAATTTTATAATACTGTACAATAAGGTCATTAACACATATGAAGGTGTTTTTAAAAAGAAAAAATATAAAATTAGAAAAACAAAATGTAATCCTGTTTACATTGAACTTTGCATAACATTCGATATCATTTATATTGCCATATCGGGTAAGATGTCATCATTAATTTTACATACTCAACTTAGTAAGCTGCGTGAATATTTTGTTAAAAGAACTTTTGGCGTCCAGACTTTGATGATGTTTTGAGTTTTGACGATTTTTTTAATACGAGAATGATGTTTAAAAGTAAAACGTATGCCAATTAACCGTCTAAAAATATACAACCACCAAAAGCTAGCAATATAGTGCGAGAGAGAGCGAAGAGACATAGGAAAAGGAGTAGACGATATAAAAATATAATATTTAAAAACGCTTTAAATTATTCAACTTAGCGCACCATATTTTGTGTATTGTGTATACACTCAGATATGAGTTAACAAGTCGACTGTATAACATTATAGTTTGCTGCTAGGTCTGATTTTTTTGTAATACGAAAACTAATATGCATATACGTTTTTTAAACAAATCACTCATATCTGATACTCTTATACTCGTGGGTGTTGTGGAAAATACAAGGTCAAATAACTTATGTCAAAATGAAGTCATTGTAAGAAAGTCTGTAGACACTATATAATTATTTTCTATTGTCATACTAATAACTCATCAATTGGTCATTTTTGATAGAGTTAATTTTAAATTATATAGGTATGTGTTAAACATTTAATTTAGTGAAAGTCTTAATAATTGATCTTATAATTATTATTTTTTAATTTAACATCTTGTATAAATTCGTCTGTGAAAATTACAAGTTAGAGTGAGGACAAAATAAATGATAGGAACTGGTTTTAACAAAATAAGTTTAATCGATTTTGTTTATACATCCCCTATCATGGCTATTATTGATTTCGTGTATTTTTTTTTTTTGTTAACGACAAACTCAATTATCTAGGCTATAAATATTTTATGTTCATTTGTATGGTAAAAAATGCTAATCAAAACTTTTAATTTAATCATAATGAACAAAAAACGAAAATCAAACTAAAATACCATTGAAAAACTGAAAGGCATTGTAAAGCATTGTTACACATCTCTACCCCACGAAAAAATGTGTTCGATTTATTAAAAAAATTTTCAAATATATAATATAACCCCATTTAAAATAATTTTCAAAAATGTTTACTTCATATGAGTACTTTGTACTTCCTAATTATAAATTATACATCATATGGATAATTTTTACGGAGTGAAAATAATCCTACCCTCTCTTACATTTGTCCAAACAAATATATCGAACATTTTGAAGTTTACCCTTCTTTTGGATTTCCTTAGTAGTTTTTTTAATTTTTTAATTTGGTACATTGGTTAATATACTCATTACTTTTAGTTATTATACCTATTAATTACGTATGGAGCTATTAAATTTTGTATAATTTTGAAGATCTTGATGAAGAAAAAAACTTAACCTGCACGGCATTTATATAAATATATTTATATGGTTTCGATTAACTTGAGCTTTGTGCTTTGACATTTCATAGATAAGTACAACTACGAAAAATATCTCGATGACTATTAATATTTTTACAAAAACCAATTAATATAGGTCCAAAGTAATTATTTAATGTTTTATTTACCTAAGAAATTTATAATTCATCGTTAAACTATAATTAAATTAAATTTAATGGACATATATACTACGTTGAATTAATACAATTATGTTTTACAATCAATATTATTATGTTATTATTATATTTTTGTTCAAAAAATGGCGGCGTTGTTATTTTTACCATTTTGGTAATGAAGAGAAAATTTAAATAGGAAATTATGTGTTGCAACGCTACAACGATAATTTACAGGGCTTTATTAAAAAATATATATATTTGTTGTATGTAAACACTCGAGACATATTATATGTGTATTTACGGTTAATCGCAATAGATAATTATTATATTATTTTAAATCAAAATATTAGTTTTGAATGTTCAAAGCAAAACAAGTTACATTATTATGTTTACATATAGTTGGCACGTGCCGGTTTTTAAAAGATTTAGGGTTGTCGACGGAAATATTTTTCTTGTTGGAATTCTGATAATATTATTGTTGCACTTACACAGATTGCAATATCAATTTCCCCTCTAAATGATTGCGATAAGCACAGGTACACGTATACTTATAATCACATACACGGAAGACACGTTACCTCAGGGAATACCATTGCTGTTGGTAAATATAGGAACAATATTGGAAAGATAGCGAACAAAATTATCGAAGTCGCCAATTGCCCGGTTTGTTCAGTGCTCAGTTTTATTTCTGCCTTCTGTCTCTATACGTTTTCTTCCAAATCTTCTATACTTATTTGAATCAAACTTTCAAAAATATTACTTTAAAAGTATTTATTATTATTTTTTTTTATTAAACTATTAATAAAAACCAATTAGAAAAGCACTTGTATTATTTACGCAAGTAAAACACGTAGCCTTAGGGCTTTAAAAAACGACTTTTTTTTCTATTTTTTTTTTAAATTTTGACTTCAAACTTGACAAATCTACTCAACAGGTCAGTATTAATATTTAATAGTAATCATTAATAGCATTTAACGGTTAAACGAACATTATAAATTGTACTTAGTTTTAACACAATGGCGTAGGTATATATAAATGTTAAGTTAAGTAAATTGTAATATTTTACTTAGATATACAATTTTAATGGTTAGTTAAAATTGAAACTTATTTACATTTATTACGCACTAATTAATTAAAATTATCGCAGTTCATAAATTAGATCGTATTTAGTTAATATCGGGTTTTCCTTAAGTATAATTATACTTAAGCAAGAGAGGATATTTAAAATCCTATATATTATACATTTAAAGTATGTTAAGTCATAAATATAATATAGGATTCTTGTTTGTTTCTAGGCATTTGTATTGAAAGATTTTAGTATTATGCTATGTTGGATTATAATTATCATAGGTGCAATCGCAATGTTGAAAAGAATCGAAATACCTAATTAATAAGAGACTAAAATAATTGTAACGTACAATTCTTTGAATAGGACAAAACCCTTTTGTGTTTTTTTATAAATACAATTCTTTCTAATTATGGGATTTCCTGTGCATTAAGTGCATTATTAATCAACTAGGAAAGAATTTGTAATTGGATTAGATAGACAGTTAGATTACATTTGGTCACAAAACATAAAACTCGTCACTAGAATAATTCGGATAAGAAATTATTTAATATAAAATTGTTATTTTTGTAAACTTACTGTTGATGCTTAAACAAAAATAAAAACAAATTAATAACTGTATCAAAAGAAACATTTATAAAATATTTTGTTAAATTATTAAGTTGTATACGTGTTTAATACTTTAATGTCAGTAATAACACTTATTGAATATTTATATATTAAATAAATTAATATACTAATTGTAACTAAAAATTTAACTTATATTTTGTAAAATGTTTATTAAAAGTAACTTATCGTCTAATAATTTATTTTGGGGATTTTTGTTAATTTGTCTACAGAGGATCATGTATTTTTAGAAAAAAAACCGGCCATTCCACCCATTTAAATTTTTTCCCCAAGTTAATTTAATTTATTTTAAAATTAAAAGAACATTTAACTATTTAATATTTTTGATTTGAGTAAAGAAGTAAACAAGAGTTTTTTTTTAAATTTAGTCCTTTTATGAAAATACAAAAGTAACCATCATATTATAATATTTATTTCTAAATTATACTGGGTCATTTGGGCAGTTTGCCTTAGTTTTTTGTCATTTATTTTGTTAATGAAAAAAAAACAATTTATTTAGACAAGAAAAAAGTATAAATTTAATGTTAACTTTGATATTTATGTGTTAACTTATTGATTGGCCGAATTTCCAATGGCGACAGTTTTATCTTGTTGCTGACCTTCAATATGTGAAAAATATTATCAATACAATCGTTGTAAGATTGCATTAACAATCAACATCAATGTTTTTACATTAACTAAACGTTCATTCGGAGTTATTGATTAAAAATCGCCTAAAACGTATAGGGAATAAGTTGATAATTTTTCCCATTTTACAATTTCGAGCTCTTGCAGTTTTAAACTGAGGCGTCGTTAGTCCTTACTTATTATATACCTAAATACTTATTGTAGTAAGTATACTTATATTATCTCAACTAATCCAAAACCTCTAATAAACTTGGACGGATTTTAGAGGTATGTGACATTTTTCAATTTTAAATATTTGATGATATCAAAATAAAAATGTAACATTATAAATTATAAATATAGCTCCGTTTTTAAATTTATGTTAGGTATACTCGTATGTCGCATTACTGAAAATTATTGAAATAAAGGGTATATTGAAAATAACATTATTACAACAATATTCACCTTTTATTTATTTTTCAATCGGTCACAAAAAAAATAAGGACCTAACCAACCTCAAATAGGTCAGGTAGGTACAATGCAAGTGGTGTGATTGTAAACAAATATGGCGAACGTAAATAAAAATAATCAATAATTTTTCAATTTAAAAAAACGAAAAAACAATTTACACTAGCCCATTTGTTTAAAATTACTACTAACCTTATAGCATTTTACCTATTTAAAAGTCAAATAAAGGCTTATAAATCAATGTTTCTTATTCGTATATTGTATTTAGTATTTAATGAATTTACTACCGTACGAAAAGGGAAAATGGTTGGATTGAAATATGAAAAAGTTAAAAGCTGAGTTATTGGTACCGCAGAGTCTTATTTAGGGGCGCAATTTCTATAAAATAAGTGAGAGTGCTAAGTACTGGTAATATTAGAAATTGCCCTAACCTCATTACTTATAGTATATGGAACATAAACATTTTTAGAGAAGCATATTTTTAGAACTAGGGGTTCTCTCAAACTGCGCCTATAGTCTTATATACAATTTTTGTACACATAATTATTAGTTTTTTTAGATGAGTTTTTTGTACAAACATTTTCAAATTTAAATAAATATTGATTAGCACTTAAGTCATCGACAGAGAATGAATTGCATCTAGAAAGTAGAAAGTACCTTCAATCCTTAAACCCTAAATTTGCAGAAACCCTTCCCTTATGAGAGGTAAATATATGTATTCGGAATTCGGGAATCGAGATTTTTACAAAAAAAAAAAACACTATTTAAGCCACTACAAATTCTCATAAGAATTCAATACAATACAAAGCTGTGTACTTAAGTATAACATTTTGATGAAAATGTAAAAATAAAACGCAACACCAAAAAAGATAAATTGCTTTTGGATTTCGGATTTGTCGAAATCCGAAGATCTGGAATTCGAAAGCAATTTATTGTCACAGTAAGCCTTTTTTTAATTTTTCATTAAAACATGTCTGATGTGAAGTCAGAAACTATAAGATCAAGTGGGCTGCGAGGGTAGTTTTTAACGCACATGGGTCAAATGTAAATGATATTTTTTGAATAGTAATTGACAATTTTCAATTTAAAACTAAATACTTAATTACTTATAATCAAGTATTAAGTACGTATTAATACTACTTAATTTAATTAAATACATAGTTGGGTTTTTTTTATAAAAAAAATGCATTTTCACTAACCTTATTCGCTTACAATTATGAATTATCCTACTTGACCAATATTTTTTTTTTTTAAATTATATTTAAGCTTCGGCAACTTAGGCCATTAGCTGTTGGTTGATTTGTGTTGTTGCTTTTTTGGGTTTGTGTAAGAAGAACACGTGTGGTAGCTGGTAGGGACATGACATGGGTCGCCGCTAAAAATCCCATCTGGGATCAAGCAGCAACGGACACAGCTTAATCTCAGGCGCCACATCGTGCCTCTCCAATAGTTTTTTCGTAAAATTAGCATGAAATTATCCTTAGATAAAAGAAGTTAATAAATCTTTATGAAATTATTGGGTAATAATTATTTTTCATATTATTATTGAAATACTACAAGTATTTATTACTATTAATAGCTAATTTTATTATTATTTTTATAACTAAGTTTTTTTAATAAAGCTATTAGTTAGGTTAGTTAGGTTAACTAACTTGGAAAATGGTATGCCTATTAGTAGTATTATACAAAAATCGCATATCGATTAAGGACAATATAAACAATTATCATATTAACATGATATAATGTGGAATAATTATTTTTTATTAATTTTTCACGGCGATTTAAAAGTAGTATTTGATTTTCTCCTAAAGTTTTAATGAGTGGACTCACGGGGTTGTAACTTATACATAACATGATTAATTTTTTAACGAATCTGTAGTTAAAATTTAAATATACCAAACACTATAATCCAGACTCTAGACACTCGAGAGTTATGATGTAATATGTTCCATATTATTTAATTTACCAATCAGACGTACTGAAAGTACCTATTCTAGTTTTAACTTCGGTAAATATGAGCTAAGCAAAATTTACATTTGCATAAAAAAAACTATAAAATAATAGTCAAAACCTACTAATTAGTTTTTTGTTTTTAACTGTCTTTACCTAAAAGCCAATATTAGAGCATAACAATTACTAATTAGAATAATATATATGTTGGTTAAAATAGTAATAGTTTAGCAATTGAAGAGTAGACACTTTTTTAATAAAAAATGAACAAGCATCTACATTTATGTAATTATACTATGCATCAATAGTAAGTTAATCTGCTGGTCTTCTGCTTATATAAAATAAAACTCTGTACCGTGTTCGTTTAATAAATTAAAATAAAACTTGTTTTACACCATATCAATTAAATGGTATATTTATAATGTTTTTATAACCAATTTCATTAAAATTGTCCTTTGTTTTAGACATCATGACTTTCCCCGTCGTTGTAAAGAAATCTGGTCCCATCACAATATCCAAAACTGGTTCCGCATCAAAAGCTATGTCACCGGGATCGCCTGCTTCGCCTATCAATACTTCCGCAAAATCTACTGTTAAGGCCTCGCCGGCAGCTAAAGCCACACCCGCAACTCCGGTGAAAAAACCGTCTGCTGCTCCAAAAAGTCCAGTTGCTAAACCAGTGACCAAACCAGTTTCCGATGCTAAACCTGAACTTGCAAAGACTACATCTACTTCTGTAGCTAAAGATACGACCAAAACCAAACCACCACCTTTAAAGCTTAACATTAAAGCAGCCGAAGCCAAAGCGATGCCATCATCTCCGGCAACTCCGAAGACTGTACCAAAAACTCCAACCACTCCTACTGTAAAGACTTTGACGGCATCAAAATCTCCTGCTGTTGTGAAATCCGCAACAGCTATTAAAACTACTTCGACAACGAGCATTTCTAAATCTCCTTCTGTGTTATCATTAACTGCTAAATCACCGTCAACCATTTCTAAAACATCGTCTGCGTCTTCGCCAACTATTAAATCTTCAACATCGACTATTACTAAACCTACGACACCAGCGGCGAAATCTCCATCGGCAACGACAGTTTCTAAAGCTACGACTGCGACTTCGACAACAGTGAAAGCTCCAGGCACCGTTGGAGTTAAGCCAACAACAACGCCTGCTGCTAAATCCCCTACAGCGGTTACTAAACCATCTACGCCGACTTCCAAAACTACATCGCCCGCTCAAAAACCACTCGCCTCTAAGACTCCTGGTACGCCAACAAAACCCGATGCACCTAAAAAGCTAGCGGTTTCGTCCGTCAAAAGCGTAACTGGAGTTAAATCACCGTCATCGCCAGCTGCTAAAACTTCGCCGCTATCAAGAAGTTCATCTATAGCTTCTAGTATAAAGTCGGTCACTGTTAGGTCAGCCGCTTCTCCTTCAAAACCATTGGCTAGTACTGTAAGGTCACCAGCGAAAACGGTGACTTCCAGTAAAACAGCCGTTACTACCAAACCCTTGACACCAACAACTTTAATGAAAAAAGAACCCAGTACTTTGTCATTGGCATCTGTCAAATCGACAGCTACGGTTAAATCGACAACTTCTATTTCATCGAAAACATCAGCGGTAAGTGTTAAATCTACAATATCTAAGACTGTGGTGCCTAAATCGCCAGTCACAAAGGCGGTAACCAAAACTGCCGTACCACCAAAATCACCAGCGGTGAAAGCATCTCCTACAGCAGCTGTGTCTAAAACAACAGTGGCACCTAAATCACCAGCAGTGAAGGCGGCGCCCACATCAACAGTATCTAAGACTGCAGTGGCACCTAAATCACCAGCAGTGAAGGCGGCGCCCACATCAACAGTATCTAAGACTGCAGTGGCACCTAAATCACCAGCAGTGAAGGCGGCGCCCACATCAACAGTATCTAAGACTGCAGTGGCACCTAAATCGCCAGTAGTAAAGGCGGCACCCACATCAGCAGTATCTAAGACTGCAGTGGCACCCAAATCACCAGCAGTGAAGACGGCTCCTACAGTAGCTGTGTCTAAAACAACAGTGACACCCAAATCGCCAGCAGTGAAGACGGCTCCTGCATCAGCAGTGTCTAAGACAGCAGTGGCACCCAAATCACCCGCGGTAAAAACTCCTTCTTCTCCTGTTGTTAAGAAAACTACTCCGGCTAAACCATTATCAAGCTTGGGTCTATCCAAAACGAAATCTCTGTCATCTTCTAGACTTAGTTCCGTGTCAACGGAGAGTTTGGCGTCTAGGACATCGTTGAAATCACCGATGAGTCCGAGACCTACTACCGGAGTTAAAAGTGCAGCCAAACCGATTAAGAAAGTGGAAGAGCCAAAAGTCAAAGGTATACGTGGAGGCCAACCCGTTAAGAAAACCATAGAAATTCCTGGAATCACCGAACTACCGACAATACCCCTTGCGGACACTAAGCAAGAAGTCCAAGACAGTTTGGATGTTGAAAGTTCTATTGCTCTTAACGATGAAGTTGCACCAGAGTATAAATCAAACGAAGAAATCGAATCTACCATCGCGGAAACGCTTAATCAAGATCAAAAACAACCCGAAGAAACGGCCGAGGCTCTAGCGTGCAATGGCGAAGACGATCAAGTACAAGAAGTGTCTGAGAACAATTTGGAAACGATAGTAGAAGATTTTGTGGAATCTGCAGTAACGGCTGAAGTACCAACTCCGGAGTCTTCGGTTCGAAGCTGCTGCAGTCCTATCGACTTCGAAGTCGTGCAAATCGAAGATTGTCAACCGTGTTTGAATGGCGTCACTCAGTCGGATGACAACTTCAGTATCGAATTTGTCGAAACCCATTTCGACACAAATGAACAAGCGGCGGAGGCTGAACAGCAAGCCGTTCCCGAATCGTGCGTTATTGACATGGACGACCAGTTCGAGCCCATGAACGACAAACTGGTGCTCGGGGACGTACCGTACGAGACAGACTCGAATAAAAGTGACGTGTCTGATCACGAACAAGCTGTCCAAGTCGAAACGACAACGGCCGACGTTGGCGAAGAGACGGCACCAGTAGACGACAATGTGTTCTCTTTTACCGCGGAAAGCGTAGAAGAAAACGACAGAATCGAGGATTTCGTCGAGCAGTTCGTGTGCCAACAGTCCATGGACCGATCGGAAGGTCCGTCTTCGCTGAGCACCGACGACGGTAGTCTGGTCAGCAGGAAATCGTACTCGGAAGTGGTCATGGGATCTCCCAAAGACGGCGAGTACTATTTTGATTACGACATCGAGCTGGCCGACGACTGCCTGGACGACGACGAGGAGGAGAAGCCCGTTTTCGTGGAGGTAACCGAGAAGGAATTCCCGGAGTTGAAGCCAAAAGATTTGTCCGGCAAAAGGAAGAGGATGAGAAAACAGAAGAAGAGAAACTACAGCTGCCGAACTGAATCTCAATCGGGTACGCAAACTTGTAGTATTATAAATTATAATATAGCAGCAGCTGATAGATACATGTTCTACATCACGTAGAACATGTATTACATTACACGTCACCCGTGCCCTAAAGTAACAGTACCCAAAGATTTTACCTTCTGTAAAATATCTTTCAGGAGCTCTTTTAAAATCATAAACTTTGTAGTAAAAACACTGTGCTTAAAACAATTCTGTGGTGCTCGGATAAAAGGTCTTAAGTCCAAAATAACTAATTTCACAAACAAATCATTTTTTCTTACATAATTAGCACTTTACCCCATTTTCGCAATTTTTGGACAACACCTTTTACCCGAGCACCACAGAATTATTCTGTACCGAAAGTTGTCATAGGCATAATTAAATATAATCGTATTAGCCGTTTTAATAGTTCAGGGAATCTCTTAAGAGTATTTTCCATTGAGTATAAAATATTATACAGTATATACTCAATGGTATCTTTTTTGAATTTACCTAGTATTGTAGTTTTTATTTTATTAATTATATTATTTATATATACAAAACAAATATCATATATTTTTTAGTTTTTACAAATTTGAAAATAATAAACTTTAATAACAATATAATTTAAATGTTACTTCAGGGCAGGTGTTACGAAAAGCAAAATATACATAAATATATTTAAAATACAAAATATTCATATAAATATTTTTTAAAAAATTTATTGTCTAATTAGTTATTAATTTCATAAGTATTAAAATCTGTAAAATATTATTGGTTTATTGAAATAATTATTAAATTATTTCTAGTATAATACCTCATAATTTAACATATTAGTAGTTACAAAAATCAAATGGCCAATTTTTAAAAAGTTGTAGAAAACTAATTGAGTCCTAAGTTAGTCTATGAAAAAAAAAATAAGAATATTATTATATAAGAAATAAAAATATATATTTTTTTTTATGTCTATCAGCGTTGATATATTTTGTCATCTTGTTTATAATAGTTGAATAATAATTTTTTTTTTTTTAGACTCATATAACTGTGTTCCTGAAATTGAATATAACCCAGAAGACTTTGATGGGAATGAGTTCTGCCATTATATCAAGATGATGAAGGACTGCTCGTTCTATCCCAATGGGACGTTCTCGTCAGACTCTGTAAAACTGTCAACTTCAGAGTCGCTCTCCTGGCTGGACATTTCTGTTCGAACTACAGATGATGATTTGAGGCCATCAACAGAGTTATTAAGCACTTACGAAGTATTCCAAGCGAGTAATCTGAGCAAAGATTTCCTAACATCCATCATCGGCTCAACGACGACGACTCCAACAACCCATGAACCAACTTGGTTTTGGAAATCCATTGAAGGCAGGCATCAGACGCATAACAAAGCAAACATAACGCTTAGTTTGCAACCAAGACCCAAACATTTAACCACCCCACGTTTCATGACCCTCTTGGCACTGATCAGCGAAGCTAAGGGCTACCAAATCGAACCGTCATTATCCGAACACTTTGTCACCACAGACTGTATGCCAAGATTCAACGATAAGATTAAACGACTCATGGTCCAAGGATTTTGGTTAGTTGGTCGTTTAATAAATGAAAGCTTGTCCGAAGATGAGGAAGTAAGCTGTGGTAATCCGTTTGAATTTTGCGATGGTGATATCGGTTACTGGTGGGCGGGTATCAACATGCTAGATTGGCAAGAGTATATGAAGAAATGTGGCAAAAGTCTAGCAACACACAATTGCTATCAATTCATGTTGGACGAAAACATGGAAGGATTTAGGCACATTAATAACGAAGCAGTATCAAGTATGAACGCTGCACCAGAAGATTTTATGAGCGAACTGGATGTAGAAAATTTCATACACACCGTGCGCAACGTTAAATATTATTGTGGCAATTGTTTTGTGGACAGCCAAGAAAACCTGGAAGCATTGAATGAGAGTTGCGACAGCGATAGTCTTGTCGAATGGGATAACAGTACAAATAACATGTCTAACGAATCTGAATGAATATGCTGTAATTTTGTAACTACTATGTAATATAATAATAGCATTAAATTAAAAATTGTAATATTTAATTAATTAGTATAATGACAGAAAGTTAAATTTTTATGTTTAACATATCTATAAAGTTGACGTATATTACGTATTTTATTTAAGTTTTTGAGTCGAAAGTATAGACTAAGAATATGATTATTGTGTAGCTATGATAAAAACTATTAATATACCATATACTATAATTAATTACTATTAATATAATACTTTGCATGTTTAACGTTCACCCAAACGTAAATGGGATTGTTGTGATATTTTGGCTGTATTTTTAGTTCACTAAAAAATATAATAACAGTGACAATGTATAAAATAAAATATTTATTATGTTTAATTTAAAAGTATTTGTATTTTTTTAACACAGTTAGTATGCTTATAAGTAAAAAAATAAAGTACTAATTACAGAGAAAGAAAAAATATAATACTAGTACATAATAAACGAGATATAGTTTTCAAAGAATAATTTGATTATAAATAACTCAACATTGGTCTTTGAATATTGACTGATGTAAAATAATACTTTTTATAAAAGGATATTACTTTAAAAAAAAAAAAATATATGTATATATATAAATATATATACTAAAAAAAATATCTGAAACAATTTGTATTGGAATTTTAACATGGCCGGTAGCAAATATAATTTTTATTTAAGTTAACATCCTATTTTTGAATTAATCAAATAGTTTAACTTTCCGTTAGTCACACTTAAATAAAGTACATTTCTTCCCAAGTCACAGCGTGACTAAATGTAACTGGTAATTTTGACCATAGCGCGACTAACGGCAGGTTAAACAATGATAAAACATTTAAATAAGAATGTTTTGTTTAAAATATTTACAAATTTTTAAGTACAACCTTTAACATCTAAAATCAGTAAGTACATTTCACAATTAACAAACAATATTTTACAAATAAACAAATACTTACTCAGCACTTATTGTACATTGATCCTTAAGTTAAGGTACACTAACATTTCAAAAATAACTCAAAGTCAGAGTATTTTAAATTAATACAATAATTTTTATAACATCACATGTGTACTTAATACAACTTTTAAAATGTAAGATTTACAATCATCAAAAATATTATTAAACAACTATCACAACAAATAACAAGTTACTTAATAAAGTCAAACATTTTCCATCATAATTACAAACTAGGTAAACTTATTAAAAATACCATATTTTTTTTTAACACTGATACAAGAAATGGTTAGTTGTATACAACTATTTAGTAATTTAACCGATAATTAATCAGAATATATGCCACATGTTTTATTTTGTACAGTATTTTTTAATTTTTATTTTGGGAATATAAATAATTAAATATAAGAACATAGATAATATATTTATAAAATAAATAAATAAGTTAATATGTGGTTTTATTATTATTGAAACAGTAGGTAACTAAAAAAGAAAGTTTGTTTTTGGAAAAAAAAAATTGTTAGTAATACCTATTGGACAAAATATGTGTGGAAAATATTCATTTTTTTTTACCATATTGTAAAATTATACTGCTCAATGTAGTTGAAAAACACATATGACAGTTATTTTTCGTATTATCTATAAACAAATTGTAAGTAGTTACTTAAGCTATAATATGAACTAATTTTTTTATCAAAATTACAACGTTGTGTGTATTTTACACAGACTGTTCATACATCGGCTTACGATAAAATCTTATTAAATCAGATTCTTAAAGTCAAGTCATTAATAACCAATAAACTGTGGTTGTAATTAATGTATGTATTATTCCTTTTTTTCCTTATCACAATTGATGATCGCTTTTAAGAATTATCATTGTTGATAATATTTTCGATTTGTTGTTCGTTGTGGGTATTGTACCGAGGTTGTGAATTGGCTAGTTCGGCTTTATATAGAATATCATGACACAGAGGACAACGGTCCTAAAAAAAATAATAACTTATAATTAACAATTTTAATATTTAAAATAACAATATTACACTAGTACCCGTATTTGATACAACATACATTGTATTGTGTTGTTAATTAAACATTTTAACGGAGATAATTTTACAATATTCTACCTTACCAATTATGATTAATATTATGAAAAATAGTTATAATTTATAATGTAAAAAAATAAATGTTGCAGTAAATACTTTTTTTGTAGAGAATAAAATTGTTTCTAATGCACATATTTTAGACCACTATTTAATTTTTTTTATATATTTATAAAAAGTGTTAAACCTAATACAGAAAAATAATACTTCAACAAACTTAGATTGGTGAATGAATCTGTTCAATGGAAGATATCCAATGAAGATATATCTGAACACTGGCACCGAAAACGACAGATTTCACCAAGATGAAACATGGATATTAGGGCATAAAAAAATAATTGATCTGATCATTATCGGTTTATATTTGATCTATTGTTTTTATTAATTTTTTTATTTTTAAGCAGATTTTAAACATTGAACTTGCAATTGATTAATAATGTAATGAAATTATTGGATATCGAGAACAAAACATATCTAATTGATATAACCAAACCATGTTAGTATTAACAATGAGGTATTTTAATTAATTTTTCATATTAAACTTCATTTTAAACTTTGGTATTTAATTATGTGTCATAATATTTTTGAAAATCATTCTTGTCAATATTATATAAAGTATCAAAATTCTAAATTAAGGGATTATTTACCTGTACATAAAGCCATTTACGTAAGCATACACCATGAAAAAAATGATGGCACTTTGTAATTTTTGCTGTTCCCATATTCTGATAACATATGGCACAGACGTCATCGTGTTCGGTTAACTGTTTACTGGTTGCTTCTGGTAATGATTCGATTTTCTTTACTGCAGTGCGCCGCTTAATAAACACCCGCCAGCCATCTCTAGCATCACACCATATATTGAAATATGCATGAATACACATCATGGATGCACGAACTGCACCTCCAGATACAAATACCATAATGTAGACCCCGTTCAAAAATAAAAATATACCAAAACAGAATTCCACCTAAAATAAATTAAAACATTTAAGTTACATGATAAAATGATAATTATAATTTAATAAGTAATATTTGAAATACCGTATTTCCAAATGCTTTGATATAATAGACATAATCGTCCAGTCTTTCCCAAAATGTAGTACGGTAAGCGTCAATTAAAAATAATGAATACACAGACAACGATACCAATACTTTAATAATTATTTCAATATTGAATGACGAAACTGCTAATAACCATGTGCTAATTGAATGATGAGACCACAAGTATGTCAACATTGTAATTGGAAATATTATAAGGAACGCACACACCAAAAGTGCTCTCAAATGCCTAAAAACAAACGTAATCATCAATATCTAAATTTAAAGAGTAAAAATAAACCCCAACCCAAAAGAACACAGCACATTTTTATTTTGTTTATGCCTAGCAAATTTATGCAAATTACTCAAAAATATAGAGATTAATTGGGCTAATGCATACTCTAAATACTTTACTTTTTTTTTTTTTTTAAAATCTGGGTTATTGCCCACTCTTTGATAAGTATGTATTGTCGTGTAATTGTTACCTGTTCAATGAAGGATTATGTGAGGCGCTTAAAGACATCAGAAGTGGATTAACAATGTTATGTATATAATGTAACAATGCGGCAAATAACAAACATATGTTTCGATAAAGCCGTGTAAAACGTTTTTCTGGTTCTAATCCTGTCAATCCCGTTTGCAATGCAAGAATATAAAATAATACTGCAGAAATGGTTCCAATGCTCTTATCATCAACATCATCAGTAAGTAATACCTGGAACCATTTTAAAAATGTTAGTTTTCTTAGTTTTAATTCAGAACGGATAAATTTTAAATAGTGGACAACAATAAACTTGTTTAAATTTATTAACTTATTTGCGCAGGGCTTACCCAATGGAAAAATGCTCCAATATAATGGCAGAAATATGAAACAAAACTCGTCATGCCCAAAACTGCAGTAAATGTGTCACAACCTTTTATTAACAAATACTTCACAGCATCAAATATAGTCTGATTTTGTACTTGAGTGTCAGTCAGTAAATATAATGTTTGTTCGAGAACACGTATAGACCAAAATATTCTGAGAACATTTGGGATATTCAAACGATTCCATTCGTTTTCAAGCAACGCAGATATTCCAAAATTACTATATTAAAAATTATAAATTACAAGACTAAATAATAATGTATTTATTGTTTTGTGCAAAGAACTTACTTAATAATGGTTTTGATATATTGATAACCATCTTGTATTAAATTCACTAATGTAAAAATATTCAACCATAAATTCTTCATCATAATAAACAAAGGAAATAGTGTCGCTAAAACAGCTGCAGTATTTACAATACTTTGAGTACCAGGAACAAGAGCTACTAAAATTGGAGCGATAAAACTAAAACTCAAAATCTGAAAAAAGGATACATAACACATTTTTAGAGAAGCATAATAAATACTAATACAAAATTATAATTTAAATAAGTAGGTAGTTACTTTATAGATAGAGCGATGTCTTGTAGTGGTCTGTAAGAAATCAAATACTAAAGAGATAATACATTGTAGTATTGTATTGCGACATATTAAGTACAAAAAGTCCGATATTTCATTATGTGTAAATAATTTTAAAATTCCACTGATATCCCATGTTATGAATTCGTCCACAATGTCGGTCTTGATGTCTTCATATTTTCCAGATATAACTTTTAAAGTTTGTATATTTGACCAGTAGGATATGAGTACAACACATACTGATACCGCATGGAAATATACTAAGTATAAGTACTTGGCGGGCAGTACAAACGAACATAACGAAGCACAAAAAACTGAAATATAATTTTAAATTTTAAAACATAAAACATATAACACTTCAAAAAAAATATTGTGTTACTCACCGAGACAGGATAAAATTATTTTAACTAAGGACAGAAGAATAGCTTTGTAATACTGAGTATAATCATCACTTTCCATGTGAGTGGCGCTCAAGTTGTGGTGAGCACGATTAATAGGAAATAACGTTTCAGCAATGTCTGGTAAGCCAAAACTACTTTTGAACACTTCGTCCATGATGAATATGGGGGGAACCCTCAATAAATTACACAGTGTCATTTTTCAGTTTACTTGTGGTACAAAACTAATAAATACGATTAACTAATCCTACGGAAAATATAATTATTAAAATAGTTACAGCAGTGCTAAAAAAAAAAAAAAATGAAGGTTTAGGTTATGTTTAACATTAACCAAACCAGTTAGATTACATTTACATACTTGATCAAGATAATGTCAAAAACACTTTCTTGGTTTTTCTTTTTATCAACGTGAACGACCTAAGTAGACCAGTTCTGTTTTCTTAATTTTTTGCAACCCTAGGATGTCAATAATACAGAATACCTTATTTATTTTTCGTTCATCGTTAATGCATTAAAGACCTTGACTAGAACACGAATGGCTGAATATTAGTTTTTGAGTAATTAAATAAAAACCTATAACGCGAACTAAAATATTTAACAATAACTAAAAACAAATATTATTTGTATTAAATATGCTTATTTATAATGTTTATCCGCGCATTTTTTTTTAACATTTACAGATAACAGTAATTAATATAATGTATTCTTGTTTGTCATGACGGTAGTATACATTACATGGTAATACTTTAGAGTAAGAATACCTTGGAGTTTGTTAACATTGTAGTTGATAAGAAATGCTTACTAAATAGAAGAAAAACCACATATACATGTATGTAATGTATTGTAATATATATTTGTGAGAAAAACTGTATAGTAAGGAATACGGTGATAACAGAATCAGCTGTTGCTTCATACCATACTTTTGCAAATATAAATTTATGAATCCACCTTGGAAATATATAACTTTAAACTTTCTCATTGATTCATTTGTTAATAAATGATTAAACTTTTTTTTTTTTAAACTATTCAATAATTAAAAAAGTTAAACATTTATTTAATTGCTAGAATATAATTTTTTTTAATCAAAATCGGTTGCCCCCAAAACCGAAATTTAAGTATTATAACAGAATAACAGTTATTCTGTGGTATTATTTTATTATAGCCAACAAACTCATTATTACTAATATTGAAATAGGCCAATCCTATGTATAGATTGAATTTTGTAAGGTTTAAAAACATCATTAATTTAGCTATTTTAGTTGAAATAAATTACTTGAAAAGAAGATAATATGATAGAAATGTATTTTGTTTTTATTAAATAGGTTTTTGTTTATATTTTGCACCTTTTTAAATACTATTTGCACCCTTCGTATCGCTATCGTATCATATTACAAAATATTATGTTAATTATTAATTTATAATAATTTGAAAAAAAAATTTGTTATTATATCTGTTTGTTTTCCCTTAGATATTATGTATTTTTTTGGTTGTTAAAATAATAAATTGTTATTACCAGTTTTGGTTAAACTATAGGTTATCTTAACTAACAAAAAACATAAACTAATTTTTATATACTTAATCAATATTAAAGAATTACATTGTACTACTGACATTTTGGCTATTAGACTATAAAACAAATAATTTCTTTCAAACATATTAAGTATAACATTAGTTTACTTATAAAATAATTAAAACTTTTAATTTAAATAAATTTACCTACAAAAATAAATATTTTACAGTACATGTTATATATAATATTTACTTACAATTATGTCTTTATTATAAATTAATGGAATGTATTACAATAATAAAAAATATATATATTTATTTTAAATACAAGTCCAAAATATTTTAAGAATTGAAATACATTTTTTTATAGGTTACTCTATTAAAATAATTATTTATAAAAAAACTAATTGGAATATTTAGTATAACTTATCTTAAAATAACTATAATATGTATAAATGTATGAAAAAAAAACAAATGGTCATTGCCTTAATATTATTAAGACTTTGAAAACTTAAAGCTTGTATGTATTATTTAGTCATTTTTAAATAATCTTATAGTCTCTTAATTACAATTTTTTAATGTATGTTTATTGTGGTTAACATACATCATGTTTTTCTGTAGTATTATTAAGATGTAATGAAAATTTGTTGTTTTTACGTTTTAAATGACACTCATTTTTTTTCTTTGAGCAGAAGATATCATTTTGATTATAAACTTGCATGCAACTTAACTTAACTCAACACTTAACTTTCTTTTTTCATTGCTATAAATCAGTAACAACAGATTGTGAATTTGTAATTTCATTTTGTGAGCCATCGTTTATGTGCAATTTGTAATTCGAGTCGGTGTGTAATGTCCTGAATAAAACATTAAAAAAATGAATTAAATATTCATATTACAGTAAGATATAACGTAGCAAAAATAATTAATTCAAGGAGTAGCATACCTTAAAGGTTTCATACAGGGCCCTTTTTTATTAGCGTTTTCTAACTTAGCTAATCTTTCATAAATTGTAGACATCTGAGTTGGACCACACTGCAAAATAATTATGAAATTATATTATAATATACACATGTAGACCACAATATGAAAAATATTATATTTTTTAAACATTTATGTGTTCAGTAGAGTTTCACATATTTATTTTGTAGAAATACTTACTGAACTATCACTTATATTTGTGATAAGTAATTTAAATTTAGATTCTAGAGTTTCTTCCATTAGTTTATGTGCTGCTCTTATTTCTTGAATAATAGCTAAAAGTAGAGAAGTCTCATTAATATAGATTTGTGACTGTTGTATATTTTAATTGGAAAATACTTGTAAAGGATCCGGCATCAGCACATGCGCATATGTCGGTATTTTTACTAGAGATTTCTAATTTTAAATTTTGTAGTTCAATTTTAATCAGTTCCAGTTCGTTAGAAAGTCTTTGGTTATCTTTTTTTAATTCGGCCATTTCATTAGCATAACATGTTTCAATCGATTCTTGGTCAGATTCACTACTCATCAATTCGAATTTATCATCTGAATTGTTCAAACCGGGATCACTATGTGTGCGTTTTATCTCGGAATCATTGTCTATAACGTTAATTGGTGGCAAACTAGTAAATTGATCCCTTGTCCTCGTTTGTGAATCAGGTTCAATGTAATCTCTTCCAAATCCAATCGGAACACAAGGCTGGTACATAGGATATAATGCATGATACCGAGGGTCAATGGGTATATTAATAGGTATAGGATATCCACATACAGCCGAATCCGACATTGTTGGATACAATCGTTGACTGGGTTGGTTCCATTGAAAAGGAGAAAATTCCGATATTGGCTCGTTACAACTTTGAAAATTTTCGGTTTTAGAATTGGGTCGCCTGGAAGTTTTTGATTTTTTAACTGTTTTGTAAGGGTTCCTGTTACTGGTTGCTCTTTCGGAATTATAATCTGGCATTTTGACCCTAAAACATTGAATTAGAACACGTTTTACACATAATGTTTGGCTATATTCTGACAAAACGTAGTGATATGAAATATTATTAACTGGCATATAATAAATAAATTACCTGTTAAAATTTTGCATTCTATAATTTCCTTTTATTGCATTTATAAAACCGTTCAAATAGTAATTAATAAATAAACCATCTTTATTAAAATTCAAAAAACATCAATTGATAATGTGATATGACAATTGGTAATTAATTTGATAAGACACTTGTACACTGTTCAATGTGATTATTTCATGATTCATCTAATAAAAGCGATCGCCGATCACCAAATCCAAATTGATTAGGTCTTTATCTAATGCAATTTGTCAACTGAGTTGAAAATTCAATGAAAATTGTTTTTAATTGAAAATATATATCCATTTATTGCTTGCTGCAATTACTGTCTGTAATTAAGTTATAATTTGTCTTATAATAAAAAACAATTCAGATGTAAGATTAAAGTTCAACTAAGTATTAAGTTAAATGTATGTTAATGTCGCCAAGCAACCCCTTATTTACTTTCCTAATTTACCAATTCTTGGAGCCCATACTAAACCTATTACACATGTGTATATTACGTATAAAATAACTGATTTGCCGCGTTTTCCCTTTTAAAATGTATATTTATGTTTAAGTACATGTTTTCCATAAAAGACATTTCGGTCTCTCCAAAAATAAAGTTTCTGAAGTAACAGTTACTATATTCAATCCTAAATATAACAATTGCTCTTAGAACTTTTCCATTTAAATTTTTTGTCAACAAGTAATTAGTAAATATTAGGAACTTAATTAGTATCTACATTTTTAAATACTATTTCGTCATCTTAACTACCAACTAAAATTTAAATATTAATCTCAAGTTGATTTTTCAATGTATTTAGTGTTATTTGACATCTTCTATTCAACAGTCCAATTAGTTACATTAATACATTTACAAAATAATTTTACTTTTTTAGCCTTTGTCAGAAACTTGAGTTAAAGGGTAAGGACGAGTATACTCATTGCAATTTGTTTAAACTCGATGATTTTTTTGTTTTTTGAATGTACAATAATGAATATGTTAATATTCTAACATCTTTCATTTTTATCAATTTGAATTTGTATTTAGTTTTTCTCAAATAAACCAGTTTAATTTAAACACATATATTTAAATAATTTCACATTTTAAATATATACATTTAAAGATAGCGTGTTCATAAAATTGCTCTCTTTCAATAGAGCAAAATAACTTTTTCAATAGATTGTCTCACAATAATTATTAAAATAACGCTAACCACATTATTGGTTTGGTCATAAGATATTAAGTGCCCACTATTTGTATATAGGGAGTCTTGGATTTTTTTAACAGTGTCTTTGTGTATATCTCACTCAAAGTTTAATAAGTTGCCAAGTAGTAAATGGGAGGCAGAAGTCATTATATCACTCACTGTCGCTGCAAACAAAATGATTACTGTTGTTGCTTATAAAATATAAAATCTGCATTACCTAAAAAAAAAGAGTGGAGTAAGTACTATTAAATCATCAATAACAAGTACACATCAGTTCTCAAAAAACCTGTGATCTAAGTGGTCTAGGCAAAATGTAATTTAACTTGTTCACTGACTGTAAGCACTATTTATTTAATACATATTTTTTATTAAATTTATTGTGTTAATCATTCAACAAGTACTATACAGATTATTCTATTATACAAAAAACAAAAGAGATCAAAAAATTGTATTAAATAATAATCATCAAAATGTATCAGAGAAAATAAAACAAAAGTTTATACACACAAAATAATAGTCAATTTGCTTAAAAAGAAAATAAATAACAATTAAAACTAAATTTGATTTAAACATAGTGACTCAATATTTTTAAACAATACATTATTTGTTCATAACAAAAAATTAATAATTTTAAATAGTCTATCTATGATAAAATAATAATCGCTATTGGTCTTAAAAGTATACTTCATAACATAGTTTATTATAATAACAAACATTCTAATACAATTCGGTGACCACACTAAAATAATTAAAACCTGTTGGGCCTGATTTAGAACTAATTGGACTATTTTTAAAAAAGTTATGGAGTGCCGTAATTTTAAGCTTAAAAAAAGGTAAATTTTTCAGGTGTTTTTCTCAATTTTGAAGGGGAAGGAATGAACTTTTTAGTCTAATAAAGTACCTTTCAGGTACGATTTCTAATCTTAAGAGCTGCTATACGAAGAAATCGGTTCAATGGCTTAAAATCGTGGGTACAGACACAAGAATAAAAAATAAAAACAGAATCTATCGCATTGAAGCTAAAAACAAAAGTCATAAGTATGTATATTTTACATGTTACATTACCAACATGCATACAATTAAATTATTATTATAAATTAAAATAATAGTCTTTTAAAAAACAATTACATATCTTAGTATTTAATTCTACTTAAAATAAGACATCAAAATAATTGATACCTTTGAGCTTTAAAATAGTCTTAAATTTTTTTATTTGTATTTTTGGTGCCATAATCTGAGCACAGACACCATGGAGTAACTGTTCTGTTACACTTTAGCTCGATATTTAATACCATAACAGGGACATTGTCGAGAAGTAAATTATGTTTTTTCCTTATAATATAATTGACGTCGTGTAATCCAGTGAGTCTGTCCCTTTTTCTAGTTACTTCACGCTGGTTATAGCATTTTGTCATGTCTCGTTTCCTAACAGTTCTTTCGTGATTATGTCTAAGAAAAGGATGAACAATAATTAGTAGTCTAATTCAAATTTAAAAACTAGTATTTGCAAGTGTTACCTAAATGTATTTGATATTCCAGTTGTTAAATTTCCTGGCCTATGAATGCCGATCTTAGCTTCCTTGAGACGCAAATAAAACTCATCGTCTTCAAGACCCCAGCCCCAATAGTGATTGCTTAGACCATCAATATGAATAAAATCTTTCCTAAAAAAAAAAAAATTACACAATAATATAATAAAACATATTTAGCAATTTTATTTAATGAATTTATTTATTTTATTGAATTTATACTTGGTAATTAATAGTATGCCACCAACAAAAGAAGCATAGTGGTAACGAGGGTGCAAATGAGGTGCGGCTATATGGCTAATATGTCCGGTTGGAGGATAATGGTAATCTAACAGCGGATTAAGAGGTATTAAATCGACGTCGTGTATCGCAATATAATCTACCATACTGTCCGACGATACAATCTCTTTGAAACCAGCATTAATCAGAGATCCTCTGTTAAAACGAAAGTGGTCAACCTGGACATACAGAAGACGTTTACAAATGAGTTAGTCTTACATTATTTTAACAATATAATTTATAGTCACCTGATTCATTACAAACAGTTCATGTGGTATACCTTGTTGACTTAAGAATGAATGGATATGTGGTACAAACTCTAAAAGTTCATCAAATCTGTCTCTAAACGGTATTAAGACGGCCAATTTATTTTTTCTAAATTGTTTGGCAGGTTGTTCAGCAAACCGATGATATCGACCGTTTTCTACTTCTTCTACAAAACAGATAACAATAGTTATTTGGTTACGATATATTTTTGTTACTATAATACTTGTAGTGTATACTTACGGACATACAATAACGCTAATAACAATGTAATGACCAAAGTAAGCATAATCCCGGTCAATAAAATTTTTGCTTTAAACTTCATAGTTTTGGCTTATAGTTCATGAAAGACATTTTTCCGACTTGAGTAGAACATTTTGTATTTTTACAAACACATTTATACTTTTCAGTAAATTAAACATTGTTAATTTATTGTGCAAAATAACTTACTTAAACCAATAATTAAAAAATGTAATTTGACAAAATCTATTTTTGTAACAAGTTTATTCGATGAATTCAGTTTTTTTTTGTCATGCTATTTAAATTAAATAGTACAACAAACCAATTTTAAATACATTTTTCCAAATTCACTGAATTCTGAATGAAAAAATATAGTATAATTTTCTTTTAAAGATCGTATCATTTTTTTTATCACTACCAATGTTAAATAATAAAATAGTCAAGATAAAATAATTCCCTTATCACGAATGGATATTGCAATGTTTATACCACCCTTTGTAGATCGCTAAATTGTATGTTACTCTTTATCTACGGACTAAGGTGGTTTGTCTATCTTGCTTTGTTTGTACCTTAGTCCTTAATCTTAATTCAATGAGCAGTGCATTATGAAAATTGAGATTTGGAAATTGAGTGCGAATGAGTGTGGCTTTTGAACATCAGTCATATATATGAAAAAAAAAAATAGTTTTCGAGTTTCGACGTGGGTTTTTAAAGATATAGTCAAGTGCTAACACAGCTAATTATATTTAAAACAACTCGACCCATTTGGCAATAACTCAATAAGTTCTTTTGCAAAATATTTGTATCAAAAATCATGGTAAAAGCAAAATAATATATAAATATTTATATACATGTACAAATTCTTATTCTAATATTATAATGTATTGCTAAACTATTCTGTCCGTATTGTAAAAAGTTGAAGTATGTTGCATAACAAAATTATTGTGTTCCAGATGGACGACAGTGGTATTGATAGCGACACAACTAAACGCCACACAATGACTATAGAAGAAAAGATCATGGTGAGTTACATCCCTATTGATAACTGTTACTATAATAAAACATGTAGCTACTTTTTCATGTTTTTTTCTGTAAACTTGATTTTAATTTATTTTTAACAAAAATATTAGTTAAAAAAAAAAAAATACTTGTATAGGGTGGTAAATTGAATTTTTTTTAATTGTTAATATGACTTACTAAGAATTATTATTATAATAAACTACTATTTTATTTTATTAATATAGAACAGTGACGAAGACAGCAATACAAGTGATTGCTCAATGAGGGTTACTAAACCATCATTTTTCCAAAAAAAACTAGGTACTTGTTTTATAATAAATATACTAGTACACTTATTATTTTTATTAAACTTTGTTTTCGTTTTGTTTCCCTTAAATGTAGCTAGTTTACAGTTTTATTTTATTATTTATTTATTTTTTATATATTTTGTTTAGAATTTTGTTTTTTGTTACCTGCATTTTTCTTACTGTTTGAGTGTATCCTGAATTTTCACATTACTTTTCGTAAGCAGCATAGTAAAAAATTAAAGGTAAGAACATTAGTTACTATAATTTTATTTATTTTATTATCTATGTAAACAATATGTTATTTGTATAATTGAACACCGCTTTTTTGAAACTTTGATGGATTGTTAAAAATGTAGACAAGTTGCTCAAAATAATACAATAAAAATAATTTTACGGTTTGAAATTAATTGTAATTTATTTTCCAATTAGAACAATACGCCAAACCTGGTCTAATGGAATATAACCAAATGGCAGTGCCATCGAGTAAATCTACAAAGTCGGAAAAATTACCCGTGTTAGTAGATTGGGACTCATCAGACAGGTATGTCTTTAATTTATTTTAATACTATTATTAATGTTATTAAAACAAGCTGTCTTAAATGATGAATTAACATTTTTGTACCTTAACAGTGAAATCGAAATTAGTTTCTTTCCTGGACCTAAAAGCAGACAAACACTTAGTGATACTTTCAGTTTACAAGAGTTCCATGGCTCTATTGAATCAGAGGATTTAGATTTAATACCGCCGCAACAAACCATAAAAAATGATAATCAGTGTTGTACCTTGTTTTTACAAAGATGTTCAATCCTTTGAAATTATTGAACTTTGTTTATATTAACCAAATACTTAATTGTTCATATCCAATACATTATTATATTATTACTATTATTATTAAGGTCTTTGGACGATAATATTCTCCATATTATATCATTATAATATCATCCTGCTCTAGTGATTGTGACTGACGTTTGACTTTCCAATGACCAATAATTATGTTAAAAATCAATTTAATAGAAGGAGAAATTGTATTCAATGTATTAATAATTTAATTTATTTACAATTTTTTCAATATTAAATATTATAAGTTGGTACCTAGATAATAAAAATAAAATAAATTTGTAAATCAATATTATTTGTTTTCGTGGATTGTTCTAATTAAAATAAAGTTTAAAAATATATATGTAAGAAAATATATCTATTGCAAGATCCAACTTTTATATTCAATCAACAGCAAATTTCAATTGTCGTGTTAAATAAATTGGACCTTACTAGTGTTGTTATGATTACCCTGTTATTATTTTTTTAAAGAGATTCTATAAAACACGTTGAAACAATTATGTGTGATATGTTTTATTAAAAAATAGAAAAAAATAAAACGTACACTACATCAATTATTATCTACGAATACTTAAACAAATTCATAAAACATAATATAAGTAGATTCTATATAATGGTAGTATAATCAACATTGCTATAAAGATGCAACACCTGCTCTAGTGTGTGTTATCCTAAACTATTAGAAGCTTTGAAACATATAGGGGTAACACAAATAATTTGTGTCTAAAACATCATACAGCGTAGTTGTTTTACGTAACCAGTTATCTTTTTATGTCATTTGGTGACAATTATTGAGAGATGGAAACCAAGAAAATTCGAAAAAGATCGAAGGCACTTTAATGCACTATGCCGGTCGCATCGCCAACCCTCGCTCGGCAGCGAGCTTTGAATGTCGCATTTCATAAGACGGCGTATTAGATAGGCAATTCACGTGCATACCGGAGAATAATGAGTTATAGGCATTTTCGTATATTTAGGAGCCGCTGTAGTCGTTGTACAATCATATTATATAATATTTTTGTCATACAAATTTTTTTTATATAAAAAAAAAAAAATATATATATATATATATATATAATATAATTATTAATTTTAAACTAATATCTTTTGAATATTGACTGAAATGAGTAGCTTCCCAACCCGCCTAAACTTTTAAATATGAATGACTGATTTTCGATCAGTTTAATTTTCAGGGAAGCATATACTTCAAAAATTGTAATTATGAATTTTAAACATTGCGTGCCCTCTTAGAGGAAGTACTGCCCCTGACAAACATGATCTATACCCTCCCTCCGCTCTAGTACAAAATCCGACGTACTCTTGGAATGAGTAGTTAAGAGGAAGTTTGCAATGGTAATGACTAATGTATAGGTTTTTATGCAGTGAGGAGGTTTTGGCTAGCCGCCCCGCAAAACCGCAAAACATACATTTCTATGCATAGTAAATGGCGAAGATCAATCGTTTATATTGTTTTTGTGTTTCTGGCTTGTGATTTTGGAACTAAAGTGACGCGTGCTAGACAATTATTATGATAAAATACGTGGCCACACGGCGGCGGTGATTTGAAATGGAGGGTTGAAACGACGTGCGTCGCGTCGGCACGGCCGGGTCGCGTGCTGCGCGTAGTGCACAAACGCGTGCCGTAGGGCCGAGGGCACCAGATAGGTGGAGGTAATGTATAGGGCTTTATTATGTTCGACGTTACGTCGAACATAACGCCACCCCGTACCGCGAGGATCGATTGCGCGTCGCGCTTGTTGTCCGGTATTTTTTTTTATTTTACCCTGTGTCCGCGAGTCAGTCGCGTAAGCGCGCGCGCGGCGTTGGTTTTGCGCGACGCTGGCGGCCGCCGGGACCGCGCGCGCGTCTATTGCGCTAGATAATAACGTACGACGCCGACGCCGGACTGCGCTGCGGAGGACGCGCAACGCCGCCGCCAAAGTACACGACCGTCAGTTACCTCGGCGGTTACACGCGAACGCGCGCGATCATAAGCCGCTTGTGAAATAATTGTTAAACATTTTGAAAAAACTCAAGCAAAACAATCGGTCATTTGGAAAAAAAATCAACTGCATCGAACAGTATTGTCGTTTGTCAATATTACCATAAAAAAAAAAAAAAAAATTACAAAAACTATGAAAAAGGCGGCCAGCAAAGCGCGCGACGAGAAACTGTTGGCGGCCGTCCGGGATCGACCGGTGCTGTACGATCAGTCGATGCACGTGTTCAAGGACTTCGGCGCCAAGAACGCTGCGTGGAAAGAAGTGGCTGCCGCCGTGGTCGGTTGTCAGGACAAACAAGCCGGTAAAAGACACAATACCACCCTGTATAACAACCCATTTATAACGTCATAGTGCACAGTACTGCATGTATGTGGCGGAACTGAAGGGATTAACCCTGAACTCGGCATTGTGTATCTTTTAAGATACATTTATTTTATGTATATAACTTTCCGTGGCTAACCTAAAAAGTGGTTATACTACTGTTTGGATTTTCTTTTTATATTTAAAAATTTGCCCTTGCCACGTTAAGGGTTAAACACTTGTGCTTCGCTTCCCTCACTCTTAGTTGACCTTGATAGGTTAATTAGATATTCTTGTTCGCAAATACTATATAAGTGTATATATATTTTTCTGTTCACCCCGTACTGTTAATATAGTTACTTCTAAACATGGAAAACATGTGTTAAATACCTCGCACATTTACGAAGAAAAAAATACTTAATAGGTATTATGTTTTAGAATATAATACTTTTAACGATTTAATTTAATTTAACAACTTCGTCAACGTTCAGATAGTGATGAGTGCAAATCATTAGAATTAGCTGGAATTAATAACGAGTAAAACCTGTGATAAAATTTAAAATATTTGTCATTATCTTTCTTTATTTTTTGGCTTTTACCGTACTCTCCAAAAGTTTTCGTCGCCATGAGCCATCGCTAAATCCCTCCGTTTCTCTCGATTTCGCACTACATCTGTCTAGTTGTGTACTTCTTTTTACTGTAATTTAATCTGTTTTGATGAAAAATACCTTCTCAACGTGGAATCGAAACTCAAAGCTGTATTTTCGAGTGTCGCTGGACTTTTGGCACACGCCGTACGACAATATTATTATACACGTTATTGATGTTTTCGACCATATTTTTCTATAGGTAAAAATATACTATAATAATTATACTGTTTATATAAATCTAGCCCGTAGGCATTAGCGCCCCCAGACGATCTAATTATGTATTATGGCAAATGCTTTGTGACCAACGGTAGCCCTCATTGGTTAATTTAAACAATGCTTAATTTGTGCGAGCGGTTTTTTAAAAATATTTTTTTATCCCAAATTCCAACACGATGCGTCGTTTGTTATGTAAAGCCTAAGGGTTCAATTATTTCGTTTTCACCGTCGTAATCCCCAATGGTCTTTTCCGCCTAAAACGGTGGTATTATCTACATACTAGAAGTATGTGTATTACCTTTACTTTACTGACACGCGAACCGAAGACGGTAACACGGTTGGTTTCGGGTAGACCAACAGTTTTTGGTCCAACAGCAGTTTACTTAATCTATAGGAACAATACACCGAAAATATTTTAAAAGCCGTGTAACCTAATGTGAGTAAACAGGTTGGGGGTACTAATTTTGTACATTTATTTATTTTTCAAATCGCCTCCAAAGCTACAACGTACAGACCAAATCAAAAACTATTAATTTTCTTTTGTTTTTCAAAAACTACATTAGTTATGAATCGGAGAAAAAAATAGAATAAGAAGTTTCTTATTTCATTTGTCTTATAGTAGGTACTCTATTTGAAATTCGTTAAAGAAAATTATTGAAACGTACAAAACACGACGAGAAGACCACAAAACTGTGTTTTTTTTTACAATTTTGTAGACGATTGTAACAAAAAAACTAGACGTGTAAAAAAAAAATTGAAATCAGATTCAAATTGAAAAAAATGGACTTGTTTTGAATCTTGTTAAAAAAAAAAGGGACCAATTCACTGTAAATAGAAAATATTACTATACTCTCGAATGTTTTCAAGGTGGGCTCTTAAAGGTATTTTGGTGAGAACTAAGCCCACCCTATTTGCGCTGCTGTTGGGGGTTGGAACTTGGGTGTGCTCACCACTTTGTCATATTGTTTTGTTTTTCGTACCGTACCTACGCATAAGTCTGGAGAGGGTAATATTTTATTCTATTTACTTAAGCGTCCAACTCCTTGCATAAATAGTTGCAACGCACACTAACCGTAGTTAGTCAAAGGCCGAGGCGCCTATTGAAGTATATAGTGATGGAATTTTGATGTTTTGTGCTCTTCCAGTGGAACGGTTGAAAGTCCGGTGGAAAACGCTGAGGGACGGGTTCGTGAGGCATTTGAAAAAGAAAAAGGCGCTGGAAATGTACACGGCGGCGGCGGCCATGCGACCTTACAAGCTGGAGAAACAAATATCGTTCCTGTTGCCACACGTGTCTTTCCGGGACGACGAGGAGGGCGGCAGCCTGGACGAAGAGACCTCGTCGCTGACGGACAAGCCCGGTGCCGATTCCGATCCGCCGTACGATCAACAGGCCGCCGAAGACATGATCTACGACCAGTTGAGCATAGAGAAGACTTGCAGCGAACACGAGGCATTGGACAGGTCCGTGCACTTTTTGTGCGATCAACGGTATAAGGCCGCCGCCATTAACTACAGGTATACACAGTGGTTTTTTCCATTATGATGTGTTCAAGTTAACACGGAGAAAAATACTTATTGTTGGCCCAACTTAAATTATGGTTAATATAGGGACACAATAAATTTCTAGTTGGAATAGCTAAATAAATAGTTGCAGCAACTACATTTTTAGTTAAAGCAACTATAGTCATTTACTTTAGTTGGGCCAACTATTTATTTATTTATTGCAACTAGAAATTTATCGTGTCCCTACATTAACCATAATTTTAGTTGGACCAACTATGTATTTTTTTGCAGTTTTCCTTATTGAATGCTCAACAATAAATATACAAATTCATTTTTCATGATTGATAGTCGAAACATAGATTCTTACATTACATGTAATAATAATATCAATTGTAAATTTTCAATTTATAAATAAATAAATAATAAATATATTATTTATTTATTTATTTAATAAACACCCGATGGGCATAAGGTACCTGGTACAGTTTGCTATGAGCAGATGTAAACAATAATGAAATAAAACTACCAATACATAAGCATAAAAATCACAGATGGTTTTTTAATACGCTGTCTGGAGTTGCTGTTGTTTTTTTTTTTAAATTTGGCCTTTGGGTTGAAATTTAAATTGTGATAAGTACTTATGGGTCAGCTGTAATGGAAAAAATTCAACATTACTTTTGTGGCGGCTGCCATTTCAAAAAAAATTCAGTATTATTACTCAATAAAGTGGTTCATAGTGGAAATAGTAATATAATAGTACCCCCCAAAGATACTTTGACTTATGGTTCAAAATGTCTAAATCAGGGCCTGATAAATGATAATATATAATCCGATGTCGTGTTGTTGCAGGTTAGAAGATATGGACTCGGTGGATGCTTTTTTCCACGCCATGGCTCAAACGGTAAAACAACTGAAACCCATTACAGTAGCCAAAATCAAACGAGCCGTTTCCATAATCGTTTCTAACGCAGAAATCGAAGAAATGGAGAGTTCGGTGGCCTTTGATAGACTTCCGATAGCCGTTACCTTGACGTCGGAGTCTAAAAAGTAGTGGCTTGACACATGATCAAAAATGCGCAACACAGACTTAAATGCATAATTTTAGCACGTGTAAAATATATCTATTGTTAAGAGCTAATTACTCTGTCAACTTTTTTTACTTGAGAACATTTTCTAGCCAATATTTTTCGTACGTTGAGTATTCGTCTCGGCTGTGGCAATATCGCTTGATCAATTATTTGTAGATAATGATAAAACAAATAAAAGAATTTCGATTAGTGTTAATGGTTTAAGAGATTTTTTATTTACTACAGATTAAATTATAATTAGTTAAGAGAGCTTAAAAGTATAAATAAATTTAATACTACATTATGTAATTTTGTTTTAATTAAACATTTGTTAATTTGTTAATGGTTAAAACATTTTTACGTCTGAAATAGACATTAACAGATTAACTATTATATTTTTATTTATGTTTGCTGTGTTTAATAATTGGCTGAACAATAATAAATATACACGTTGTTTATAAAGTATAATATTATGTAGTTTTTAATGAGAGCAAAAAACAGAGTTTTTTCATAGAATACAATTTTTTTAGTCATGGTTTATTTATGTATATTTTAAAATTATAGTCTTAAATTAACGAACATAACTGAAAAATTACCTAATTGAAATATTATTATTATAACTACTATTGGATTAATACCAAATTTTAGTTATTTATTGAGTAAAACACTTATAGTAAATTAAAAAAATAAAACAAATACAAAAATTGCTTATATAAATAATAATAACTAACAATACATTTTTTATTCTTTTAACAGTTAACTAAAACAATTAGTTTATAAATAATTTAAACACTTTTAAACATTGCATTATGCATATAAATCAATAATCAACATATAATATTTTGAGATAATATTTAAAAATAATTAACTTAGCACAATAAGAGGTATGAAGTTACACCAAGTAGCGAGAAGTCATGGAAGTAGTTGAACATAGTTGGCTGGGAATAAACCAAAAGTACCATCGGGTCCCAAACCTTGCCACCAGCCTTGATCAATTTGGTCGATGTGACAAATTATATCACCAGGATCAAACGATATTTCTGTGTCATCAGCTGATAAAAATAAATTAAAAATGGTTAGTGGTTGAAAAATAATGATATATTGCTTAAAATTATTGTTTACCAGCTTGATAGTCGTAGAGTGCTTCGGCTCTGGTACCAAGATCTTCACCAGTATTGTTGTGTCCATTTTGAACTTCAATATTTTCTTCTACTAACCCATTCTGGGTCATTTCAACAGTAGCAGGTTCCGCCTTTAATATACCTTCTTCAACAACAGCACTAGGTATGGTAGTTACTGGAACGGTTTTCACATATTCGATTGTATCTACTTTAGGTTGTTCTTTTTCAGTTTCAATCGCATCCGATTCTCTACGCGTTCTATCGGCATCCTGAAAAAAAAGTGCAATTAAATATCATATTATATTTATACTAAATCTATACTCTCATACTTCTCTAAACAGCCTTTCTTCTTCGATTGTCTTTTGTTGTAATTCTTTTTTAAGTTTTTCCTCCTCTTGTCTTTGTTTTTCTTTTTCTTCTTCGGCCGCCCAAAACTTATCCCTTTCACTAGAATTAATTTCCAAATTTGGTTGTACTCTTTTGTAACTCGTACCCTAAAATGATTTGTTGAAAAAAAATATTTAGCTGCACACATATTACATATGTGTTATAATAAAATACTTTACGATTTTTGGCTGTGGCCCAGATTGGTCGAGTCTTTCTTTGAACGAGTACACTGAAGTTGTTTTCGAAACTTTTGATAATATTATATCTGTATCCACTTCATCATCATTGCGAGCGTTTATAGTAACGTGCGCTCCTTTCAAAATGTTAGATACTTCACGAATATGATTTGCACACGTCCCTTTACGAACAATAGGTGCTCCTTCTCCTTGCTAAAAAAAACACATGAAAATATTATTCATCTCCATATGGATAAACAATGATTGTGTGATCATACCCAATTGATTAAAACACATTTAAACAGACTAGTTTTGGGATCTAATACCCGACAGAAAGCATACATTATCTTGGAACTGTTTAAATCTTCTTTCATTTCTTCTACACCGCCATCTAATTAAAAAGACATTCATTAGTTACATTGATTATAAGTAAACACTTATTATAAAGCAATTGTTTTAAGGTTTGGTAAGCACGCCTAAGATTATTGCTCTAGTTAAGCTTATTATATGTTAACACTGAATTAAAATTTAATAATATGAAATGACTCATATAAAGTGAGTCTTTTCAAAATTTTCCGAAAGAAGATAAAACCATTAGTCATTTACTTTGATCATCGAGTGTAATATATTATTATGTGTAATAGGAGTTTGAGAGGAACGTGCAATGTTTGAGATTAAAAAAGATTTGAGGTAATGACGCTTAATAGAATCTATACCCTGTTCGCCGAGAGACCATGCCGCGACCCGATGAAAATTGGCCGTTCTACAAATTCCCACGCGGCACCCAGTGTGACTAGCGTTCCTCCCGGAGTCCGCCAGCCTTAGTCTTGCTGCTTAGTCTTCAGTCTACATGCGCAAACCCGGCATGCTCTCTCAGCGAACAGGGTATAAGTACAACAATAATATATTAATGTATAGAATGATTTGTATTTTCACAAGTACATAATACATTTTAAAATAAATTATACTAAATGAAAAGCAAAAAAGAACTAGTTTGACATGAAAAATATTATCCTAAGTAAATCAATTGAAAAATATTATGCCTCAATAATAATTAATATGCAAGTGTTGAAAATGCACTAGATATAATTCGAAAGTTTTGCTTGTACACGTATCCCAAAGTAAAATATTATGATTACCTTAGTTGTGAAAGTATAATAACAATAGGTATAGGTTTGACTTACCGCCTCGTCCTATTACTTTGAGGATGTTGGTTTGACCCTCATAGCCAAATATGGCCCTAGAAAGTAAGCATTAATTAAAACGTACACTTACAGATGCTGCATAGTAATTAGTCCAAGTCGATCTTGGACAGCTCTCGCCGGAGTACTTACCAGTTGGTCGGCGTTTTGTCGTCGACCACATCTTTCCAAGTGTCGACAATCTGCTGTCTGTTCTTGTCCAAGTTCAATTGAGACATGTCGCCGACTGCAGCGGTTTACTCGATGACTCGTCAACGGTTGGCCGAAACCAATTTTTAAACCTATTACCATACACTACACGCCTCTGGGACATTGCACCGATATCACGATTGTGTTTGTTATTAATGATAACGCCAACAGTGTGACCAACAGCCGAAGACACCGAATGATTGCAGTTGGGCCGCAAGGTTGTCTATGTTATGTATTATGCAATGTCGGAGTGCTGCTCGACTTTGAAGGACTGGATGGGGGGGGGACATTCATATAATATAATACATTTATACCATATTGGCGGTATTACGGCATAATAATAAACCAATAATTATGTATTCATCGTTGTACACAGGTAGCAAGTCGAACTCGGGTCAAGGCCCGAAAGGAGAAGATAGATGCTCGTTCGCGCCAATTTATGAATTATTCATCTTTCACAGATGATTAATTTTAAGATATGACAATGGTTTCATTTATTACACTATAGAATACCGTTTTGTACTTTTTTCTTCATCCGATGTTCAGAATCATATTACTGAATGTAACACACGCAAAAAAAAAATTAACTAGCAAGGTAGTGTTGTATAAAAAAACCGTTGTCCTCTTTTGATACTTAAAAATAAACTCTACACGTTTGTAGACTTGCTATGTTTACTGGGTTTGAGGAAAATTAAATTTTATATTATATCCAAGGTTTTTACGTTTAATAAAAACGTTTTTTTTTTAAATAAACAATAATTCGTACAACCCTGAATTTTAAATCTTTATACTTACCAAAGAATACATTATTATTCTTTTGTTTAAGGATTTCGGCGAGGCAAACCGCCAAGGTATAAATAGAAAACGGTAGTAATTTAGTTTTTTCGTTTCAAAATAGACGAGCAACTACTAAAAATAGGTATTTAATCTAAATTTTTTGTAATATACAACAATATTATAATTAACCAGCACAATAATTTTTCGTTGATTTATTTTAAAATTTTGTTTTTTGTACTCAATATTCTTGCATCACATTTTGCGTAAAACAATAGTTGGTACAGACAGTTGAACATACTTCACATAAATGATTTCAACAAGTACTTGAAGTTTAAAGTCGCCAGACCCAATTTACTTAGACGAGTACATTACTATATCATCCATGAAAATAATAATAATAGTTATTGTGTACTGGCACGTGAATATATAATAAATATAATAATCTAATTCGAGTCAATTAATACTTATTATTATTATTATCATCAATAAATATTAAATAGGTACAGAAAATAAAATTCACGGGCGTAAAAATAATTTTAGCTTTGTAAAAAATAAAGAGAAAAACAACAATAGCCATCTCTGCTCATCGAAAATAGATGCGAGGCTTTTTAAAGTTATCAAACAATTTTATATAATAATAATAATTATTTTACGTGTATTAAATTAAATTTGATTTTCAACAAATTTATATTCGTCCAAAATGGAGTGTTTTGACTGAAAGTTCAATTGAAAATACAACAACATGAGACAACATGGTAAAGTTATCTCTTTGATTTAGCTTTCAGCCGACTCCCTTTCATAATTTTTCTTAAACCTTACACATTTAACTATTATCATAAAAACATTGGTATGTACACAAAAATAAATAAATATATAAATGATAGCATAATCTATGCACCACTGGTACAATATTTTGTTTTGATATTTTAATTTAATAAATTGGGCTCGCCTCAAAAATTAACTATATTATGTTTTTCGTAGAAAAAAATAGAAAGATTTTACTTATAGAAAAAAAAAAAGAATAGAAAAATGTAAGTTATTAACGTTAATTATTACTTAATAAATACATAATATAAAAAAGAAAGTAATTAATTTTGTTTTAATAAGAACTGCAAATAAGCAGAAATTATGATTTTTTTTTTGTTTTGTTTGGGAACAACAATGTTAAAAATAATAATTTTATTTAACGAGCCGAACTTGAAAAAGGAAATAATTTTTACATTCCATGACTTTTTTTTTCAGTTTTATTGTATAGAGTAAATAAGATGCAGAGATCTTATTTCCATCTTAAGCCAAAATGGCTCAACGTTGTGTGTATTTTCTTATACATTTTGTTATTCCGCTATCGGAATCCCATCTTGTCAAAACGCTGAAATAAGAAACCAAAAATTAAATAAACAACCACATAGAAAAACCATTTTTAAATGAAATTAAAATTAAAAGCACATTTGGATCAAAACGACATAATCACTGCAACTAACAGTAATAACTACCCATCTATTAAATTTTATTTTTGTGTTTAAACAACAACAAATGTTTACTTACTTTAAAGATGACGAAAGCGGTAGTCAAAGTGAAGGCTACAACTTCTCCTGGAACAAGTATAAATTATTGGTGGCAGCAACAGCGACAATGTTTTCATTCGGATGCCATGCAGTATGCAAAATTTTCTTATTGAAATCCAAGCAGTCGACACTGATTTCATCCTTTTTGCGTTTGTTTCCAATGCACACCTAGAAAATTGACGATGACAAATAAGTATTTACAATAATAATCAAAATTAGTTGTTTTACGTGTTTTATGCTTACCTTGCGAGGTTTTAGTATTGTTTTGGGTTTTGCAATTTCCTTCGAAGCTTCTAACGTAACGTCGCGTTTGGCCGAACGATCGAACATTCTGAAGAAATTATTGTAGGCACCAGTCATTATGTACTGATCATTACCTGACCAGCAGCATTCAAATTTATCGAAAATGCAATCGTTTTCGTACAGCGAACAAAGTTTTGGTCGTAAGTATTCATGCACCTGTAACATCGATAAGTTATAATTTACGATGTAACGAAAATGATAGTAGACTATCGTGGTTGGAGCACGTGAAAAGAACAGAGGAATATGAATAGAATTAAATGGGCAAGAAAGCTTAGAGTAATGGTAGACAGAAAAAGAACAGGGATGTTAGTATGGGACACAGATACAGTTATGAAGCATAGTGGATTTTGTGAAACCACATTTTTATAATAAGTTGTGGACTAGTGGTAACATTGTTATATTATATGCTTCAAAGGGTTCAACAAAAATATATAAATATTCGTACCGGATATGTCTCAATTGGTTTGGTTTCCATGTGCAAATCCCAAACTTTAACAGTCATATAATCTCTTGACATCATGTAACGGCCAGAATTGGAAATTTTTACATCTGATATGCTCGAAATAATTTCGGAGAAGAAACTTCTCGTAGTTGGATCTTCTTGTTCTTCAAACACTAGAAAAAAAAATACATAATTATATACTAGGGGCAATGCTTTACTTGAGCTAATTTTTTTTTTCAGGAGACACTTAATTTTGTACATTTAATTAACGCCTTTTAAATGTCCTTGCTTTTTATTAATCAATTAATTGAAATACACTCAAATTTCTTTTCTCTAACTTGAGGTTTACTACGGCATTCTTTTTTTAAGAGCCGTCTAATAGCATCATCATCAGCACACATAGCAGTGTTCCAAATTGAATTATTTTTTTTGTATAAAATTGCAAAGGTTTAATTAGTTTTTAGCGAAGCTTATGAAAAAAGTAAAAAACAGAAGAGTGACAATTTTAGAATTAATTTTGAAGCATCACTCTAAAAACTTAATACATTGTGTATTCAACAACACGGTACTCACATTTAGCATGTTTATCACATAACGCTGAAGATCGCATATCACATAATCGGATTGTACCCTTGCTACTACTGTATACAAATAAATTGCATTCGAGTGGATGAAATTCAGCTGCAGTAATTACTTCAGTGAGTTCTTCCATGTTTGTAGGTTTGATATCAACAATATCTATAATTTAAATGACACTAAGGAAAACCGTTTACTACTGTTGTGTACATGTACATATCTATAGACATATTTTATAAATAAACTACTATTACAAGCGGTATAGAAAGGATACTAAAACTTTGATCAGTTATCTCCAAATTCCACAAATTTATTCGGAGGTCATCAGCTGATAGGTAAGTTTCTTGATCAGAATTTACACTTATAGAGTTTATATGATAAGTATGAGCATTAGCGAAAACTCGTCTAGGAGAAGCTTCTACCATTAGTTCCATGGACTTTAATACTGGAACCTGCGAGTTATTAAGTTATAATATTAAACATGGGGATAAATAATTTAATTAAATATATGCAATATACCCTTAGGGATGTAATATTCATTGGATCCCTCATGATTCCTGTATCTTCTTTCGTGTTGTATCCTTCAATTTTTTTATCTTTTTCAGATACTTTCCACAACTTAATAGTTTTGTCTAAGAAAAACAAACACAATAGTTAGTTGTTGAATTTAACAAATAATTATTTTTATTAACTGCACATTGTAAAATCATGTGGTCACACGTATTTACCATTAGTTGATAATAGAAAATGAGCTTGATTTTTACGCCTGAGCCACCTTATTTTATTGATTTTCTCTTCTATTTCTAAACTCTTTAGGTAATCAAATTCAGGCTCATGACTCTGGAAAGTACTGTATACATTGTAATCCCCTCGCCTTGGGATACACGTTTTACTCTGTAAAGAAACATAGAACTGTTGTACTGCAAACATAATAATAGTTACCTAACCATTTCTAATAGGCTACACTAATAGAGTGTAGCATATTAGAAAGAAGGATCCATCATAAACTGTAATCCAATAAATAATAAACATATTTAAGTCAACGTGTGTGACAAGATGACAGAAATCGGTACTACAAGTAAACATGATACACTTCAAAACACTGCAAGCAGATGTTGTTTGCCTCTGATGGATGTATGTATTAATCGATTGGTATAGGCTGTTTTAATTGTGTTTGTTAAAATAGATAATAGGTCGATACATGCTGATGTATTAACATAATATGATGTAAATAACATTTAACTAACACTAAATGTTTATTATTTTTTTTTTTTTACAAGAATAATTAACAGAAATTTCTTTGATCAAACTAATTTCTGACATCCATAAACTATTGCTAAAGAAGTGAAGCCTTTCGGACCGAATTGAATACTTACAATTGGATCTCGCTGAAATATGACGACTCGTCCGCCTTTGTCACCTGTTGCCAATAATTCACCATCATGGTTGTATTCCACACAGGATATTAAATCAGCTGTTAACAAATTTGATTCTATAGTAATCATTATAAATTGTTTATCACATATATTACTACCTTCGGTAACATCGTCTTCCAACGTGCCTTTAACCTGTGAGAAACACCATTGAATCTCACCGTTTCCTATAAAAACACAAAAAAGAATGTCAATAATGTATATTTAAATTTAGTCCTAAAGTATCATAGATCTATTATAGCTATACAATGACCTTATATTATTTGTAAAATATTGTTAAAAATGTATTTGTCTTTTTTAAACACCATGAGAATATTTTGATAGTTATCAACTAAGATAACATACCTCACAGTAGATATGTACATTACCTCTCGACAATATTAAATATAAATACTACGAATGCGTGATTCATTTCAGTAAATCTACTATTGACTAATAAATCATAATATTTACTCAGTTTGAATACATAACGGAAATATCTCGATAAGAAAAACCACTAGTTCAGATCTGGACATAGTAGAGTACATATTATCGAAACACATCAAAAGCACATCGCAATCGTTAACGTCGAACAGAGAAATAGGGGACGTTTAGAGTATAACCGTAAAGTCGATGAGATACTCGGGGAGCTGATGGTCGTCGATGGGGAGGCACGGGGCTTACCGTCGTTTTTGGTGTGAATTACAGTCATCACTGAAAACTGGTTTGTGGCGAATAATGAAGGCGGTCGCGCGTTTGTGGCTAATGTGAACGTGAGCTCGCACTAGTGACCTAGAAACGGCGGCGACACACAAACGCGACAAGCTCCAAACCGAGGGGCGACAACAGCCCCTGACTACGTCGTTCGGGTTACTCCGGAAAACGTGCGCCCCGGGTTAGTAACAATTAAAAGGCGCGCGCGACGGGATGGCACGGTGTACAGAACGTTTGCAAGAGAGGCTAAACGACGGCGTGTCGGGACGTGTGCGAGCGTTTACCGGCCGCGGCCGCCGGGGGGAGGCGGCGGCTGTGGTGATAGCGGGAAACGAAAACAATGGCTTGTGGGCAGCAGTTGAGTAGTAGAAAAAAAGAAATGCCAAAGATAAATAAAAAAACAGAAAAACCACTTACCGGCCATTGCGGCGTCGATATCGCTGTTGCAGCGCCTCTTTTTGATTAGATTATCCACCGTAATTACGTTCGATGGACCATCCGTAAGTGAAAAAAAAAAAAGGGGGAATCAAAAAAAACCTCGACGGTACGCACGGCGGATAAGAGCTGACGATGACGGACGGCGGCGTGATGTGATTTTTCGATTGGGAAAAAGTACGGTGCCCTGCGGAGTGCGGACGGCGACGTGATACGAGGGGCAGCCGCGGGGAGGTGGGACGGGCGGAGTGGGTGCTGGTGTCCGCGCGCGAATATCGTGCGAAGTGAATGTGTACAGTGCAGTCTATGTATATGTGTGTGTGTGTGTGTGATATTATTTTTGTGAGGAAAAGAAAAAGTGGTGTTCAACGTCGTGAGATAATAGCGCGTGTGTTTGTGTGTGTCAGCGCGCAAGTGTGTGTGTGTGATACGCGCGCGCGTTGCACACATAGCGATCGCGACGGCCGCACCGGTGGCACTGTTCGGGGGACAGTGCCGGCAACGTGACGTCTTCCCTCGCAAATACGAATGACAAAATATTATGTGACGACCAGTTCAATCGGTAAAAAAGTAACAGACATTTTTTTAAGCCACAATAATTAATACAATTATTATGCGGCGTAAAAAACATTGTTAATCGAATTGCCTTTTAAATATGATTACCGAAAAATACCATTACGTTTGTAAGTTTTTTATTATACGTTTTTCTGGCTATCTATCTTTTTAAAAACGGTTTCAAAATTTCATTTACCTATTTGTTTACAAATATTTTCAGGCGCCGAAAAATGTATAATGTTTTTGTCAAAATCGTTTTAAACATTTTTAAATCAATAAAATTGAAAAAATGTAATTAAAAAAAATATATTTTACTTTTTAAGTTGTGTTCATTGATACAAGTTTTTTAACCCGTAAAAGTTTTAACAAATTCTTTATTCTAAGCAATTTAATATCGATAACGAATTTTTTTTTTTGTTTTACGGTTTTTGTTTTTTTTAATTTCGTTTTGGTTATTTGTTTTTATTTATTTCATTTTATTTGTACAACAACGTGTTTGCTTACGTTAACACGATAAAAAAAAAGTTTTCTTAAAACGTTTTTAATCCCTGCTTTTGTTGATACCGTCATAACAATTATAATTTTGGATTTTGCGTATGACTTAGGTAGTACCGAGTAAGTGCATGGTTATTTTTTTCAAAGTATGACAAATAAAACACAGCAGTCAGTACCTATATCAAATATTTGCCAACAGCTGCGGCCTAGAAATTAAAAATACTAATTTGTAGGTTAATTTTAGGCTAAATCTCTTGCTAATACGAGGCGTAGTTTAATTTTTAATTTTTTTAACATAACCTAAAATACTTTCCAAAAAAAAAAAAACGAATTCTGTGTTTAGATTTGAAACAGCCGTGTCATTATTGCCGAATTATTTCCATTGTCTCTGGTGGTAATAATAGTATATTATTTATTAATGATAACTTCCGTTTCGTTTAGTTTTCCTACTGCTTTGGCACGTTACCAGTGATGAGCATTTAGTATCATCGTCGAGTACATATTATTATACATTTCCCAAAAGGGTTCTACTTTTTTCCAAAAAATAAATTTGTTGAAATAAAAATAAATGTAGCGCTAATTTTACGTTATAAGGATTTTAAAAACCCGAGCCCCCCCCTCTGATCTTCGCCAATGAAGTTTAACTAATGAGTCGGATAAGCGCGACAAAAATATCCATTCAAAAAAGTATTAAATGTCTATTTTGCGTACCTAATTTTCACACTTCGGTATTCAGTCTAATAATAAATGCAGAGCTATAGAAGAAAAAAATACCAAACAATTTTTTTTCACGGTTTATCTCTTATATATATATTATATAGAATAGTAATAATTTATGCATAGGGTTTTCACCTAGCTGAATAATTCGGCTAACAAAACAATATTTGGATGCAGAGTAATTATACATTTAAATTAGTAGGGGATAAATTAAATTAGTAATAATATGACTAAAATGGTTCATTGACATTGTCAAGGTAAACTAAAGTTGTAATTGATTTATTATAGTTAATCACTGGATTAAAAGTATCTAACAGTTTATAGTTGCTTCGTTTTTTAAAAAAATAATTATTTTTCAACATTGTTAAAATTTAATTGAATTTTTTAAGCCGTGTAATGTAAACGCGCTATTAGGCTAAACAAAAACTAAAAAAACTGTTTAGTACATTTAATGTTTTAACATTTTATCTGTTAACAATAGTTTTGTTCATAAGAAAAAAAAAAGAAAACATTGTTTTTATTTTGGTAAGACATTTTTAAAGCTATGACAATGACTATACGTTTTGGTTTTGATAATTCTATTTATTTTTATATCATGTCAACATCTGCTTGCTCAACTTTGGTCTTTTTAAATTTTGCAATAATACAGTTGTATTTATATAATTATACAGCCAATATGTTCCGCTCTATTTGGTTTAAGAGGATAAAGTATCTTCTATGTATTAACCTTATTAAGGATTAATCCGGAGTTGGAAGTTATTCGACCATAATTTTGATTAAATTACATTTCCATTGGAATTGATTGCACTCGGTAAACATTTTTGGGTTGTGCTAAAACTCGCTTGTAACGATGGTACGGGTGAAGGGCTTTGGTGCCATATGACATTTCAAAGTAAAATTATTATTATTATATTTCTATTACTTTCACACTACTCGTATAATATATGTAATAGGTTTTTTTTAAATTAAATAAAAAAATACAATGCACGACGAAAAATGGCGAATTTCATATTGTTATAAAAAGTCTGGTTGTTTTATATGAACACAAAAACAAAAGTCCATTTTTAGATGCAACAGGATAAAATATCCTATTCAATTTTAGAATATTTTCAATTGCTAATCCTTTTTATAACCCTTTAAGTTTTACTTGTAGAGGACCGCGCAAAAAATGCAAATACGCCTTTAGAAAACTATATTTTATCATAACGTTTTTATTTTGAATATTGACAATTATTATTTCATAGAGAAAAAAAACGTACCGCGATATTTGAACAACCCGGTATGTAGGTACAAATATTTTTCGAAATATAGATACTTGAGAAAATAAAACTTATTATTATTATTGTTCAAATGCGAGCAAAACGTCACGTTTACCGTACACGTATTATTTTACTTATCTATACATACATATCTTTTAGCAGAGTGGCATGGGCGGTTTGATGTGTATTGAGTATTCCGTATATTGTACATGTTTTCAAAGTAGAGCTTATATTCTGTCTACATGCACGCTATGCATACCTATTATATTATACACCTCTGTGTAGTGTATCGAAATTCTTTGATGAGCTGTTGACATTTGCGTCATTAAACGGGAGCTGTCCGTGCATACATTATAGTTATTATTATTATTATTATTATATTTCGACAGAAGTCAAATAAAATATGACGTATGCTGTTTGTTTACAACTGTAAAACAGTTGTAATTTTTATTACCTATACCTGCGCTATAAGCCCAGAGTTGAGCATAATTATTCGAGTAAGTTTTTATTTGACGTGAAAAAAAAAACAAAAAACCTTTCGGTCATTAATTTAAACGTGACTAGAAATGTACTTATTTACTCGAAATTAGTTGTTTTTTTAATTACGGTTAATTTAACTATATTACCCGTGATTACCGTTTTGATTAAAATTCATAATATTTAAACATGACATGCAAACCCATAGGAACAGCGGACGCGATAATTGTTATTTCTTTCTACCCAATGAGTTGAACACCATAAATCCTCTTAAAATCGTGTTAACCCGGACTATTCTATCTTATACGTTAAGTCTTAAAACACTACACATAAAAAGCGAAATAAAAGAAAAGCAAATAGCAAATGGTAATTTCTTGAATTTTCACCGTACATCGGTAGTGTTACATTTAAAGAATAACTCATACAAATTTCGAAGAAATATAAACCGTTACAGCGTGTCGTAATTTTAATATGACAAATTTGTACATTTTTAGAGTGAACTTTTCATCCAACAAAATTTCCAATCGCTAACGAATTCGGATCGACAGCGATATTTCTACTCGAGTAAATCAGTTCATAGGTACGATAAAATCAATTATCTTGTCTTGAGACACAGAAAAAAAAAACATCATTAAAAAACTAATACCTTCTCAGTTCAGCATCTAAACTATAAAACGGCCATTATCCGACAACTGTGATTTTGCTACATTATTAACATTAGGTCTTTTAATAATTTCCACTAAGAGATAACTGTAGCAAATAAGACAGTTAATAATATTTTGTAAGGAAAAAAAATAGCAACGTTATTTGGCACCAGCTCTGTACGTTTCCGTACACGGTGTTGGCTTTTGCACCTCGTTGCGCTAAAATAATGAACAATATTAACAATAAATATTATTGTATTGTATTACTCGGTTATCATCCCAGAGAGATTTATTTGCCATCAGAGCCCAGTTACATTGCTGTAGATAATAGGTATTAGGTATATAGTATTTATGAAATTCAAGATTAGGTAATATAATACGGTAGGTAGCATAACGGACAGGCCGGCTTAATACAATTTTAGTTAAAGCCAGAGTGATCATTATTAATGCAGCCTACAGTCGGTTATTTCTCTGAATTAATCTCCTCGCAATTTTCGATTCTCAAGTGTTACTTGAATTTTGAAACGGACTGGTTAGATAAATATGTAAAAATCCAATCAACCTAATTGCGCTACAAGGATATGTGTTAAGTGACAAAAAAAAAAAAAGGTAAACAATATCGAAAGCTAGTGAATAATAAATAATATAGCCCTAGTGGTCGCACAAGTTGGATGCAAGGAGAAGGGTTTTTATAAAAATTAGGTGTATATTTACGGTGTTAGTACTTTGTACGGTGTTCGATGCAATAGTGTACATTGTTGCCTATACGCCTAACACAATATTTTATATATTTTATATATTTTTCAGGAAAACATTTTAAGTTTAAATACTGTATATTGGTTGAGAATTTTAATGAATTCTATCGTATCTGAGTTATTGCATAAAAAGACACATTGAGCAAATTTATTCTATTACCATCATTTGGCTGTTGTCCAAAAATTTAAACGAAAATGAATTTGATTTGTGTGCAAAAATATGCTACTCAAAACGTATTGGCAAATAGTTAAATTGATTATTTGTGGATTAAAAATAGGCGGAATAGATTGCTTGTAATCTATGCAGATTACAAATATGTATTCATATACACAGGGTGGTTGGTTTATCGTGAGCCAGTTAATATCTCAATTGATTTAATTAATAATTTAATTTTTTTTTCATGGTGTTTTTATATAATGTGATCTCAATTATCCACAAATTGTTATGTTTTTACCCCCAAACTATCAAATTATTTTTATATCAACTTTTGAAACTTAAATGGTAACACATGAATTTCATTTAATTTTTAAATTAAGAATAATGTACAAACTTTAAGGTTTTTCATGTCATATATTATTTTACATATCTTATTGACGTTACCTAGCCTACGATAGTGATGTAGAGATGCTCACCTATGTTACTTTTTTTGTTAACGATGAACCGGGTGAGACTCGACTGCCGGATCATAGCCGTGGACTTTATAACGAACTTGTGAGCCTGTGACGTGTGCGAAGCCCCCTGTTCGGTGGCCCGGGACACGCGCGTCTTGGATGCCGGCGTGTCCGACGGCCTCCACAAGCCGACTACCTCTGCGTGGCGCATCGTGTTAGTCACATGATCGGAAACATCTGTCAACAGAAAAAAAAAATAATAATAATCAAAATTAATTTTGTGTTAGCCAGTGGACGCGACGTGTCAGAATTGACACGGTGCCGCCGCCTCAGTCAGGTAAACAGCTTTGTTAGTCTTTTTGTAGTAATAATTAGCGGCAGATTTAATTACTAGAGCAAATTGATTCGGTTTTTGCAATTAATTGAATTACGACAAGGGGGTTGCCACGCAGTGATATTTATAATGTAAAAAAACATTATGTTTTAATAGGCAATTAAAAAATGATGTGTAGGTATTGCTATTTGACTTTTATTAATTACCCTTTAAAATTATCATTTTAAAATACATTATTTTTTTTTTTTGCTAATTATTAAATATTTTGTTTTATCAATAAATACATAATACCGCTTTTGTTGAATATTATTTATCTTACATTAATTATTTTATTGAAATAATCACCTTAACATACAATTTGTATATAATGTAAATATTTCGTTGTCTGATTTACCACCGGATGGCACTGCTTATTTTAGTATGGCATTTAAACAATGCAATACATTGGGTAACTCGTATAGTAAGCAGTATGTTAACAGTATAATGGTCAAAAACGTGTGCAAGAGAAAATGAATAGTTAATTAAAATCTTTTTAATAGATGATTATTAAATCACTTGTAATTAGAATATTTTTTTAATCTCAATTCGTAAACGAAGAAATGAGTAATTATTAGAATCAGTACTCGTATACTTCGCGATTTTGATTTAATGAATAATTTATTTAGATACGAATTTAATTAATCCATTATTGCTCATTTTTAGCCATGCTCAGCAAAAAAAAATTATCTTATAATAATTTTGTATTAATAAATATTTTCAAACTGGGCTATAAATACTTTTAGTCAGAGATTTACTGTTTCAAATATGTATCTAGGTATTTTGAAAATGTCGTTAAAAGACGATGGAATTATTTTCGACTATAAGACAATATATATTAATAGCGAAGTATATTATTTTGTTGAAAATTAAACTTTTATAGAACGTTATTATTCAAATATTTTTTCTTGATCATTTTATAGTATTTCGTTGATCAAAGAAATTGGATATTTATTTCATACATTACTATATTATGGATATCGAATGGACGACAATATTGCAATGAATGTGTTATGATTTAAATCAATGTCGATCGCTTAATATTCACAATTATTCTGAGTAGATAAAAACAAACGTTTACTTTTTTGGATATGCCTACACTAAAAAATTGTATCAAGCAAGTGTAAGAGACAGTGAAAAATGTGTTATGATATTATGCTATCCGGAGTAAACGCTGGAAGGTTGTCATTTTATCATAAAAAAGGCGTGTCTGTTGTACATGACCTACATGCCTCATATGCAATGACAAATCCCAACTACTGCGCGTAAGATACCTACAATATAGTGTTACCAATAATGTTACATTATGAGTACAGAATATTATTTATGAAGATATATTAGATAACATCTACTCTGCGAGGTTTCTTTATATGACCATCAAGGGCAACACCGCCACCACATTATTGTATAATGCTTTTCCACATTTGTAAATTTGTATAAACACTGCGAACGATGATATCTGTGAACGGAATAATATGCAATTGATAAATCACTGAAATTGAAATGATGAATTTCCAATTGAATAACGCGCCAAGAGGCTGGGTCCGAGTAGGGTGTGTCATTACTCATTAGTACTGTACTTAACTAAAAAAACACCATCTAGAAGAACGCTGACAATCACTCAAGTAATTGCATACAAATTATTAAGCTACATGAAATCGTCATTGCGGAGACTAAAAGCCATTAATCGAGTTGGACCACTTAAATGTATTGAGTGTAAAGAATTTGTAACTGAATTTGATTTACTGAATGTCCAGGAAAAATATGTATCCGGAATATAGATCCCCAGAAAGTTGAATACGTAGTAAGAGAAAACCTTCTCATTCTCGCATCAATTATACGTACGGTATAATTAATATTATATTACAGTATTGTAATTTATTACAGACTATCGAGGTAGAACGCATGAGTAGCATACTGCGTTATGTTAATCAGAGATAAATATTTCTTTAAGAATTGATAATTGTTGAAAAATGCAAATCTATGTTTTTCTTTTGGACGTCTCATAAAATAAATCAAAATATGTTTTTATAGTTTATTTTATTTAAAGTTCGGAAAGAATGGATGCCTGGAATGTCAATGTATATTTCAATAATGAATGTCATAAAAAAAACTTTTATATTATTATTATCGCTTTGAATTTGTTTTATCATATATATTTTTTCCCTAAATCTTAATAATTTTGCAATAAAAAAAAGGCAATGCCAATTTAAAAATACCACACGTGTATAAAAAAACGGTTTATATAAATAATATTAAGAAAAAAATATAAGTATTTTTGTTCGAGACTATGGTGAAATTGAAAGTTTTTTTTTTTTTTGGAAACGTACAATCGATCCGTTTCGAGTGTATACTTCCGTTTATGGTAACTAGATCATATTATAGATAAAGTATATAATATACTGCTAGTTTGTAATGTTCGTTCGTGTCCAAGTAATTATTTATACATATACAGTGTTAATGCGCATTAACGACGGTCTGGTCAGTATTGTGTGCCGTGTCCTTGACCGCAGCTTCGACAAGCTCATTGCCATGGTAATAATAACAAAAACTCTGAAAACAATTAGTTTGAGAAAAAACAACAGCCGTCACAGCTACTGCGTTAAATGATAACTGCTTTGTTTGGATATCGTTAAAAATACCCGTGCATTAAAATTTTTATTGCAAATTTCCTCTGGTGATATCCATTAACGGCGCCAGTCTATCGCATGCCAATTTCAAGAGCGCAATAATTATGCGAGCTCATAGCACCGATGTTGTTAAAAACCATACATAATATTTTAAAACGCAATTGCAGTGCTTACGCGGTCCGAGTTGTAGAAAAAATGCAAACAATACTCATAAGGATTTTACACCGAAACAATTCGGTTTCAGAACCTTATGGTTCAACCATGTCTTATGACTCGTGTATCTACAGCCGACTGTATGTGCTTCAGGTCGTTTTAATCATAATTTAATACCAAACAAAAGTGGTGTATTTGTCCAGTTTATGATTTTCACTTACTCGCTTGACTGCGCTTCGAAATTTATTTACCAACTAGTGTTATATTGTGGTCATTATCGAACTCTACAATCTCTCAACCTAATACGTTGTTGTTCGACAAAGGGGTTAACGATTTCGTCTTTACCCTAAGGACACGTGGAGCACGAGCCCAGGCTCCCGGCCTGATGGGGACCCAGAATAATTTAATTTACATATTAACGGTTTTTTTTTCGTTTTCTTTAAGGTCCTCCAAGGGCTAATTTGTTTCGAGCGCAAACGACCGTTTCAATTTTTTACATAAACGATTTCATACACATGAGAACCGTGACTAGTGTTTTTCGTTCTTCGAGCTTCTTGTTTTTCCGGCTCTACTAAATTGTGGCTTCTGACGTTTCCGACCACTAACGGCACAGCCGCCGACTAATCTAGTTTTGGCCAATTGCCGTTTGAAACCGAACCGATTCCATTATTAATAAACTATATTCGTTATTCAGTATTTACCGTGGTGGTAAGACTAAAACGTTATGTAATCAATCATCATCAAGGACGGAGAAACGGAAGTAAGCGTTTTATCATTCGATTCAAAGAAAAAGAAGCCGATACGCGTAAATCCATTACTGCCAGTAAACAAACGCAACGGCTTTCAGACTTGCAGTGAAAAAGATATATTTTTTTGATAAACAACCCGAGACTCGGGCACGGATAAATCTTCTCCCGGCAAACAATTAAATATGTCAATATGAACGCTTGTACTTGCCTAAATGTGCAAGTCCTTCGGGCTCGCATTGGCCCGGGGGGGGCGTGGAAAGGGGACAAGGGCATTTGAAGTGTCACTGGCGATTCACGCCATACATAACAACGCTAGTCCCGGGGGAACCGATGAAGTTTTCAGCCGGCGTTAAACGTTAAGGTAAACTTTTGTCTCGAATACAAGGTGCGTACGTTAGGCCGATGATTTATGCTTTTGTTGTAGTAAGGGACGATCCGGCCACTTATTTTGGACAGCCTTGTCAGACGAGGGTGAATCTAGGATTTACATTTGGCTAAGGCATACGGAATGGGTGTAGATTATTATATTATGATGGTGGTGGCTATTGAACTTCCTATAGTTGTACCACATAATTAAACGTGATTCACCGTTGTTTAATACATGTGCCAATCAAAGCGAATTAAAACTAATCATCTAGAAAAAATCAGGTTAATTACATTTTATTGATATGTTGAAAATATTAAACTTCTATTTTGTTGTCTGAAATTTAATTTGTTATTATTATTTTTTGTATATTGCGTTCAGTTTATAATAGAATTGAATCTAGAATTTAATAGAATCTGTCTTCATGACAATGAATACCTACTTAAATATCATACATCGCTTATGGTAAGTCAATTATTTTTTTGTTGAACGAAAATTTTGAAAGCTAATTTTACAAATAAAAAACTCATAGAAATAATATTACTTTTTTTTATATAATATTGAGATTGAGATATTTACTAAATAGACTTTTTTTTGAATAGGTGTAAAATATAAGTAAATTAATAAAAAAACAATGAATGCTAGGAGGTTAGACTCGTCGAATATCAGAACAGTGCCTAAATTGATGTAAAACAAAGTCGATTTTCTAAAGTTTAGTTTTATTTTTTAATTAAAAATAACGACTTACTTAAATTAAGTAGTCTGTGTTGTAACAAAAATGCTTTAGGCAACAGCTACTAAGCCTAGGGATAGTTTTTTAAAGTTTCTTTAGAAAGCAGCAACAGTTTTGACAACCCACCTCACCCCTGATCAACTAACTTTACTTCAAATTATTTTTTTTCTTCTTTACTCAGTAATATATTTTATTTGGCCATATTATCTGTTGGAATTTTTCAACTAACACTGTTTCAAGTGAAATAAGTTTTTCAAACTTAGTTTTGCTTACCAATGAGTCACACAAGACTAAATATCATTGCAACATTTTATATAAGAAAATAGAAAAGCGTTGAATTTGACAAAAAAAAAGTATTAATTTGGGGCTTTTGAACTGAAATCAAACGAATTAGCATTTTGTAATTTAATTAATATTCAATTGAAAATGCCGTTTTCTTTAATTATAATTTTTATGTGTTTTTTAGATATTATTTATTTACTGTTAAAAAAAAAATTGTATTGAAATTTTTAAAACTAATACTGTTGTTTAAATAAATTATCTATTAAAAATGTTCACTATTATAGTTTTTTAGGTTCGTTATACCTCAGTCTGACTATTTTATACCGAAGTTGTACTATCCGTTTGAAGTATTGAAATGTGTAAAAGTTACTTTTATCATTTAATAAAAATAACAACATTAAACGACTGTACAGAGTTTCATCTTTAAATTGACCTTTTCTTTCTTGTATATCGTTTGAGGAGGGGTCGAGGAAAGCGCGTACCGGAATTATATCAAATTCATCTACTTCCAGTCTGCATCCCCCTCTTCAAAAAAAAAAAAAAATCACCGTGAATTACGACAATTGAGTAGGAGGGGAGAGGGCAACTTCGTCTCCTTTAAACAATGTCTAGAAGGGTATTTCAGTGACCCTCTCACCTCTCGTGTGCTTCCAACGACCTGACACAAGTTCGAGCCTATAGCCCATTGAAGGATGTGTTAAACGCAGACAAATCCAACGGTGGGCTGCTAAAGACTGTCTTATCAACACTGGGGGGGGGGGGGCGGTGACCGTCGATTAATTTGTTTGCCAACGCGGCGCGTGCCCGGTCTTCCACTAATAGCTTTCGGTAAATTTGTTTGCCTCAGTTAAACGCCTGACAACTGAAATTATCATCGGTCCGCCGAGCAACGATTATGTATGGAGACGGGCACGACCGACGGGCTTGGAGGACACATTATGCAATGCAAAATACAACCGCTGTGCCGCAGCGCATTCTCCTCCCCCTTTGGGGCAAGGGGCGGTGGTGAATTTAGGATCGTTGGCAAATGAAACCGCTCGTTAAATATGTAAGCGCCGCGATGCGAAAAAAGACTGTGGAAAAATCGCCCGTTAAAAAGGAGAGGGGAAAAATATGGAAAAAAACTAGTTCATAAGTACGTATAATTTGACTTTATCGTCAGCGATTATAAAAAAAAAAATAGTTTTTAATTTATCATATTTTCTTTTTGTATTTGATAATACCACAGTTTTACACAAGATTCATACCGAAGAACTTCTTTTATGTTGTGTTAAAAACAAATAATAAAAATAAGCACAGCTACGTTTAAATTGAAATGTTTAATATCGGTTCCGTGACTAATTTATATAATACAATATAATTGTTACAACAATTTTAATATTGACAAAATATTTTGAAAAACGTTAGAATGGCAGAAAATCTCTCTTTTTCTTTTCTTTACGGTTCACCAAGAGATGTGAAGAAACGTTCGATGATATTTAAATGAAATATATTGATTTTTATCATTATAATATAATTTCATATAAATTAATGAAAAACGAACGTTTATAAAATATTATTTAGCTCAGATATTTTTTTATATTAACCATTAAAAAGCATTTTGAAAATACTACAATTTTACAAATGCTGCATGGGTATACATGGGCAGTTTAGTCGAGAGGATAATATTTAAACAGCAATGAAAACTTTATACGGTCCATTCGAATAGCTATTATATCAGATTTATTCTTTGAAAGCTGCACACCTTCCGTATTGAGCGCAACCCTAAACGTATATACTTTTATTGCGAAACTGATATAGAAGGATTATGTTTATAAATTATTATTGCAAGTACGTTAAAAAATACCGACGTGCTAAATTTTTGTTTAGTTTTAGTTTTTATACTTAGTCGTTATTCTTGCACCGTTTGAAATATTTACAGAAAGTCCCAAAAAAAAAACACCCTCGTAATTTCATCATTAAACCACCCGGTAGGGTCATACTGACCCGATTTTTATCATCCTTTAGGGAAACCAGTGTACAAGTTTTAATCTACATGCGGCTATTCACTAGTTTATTTGCATGAATAATATTTTTATTATTTGCTCAAAATTCTAAGCACAGCTGCTATAGTCATTACACTTTGATAAGTTACTACCGAAGGTGCTCTAGCGAGATAAAAAAAACTCCAAACAAATATTATTATCATTATTTTTCTAATAAGGTAATTAACAATTACTCATTTAAAATAATTTTTCTTAGTTTTAGATATCGTTTTAATCATTGAAGATTAAAACGACGTTGGTTCTATATTACTTTATAATTATTATAAAATTATTTTTGAGGTAATTTTTTTTGAAACCGGCTGTGAATGGCGATTAGAAAAAATTATCATAGCCGTTAATCTAATGTTATTACTTATGTCTTCAATCTTACCTAATTTGTTTAGGGTTAGTATTAATTTCATACTTGGTTGACAGGCCAAGGAAGAAGGTATCAATATTTTGTAGAATGGGTTCACGAAAATCTTGAATTGAGTTGATCGAGGAAAAAAAGGCGTCAAACGTAAAAGAAAAATGACACTTGATAATATATTGTATAAGGTAGACACTAGACAGTTTGCCAGTATGTCACATAGGGTAGAGCTGAATTCCAAGAATTGGTTTATAAATTCTTAGGCACTCAACTCGTCACGTTGTCTGAATAAATAAATGTTATTAAAAATTAAAAAATCTTATAATATTTTATTAAAACCCGATCCACAAAAATGATATACTTAAAACAAATTTTTTTGTGGATTGGGTTTTAATAAAAAGTTATAATATCCCCACAATGTTACTCTGGTTTTTATTTATTATTAGGATCTATCATGGAGGTAGGAACTGATCCAAGACAGTAAAAAATCGGACTTATAAACATTTTTTTTAAAAATTGTTTTGCCAATAAATATGCAAGAATTGAAGTTAACGGCGAATGTATAGTGTGTGTATTATAATATTGTCAATGTATTTTGCGGAGAAGGAAACAAAATGGAATCTTTTTAGCGGTGTCTAAAAAAATAATAATTAAATCACTTTAAAGGAAAATCCAAAAATAGAACTTCAAATTAATCACATAACTAAACATAAATAGAGTTTCTATTTTGCAACTTGACAAAAAATGTTTGTTTTTTTGAGTAGGATAGAAAGTAAAATTTAAGAACTCCTTCGAGTTTTTTCCAACTGTAAAATGATGCGATGGATTTGGCCCAAAGGTTCTAGATACACATAGCCTCTTAGAAAATAAAAAATACACAACTATGTATTACCAATATCTTTTCTGGTTGTTGTGTAAGCTTGTGTAATATATTATATTTTCAAAACCTTTAACTGATACGCATCGCAGGCAATTGCCATTTTGTATGTTGTTTTTTGGGGTTAAAACTGTTTTTTAATAAAGCAGAAAAGGTTTGGGCTAAATAATTATTTTTGGAAAGTCGATTCTGGATAGGAGCAAAAAAAATAAAAGCAATCAAGTCAATCAACACATATGTACATTGTATAAACTATTTCTAGATAGTGCTATTAGTAGAGTAGCTTTTATAAAGAACCAATTTATATAATTAAAAGATGTAATTGATCTATGTATTCGATTGATTTTTGTTTTAATTGTTATATCTGTTGAAGTCAAGCATTAATCGAGATCATAACAATTAAAAAAAACTGATCTCTCAGTTTAATTGACACCTATTTTTGTTATTTTATTAATCATTGATTACATAGTAGACTTAATATTGGAAGTTAAATAATTATTTTTTTGGATAAGAGTATTTTACACATGTCAAACTATAAAAAAAGGTCACATAAAAATTGGTTTAATTTTTTATTTTAATAATTACTATTGTCTTATAAAATAGTCAAGTTAGGTACCTTTTTAAATGTTGGTCAGCTGTACGGCTCATAAGTTTTATCAGTTTACCTGTGAACAACCAAAAAGATAAAATTTTAGTTAAGATTAGACTGAACATTAGTTTGAATTATATTTAAAACATAGCACTGTAGTCATAAGTCTGTAGTTATTTTTCTTTTCAAAGTTAAATAATTAGTGATTTATTAGGTGGTTTTTCTATAGATTTTGAAAAGAAAATAGTAAAATTTTTCAACTCCTGGTTTTATTACTATTATCTTTGGTATAAGATTACTGATCTATAAACTGTGAATACATAGGAAGATACGGTTTAGTAGTTAAATAATTAGCGTCCAGAAAGGCAAAAAAAAACACTAACTATTGTAAAATAAAAATCTTCTTAGCTCCGTATCGAAGCTAAGAGATGTCTGTATTTCTGCAGACAAACCTGTACATAATAATATGCTTTGTAAATGTTTTTGGATAATGAATCTCATTATTCGAAAACATCCAAAAGTAAGTACATAAAAAATGAGGTTTTATAAAAATGGTAATGGGGAATGAAAATTAATTATTATATGAAATTATATTTTATTAAAAAAGTCAACTAATTAAGATATGATAGAACAGATATCGTTAATTATTGTAGAAGATTGTATTTGTCTTTGTTTTATTAAAGTACTTATTTAGTGTTTATGCTGCTCCCCGTTGAATAGGATGCGAATTTTGTTTACTATATTTTTTTTACCTGTGATGGCTTACTGCATTGAAGAGTTCTGTGATATTTTCATATTTTATTTAGGCGTTTTTAGAATTTATGTGACGGTCAATAAGGTTTCAATTTAAAACTACAATTAACGGAAAATTATATACTTATTTAGATCAATAGATTTATTGATTTACGTTAAATGCGTGGTCATGTGAATTATAACCAAAGCAGTAGACATATTAATGTTGTACTTGCAGAATACAAGAAACACAAAGACAAGGGCACAAAGAAACAGTCCTACGTTATAAAACTTGTCTCATGCCTTGAAACGCTCCAACTCAACACCAGTTAAGCGCCGTTATTATAATAATATTGTTTGCCCTGTCATGCCATTACTGTGATTAAGGCTCGTGTGGGCCACCTTGGTTTTGTTAACGTTTCTAACAACCGATTTTTTGGTAGTTAACGATTTTGTATTTATTTTCTAAACGAATACCTAATTTAACCATATTTACATTTCCGTTTAAGGTCGAGAGGTAAAATAGATCAGTCTAGTGTATTTTGGAGCTAAAATATATTAATAATACACGTTTTTGAAAAACTTTTCGGTAAATAAAAAAACAAAAAAATTAGATTTCATCAATTCGTAAATGTATAATACTTATCCTATCTTCGGCAATTTCCTAGTTACCGGATATACCTACGGATTTGCAAAATCGATTAAAATCGTATTGATGCATTACACATTGGATCATGATGGTAAACTCGTTAAATCCTCAACGCAAAAGAAAAATATTCGTTATTAAAAACATTATTGTTAGTTTTACTATAAAAACTTTTACAAGTTGTTTGGTTTATTTACGGGCATCATTAATCTTGCTCGTGTGACGTGTCTCAAGTCTTTCCAACTGCTATCTATCTCGAGCCCGTTACAAAGCTATTCCGTCTATTGTTTCTGGTGGTTGCATCAATTTACAGAGCTAATATAAATGCCACTACAAAACAAGTTTCAATCTGTTGAACATGGAAAATCCACAAGATTGCGTTTATTCCGGACCATCTTGGCTAACGTTATAGACGATGTTATACAATGAAAAACCTATTTGAATATTTGCGCCTAAAAGTACTCAACTTTCCGCCCTCTCTCAAAAAAAAAAAAGGGTCGAGGTATAGGATGTGAATATTCGCCCAAGAACGTTATCAGAACTATTTAGTTGTACAATATGGATTTTCCACGGCACTATCCTGTCCCCGAGGACGATTCAGTCACGTGCAGGAAGTTGTAAATAAATTTGGTTTCGGTTAAATTCCTGTGACAAAGACACGGTCGCCGCTAATTACATTTGACCGGGTTCCCATTAAAACGGTCCACATGCCGAAGGGTCAGCAAAGTTTGTTGTGCTTCGTGTAGGACAAGTCCCGGGAAACGTAAACACTAATTACTTTGAGTTTTATAAAATAATATATTTGAATATATGAACATTTTCATCCAATGACAGCTCTACGCAGAAAACTAATATGAAACGGACATTTCTAGAATCTACAATATCATATTCGTACTGAAATAGTAAGTAAATGCAAAATATTGTCACGGGTTCGCATCTATTCAGTTTGTGATGTTATACTATTATATTACAGTAATAACCAACAGTTTAATATACGATACGGTACTAAGTTGGGTCATGGTGGCACGCTAAGTGCTTTTATTTTCTTATGATAAACAAATCTTGATATAAATCATCAAATCCACAAAGGCGCGTGGTTATCTTGGCAATATAAAAGAAAAATAATAAGAAAAAAAGCATATGATATAGTGCATATAGTTCATTGTAAAAAACTGCCCTACCGTGTAATCATAACTTTTTTTTTTTACGGATAATTTAACGTAAGTCGTGACACATTTCATTGGACGTTCAAAAACATAGGGATTAAGGCCCGAAATGATTAATCCGCAATTGATAGTTTCTCGGTCGGTAACATTTCGGTGATTTATTATACTATTAAACCGTGTAAACCAAGATAATTTAAGTACTTTCCACAATAGAGTATAAAAACGCGTCGTGGACATTTAAAAAACGGTTTTTTTAATAAAATAATATCGATAACAAGTACTTACACCATTAAAATTAAGCACGGTTCGATGATGATGTTATTTATTTTATATATATAGACACTATAGGAGTTTTAATTAACTCGATGGTATTGTGTAATAAGAATATTATTACCTATACTTAATACACACTGAAATAAAAATGGCGCGTTTGGTAAAAGTTTTCAGAAACTCTTAAGTGTAAATTTTTCGCATTTTTGAGATGCCAATTCTCCGCCAGCAACACGTCTTCGGTATTTTCATTATATATATATTATTATTATTATTATCAAATAACTTGTAGGGAAAAATAATTTTATAATTTTTCACCAGGGCGTGGTGATCCGTTTTGTGTTGGTTTTCGGTACACAAGTAGAAATAATTATATTATTAATCCGTACATTTTTTTTAACTCCAACATAATATGTTGTACATATTATTATATACGAGGAGTTTAAAGTAATTTTGGAATAATTTCAACAACATGTGCTAATATTATTCCTATCGTTACTTAAAAAAAAAATGAAATACGGTTCAAAAGTATTTGCTAAGCTCAGCTTTTTCATTTTTACATTAGCTATAACAAAAAACATACACACACACACACACATATATATATATATTTATAACTTTAAATGAAACAACTAAGTAAAAACTACAATTAGGTAGAGAACAATAATGTCGGGATTTATGTAATCTCATCTCATTCGAGTAAAGGAAACTTTACTGCTAATTCGTAATAACAAATAAGTTCTGGCAAGTATCATCAAAACAACAACATCAATTGTGCACTGTTCAAAACTTCCGAGCAGCGGAAAAGTCAAGTACGTTAAAACTAGTTTTTATTTATGTCGATGATTAGTTATATAGCGATTTAGACAATATTTTAGCTTCGATGCTTAAAGTTATCAGTGTAACATAAATGTGTTTTTTTCTTTTTGTATCAGAACCCATGATTACTTTTTGATCATTGGACCGATTTTTTTTTTATATTTACTAGTCTATAGATAAGAAATCGTTGACTTATTAAGTCAAAAGTTTATAAATCCACCTTTTTTAAGTCGAGATATACACCCTAAAAATGTAATGTGAAAATAAAGTGTGCAAGTTTAAAAAAAAACTAAAACTAGGAATGGACAAAACGAATTTCCTGAATATCTCGAACCACTAGAGGAACAAATGGTCGAAAAGATAGGCCAAGTGCCAGTTTTTGAACGAACAAATAATGTTGAGCTGAGTCAGCAGTAACTTGGGTTGCCCTCCTGTTAAATAGTTATAATGATACGATAGTAGGTTAAGCATTTAAAACCATTATTAGTTATTAAATTGTATGTACCCATACACCCATTAGCAAAGATTTATATTAACAATTCTTTTTAATAATAAACAACTTTAATAGTTTGTATTATTTTATACGTTATTTTGCGACATTGTTTTTGATATATTGTTTCCTTTTTGATAGATGATCTGGGATATTTCCAAATGTATATGTTTACCGAGTGGAATTTCATTTTTCACGAGATGGCCATGGGTTAAATTATGTCTAAAGGGACCTAATATCTTTTGCGTCCTCACAAAGTATATAAATGACGTATACTTTGTATAACAAAGTGATTTTTTTTTTTTTTTTTATCAATTTGGAGTTGATTAATTTAGAGATTTTTGCTTTTGATTTTTAATTGAGTTTTATACAACAAGTGGTTTGTTTGCTTGTTCCAGATTTAATCATACTAGCCAGATGTTATTTACAAAAAAAAACCCCAAACATAGACGAGTGCTTTGTGGTCAGTCTTTTCTAGGTCGAGCTTTTCCGTTATGACAGAGTAAACATGTTAATGAAATTATACCCACGTAATAATAACATGGGTACACAGCACATTTTGCGCAGTATGTCCATTTAAACTGATTAAACTTCAAAGAAGAATTTTTTTTTTGCCTCCATTTAATTTGATCAGGCACACGTGGCCAAAATCTCGTTGGTTATTATTAATTTTTAACAACTCAATAAACGGTCATGGCCGGCAACTCAAATAGATGCAAGTAGTATACTACGGATGCATAAAGAATATATGTATATATATTTCTCAAAAACTACAGTAATTGACCATAAACTATTTTGACCCGACTGATAAATGTGTTTTTTTTTTTAGTCGAGTTCCGTATATTGCAATTTTGCTTTATCGTACAATGTACATATGAGTGATTAAACATTAATAATTAAGTGTTTTATTACCACATGTCATGTTTACATATTGCTGTGCAAATACCCAGAAG